AGATTAAATAGGTTAGGTAGGCTATAATATATTATAAAAAAATAGGCCTTATTTTAACTATTATATATATAATTTATATAAGTATTTCTACTATTAAAAATAGTTTTAATAGTTAGCCTTTATATAACTTTATTAAAAACTATATTAAAATTAATATTTACTATATATTAAGCTAAATATATTATTAGTAATTTAAATAAAAATTATAATTAAATTTTTATTAATAAATAATATATTAAAGGTATTATTTAATATAAAAGTTATACTTTTATATAATAATAATTATTATTAATAAATATATTAACTATTAGTAAATTTAATAGTTTTTAATTTATTAATTATTTAATTTTATTATAAAGTAATATTCTAATAATAGAAATATATATTTTAATATAATTTTATATAAATATTATAAATTAAATTAGTAAAAATTAATAAAAATAAAAGATTAATATAATATATATTCTTTAATTTAATTAATAAACTTTTATTAAAAATAAATAAAGAGTTTATTAATTAATTTTAATATTATATATTATAAAGAGTTATATACTAAAATTACTACTACTTACTCTATTATCTCCTTTACTACTATTTCCTTTATAATTTTAAAGTTATTAAATATTATTTAAAATATTAGTTTTAAGTTTATAAAATAAAATATAAAAGAAAATATTATATAAATATATTATTATTATTATAGTTACTATTATTATTATTATTATTATTATTATTATTACTATTAGTAACTATTTTAAAAATATTATACTTATAGGTAGTACTTTTAATATTTTAGGGTATAATATTAGGTAGTATAGACTTTTATTATATTAAAGTAAGGAGTTTATATTATTTAAGTAAGATATTTAATTAGATTAATAATTAAGCTTTATTTAAATATTATTTATTTATTTATATTAGCTATTTATTAGGACTACTTTTAGCTAGCTCTTTTATTATATAGTACTTTTTAATCTATTTTTCCCTAATTTATTTTTTAAATAGTGTTAACCTTTTTAAACTATTAGTATTTAATTTTATAGTAGATTAAATAATTTATTATCTTTTATTAAGGAATTTTTACTTTTTAAGGTTTAAATTCTTTTATAAACTATTTAAGGCTATTTATATTTAATATAACCTATTTAAATTATTCTTTTACTCCTAACCCTATAGTATAAATAATTAATTATATATTAAACCTTATTTTTATAAATATTTTACTAATAAGTATAAAATAATAAGTTAATACTAATATAAAATATTAAACTTTTAATATATTATATTAAAAGTAATTTAAAGGTAATATTACTTAAAGTATTTATATATAGTTTCTTATTATTAAAAGATATATAAAATTAAATAGTAGTATTTTAGGTATTATATTATTATTTTAATATATTCTACTATTATAGTAAAATTTTAAATTTATAAGTCTCTTATATTTAAAATCTATACTATTAGGTTCTTAAAGGTAATTTATAATATAAGCCTAAAAGTATTTAATATTTAAGAATACTTTATATTTTAAATCTAGCTTTTTCTACTTATTAGTTTTAAATAATAACTACTTTTAAGCTAAATATCTTATATATTTTATAATAATATAGTTTTATTTTATTTATTTTTATTTAATTTAAGATATTTATAGCTTCCTTAAATATATTATTAACTTTTAAAGTTATATTAATATTAGTTTTTATATTATTATTTTATAATTTATTTATTTAGTAATTATATTATTTTTAAAAGTATTATTTTATAAAGATAATTAAGTTATATAGGTTAATAAATACTTAATTTTTAAATAGGCTTTAAGGGTAAAGGTTTTATTAGTAGTTAAGGTTATATTCTATTTATATTTAAATAGTTAAACTAATAGTAAGGAGTAAAATTATAAACTATTTTTATTTAGGTATTTTTCTTATATTATATTTATTATATTATTATAAGTTTAAGATATTAGAATCTTATAGTAAGTTAAATTATATAATAATTCTAATATTATTAATATTAAGTTTAATATTAAATAATATAGTTAATAGTATAATATAATATTTAGAATTTAATTTTTATACTTTTTAAATATTAAATTTTAATTTAACTTTTAAATATTTATATTAAATTATTTTATAAAGTTTATAGTTTATTTATTTTAAAAGCTATATTTTCTTTAAGGTACTTAATTAGAAAGGCTTAAGCTTAAAGGAGTAAATTCTTATTATTAATATAAATAAAAGTTTTAATTATAGTTATAAAATTAGTAGAATTTATATTATTAAATAAGAAATATAGATATATAAAGTTAAATAAATATTTATAAAAAAAACTATATAATAATTAATAATTTAAACTAATTAATTAAGATATAAATTATTTTAATATTATTAATATTTAGCCTTATATACTTAAGGATATAATTTTAATTAACCTAATTAAGTATAGCTATATATATAAATAAAGGTATTAATTATAATATTAATAATCTAATTTAATAAATAAAGAAAAAATAGATTAAAACTTCTTTTATATAATAATTATATATACTTTATTAATAACTATAATACTAATTATATTATTAAATAATAGGTTATAATAGAGCTTTAAGTAAATATTTAATATTTACTTAAAATTTATTATAATATAAATATATTTTTATAGCCTATTTTCCTCTATATAACTAAGTTTTATTTAAATATAAATAATATTTAAAATAATAAACTTTTATTTATAATAAATAAAGAGTTTATAATATAAAATAATAATTATATATACCTTTAAATATAAATTTATATTAATTTAAATAGAGTATAAACTAATTATATTAAATATAATATTTTAATTTATTTTTTAAGCAATAAAGGTATAAAATAAATTATAATTTTATTTTATAGTTTTATAAATATATATTAAGGTATATTTTACTATATTTAATAATAGTAACTAATATTATATTTTACCTTTAATAATATAATTATAACTTTAATTTAATTATAATAAACTAAAAATAGTTAGTTATATTTTTAATTATAATTATAATTTAATTAAATAAGATTTTATAAAAGGCTTTTAAAAGTTTATAAAATAAATATTTATATTTATATTTATATTAGTTTACTTTTAGGCTTTATATTTAAAAGTATATTAATATTTAAGTTTTAATTATTATTAAAATATTTTATTATAAATTTTATATTTATATATATTAATATTTATAAATTAAATATAAATAATTAAAAGGATATATTTCTTACTTTCTTTTATTTTCTAAATAAATATATTTAACTTTTATAATTAATAATTTAATATTAAAAATAATATTAAAAAATCTTTATTTAATTTTAAAATTTAAATAACTAATTATTAAGTATAAAATATATTAGTAATAATATTATTTAAAAGTAATATTTAAATATTATTTTAATTTTTATATAAGCTTTTTATTTTCTTTTAACTTTTTTATATTTTAATTTTAAATATTCTTTATTTATATTTAAATACTATTTAATAATTAACCTAACTATAAAATTATTATAAAGTATAGAGTCCCTATTTATTTTAGGTAGAGAGTTTATATTAAGTTGTATATATTTTTACCTTAATATTAGGGTATTTAATAGTATAGTTAATTTATATATATAGACTTTCTACCTATTTTAAGTGGGGAGTCTACACTTGTATATTACGTGAGTAACAGCCAGGCTGCAGGCCTGGCCAAGGGCATTTGAACATTTGAGATAAATACTTTGCTTGTTTGGCAGTCAGTCGTTCTTCAAGCACTCCCAGGGGCTGTCAAGCAACCAAGTGTCTATCCTCCAGATGTCTGCAGCCACAAACTTGTTCTGTGCTGACGCAGCATACAGTGAGATTGGCAGGCAGGCGCGAGAAATACAGCACATGTACGAGTGCGCCGTGGCTTGAGGCTGACCTTGTCAGCCAATGCATGATGTGAAGGGAAGCCAAGTCTACCAAGAACATCCTTGAATCAAAACATTCAGATCAAGCCGAGGTACCTGTTCTGAGTATTAGAGTTATTAGCGCTGGCTTCCTTGGCCTGTCAGGCACACGCCAGTCCATTGCGCTTGTGACGGAGGTGGTCTTTGCTGGCAATTTCCCCCGGTATTTTGCTGAAGCCTGGGCCGTTCTATTTGGACACTCTCCCTGTCTCCCAGTGACATCCCTGATCATCAACATGAAGCCAACGCACTATATCCTCGTGCACGCTCCGGCAGGCCAAGTCGCCGTGCCTGAAGCCCCAGACCTTGCCACGGCTGACATAGCTGGTGGGTGCAACCCCCAGAAAATGCTCAAATTATCCAACCGGACTGCCGCTTTCGCATCATCCATGGACAGTTCGTCTCGTTTGCAGCCGCCGCCATCCTGGTGGGCCCACGATGTCTCCAATCGGGCAGGACAAGCTTACCCCACGCGACCATCCGCGGATGACCACCCCTGCGGATAGAAATCACACGGCTCAGCACATTCTTCTTCAGATTCCTGGGCGGCCCAGGCCGCGATAGTAGTTTCTCTCCTCACACTAGCCTACCAAGATCTGCCCTTGACTCACCGCACGACTCACAAGATTGTCGAGGCCTTGGCAAACGCTGAGGCCACACGTTCTCGGATTCGATCTAACTGCCTGGGACCCCATAATAAACGGGCCGTTTAGATGCCCGTGCAGAGTGCCATGGACGGGGAGACAAGTGCGTGGTGTGAACACCGGAGTGGGTATGTCTTGTCAGGAGGCGCCTGGTAGAAGTCTGTCAGTAGGCCGACTTATGGGTCTCATGAGTCGAAGGCATCAACAATCAACATGCACACAAGAGAACAAGATAATATATAATGAGGCCGGCTCTGGCCTCGACAATCCTGCAAAGTCTGCTGTTCAACCACTCATCACACTCCCTCCTATCTGGTTTTAAGTCTTTGTATATTCACAGTCGTCAACTGTATATATCACTGACGGCTTTGCCATCATTGTCTCTAACTTATAAATCAAGATGGGTATCCGGAACGTCCTCGCCACGGCCATTGCCAGCCTTCCGGTCATTAATGCTGCCATCCCAAGCATTCCGGGGTTCACCCTCACCTGGGGTGATGACTTCATTGGCTCTGCCAACAGCCTTCCCAGCACTTCCAACTGGATCATCGACACCGGCACGAGCTACCCTGGAGGGCCTGCCAACTGGGGAACAGGAGAGATCCAGACTTATACGAGCAGCACCAACAATCTGAAGCTGAACGGCAATGGGGCTCTCCAGATCACAGCGATCAAGAGCTCCTCCGGTGCTTGGACCTCTGCCCGTATTGAGACGCAACGTAACAACTTTGTTGCGCGCGCTGGTGGTAAGATGAGAATCCAAGCGAGCCTCAACCTACCCAACGTTGGCAGCAATGGCATTGGATACTGGCCAGCCTTCTGGACTCTCGGCAGTGCGTACCGGGGAAATTACCAGTAAGTACTACGCAAGTCTGTCTGTCGTGTCATGATTGTAGCGACTAACATCTTGACAGGAATTGGCCTTCTGTAGGGGAGTTCGACATCATGGAGAATGTTAACGCCATCAACCGCGTGTGGGGCGTGATGCACTGTGGTGTGAACCCAGGCGGGCCATGCCGCGAGACAGACGGCCTCGTGGGCTCACGTGAGTGCCCGGGAAGTCCATGTCAGGGAAACTTCCACACATACACCCTCGAGGTTGACCGCTCCCAGGAGCTTGAGGCCGTGCGGTGGTTCGTCGATGGCATTCTGTTCTGGCAGGTCGTCGAGACAGACCTGCCTGCCGATACTTGGGCCCAGGCTGTTCACAACCCTCATTTCATCCTGCTGAACCTGGCCATTGGTGGTGCTTTCCCAAACAACAATTACGGAAGCGCTACCCCGCTGGCGAACACTGTCAGCGGCGGCACGCTGCAGGCTGAGTACATCGCTGTTTACAACAACTAGGTCTGCCAAGTGGATACTGCGGTACCGTATTTCGGATTTCTTGAGGCTCCAATTTTTCTCGGTTTCAATGTATATATTTGTGAGTATTATCGTGGGGAATGTTGGGAAGGGGGGCTTTGTTTCTCTTTATGTTGCTGCAGGCAAGTGTGAAGCCGAATCTAGACGAGGGGTGCCCAGGTGGCTTGAGTTTGTGTCTCCTGCAACCAATCACTGAATTGATTCTTCTGCCGTCATTGGGTTCTTGGGACTAGGATCGCCAAACACGATAACTGTGAGAAGCATGTTCAGGCAGTATCGATAGATGATGGGTCTACAGGTCTAATAAGCCAATTGATCGGCCCTCACCGACGTGAGCCTGGTGGTGTTGACCACCACGGTGAAGTAGTTATCAACAGCTGAAGAGACCATGCGCGGCTGAGCCAAAGAGTTATGGGCCTATGCCTCACATTCGAAGACGATGGGGCGGAGTGGCATTGGAACAGCCACAGCTTTTGGATATGCAATCACTTGAACAGCGTTCTTGTATTCCTCGGATGGTTAAAGGCCGTGAATAGCTGTGGATTTAGTTAGAACTTGTTTTGCCTAAATAGTCTTTGGTCTATAACTTTCTTTTGAGGTATTGATGAGTTGCCCTGAGCAACTGCTCCGAGACACAGAGCCAAGGTCCATTTTATAATCTTCAGCTGTTATCATCAGCCGATAGCGTGGGGGTAATGGTGTCGTCTAATCCCCATAGATATAAAACATTTATGTGACGCGTTCATACAGTGGTAAACGCTCAAGACCTAGCGATTAAAAAATTCAATACTGACAACAGTACAGAGAGAATACAATGTGTGGGCACGTGGCCTCAGCCTCATGCCGCACAGACAAGGCAAGGTAGGAGACAACGCTCCCGTGCCTCAGGCTGGCTCAAAGGCGCCCATCTGCAAAACACATGTGCAAGGAAAAAATCCCAGTCTACGACCTCTTGCGCGCCACTAAGATCCTCAGCCTGGTCCTAGACATTCCCGGAGATGGTTAGCGACTGTTGGTTGCTGGGGTTGCTGGCGAGAGTGGCATGGCTAGGCCACATGTGTCTGTTGTGTTGTCCTCATCTTTCCAGTCTATTGCAGATGGACTTGTCCTTAACGAACACGCAGGCCGAACTTCATGCACGGTTAAAGTTAAGGCGAGACCAAGGCTCGGGTCGGGCATGACGGTGCTCGGCCCTGCCAAGACGCCCTTCCGTGTCGCAGGTACTGTGTACTTGCTCAAGGTGACTTTTACTAGACTCTAGCGGGACAGTAGTACTCCGTATCACTCACTATCCGCTGGCTGCCGGAGTGAGCGAGACTGTAGGAGCCGCGCTATTATTAATCAGCCGTCTCACATTAGACTTATCGCCTTGTTCCCGGCTTATCGGGGATGTTTCCTATCGATAAGAATGGATAAGAATGGACCGCAATTTTTCAGCTGCCCAACTTGTAAGAGCCGAACCCAAGTCAAGTCAGTCTGGCGGACGAATGCAGAATTCGCTTTACGCCCCCGTGGAGCGCGGACCCTGAGGATTTTCTCCTTCCGCTCAACCACCATCGCCATCCCACGCTCTGTCCCCCTTTTTCCGGCTGCTTCTTGCACGCCAACCTCTCCACTCCTTCTTCTATTTTCCCTTTTTTCTTCTTCTTCTGTGGCAAAGCAAGCCCATCTTGCTGCAGATTTCCCGACATTCTGTATTCTGGAGTGCCGCGTCCCGTTTCACCTGAAATGAACCCCCCGACCGTCGTCGCAAATGGCGACGCCCCGCCACCATCGCAAGCCGATGTGTCGGCCTTCATGGAGGCCATCTTCAACGCAAAGACCTCCAACGCCTCGGTCGACGCTGCCTATGGTCTCTGCGAACTCCTGCTGAACTCACCCAGCGTCGGATGCCGCGGCTTGGAATCTTACGGCATCCTGGCCGAAATCAAGAAGGCTGCGTCTGACAAGAAGTCCGGGCTCAGGAGAGAGAGCGCACAGAACCTTCTTGGTGCACTCCTCGAGCGCTTCCCCCCACGACAGCCCGTCTCAGAAGTCATTTTCCTCGTCAAGGATGGCGGCGTGGTTGCTTGCGCCCTCGACGCCCTCGCCGATAAGGGTTCCGTTGTTCGCGACGCCGCACAATACGGCATCGACGCCCTCTTCAACCACCTCAGCCCCGAGGCTCTCGTCGTCGGCCTCCTCCCTGCCCTGCAAAGATACCTCTCCAAGACGACCGGCAAGTGGCAAGGCACCGTCGGCGCTCTGAAACTCATGCAGAAGATGGCCGACAAGGCCAAGCTCGAGTTCGGTGGCACAAAGGAGGAGGCCCATGAAAAAGACGTTTTGCGCGAAATAATGGGTGCCAAGCTGGCCGGCCTGATCCCCCTCGTCGAGAATGGCATGCACGACTTGAAGTCCGAGGTCGAGAAGCAGGCAGTCAAGACTATGGACTCGCTCACAGCCCTCCTCCAAAATGACGACGTCGCACCCAAGCTGCCCCTGCTGCTCGAGGCAATGCGCAAGCCTTCTCCGGAGGCAGTATACAAGGCCATCCATGCCCTCTCACAGACAACCTTTGTTGCCATCGTCACATCCCCTGTCCTCGCCCTCCTGACGCCATTCCTCGAGCGATCTCTCTACAACCCATCAACACCGCAAGAGACTCTGCGAAGGTCCGTCGTCATCACAGAAAACCTGACCAAGCTGGTCCACGACCCCATCGAGGCGCGGACCTTCTTGCCCAAGCTGAAGCCCGGTGTCAAGGGAGTCCTCGACCGTGCATCCCTTCCTGAGGTCCGAGAGCTCGCCCAGAGGGCGATGGATGTCATGGACAAGGCCATGGCCACCGACAAGGACGTTGTTGAGCGCATCAACGCGGACGACGTTGCCAAGATTGTCGACAGGGAGATCAAGAACAACGGCGGAGTCGCCGGCGACCTGGAATTGTTCAAGCTGGCGAAGCCTTATGTCTGCGAACTCATTGCTGAAGATGTCAACCATCGCTTCGTCAGCCGTATCGCTGGGAAGCTTTCGCCTTATCTCAAGGGTCTCGTGACAGGACCTGACGCTCACGAGGTTGTCGCGAATGCCGTTCAAAAGTACTATGTCGACGAAGACCATCGTATGTACGGCGAGCCCGAGAAGGAGGACGATGGAGAGGTCGAGATCGTGAATGCCGATTTCTCGCTGGCCTACGGCGGTATGCTCCTGCTCTCGCACACAAACCTGCGACTCTTGAAGGGCCACCGCTACGGACTGTGCGGTCGCAACGGTGCTGGAAAGTCGACCTTGATGAAGGCCATCGCCGGTGGCAAGCTGGAAGGGTTCCCCCCGCAGGATGTCCTCCGAACCTGCTATGTCGAACACAACCAGGGCGAGGATGCAGACCTTAGCATCCTGGACTTTGTTGCAAAAGATCCCGAGATCACAAAGCTCGGCACAAGTGTTGAACGTATCTCGGAGGTCCTAGCAGAGTTCGGCTTCACCGCTGGCCCCGAAGGCCGCCAGGCCCAGAGGGTCGGCTCCCTGTCGGGCGGTTGGAAGATGAAGCTCGCGCTGGCCAGGGCCATGCTGCAGAAGGCCGATGTCCTGTTGCTGGACGAACCCACCAACCACTTGGATGTCGAGAACATCGCATGGTTGGAGCAGTACCTAAGATCGCACACGGATATCACCAGTTTGATTGTCTCTCACGACTCCGGCTTCCTGGATAACGTCACAACGGACATCTACCACTACGAGCCCGGGAAGAAGCTCGGCCACTTCAAGGGCAACCTGAATGCGTTTGTCAACGTTCGCCCCGAAGCGAAGAGCTACTACACGTTGTCCGCCAGCCTCGTGCAGTTTAGATTCCCGCCGCCTGGTATCCTGTCCGGCATCAAGTCTCAGACCCGTGCCATTGTTCGTATGACGAATGTCAGCTACCAGTATCCCAAGGCTCCCAAGCCATCCTTGGCCGATGTCACCTGCCAGCTTTCCCTGTCGTCCCGCGTTGCTGTCATCGGGCCCAACGGTGCTGGAAAGTCGACTCTCATCAAGCTGCTTACAGGCGAGGTGATCCCAACGTCTGGAAAGGTGGAAAAGCACCCTAACCTGCGTATTGGTTATATCAAGCAGCACGCGCTTGAGCACGTGGAGATGCATCTTGAGAAGACGCCCAACCAGTACCTCCAGTGGCGTTACCAGCACGGCGATGACCGAGAGGTCCACTTCAAGGAGACAAGAGCCCTGTCTGACGCGGACCGAGCTCAAATGCAGAAGACCATCGACATGGGAGATGGAAAGGGCGCTCGCCAAATCGAGACGCTCGTCGGTCGCCAGAAGTACAAGAAGTCCTTCCAATACGAAATGTGAGTTCCTGACACTCCTCCACCCCACAACCACAAAGTGCGGGTCTTTTCTCAGTAGCACCCGCCTCCTTCCCACCGCATGAGGACTAACAACAAGACAGTCAATGGAAGGGGTGGTTGCCCAAGCATAACTCTCAAATTAGCCGCGAGACCCTCATCGAACTCGGTTTCGACAAGTTGGTCCAGGAGTTCGATGATCACGAGGCCTCGCGAGAGGGTCTCGGTTACCGTGTCCTGGAGCCCAAGGTCATCTCTCAGCACTTTGAGGATCTTGGACTTGACCCAGAGATTGCCAACCACAATGAGATCGGGTCGCTGTCAGGTGGTCAGAAGGTCAAGGTTGTCATCGCTGGTGCCATGTGGAACAACCCTCACCTGCTGGTTCTGGACGAGCCAACCAACTTCCTGGACCGAGACTCCCTGGGCGGCCTGGCTGTTGCTATTCGCGACTTCAAGGGCGGTGTTGTGATGATCAGTCACAACGAGGAGTTTGTGGGTGCGCTGGCCTCGGAGCAATGGCACGTGCGCGACGGTCGCATGACGCACAGGGGCAGCAACGCCATCTCGCTCGATCGCTTCGAAGACTCCCGCCCTGGCTCCACTGCACCATCGTCTGGTGTTAGCACCCCTGCCAACGGAGCGAGCACTGCAGTTAGCAGCGCCGTGAACAGCACTGTCAACAGCGGAGTGGAGGACAACATCGACACGCCGCTCAAGTTCAAGGCCAAGAAGAAGAGGAAGATGACCAAGAAGGATCTGAAGGAGCAACAAGCCCGGCGACGATTGAGGCACATTGAGTGGCTGAACAGCCCCAAGGGCACACCGCACCCCCCTGACACGGACGACGAAGACGCCTAAATGGTTGCCCAAGACCTTCCAGCTTGACGATTGGACAATGAAGCTTAGTGTTTTTCATATTTTCGAGGACGCGGCGGCAAGATCACGGTGGACAATTACTGGGGCCCTTAAAAGAAGAGGTGGATAGAGCTGATGATTATAGACGGACGGCGTTTTAACATAGAATGGGTTGGTACATCATTGATTCCGGATAGAGTAGACTCGAGCACGAGCCACTTGAAAGTTTTCTAATGGATTATTAAGTTATATGGAAATCAAATCAATGATATTTGTCTTGATGTCCCCGTGCCGCTTGACCACCTGAAAGTGTCTACGTAGGATCTGTCTTCTGGTGTGCCCAAGCATACCTACTTAAGTGGTACAGTAGATGGTGCCAAATTTTGCCCGCTCTTTGGAGAGGGTTCAGGTCTGAAGCTCCACCACAACCCCTGACCCGCTGCGGGTAAATTGGGCTCTTCCCAATTGAGCAGCCGGAGCGCCCGCGCCGGAAATACAGCTTGTATCAAGACTCAGCGTCTCCTAAACTAATTTCTCGAGGTACGAATCTTACACGCCGCTGTTCTCTTTGTAAACAATTCCCGTGATGGTTCACGTTTGTCGCCTTCACAACGCCGGCCGATGAAGAGCACCAACTGAATCATCATGGGCAACGACACATACACGTCCGTCCCGCTGGACGACGGCCCTGAAAGCTACGTGCCTGGCGAGGCTGTGAAACGGCAGAGGTCACAACGGTTGGAGAAGGCGATGCGAGTGGCATTCTTGTCCCTTCTGACGGTTGTGGTATTTTTACTTGGCTTCACGGCTGGAGATCGGTACGGGCAGACGGTCAAGGCAGTTGTGTCAGCCGGTGCCAGCAAAGAGGCAGCAGTGGCGGGCGGCGACAGCAACAATGGAACGCTATTACCACCACAGGCATTTGTCCCGGACTGTGAGTTGACTGCCTCGCGGTCCATCTCAGGCTCTGGAGAAGATCGAGCTGTCTGATTCCATTGGGACCTCGCCCGCTGACGCTCCGGCACCAGTCCCTCCTGTGAAGGAGGTTAAATTCGACTTCCCCACTGACTACGAAGACACGAGTGTCGAAGGGGATAAGCTATGGGATGATCTGATGCCTAGTAAGCTATGGTTGACTCTCCATGTTCAGAGACACGCAGCACTCCTGCTTACACGGACTCGAAAGTCGGATCTGGCTTTATCCGCGTCCCATATCCAAGACGGTTTGAGATGCCTGCAAGCAAGGCCATCGAAGATGACCCCGAAGAGGCCGAGATCTACTCACTCTCAGCATTGCATCAGCTTCATTGCCTGGTATGGTGACGTCTCGTCTCTCGTAATTTCGACCTTTACTTTAGACATTGCCATGTACTCATTGAACACTCAAAACAGGGCGTCATCAGGGACGTGGTCAAGAAGTACGAGAAGCAGTACGTCAACCATCACTCTTCATCGCCGTCTTTGGTGTCTTGGAGAATTCAACACTTTATGATCTGGCAGGACTAACATCACCACTAGTGATAAGTCGCGCTTCGCCGGAGCGGGGCACGAGTATCACTGCATCGACTACATCCGACAGTCTATAATGTGCTCAGCAGACACGACGCTTGACTTTGCAGAGCTGCAGCCAGATGGGAGGAGAAAGGGTTTCTCTGGGGCCAACTCGACTCATCAGTGCCGCGACTGGGATGCTGTAACCGCATGGGCTGTTGAGAATCGTGCTGGCGACAAGTCAGGGATCGCATGATGATATAGATGAAGTCTTGTGTTTGGAAGCGAAATTCAAGTGGTCTTGTTTCTAATCCCCGTACATATCAAGTGTATGTGGCCCCTTCACCTATTCAATCTTTGCCTTGCACTGCGAGTAATTTGAGCGTGACGAGTTTGGAAAGCCACAAAATCTTCAAGTTCCTCAAACCATTTCCAAATACACTGAGCGATCACCACTTTCACTGCGAACCCAGACATTGCTTCTTCTGGCGTGTTCATAACATCGAATCCTCTTGTAAACCTCGACCGCACTGTGGGAAAGCCCACTAGATCCGCCATTTGCACTTCCCCAAGCCTGACTATTAGCATCAGGACCGGGTAGAAAAAATGTACACTTTTTCTTACCTGCAAATATGCATCAAGGCTTGTACCTTTTGTGGAGCAAACTGTCGACAATATTGTTACCAAGAGAATGTCATCAAGGCCGGGTTCAAGGCGATTGGCAAGAGCATGTGGGAGACCGCGACTGTAGACATTGGCAAGATAGCCACGAAGTCGGTGATCCGCCAGCTGTGAGGCACAAAGGGCGCGGACGCCATGATGGCCATAGTGACAATAGCAGTGAGAGAGAAAATCATCGAGTAACGGAACTATGATTAGGTGCATGTCAGTAGCTCGAATCTCCCGGCAGGCCCTGTATGGACTCAGGACCGAGATGACGATGTTCGTTCTCGGGTAGGGAGGGAGTGCTGAGGGTGATTGGCGTTTGCTTGAGCTACGAGGCGATGACATACCTTCTTAATAACCCTAGGAACTTCAATCCAGAAGTTGGAAAACTCGGCCTCTTTACTGGTGGCGCCCCAGGTCATTTCTATCCCGAACATATGGCACAGGATAGCCTGCGAGACGTGCAGACTGAGGCCGCCAAGGAAGATGGCCAGAAGTATCATCCACTTGAAGTTCTCCAAAAGGCAAACAAAGAAATTCTTGCCATCGCTGCGGTATCGCATGGCGGCAAGTCCAATGTTTCCAAGGCCGTTGAAGACGATGATGATAGAGAACCAGACCTGCCAGGAGTCAACGTAATACCGGTCGAGGTGCTCGCTAAACCAGCCATAGAGGAAGTAATTCGTGCTCGTCATGATCCAGGCGGCGGCAATTGCGTAGTAGGTGCCGATATACGACACCACGGTGATCTTGGAGGTGGTCGGGATGCCTGAACACAGGAACTTGCGAAAGAGAGGCGTGAAGGGCCCCGTGATGGGCCACTTGTGAATCGGATGGAACAGGAGCTCATTACATCCGTAAGCATACTTCTCCCAGCGCCTCAGCTCGTCGTATACTGTGAGAGACACCCCCTCTTTGAAGTCTTCGCCGGACCAGGTGGCGAGCCGAATGATGTAACTGGAGCACTGGAGGCGGAGCGACATGTCGAAATCCTCGGACACGTGTGACTCGGACCAGAACTTCTCATAGCCGTCCTCGTCTTGATAGCTGATCGTCTGCAGGGCAGACCAGCGGAGAACAGCGTTGTGTCCGACGAATGGAGCGACATCGCCGTTGGCAACTGTGAACCGGATGGCGGAATAAATCAGGTTGGTGAAGAACGTGATGCCGTTCTCAAAGTATGTATTGACGACCTGCATGACGCCGGATGAGAACTGCAAAATACCGACCTCGGGTGACTGTTCCATTTCCGACACAGAGTCGAGGAGGCAGTCTTCTGGGACACGAGTATCGGAATCGATAAGCAAGATGTAGTCCCCGACACGGATATTTCCATCCATCCACGCGCGGCCTTCCATCTCCGTGTTCACCTCGGCTAGGGCTTTGCAGTACGCCTGTGCCTCGTCGGCCTGAGTCCAGCCACCGTGGCGATAGACCCGGGCGAGCTTATCCTCAAGCTTGCAGGAGACCATAAGGGCGTAGTTCATGTTGGAGGCCTTCTTGAACTTGCCACGCCGCTGAAAGCCCTTGTCCCCGTGACCAGGGCGGGCCGTCCAGCCGATTCCGTTCTCCGAGTAGAACTGGATGCGTGCCTTCCGTTCCTCCTCGGGTAATAGCTGCAACCCGTCGTCGTTGATGAATAGGTTTGCCGACCCGCCTTGCAGCTCGTAAATAGTCATGGCTGCCTTGACTGACCGGACTGTGGGCATGATGACACCGGCAAGGCCTTCCTTGTAGATAGGGCACTGTATGGTGACATGTGGCAGTATGGCGTTCTGCAGGCGAGGCGACTTATTTGCCGAGAAGAACTTGGAGTTGACTTTCATCTGTTCAACAGAGCCCATAATCTGGGCACCGGAGCCCCAGATGACCTGGCAAAAGAAAAGGGTGAAGAAGATCGAGATCGGGAACAGGCTGATAAGAGCTATGCGATGCCATGCCAGATCTAGAGCCGACTCGATGACAAGTTGCCGCAGGGCAGCCCCTATAGATGTCGTGATAAGACAAAGGGTGAGGCTGAGAAGCACGGCATTCTGTTTGTGTCTCGGTCTGCTCTGGGGTTTGAGCTCGCCGGTCTCCACGTCGACGATCTCTTCCTGCTCTGCTTTGCCGAAGACGTTGTCGGCTATAGCCCCTTCTGCAGGCGCCTCGGTCTTCCAGACGAGCTGCATGAGTTCCTCCTGGATCGATGTTGCCCGCTTGATGAGGTGCATTGCGTCGTCATCCCACACGACGAGCAGGCCTTCTCCCGCGATGAATGCGGCGCACTGCTGCTTCCTTGCTCGGGCCAGGTCATGAACGCTGGGCAAGATTTGGACGCGAAGACCATTCTTTAAAGGCACGTCCACAGCACCTGGAGCCCACGCCAAGAAGGACTTGATGATGCGAGAGTTGACGGTCATGGCACACTTTTTACATCAGTTAGTATGCAATCATTTCCCACGTTGCTGAGGGAAGAAATTATTTTGAGGGTAAAGGGGGGCTCACTTGAACTCCCAAGGCCGCCATGGATTGTGCAAACGTGGAAGAAGCAAGCTCTTGGGGGCAGGTTATATAGTCGGTAGCTGTCTTCCGTACGACGACGCCCTCAACGACGCCGGTTCCGTCTGAGACCCAGAGACGAATGCACTGTTGTTGGTATAGGTAGTTCACCATGACTTCGTGCTTGATGTCTTCAAGGAAAGTAGCCCTGGGCTGGATAGGTGCGGCGCGCCCGGGGAGACTGCTTGCCCGTGGCCTGTGTTGGCTCGAAGCGCCATGGATGTTGGTAGCATGATCACTGGAAGACAGCGATCCCTCTTTCGAAATCTGGTCACGCTGGTCGTGGCTTTGTCTCTGGTCTCGTCTGCTACTTTTGGATCGCCTGTTCGGAACATGGGAGGACCTAGATCGTGGTCGAATGCTTTCCGGCTCCGTGGATGGAAGTCCGGACGCTGGTGAATGACGATGCTCCATTCTCTCCCTGAGGCTGTTAGCTGCGACTATTAAACCTGTGTTGGGTCGGACCTTGTCGGGAGATTCAAGACCAGCCGCTACCGAAAAGAACGAGCTGAGATGTGAACGAGACCTCGATGGGGTTAGCGATTCTGGGACCTTGGAAAGGTAACGATACACGTTCTTGCAGGTGGCTGGATGTGGTTGTGCAGGGATGGAGGGAGAAAATGGAATGAGGCTGGTAATGAAGGCCGGGGGCAAAGTTGTTGCAGAGAAATCGGGGAAGAAAAATATTGCACCCCGAGGATTTCGTCGATTTGCGAGCAGTGAGTTGTGGGAGCTTGTGGTGACTAGACCAGCCTATATCTAAGTACCTACTTAAGTAGGTACTTAATTACTTAAGTACCTAGGTAGGTCAGTACTTACTTATAAGTAGGGAATGCAAGTGTGTTAGCTAGGTATAGGCCAGAGCACCCGGGGCCTGACTAGCAAAGCGCGCGGTCTTCGTAGACATTATTAGAAGCGAGACAGATCAAGCACGACTTTACTGAAGCTTGATCTGTTGCCAGCAAATCCGTACACTATCTGGCTCTCGCGTGCGCCAATCTTTTACGGCGGATGCGTTAGAGCTACTGGCACAATAGTGCGGCAAGGCAGCAGTGGAATGAATGACCACCTTTTGAAATTTAGCCCACAGGGTTTCTTGGCGAGGCATGGCTGAAACGTTTGTTTTTGTGTTCTTGGTTTTTTTTCTTCAAAAAAAGAGAGAGAGAAAAAGAGAGTGGCTGTCCCAGTGAACGTGCAAGATTCCTGCCGATGAGCTCTATCAACTTCACGAAACACTGACCCTCTTGCCATTTCGTCAACTAAGAGTATGAAAGGCGGTCTCAACACTTGCATTGTCCACTCTGCTCATCCCCGTCACATTGTTGCAACATCGTAACCTTCTTTACCTCCATGTACGGCTGAGACCACGTGGGATACCATGTGTTGCGAGCGTCCCAGAACTCTTTCACCGCGTCTTTAGATTTATCCGCCCAGGGCTTCCCATCCTTCCCGTCTTCGAACCAACCATTGGTTCCGCCAACAGCGAGGTTGAGTACCAGATAAAATTCCTGATCGAAGGGCGTGTTATCGAGGCCGGTGTGCGACCATGGGTCGACGAGGGCCGATCCGTTGGAGTTTGTCGGGGGAAACCTGCCACGCTTCCACATTGGGTTGGCGAAGGGGGTGTACATGACCATCATCAGGCGGTTGTTGAGATATGTGAAAATGTACTTCTGTGACCACTCAAGGCCGAATGTGTTGAAGCCGTCCGAGTAGACGCTGTGTCTCGAGGCTCGCTGCTTAGATGTTTGCCACCACCTGTCGGTATCATGCTCGGGTCCCCAGTGGAGTGTGGATGACAAGACGTTGTTGCCTCCTGCAGAGTAGGTGTGGTTGTTGCCACGGGATTCAGCAATATCGATCTCACCAGAGGCGGGCCACGGGCCGTAGGTGTCGCGGACTGGCATCATCCAGATAGCGGGCCAGAGCCAGTCGCCCTTGGGCATCTTTGCAACAACTTCGACCCGACCGTACTTGATCGATGCGCTGTTCTTTGTGTTGATACGGCCAGAATAAACGGGAGCTACCAAGGTCCGCTCTCCCTTCTTCTTCTCAGGTAGAGTACTGACCCTGCCTTCAATATTCGCGGTTGCCTTGATAACCAAATTGCCATTCTCGACAAACAAATTTTCCGAGTTGAACCCCATGGTTTGGTCAAACTCGCCATTCCTATACACGGATGTCAGATGTAGTCAGGTATTCACAGGAACTCAGCATTTATTACTCACCCAAAACCCCCCTTTTGTTGCTCGGCATACCAGAGGCCGTTTCCGATGCTTTCGGCCATGTTCATGTCCAAGACCGGGCAGTACTTGTGCTCAACGACGCTGCGAAGACCATCCCAGACCAGGAGCCCCGCAAAGCCCATTCCGATGAACAATCCGATAAGAGGGATAATCTCTATCCACTTCTCGGCAGGGTCTTTGGGATCCTTTACCCAGGGCTTGATGACTTCATCCTTGCGGACCCGACGACTGTGGAAGTATCTGGCACGGCCGGGCGTGGAGTCATTGCCGCCCTGAGAGGTCGAGCTAGTGAGGGCCGAGGCCGACCTGGGATGGCGTTGAGAGCTGACGAAGGAGTCTGTTTCTGGCTGTGGTGATTGCGTAACGCGGTCGTTGAAAGGGTCTTCGGGTGCGGTGCCGGAGGCGTTCGCCGTAGAGGAGGAAGTCCTCTTTGGGCGGATCCGCCTCCGCTGAAGGGAGTCGTTGTGCGATAGTGGGCTGTCCATTTCCGAGTGCTGTTCTCGGTTGCGATTGCAGTATATTTTGGTTGTTGAGAAAGTAAGATGGATGGGACAGCAAATTACGAATAGAAGACGGGGAATTTTAAAGACGGGGGATGTGGGTGGCTAGCCTTTGCCGCTGTAGGAGACTAGGACGGCTCGGCTGCCAAGGTGTCTGCTTCGCCCCCATGATATACTTTAGGCGTCTTCATCGGGGCACATTTGGGACATGGCCCACCATCAATATTCGTTAGTTCTCTAACTACCAACAGACAACCGGCTGTGCACTTGTCTCTAAGATGATTAGGACGGTCACTTGAACCAATTTGAATGCCCTAGGGTGGAGGGCGGCGTGCAGGAGAATCTAGAGTATAAAAACTAGACAAGAGGCATCCAAGTACCATCTACCAAGGTAAGTATCGATTATTTACGTCTAGTTGAATGTATTTGTATTCAGCGAGCGTATGGCCCCCCGCCGGCCAAATTTGACGCTGGACCAGCACACCCTTATAAGTTGGCCCCGCCTAGTAGACAGGCGGAACGTGCCTAGGTACTTAGGTACTTGGGCATGCAGGGATGAGCCTGCACGACCCCTCGGCCATTCAGCTTGCACGCTTGCTGCCACGGTTGCCGATTTGGGCAATTGCACAGTGGCATTTTCGGACGTCGTTGTGGCCCACAGGCATCATCTTAGACCCGCCCAAGTATTTTCCATTTTCCATGCTCAGCGATCTCTGGAAGTCCTGTGAGGCCTCCAATATCCTAGGAGCACCAATGAGACGCAATTTCAGAAGCCAAAGAAATAACATGGACAAGTTGCAGCGGGCAGCCCAAGCACCAAGGCAAAGTACTTAAGTACCTAGGTAACTTGGTGGTCCTGAGAAGCACTTGGGTAGCTGGCGTTCATTATGCGGCCTCCCTGGTGGAAACAGGCATATTTCCCAGCCAAGCAGGCCCAACATCAAAGAAGACTACCTAGTTAGCACATCCTGGTCTGGTAGTCAGCCATGTCTTTCTGAACGAAGGCTCCAAAGTCAATGGTCATCAAAATGACGGGTCTTGCGGCAGTTCCATAATCAAAACTCCCGGCCCGCGTCGACTGTGAGGTCTGCCTTGAATCCTCGGAATTCAGTCTCGGGAGTTCACAGAATTGTCTTTTACCCTTAACAACCAGGAAAAATGACCTTCAGCAATCCAGATCTACAGTCTACCGCTAGCACAGATATTTGTGAATTTTGATAAGGCTTGGGTGTTCCAAAAGTTAATTGAAGTATGTCTAAAAGAACTGTAGGATGCCCAACTTTCTACTGTTACAGTTCTCAGTCTACATAAGTATACTATGTTTTAAATGAATGAACAAAGTGCACATGCTTCAGAAATTATTAGTAGCACCCATAGAAATGACTAAATCTCTACCCAAGCCCTTCTTATGGTAAGTTTAGGTAATTCCAACACTGTCACTCGGCCCTAAAGACACTTCGCCGTCATTAATCGGGTCTAAGTACGCCCGGAAGGCTTAGGTAAAGTTCCCGAGCACCCTACCTTATCCAGTTGCGCGATCCGCAGGTATCCATCGCCCTCGAACTCAAGGACCGTGTCCTCCTTCATCGTAAGGAACCATCCGACGCTTCACTTCTTGGCGCTGCCAGGCACTCTCTGGAAGAAAAGAACGGAATCACACGGTTAGGGACCGCCGTGTCGTTCTTGGTACAGACAGCACTGTCGCTTTATAGCTCTGGTCCTTGATGTGGGTTTGATTGGCGATTCGGAGGTCGGCAGGATCCTGATTTGGTTCTCGATCTCGTTTGAGCATTCAGGCTGTCTTGTTCGTGGCTCGATGCAGTGGTCATAGTTGAAGCAGCCAGCAATGTCACCGCAATGAGAGTACCAGCATTGGCTGGAAACTCGTCCCAACGAAACTGTACAGCTGGCTTCAGGCTGGCAGGTGCCGCATTGGGAAGTGCCTCAAGCGGCGCTTAGGATAGCCTTGATGATCAAAGATATCCCTTCTGTAAGTTCTTCAAGCTAAGCCAAGTGGACGGCTGGATATAAGTTGACAGCTTAGCAGGACCAGCTCGGGAACATTGAACTGAAACGATTGGTCCTTTAGATCTGTGCCACTGGTATTTATGGCTGAGAGGTGAGCTACTATTTTTGAAAATGTTGATCGGTTCTTTAGATATTGGACGTCAGCCTTTGTGTCTTTCCATCTCTTGTACATTTTAAAGCAAATAATTTGATGTCTTCCACTGCGCACTTGGCAGTGTGTTTACTCAGACGGCTACGGCTGCAATCAAGGCTGGTGATTAGCGTCAGCAGAAGGAAGACCATTGCTGAGGATCCCGATTAATCTAAGGCCCGGTCAGCGTCGTCGCAGCCCTCTGATTCTGCGGCTGCGGCTTATTATGCTAAGCAGGTGACAATCTTCTCCTCATTATTATTAGCGTAGGATTTCTTGGGTCGGGTTGACAGGATTACAAAGTTAATCAGTCCAATTGGCTCAATTCAGTATTGATGAGATACTGCTCTCGCGACTGAGTAGAATTGGATTTTTTGCCTAGCTGCTGTAGCGACCAGATGGCCATCGGCTATTGGGCACATACTAGTAATATAACTTGGCGGCCGATGCTCGGGGGATCTCTCTGTCTCCTCGTATGTGTTCAGATAGCCGCAGGAATCTCCAGAGATGGCAATCTAGGTACTCTATGAAGTCATTCGGTTGGGTCTCTTGGAATGAAGGCCCAAAGGGAGCGTACTTGAGACTCTCACGATTGAAGAAATCCCGTAATGATTCTTGGAGCAGGGCTATGCGGAAGTAGTGTGTCTAAGAATGCATCCGAATCTTGGGAGTCAGAAGTATAATGGCAGAGCCAAATGACAGCTAAGAGAGCCCAATTATGGCCTTGACTGAATCTAGAGTACCGTGGGATAATTTTCCTTTCATGAGTCTACACTTGGGACGCGTCAAAAGCGTGTTGGGCGCGCCCTACCATTGTATTTGACTCGCATTACCCCATGTGTTATTATCGAAAGACAGCCACGTCCTTGAGACTCTGGCAGGTTCGCATGATACCAGGGAAGAGTCCATATGGCTTGAGGATTGGAACCGAGTGCTCCCGTAGTAGGTTGTCTGTAGAAACTGTTCCAAACAATTCCACAAGATAGACCTTGATTCTCTAGGAGACGTTTCTAGTATTCCGAGTTCTAGACATAATGTTTTGGGCGCGTGGCGAAGGGTGATGCCGTTCTACAATCAAAATATTGAAAATCTCGGATGTAGCAAAACATTCGATTACGGAAGTCACGACGCAATCTTCTGATGGGGGCTCATATCACAGGCACCTAAGTAGTTAGCATTGCAGCATCAAAGGTGTCTCTTCAGCCACTTGCGCCTTCTGCATAAATGTGGATTGTAGCCATCGGCTTGGCTCACGTCCTAAGCCTGCGTCTCCAAAAAGTGACACAGGTCTTTCTGTTAATGCATTCATCTCCCAAACCCCCAGTCCAGAGTTCAATCTCCCAGACAGTAGCTGCAAGCACTTCCATCGAGTCACTTAGCTGGTTTTTCTTCTATTCTGTATACGTCTGAGGATGTACATGGCGCCTTCATACAATAGTAAACACTCCAAACCTAGCGCTTAAAAAAATAATACCAATAGCTATAGTTAAAATCCAATAGGTTTGTACTTATAACCTCAGCCTTACGACGCACAGACAAGGCTAAGGGGTACCGTCTTGATGGCGGCGTCAACTAGAACGCCGCCAAAGGGGTCATCCGGCGAGATTAGTAGACCTTAAAATAGTCGCTATATAAATGAATCCCACCGAGGGAATCCCAGCCAAAAACTCGGCCCTCCAAACACACACACACACACACGCAGGGAAGAAACGAGCGGCTGAACAGGAAGAGGAAGACAGTTGTACAGTGTAGAGGAAAAGCACAGTTTGGCCGAAGCCCCATCGAGTCACTTAGACGCAGATTTTGGACCCACAGACATTACCATCATGCACGGTACACTCACACTTTACCTCTTGGCCATGCTGCTGGGCCAGGGGTGCCTCATCCTTGGTGAGCTTATCTCCAAGAATGACTTGAGCGCCTTCCTTGCCAGCCGCGAAGATTTGTCGATATTCTTCGAACTCATCAAGGTAAGGCGTGAAGGCCCCTACAAATTTCGTCTCAGTGGCTTCAAAGTCCCCAACTTAGTCTAAATTTTGACAGACTTACCCGAGAGGCCTCGACGGGGTTCCCTCCATGGCGGCCACCTTCCTGATACCCGACAACCAAGCATTTGACAAGCTTACAGGCTGGAATTTCTACAACGAAACCCAAGCAATCGATACTATCCGATATCACATTTTCCCAGACATTGTGCCTGTCAGCACCACCCACACTGGTATTCCCGTGTTCGCCCGGACCCTGTGAGTAAAATTGCTCCCCATACTCGAATTCCCCATACTCGAATTCCCCATACTCGAATTCCCCATACTCGAATTCCCCATACTCGAATTCCCCATACTCGAATTCCCCATACTCGAATTCCCCATACTCGAATTCCCCATACTCGAATTCCCCATACTCGAATTCCCATACTCGAATTCCCCATACTTGAATTCCTTGCTTTGCGATGTTCCAAAGCGGCATACTTGAGGCTCTGTGACAAGATGGCTAACATGAATCAGCATGGACGGGGCGCGTGTCATTATCCATAGGCAGTCAGACGAGGAGGTGGTCTTCACCTCTGGAGCTGACAGACGCTCCACGCTTCTGAAGGGAGATATCAAGATTGCCGACGGGCTGATACAGATCATCGACACTGTGATGATGCCGCCTCCAGACTTGGAACAGATATGCAGCGAATATACACCACTCAGCGCTTTCCTGGGTGCGCTATACCGGACCAACCTGGCCGAGGAAATCATCACGTCCAAGGAAGTCACCATCTTCGCACCCAACGATGCAGCATTCCAGCGCACGGCTGGGGCCCTTTCCAACCTGTCGACACCGGAGCTCGCGGAAGTGTTAAAGTTCCATGTCGTGCCAGGCGCTGTGCTCTACAGCACCGACCTCCTCAACGACACTACTTTGACAACTCTAAATGGGGAGAAAATCACCGGTCCGTACCTGTATCCTTTGACGGACGCTTTTCTCTTCTGTTTAGCATACTCTTCATTGTATAACTTGGCTTCCAAGGCAATTTACTAACACCGGCTAGTGACCGTGGCGGGCAACAATCGATACGTTGTGTCTGGACAGATCGTGGACCCCGATATACTTCTCGGCTTTGGCGTAATTCATATGCTGGGTGATGTTTTAAACCCTGGACGGCCGGACGCTCACCCTGTACCCACCAACGCAAAGCAATCCCCTGCATTTGAGCTCTCAGGAAGCACATCGACGGGGAACAGGATTCCGGTCCCGTTCACGAGCGCCTTGCCGCGTCCGACCTACGAGGTCGAAGACGGTTGGCGCGCCAGGCCGACCCCGACCAATGGAGGTGCTGCAGCGCTTTCCCCCAGATTTACAGGTCTTGCGGATACACTGGGGTTTGGTATGCTCGGATTTGGGATGCTGGATGCGGTTGGTGTGCTATGAATTCTGAGAAAGTAAGATGGTCGGCAGGTCTCTATCACTCCCTCGAGTAGAGCTGTTCTGCTTGGTTCATGCACATGAGCGCGCAAGGTGCCACTGAAAGTTTGGAATAAGGTCTACATTGCAGCTCTTTTTGGGGTGCATAGTTGCTTCTAGTCTAATGCCTAGGTTTGGTGTTGCCTGATGATGTGATAATGAGAGAAATGCAGGGTGCTAGGCGTGAGCCAAAGTGTTCTTCAAAGCCAAACGGAGGATGTGTGAAGGAAAAATAAAGAAAAGAAAGAAATTGAAAACAGCCACCCATGTTTCTTGCAAACCTTGCCACACAGCATAATGCAAATTCGCCTCTCATCCCTCCCTCCATTGCTTGGAAATACAAGACGCCTTATCCTCTCCAAAACCTCCTCGGGACCGGTACATAGGAGAAGAGATTGAAAAACCAAATGCCGAAAAAAGTAAACAAAATAGCCATGAGCAAAAGAAGGCCTTCGGGAACGATGTATGCGAAAAGGAAAAGGAAGGAGACAGTGAGGCAAACGCTAGACCAAGTGATACATCCCAATATGCACTGCTTCCAAACAAAACAAGATATAACCCGGGACGGCCGCGCTCCAGTCAAGGGAGAGAGGCTTCCAGACCAGGTCATTCAGAAAACGGAACCAAATTTGTAACAGACAAATTTATCGTCGTGGGGTCGGAGGCGGAGTGGGATTTCCGGGAGGCGGGCGGACGGGCCCGGGGCGAGGGCGTGGCCGGGGACTGGGGGGCGGCTGGGGTCGCGGGAATGTGACGAAACCAGGCTCCCCGCCGAGCTTGCCCCCGTTCTCAGTAGTCGAGGCTCCCTGAGCCGGCCTGCGTGGTGTCGGCGGAGGGGTTGGCACTCCCGGTGGTGGACGGACGGGCCCGGGGCGAGGGCGCGGGCGCGGGCTGGGAGGCGGTTGAGGACGGGGAAACTTGATGATGGCTGGCCTCCCGCCGATGAGCACGCGGATTCCAAGTGCGTCGCTGTTGATCGACTTTGCCACGGAGGGTCTCTGCGCAGCATGGGCCGAGTTCTTGGCTTCGAGGCCGTTGACAGCCGGGAAGGTCTGGGTGCTCGGCGCCCTGAAGGTGTTACTGTGCATTCCCATCGTGACCAAATTCGCTCTTCAAGTTCAGGAGCAAGTTTTTGAGGTCTTTCTTGGCACGGTGTGGTCTTTTCTCTTTGGGGTACTGGTGATTTGGCTGGTTCTGTCTTTTCTCGAGTGAGGTGATGGATTCTTATATCTCAAAGGTCAACAAGTAAGAGACTGATGGACTGCTCGATGATGATCTGGCCATCTGCGATTCACCATGACCAGATCCCAAGCGCATCTTATATCCCAAGTCAACCGAGCAAAGACAGCCCCTAAACTGCTACCTAGCAATGCCATCCTGGTGTCTCTCAAATCTCGAGCATAGTCAACTCCTGAAGGGGGACTGTCCATGGTGACACTCTTGTCGCTGGCTCCGCCATCCCGGACGATGTAACTCGACTCCTAGGGCGACCGCACTGACAGCCATTTCGCAAGTCGAGATACCAGCACAGCCAAAACACGAATGTCAACCATCCGCACCGACGGGGTGACCATCCTGAAGGAATCAGAACGGATGACAAAGGGAACAGTGGAAGACATCTGGCAGTCTCACGCTCTTCCCCGCCACTGTGAAGCAAAACCTTCTTTTCAGAGCCGCCTAGCAGGATGAGGCCGTTGACGGGAGCCATTGTTGGGGGCTGGACATAGTGGAGGTGGATCCGACAGGCGAATCTGATGCCTGGTATACCGAGTTGACGGTTCCCTTGCGGGTGTCCTGGATGGGGCCAAGGGCGCTCGACTCTGGGGTGGTCCAAATGCAGAGCGGATGCTTCCTGGAGGGAGGGGGCTCTGCGTCTGTAGTGGGACTCCCGTGGGTGGACGGCGAGGTGCCATTTCAGGATGCAGCACTAACGTCGGCGAGGCTTAGAGGGGCTCAACCCAGAAACTCGCGCTTCTCCCTTATTCTGTTGCCTAAGGCCAGACCCTCGCCCACCCAGCAATCCGGGCGGCACGTGCCACGGACAGGGCCACGGACAGGGATCTTGAACTGCCGCGGTGCTGTGCAGCATGCTGTGCAGTGTGCAGTGTGCAGTATGCAGTGTGCTGTGCAATGTGCCCTGCCTGAGTCTGCCGCGTTGTGGAGAGCCGCTCATGGGGCCGAGGCGCGTCTCACGTCATTGCCAGGTTGGGTTGCCTGGCTTGAAGCATTCTGGTGCTCCTCGAAGTTGAGAGCAAGAGCATTGTCGACCCCCACGAGGTAGGTATTTGGAGATGACAGGAAGATGGCTGGACGGGAAAAACACTGCAACTACTTGGCCGTGCATGGGATCGTGGCAGAGCCGGGACTAAGCCGCGGCAGATGAGTCCCCCAAATCAACAAGGCATACCTCCCGCTGCCGGTGAGCATTCAACATGGGCGACTTTGGGTCCATCGCTGCGTTTCACGGGTGGTTGTCTGTGTGTGTGGCCGGCCGGCCGCTGGTCAACGTCGGATTACATCAACCAGGCAAGGCCGGCATGCCGGCATGCAAGCCAGCAGGCCGGTAGGCTCTGGGTAGGGCTCAGGTAGCGCAGTAGGGCTGAAGAGGGTGGGCCGGGCCTCTAATCGGGAGGCCAGCCGGCAGGAGAAAACCGTTCCTTCGGGAACAGGGTGGGGGCCATTAATCCAGGCGTCGTACATGAGCAGGAAGGCTTTGGGTGGCGTTGGGCAAGAGGATTTTACCCCTGGTCTAAAAAGAGCTGGCTTGTCGATCTGACAGGTTGCACAATCAGCGCCGGCGGCAGTCAACTAAATTGAGCTTGTTACGTCTGACTGCAGTGCCGGTGTTGCTGCCGCTTGGCCAAAACAGGACCAGAGGCGGGAGATGAGAGTAGTAACTGCGAGTGGTAGCAGGACTGGAAGGATTCCGAGACTCCAAGCATGATGGCATATCATCTCAAGAGCTGAAGTCGCAAGGCAGAACACCCTCGCCAAGTGGACCGATAGACCCACTTCAATCAAATCCCACGCCACCACAAAGTCTAGGGAACAACGAGGTTGTCCCGGAAGACAATGCCATTGGCCCCTGCTTCTGTAAATCGTACTGACATCAACTGCTTTTATCCGTGTCAGGCCAATGGTTGGAAAGGCGGGGCGGGGCCGGGGATTCAAAGGCTTCCCTCGTTCTTGCAGCTCTTTCGGAGATGCTATGCCTTTTCAAAACTGTCGCGATGGCGAAGCGACTCTTGCTGCCTGCCAGGCTGTCCGCTCGAGGGGGGGCTCGTAAGGACATTCCGCAGACGTCCAATGAACCAGTGTGATCAACTACGCCAGTTCAATAACGTAGCTGCAAAGAGGACGGTCTCGTGCTCTCTTCCACTTGCACGACCTTCTCCCGCCCCATCCCGAGCAGCAGCACAGCCATGGAGTACTCGCGAGGCAGATTGCAAATTCAACTAGTTTGCCATCTTGGGAGGCGTTGATAGCAAGGGCGGAGCTCCTGCTTATTGGTCGAGGGCAGGCAAATGATTGAGCACGGCAAACCCAGTCACTCCGGATCATTGCGCCTGGGGCGACTCCCCGCTCCGCTGTGACGGCCCCGATATAGCAGATAGCACCCAAGGATCAGCTGTCTATGCCCGCGGATCTTCAGTAGCTGTCATCTCTCGCAAACTCGGCGGAGCCAGGCAGCCCGTGGGCAACTAGCGCGGCCCAAGCCTCGGTTCCAAAGAAGGTGGCCTCCAACAGTCGGCCGCGGAGGCGAGAGCTGCGGATCTTGAGAGAGTACGTCGGTGCCTAGCACATTTCTCCTCATCGGGGACACGGAATGGGCAAGACCAACAGACCTGCAAGATGTGATCGAGTCGGAATTAGGAACTGGGGAACTTTTGTTTCTGATTGGTACTGAAGGTCTACACGCCTCAAAATAACCAGAGCTGTAATCCTCAGAGATTGTTTTCCATCTTCGGGTATCGATCGGCCCTTTGGCTCGTTCTCTTGCAATCGACCAGGCGCGGCACTTTCCCACGGCGACACCCGGAAACCTAAGGCTATCATCAGAAGGGCTCATCTCTCTCGGACGACCGAGCACCTCTGGTGGTCAGCAAGGCTGACGCACCTTACCTCATCACCATGTTTACCCGTCTTCCCTCAAAACTCAGCTGTTTCGATGAGCCACCCCACTTCGATTCCCAAAAAAATCGATCTTGAAACAGTCGTTCATAGCTGGACAAATCGGTTCGTCTCCTCCATCCAGCCCCTGGCACTCAGCGCGTCACCTCTAGAAAGCGGTGGTGCGCTGACTCAGGGAGCTTGACCCTGCCCCAAAGTCAAAGAAGGCGCACAATGTCCTGACAAGCTGGCCCACCGAAGGCTGTTCAGCGGTAAGTCCTGCGATCTCTGGACCGGCTTCTGCCGCCACGATAGCCACCCCCATGACTGTCGCGACTCGGGCTGCGACGGCGGTCATAGTCCTCCTCGTACCGTCCCCGGCCCCTTCGACCCTTGGGTGGTGGGGGTGTCCTGGATCTGCTACGCGAGTATGAGGGTGACCTCGCACGGTACTTCCCTCCCCTACCGGACGCAGCCGGTGACCTAGACCTCGAGGCTGAACGTGGTCGGTATGTGTCGGACGGAGGAGGCGGGCCTCCTCTTCCAAAGCGGCCTCCACCTCCACCACGCGGGCCACGCCCACGCATACCACCCATTCCTGGAGGGCCCCGAGGGCCTCTACCACCGCGTCCGGGAGGCGGCAGTCGGGGATCATAGTTGGCACCGTGAGTTGCAGTAGGAGGTGGGGGCGAAAACTTGCGACGTGGGAGGACTATCGACACGCTGATGGTGGCACCGTCGAGCTGGGCCTCGTGCATGTGAGCAATGGCCGCTTCAGCATCGGCTTCGTTGACGTAGAGTATGTATGCGGCGCCTCGGTTTGTACCGACTGTGTTGGTGCTGGAGTGGTTAGCATTTGCGTGCGATGAAGACCAGCGGTGGATGGGGCGGCCCGTACACTGTCGGCTCAGGGGCACGTCCATGTCGTCAATTGGACCGTACTGTCCAAAGATCTCGCGCAGGTGCTCCTCGGTAACATTCTTTGTCAAGCGCTCGACAACAATCTGCTCTGGGGGTTAGCAAGACGAGTGCCCGCGGGGCAAGCCATGTCACCGACCTTTGTGCTCTTCAGGGGGCTCTCGCTGCGGCTGCGGCTGCGGCTGCGGCCGCGACTGAGGCTGCGGGCCCTGTCATCTCTGCTCCGACTCCGAGTGTAGCTCCGACTCCGGCTGTCTCTGGCTCTGCCGTTGCGACGGTTTGGGGGGGAACGAGAGTCTCGAGATGGTGAGCGGCGTCGCGAGGGAGAGCGGGATCTGGATCTGGATCGCGAGTTGTAGGAGCGACCGCGACTTGGCGACCGGTCATGGTCTGGCGACCTTGATCGCGACGGCATGCTGAGAGACGGTTGGGTCGAACGCTGATTTGGCAGTCCCAAGAAGACCTGGAAAGAGTTGAAGACGTGTGACGCTTGAGGTACTGCGATGGAAGGCGCAAATGTAGTTAGGCGACTTGCGCATCAGGAGCGCATTGCCGTCGCCCTTGGGAAGCAGCCGTTTTTGGCGACTTGGTCCGAGCTTCCTGCACCAATCCTAGCACTCAGCACAACAGTCCACTAGAAACGTCACTCCGTTATAGCCTGGACCGTTTGCTTAGGTCCGGAACGAGGTCACTGCATGGATGAGCCTGTCTGTGATTGAAGGCAGGCTTATGAGCTATTCACGGTTGATACCATAGTACTTTTGCTCCTAGCCAAGTATTCCACTTATCTGCGTCCAAGACAAAGACTCCCTCGGCCTGTTAACGAGCAGCTCGTGGCCACCGCGGGTTTCTGATTGTCGCACACAGTTGCAGGCAGCAGGCAGCAGGCAGCAAGAGGGAACCGCACAAGCATCCGAAGCCCTTACCCCATCTTGTTTCCAGAATGATGATGGCAACTGCAGGATCTGATGGGGATGTGGTTTAATAATTCCCACGCGTCTGCCACATTCGCCGGAATCGGAGTAGGAACAAAGGCTCTCTAACCCCCTCCTGTTCACAATCCCGACACGTCCTTGTTCGTGAATTTGATAGTGTTTGGTCTGAAAATCCGCCTACCACATTGACCGGGAGACGAAGATTTAGGCTATGATCCACTCCATCACTGCAAACTGCAGCTCTCAGTTTCCTGCCCTTCAGCCATCGTACTGGGCCCGGGGCTCTGGTCCAGGATTGTCATCTACACGAGTGCCAGAATGGCATCCCTGTACCTAAGTAACCAACCAATTGGTCATATGTACAATGGGCCGCGGCTCCCATTTCACGTTGGGGGCTGCTGTTACACCGTCTCACCGAGATACTCGTGTCACACGTAGGATGGGTCCATTGGTCGGGTGGTATAACTTGATCTGGCGCTTGTCCCAAATCTGAGTGGGCAGCGAAGCACTGTTGCATTTGGTGTCTCCGTACATACTTGCTCAGACTCTAAAATTTTGAAGCCGGCACAGAGCTACACCTGCAGGGTGGCCTGGTTGACTGTGGAGGCAGAGCGTGTTTTGGTCGAGGTCAGTGCGGTGGTGGATGCCTCTTTGATGGTTCTTTTCTCCGTGTATAGTCTTGGCTGTGCTCCTTTCTCTGTCCTGTGGACAGGTTGACAGATAACTGCCACTCAATCAATACCTGCCCAGGTGGGTACACAATCGCGCTCCGGTCAATGTCCAACCTCGCTTCGTCACGTTGGACGGCATTGCTGCAAATTGCAATGTACGCTGGTAAACGCCCGTGAAACAAATGTCATCCAACAAACTTTCCTATGCCCAAAATTCCCAAGATTCAGTGGGGCAGGCGGCTTCTTGCACCGCTCACATTCCCTTCGCCATGTGATTGCAGCAACCATGAGCCTGCCCATATCTATCCTGAAGCCCAAAACTGAATTTGGTCTCGTCATGGATCAGAAGTGATCCGATGCAACATATCCCCAGTCAGCTATCTTTGTAGGAGCTGGCACGGTCCAGAGATGGCCCCTCCTCCTGCTGCCGCTCCCGTGTTCTCCAGGATGAATCATAGTAACCTCATGTTCAATCTTTGTAGTTCTTGTTGATAGCTGGTGATTTCTTTCTTGTCGCAGACATGGCACATATGTTCCCTATGGTAAAGCATAGGCTTCTTCTATCAGTGACGAACTGTTCTAGGTATGAGTTGTGTTACTCTGGTGGGAATGCGTGATTTCTGGCTACAAGCACTTGAGCAAGACAAAAAATCTCATAGGATGCTAGTGCACCCGCCCTCGTCTCCCTCTTAGCTGATTAGGTTGCACAGTAATGTGACCGCTGGAGAGGAGTGACAACGATGTGGGAAAATCAACGACCAGAGGGCCAACTCACAGGGTCGATCTTCTGGGTAGGGCCTGCCACGAAGAAAGCTCCCAACCTTGTTTTAATAGGCATGTAATCTGGACTTTCTTTTGGTTCAGTATCAGCCTTCTTCTTCACAGCCAGCATCAGTAACGATACCAATGCCAACACCACACACCTCTTCCCAGCTACTATTTGCCTGCTCGTACACTCTGTTTGAGCCCATTTGACGTGTCTTTGGAAGTTTCCCTCCTATTCTGGTTCTCCCCTACTTGGACACTCTCACTCCCTCGCTCCCTCGCTCCCTGGTCAGTCGTGCCTCCTTCAAAACAAGCTACCTAGGTACCTAGGTTCCCAAGTACCTGCGTACCTCGCCTGTGGGCCTGGTTTGCTACCTAGGTACTTAAGTAGAGACGGACTTGGTAGGCATTCTTGTGTCAGGGTAAACAATGCCTTCCTGCAAGTCGACTTGACGTTGGAGCATTATCCTCTCAGTTCTCACTCTCTTTGCCTTCGCGATTTCCAGTACCATCTCACATCTTCCCATTCGCTCAATCGCTCACGATCTCGAATTTTGTCCCACCACTTGCCCCATCCTGACCTTGGTTGGCACTTGCGATCGGCAAGGATGCGAGCCTGGACTTGCGCGCTTCTTGGAGCCTCCCTCTTGGGAGCTGTGTCCGCGTACTGGATGGAGAACATCACTCATCAGGGCTTGGCCTCCTTCAACCCCGACCCAAACTACCGTGTTTTTCGAAACGTCAAAGACTACGGTGCGATCGGCGATGGCGTGACCGATGATACTGCGGCCATCAATGCCGCCATCAGCGATGGCGACCGCTGCGAGTTCTATGGCCAATGTCACGGCGCGACGACCACTCCCGCCCTTGTTTACTTCCCTGCTGGGTTTGTGATGCCTCTTCACACTGTGTTCTTCCATGGCCATTTGTTGATTGACTTTGCAGGACTTACAAGGTGTCGTCTTCCATCATGCAAACCTACTACACTCAACTGGTCGGCGATCCCACTGCAATGCCCATCATAAAGGCATCTGCAGACATGGCCACTACCGGGGGGTCCAAAGTGGTCATTGAAACCGACATATGGACTGGCAATGGTGCTTCCTATCTACCTACCAATGTTTTCTTTCGCCAGATCCGGAACTTGGTCATTGATACTACCTCCGTTCCCAACAACACCTGGGGCATTCATTGGCCATCGTCTCAAGCGACCTCCATTCAGAACGTTGTTTTTCAAATGCCGCAGACACCCGACAGCGGCCATACAGGGATCTACATGGAGGAGGGCAGTGGCGGCCTTCTAGCCGATCTTGTCTTCTACGGGGGTCAATGGGGTGCTATATTTGGCAACCAACAGTACATGACACGCAATTTGACGTTTGTCAATTGCCAGACCGCCATCCAGCAGCTTTGGAACTGGTCCTGGGTATACAAGGACATCGTTGTCAAGGACTGTGGCGTCGGCATTAACGTGACCGGTGCTATGGTTGGCTCCGCTGCCATCGTGGATGGCCTTTTCTACAACGTATCCACCGCGATCCTCAGCGGGCGAAGCATCCGAAGCCCCGGAGAAGCACCTGGCGAGGGAACACTGGTCTTGGAGAATGTCATCTTCGAAAAGGTCAACTTTATCTTCCAAGGGACCGACAGCAGCTTGGTCGAGCCCCAAGGCAGTAATGGAGCATTGATCACCGGCATGATTCTTGTGGGTGTCCTTTCCCTGCTCTTCGACAATTTTCTAACCGAAGGGCCACCAGGGAAACGTTTATATTCCCTACGGGCCTGAGTTTGTGTTTTCGGGCCCAAACGACTGGTTCCCTGCTCCTGAGATCCTCAAGGAGCGCAACAGGTACTATACACGGTCTAAGCCGCTGTACGAAGACAAACCCACCGAAATGTTCGCCTCGGCTCGTAGCTTTGGTGCCAAAGGTGATGGTATTACAGACGATACGGCCGCTCTCACTTCTTTCTTCGAATACGTCTCCCAGGGATTCGAAAACGGCCGTGTTGGTTTTGTCGATGCAGGCTACTACAAGGTCACCGACACAATTTACATCCCGCCGGACATACGAATAGTGGGCGAGGGTCTGGCCTCGGTAATCATGGGGTCCGGTGCCAACTTTTCAAGCAAAGATGACCCACGTCCTGTTGTGAAGGTCGGAGCACCTGGAGAATCAGGATACATCGAATGGAGTGACATGATCGTCTCGACCCAGGGCGCAACCTCTGGCGCTATCCTAATCGAATACAATTTGTCGGGTTGTTCTGGCTGCCCAGAGCCAGCTGGCATGTGGGATGTTCATGTACGCGTGGGCGGCTTTGCTGGTTCGCAGCTTCAAAGCTCAGATTGCCCGAAGACACCAGACCAGGCGAGTTCCATCAACCCGAATTGCATTGCCGCGTATCTGGGCATGCATATCACGGCCCTGGCCAACGACTTATACATGGAAAACAACTGGATCTGGGTCGCTGAGTGAGTATCATCCTGCCTCTGCCCCTGAGGACTCACAGGCCGTGCAATGTGAACGCTGCTGACAGCCTGCAGCCATGACATTGAGGATGCTGCCAGCACTCAGATCTCGGTCTATGGCGGTCGTGGCCTCCTTATCGAGTCCAACGCTGGTCGCATCTGGACCGTGGCGTCAGGCGTCGAGCACTGGACCCTCTACCAGTACCAGCTCATCAACACCCAGAACATCTGGATGGGACAGATTCAGACAGAGACACCCTACTACCAACCCAACCCGCCCGCACCGTCCCCTTTTGATGACATCGATACAACCCTGAGCGACCCGGACTTCGCATCCGATTGTGCCGCTTTGAATGGGGGCTACATCAACGGTTCTAGCATTATTGCTCCATGCGAGATGGCCTGGGGCTTACGCATCATCAATAGCAAAAACGTCCTTGTCTATGGCGCTGGCCTCTACAGCTTCTTTAACAACTACAGCACCCTGTGTGGCTTCGGGCCGAGGAACTCGCAGGCAAAATGTCAGTCCAGGATGGTGTGGATTGAGGACGGTTCTGGTGGCTCAGAAAATGTTGTCATCTACGACATTTACACAATCGGCGCCATTAGCATGGTCACAAGCAACGGCAATGATGCCGTCTTGTCTTCTGATAATTGGAACAATTTCGGAGAGTCGATCACCCTGTTCAAGACATAATCGCATCGATTCTACAAGCACCTCGACTTGAACGATAGTTTGGAACCATCTCCGGTAACCTCGAGGTCGTCAGGTCTGGCGCCAGAGGACTCTCAGCTGATGCTTATATAACTCATAAAGCAATTGGCGCGCTATGAGGAGGATTTTGTTAGGAAAGTGTAGAATTGTTGGTCCGCTGAGACGAATTCGGCGGGGTTCTCTACATGAATGCTGGGCAAGATTCAACTTGAGAGAAATTCTTTTGGTTCTCACTGAATTTTCTCTTGAAATTTTGAAAGTTGGGTCAAAGATCATCGGTCACTGGGGTCAGGGACGTCCGTTACTAAAAAGGTAGTGAGTATAGAAGTGACTCCCTTATTGGGGACCATGGTCTACACCTGCTGATTCACCCACTGTTTACCTTGGCCTGAGACACAACAGTGAGATAGCAGTCAGTGAAAGACATGTGGTTTGGGCCATGAGAGATTCCTGTAGATAACACCCACGGATCCACAATGAGCATCCAAGACGACTGCTCGTCTGGGTGGGAAGGCACAGCATCGAGTCCGGCTGCTTCCAAAGCCTCTTCTAAACACGTTCAGAAACAGGCATTGTGTGATTTAAACCCTTAAGGAAAGCTCGTCCGTAGTGCAGGCGCGATTGGCGCTCCCGAAAGCCCTTTGTTTTCTCACTCTGTGTCTCTCTTCCTCTCCCCGAGGCGATGGTGCATTTGAGGTACAAGTTCTGACGGGGCTGGCTGGGCGTGTGGGCCGCTCTGGAGCGGGCAGGCCTCCGTAAATAAAGCAGCCGTCTTAGAACAAGGGTCTATGTCGAGATGCGGCTTTATTCTATTCTCAATTCCTACCCTTTGCACGGCATATACTAGAGAGAGCAGCAGGTCAACCTACAGGGTGCAACATCCGGTGGCACAGTGGACTCAGCAGACCGTGGAGGTCTAATTAGGCTCGCAATATAAGCTCATTGCTCTAGTTGATCATTTTGTGGGTCCTCGGTGGGTCGACGGGTCATGTTGAATCAGGGCTGTGCTGAGCGTCCAAAACCTGATGGGGGATGGTGGGGGGGGGGTTAATAAACGACTTGTAAAGAACACACGTAGAAATGCTGCAGATAATGCGGCACATGAGACCAGACAACACGATGCCTTCTTTTCGGCAGGCTTGCTAGCAAGGTTGGTGAGGCCCAAGTTTTCATGCTCGAGGACGAGGCACAGTGTGAGGAGGTGCTTGAGCTTCTTTTATGGGCTCGTGTAAGTGCAGTGCCAAAGAACACTCACTCATTGACTTGGCTTTCCGTGATGAAGCAAAAATCACTGGGCAAAGCAGTCAGGTCATCGGTAAAGTGTGGTGTATTCAAGTCATCAAGATATAAACGTGGTGTTCCAATGAAGTCATTAGATGTCCCTCAACCAGGTCTCGCAAGACGGCCCGCGGCGAGACCTCCCAGGAGGGGTCTCAGCCGCTGGCGTCCGCTGTCCCCCAGACCATTTCCCCACAAGTGAAACAGAAGAGCGGGTGGGTATCAACAATCAAGTCCGCCTCATGCCCTCTAGTAAAGGCGCGGAAATTTCAGTTTGTAAATCTCAAGTTGGTTTTGTTATAAGAAAGGAAGATAAAGACAAAATTGGTTCGCAAAAAGCCGTCACCGCTGTCATCTGAGGACAGCGGTGTAAAAGCCCAATACATCGTGGCTCATTTGAAACATCATCAAAGACAGCAAGTCCACCAAGCTGAGTTGTTATATGGGTGAATAAGTTGCGAGGCTGCTAGGGACCCGAGAGTTGTCGGGCCAGCAAGCAGCGAGATCATTCGCCATCTCATGAAGGTGTGCCCTGGGGTTTGATGATCCCGGAAGGACCCAGGGAGGGCACATCCTGGCCGATTTCTTTCGAGACGCAATCGATGCGCTCGTGGTACAGGCCAACAAATGAGTGGTGAGCCGAGGGCGTGTACATTTCGGAGCCTCGCTGGGAGGGTGAAGAGAAGTAGTCGAGTCCGTGAGAAGCTTTTTGGGAAGATGCCACCGCCTAATCGCCAAGCCGCCAAACTCTCAACTCCGGTGATGCAAAATGCTTTTTTCGTAGTGTCGGCGATGCCATGGGATATTTGGTTTGAATGCCGGAATCCGATGCAGCCAGGCGCTCAGCGTCTGCGCAACGTCGTGGTCGTTTACCACCAGTCGTTGATTCGATTCGCTCAGTGGGTGTTTCTGAACTGCTGCTGCTTGGTACCGACAAAGGGAATGGCGAGAGGTGATGTTCGCATCGAAGAGTTCGAGTTGACAGTGGGGGTTGAGAAATCAAGTTGAAAATGTGTCTCGTAGAGACATGTGCCAAAAGGAGCAGGGAAGCGCATCAAGCTGTTCGGGTGCTGTGCTTGTCCTTACATCAACGCAACGACAAGCATGCCCGCCACGCCAGCAATAGCCACATGAGAGGAACCGAGTGAAGCGGCACCGTTGCCAAGCCCGTTGACGCCTGGGGTCTCTGAGGATGTGGAGGACGTCGCCGTCGCCCTGCTGGACGAACGAGTGGCACTGGTTGGAGTCTCGGTGCTTGAACTGTCCGTAGCGGTCATGGTCACGGTGTTGCTGGCCAGGGTGACGGTCTTTGTCATTGTCGAAGTTTGGGTGAGGGTTGTCGTGCCCGAAGTGGTGTCCTGGGCCAAGGCGATGAGCGGCAGGAGAGCTGCCGACAAGATGCTGGTCAACTGCATGGTGACGGGTTTGAGTCGCACTGATTCGCGAATGAATCCACGGTGAAGAGAGGGTGGCGTCGTCGCGTTGGGCGGGCAAGAGCCGGGTGAAGATGGCCTTTAGCGTTCGTCCTGCGCTGCTGGGCGGTGTGGGCCAGGAAAGGAGGGTGGTTGTTGATTTGGCGTGCTTTTGATGAAGATATGCGTGCCTCGTTGTCTCGGGGCTGAAGCTGTGCGGTCTCGGCTTGCGATGGACGATTCGGTTTTCCGGAAAACGAATGGATCGAGTTCTGGATTGGGAAGAGGGGCGCAACAAGGTTGGCGAAGTGGTTTTATGCAACAGAGAAGGCAAGTGAGTGTGTTGTCGAGTGCCGAGGTGGGCTGTCTGGGTGTGGGCGAGCCTGGTTCTATCTCAAACACTGGTATCGCAAACACGGGGTAAGCAGACTTTGCCAACGAAGTCCGTGGGTGAGGGAATATAGCAGCGGTGGGTTTTCTGGGGAGAAGGAGAGAGAGAGTCAAGAGACGAGGGAAAAGACCAGGGGAGTCTGGGTGACACACGGACGAAATTAAAAAGAGTGAGGCAAGCCCAGGACGTTGGGACGAAAAACAAGGTACCCCCGTACCTGGTCTTCCCGTTGTCTGGGAGGAAGCTCTAGCGCTGGGCACACCAATTGGCAGGCAGGAGGAGGAGGAGGCACAACGGCAACCGCCAAGACGCGTGGGCCTCTGGGTCAATGGCCACCTGGGGCTGCTGGGCTGTCCTCGGGCTGTCCCAAAGGGCTCGCGGCACACAAGGTCCTAGGTACCGGGCGGATCGTCTTTGTGGCGCCAAGGGCGAAGGTATTGTGGACGTGCATGATCCCACGCGCGCCAGCACGACGGGAAATTACAGGTACATTTTCCCAGGTTCCGCGGTCGAAGGTGCCGCGCAGATAGTTTCGCCATCTTGTGCCTTGTGCCCTGTCCTTCCTGTGCCGGCCATGCCCAGGCAGCCCGTGATGTGCCTCTGGCCTGTGGTGTATGAATGATTCTGTTGTAGGTTGCTGCGACTGCAACTACAACTGTTGTATGTGTGTGTGTGTTTGTGTTTGCGTTTGCGTCTGCGCCTGCGTCTTTGCCATCCACGCTAGACGGCCAGGAATCTATCTACCTAGGTACCTAGGTACACGGCGGGTAGGTACTTAGGTACCCAGGGTTCTAAACGCCCGGTGGGCGGCAACCCAACTCCATTGTCAGCTGCCTCGGGTGTCATTGTCATTTGCCCGTGGCTAATTTTGACAATTTTGATAATTTTGATCACCGTCAGCCGTTTCTACTTTTGCTTCTTTGTGGTCGCAGAGCTGGCCAACAATGGTCGGCGAGCCCCGCAGGCCTGGGCTGGCTGGCTGAGAGGGAGGGCGAGGGCAGAGGGCTGGAGAGTGGAATTGCACTTTTCTGCACGAGGTCCGCCGAATTGCATCTCTGTTCCTGCATCTGTAATTTCCTGTTCCTGGCTATGCCCAAACTGGAGCAGCCTTGTCCCGGTCGGGCCTAGCCCTCGCTCCTCCGCACGGACTTGTGGAGGTGAGCAGTGACGCGATGGCAGGCTGTCAGCCGAAACGGGAGAGGGCGAGGAGGGAAAGAGGAAAGGAAGGAGGAGTCAGTGGGGCAGTTTTTGATTTTCTCGGTCGCCCAGCTCCCCGACAAAGTGGCTCCCGGACAGCCAGACCACGCGGGCTGGAGGGATGGCCCAACTATTGAACCTGGCAGGCTGGCAGGCCTCGGGTGCGCTCCAGCTTCCAGCCCTGGGTCCTGTGGAGAGACACGGCAGACCACAAGACGCACGCCTCGGGAACAGCCCGTGGCCACACGTGCTGACCGCCAGATGGGCACTCGTCGCCAGAGGACTGTACTGCATACCTAGGTACCTAGGTAGTAAGAATGATGATGGCTGAATAAATGCACGCAGTATATATGTACTATTACTGTGTATGGCGTTTGGGGCTGAGCAGCAGGCAAACCCTGAGACTCGCCTGGTCGGCTCAGCCCGATCGCCCTCGATCACTCACCTGGGCATGGATTTGTCTGGGGAAACCACCCCAGCAAAGCAACCAGGTCATGGTTCTTTCAACCGTTGTCAAGTGCTGATCACACCCCCCCCCCTGGCCGGCCACGTCCCATATTATAAACGAGTCAAGCCTTTCCCCAACCAACCCTCTCCTGCTGTATGTGCTCTGCCCGTGCATGGCCAGAACGAACTGAGTACTACAGTAAATGACAATAAATGTATCCTCTCGGCACTTCCTCTGGGCTGCAGGACCCGTGGCCTGCAGCAAAACATGCACACATCGTGCGATGCTGTGCGATGCTGTGCGATGCTGTGCAACTGCCCAAGTACACAGTAGGAGTCAAGGACATAGGAGGCAAGCCCACCCGCCCACCCGCCGTCCAGGGGCTGTCCAACCCCGTTGGCCAGTTTCACGACGCCGGACACAGACACCATCGCCGCCCAGAGCTACCTTCTAGGTACCCCGTACTTGCTTACTTAAGTGCTTCGGGACTGCGTCGGTTGATGATAATTCATCAGCCCAGCCTCGGGTGCCAGAGATGAGATCCTGGCCACCGCTGACATACATCAAACAGGTCAATCTCATCTCAATTAACATGTTGCCCTCTGCCCTCTGCATCCCTCCTCCCACGCTGGACCCTCGCACCACGCAGACAGCAGACCTGCCAGGCAAATTTTCCCGCCGCGCCTCGCACTGACGCCTTGCGTTTATCCCCTTCCCCTGGTGGCACCAACGCCAAGCGCGTGAGACCAAAGTTTTGTTTCTCAACACCACTCACGCATTACATGCCCAAGTGCTTGTTTCCCACGGGTGGTTCGTGCAGGGTCCATTTATCTGCGACTGTCGGTTTGCTTGTTCGCCAACGGCCGCGACTTGTTTCCGCTCTGTTCTTTAGTATCTAGCAAGCCCAACCGTTGCCCTCCACGTCTTGTTACCTAGTGCCTGAGCCGCCTTGACAATACTAATCAATCGTGCTGCATGCATTCTGCGGCAAGGAAACACGCAGAGGAACTCGCCGCACCTCTACACAGTACGACAGGAACCCGGACGGCGATGGCCGCACCCCGCCCGTCCCCCCGCCCTGACTCCCTGCTCGTGAGAGCAACATCTCCCGAGTTGTGCTTGTTGGGTCCCTGAGGCCTTGGCAGCTTGGAGGTCGGCCGCTCGGACAGTACGGAGCATGGTCCACTTGTTCCGCAGCGCTCCATCCAACGAGCAGTCCACCCAAGCAATTGAACGTGCGGCTTGTCCATTCCTGGAATGAATCGACACATATGCCTTACTTAGTAGTAGCAGTCCACAAAGAGAGCACACAGCAAGCAATATTGATAAGTCATGCCGTCGAGGTTCACCGTTAATGCCGAACCCGCTCAAATAACCAGATGCTGGTAGTGGTGTGTCTTCGTTGTACTGGAGACGCACCATCCAGAAGCAATCCCCTTGCCGCGGCGAACAATATGAATGCCTGGGCACGATGTTTCTTGAGCCACTCATCTTCAGCTTCCCAATTACCTAGGTAGGGAGGCAGGTCGTACCGCTCATAGGAGTGCATATCACTTCTGCAAGCCTGGACGTTATTCGTTCCGTCATGCAGGGTATGTTCGAGGACGAAGCGACGCTCTGTGTACCGCTAAATTGGATATCCTGCAGTATTTGTTGTTCATACTAGAATGTGAGACAGAAGACATGGCCTGGCAAAGCTGATTGCGTCTGCCTTCATATGAGCAAGGTATAACATCCCGTCTTTTGGTGACCAGAAGGCCGCCAAACCGTGTCTTGGTGGGCATAAGGGATGGTTCCTCTAAAACTGACTTACAACCTTGGATTCGAAGTAAATGGTAGCCTTTTAGTATAGACCATCTTTTGGTCATTTAATAATTTCTCTATGGTCAGATAAGACTCGTAAAACGGACGGTCATTAAGAGGGAAAATGGTTGTAGAGAAGTCTTTATACCTTCCCCTATATGAAAGGAGGACTTCTTCCCCTTCCTTCCTTCCTTCCTCCTTAAAGTCAGAATTAACTACGTCTAGAGATTCAGATCCAGCTTTAGAAAGAGACCTCAAGCTTAGTATTCAGATAAATAGAACCACGAGAAGCCAAGTACATAAAAAGCCCTAGTAGGAAGGGAAGAAAGGAATTCTCCCTTAACTAGCCGGCATCCTACAGTAGGAGACTAACCCCTAAGGATTTAGGAGAGGGTCTCTTAGAAGGAAGGAGCCTCCTAAGCAAGTCCATATCCACTCCTACAATATCTTCTTCTTTTTTTAAGTAATTTCGCCTCTGTTCCGTATATGTCCGAGGACATACATAGCGCCTTCATACGGTGTTTCTTTTTTTTCTTTTTTTTAAGCAACTATTTTCAGCCTTCATATTCTAGTTAGAGTCTTAGAGATTTTATTTAGGTGTAGTAATATATACTATCTTAATTGTCTAATCTAGAGAGAAAATAGTAGTACATTTAAGACCTTAAAGTCAGCCGTTACGCAGCAAAATAGAATAAAGTATATTCATAGGGACCTCCTCTACGGCGCACCCAGGCACGCACGGTATGGCGAAAAGGATTCATATGTTGGAGAGCAGATTTTGGTGACAATGCCTTCCTCAAGACGACCGGAAAAGTACACGCCATGGCTCATTTTGAAGCTAACTAGGTACCTTGGTAGCAACGACTTGAATTCTTCTTTTCTTCCAATCACTGCTGATTTAGTGGCATATAGCTATCTTGGTTCGAAGGGAACATGTTTGCTGTCCCTATGGTCTGCCTTGCGAGCTTATATAATATTAAACGGCGTTCTAGTCAACACTATCATCAAGACGGTACCCCTTAGCCTTATCTATGCATCATAAGGCTAAGGTTATACACACCTATCGTATCATGACTATTACTATTAACATTATGTCCTTTTAAGTACTAGGTCTTGAGCGCTTTCCACTATATATATGTCCTCTGACGTATACGGAATAGAAGCGAAACTACCTATGATATTAAAGGAACGCAAGCACCCAGGGGCAGGGGCAAAGTCACTGTGAAAATGCGCGCAAGCTATGTCTTATTCCGCATGTACATGCTCGCTGAATAGTTATAGCACCTTGTTGGCTGTCAATGTTGTTTGAGGATTTTGGTTTACGTCCTAAATATGGATATGCGTCTTCCTGACAGCCTTTCCGTCCCGGTACGCGTCCAAGACCTCGTTCACATTCTCGGCGGTCAGGCCCTGCTTGACAACAAAGGCGGTCGGCTTGATCTTTCCCTCCTGGAGGAACCCGGGGAGGCGCTCCCAAAATCCCCCAGCCAGCTCGGGATTGGCCTGCGAGCTGCCAAACGTGTCCCGCACCTCGAAGCCGGCTGTTTTGCCCACGACCTTGCTCTCATCAACGGGCCCTAGAGGCAGCAACCTCGCAAGTGCCCCTCTCTTGGTGCTGGAAAGGGCGTTGAGCGCGACGACCTGGTCCTCGGGAGGGCTGACTGCATCATAGGCATAGACGAGATCGTCTCCAACAACTTTACCGATTCTGGCCAGTACTGCATCGTGGCCTCCGTGGCGGTCGAGCACGTGCGTCGCACCAAGGCCCTTGAGCTCAGCCTCGTTGCCGCCCACGACGACGATCCTGCCGATCCCCGCGAGCTTCGCCAGCTGGACCCCAAACCGCCCACAGTTGGAGCCGCCGCCCACCACCAGGAGCGTCGTGCCCTTGTAATCGAACCCCTTGGCCTCAGCCGTCCACGGCGCTGGGATCTTCAGGACGCCGAATAGGGCGACCAGTGGCGCGATGATGTTGGTGGGCAGCGTGGCCGCCTCATCATCAGACGTCCCCTCCGGCACCTTGGAAAAGGCGCCAACGTCGGCGACTGCAAACTCCTGCAGGCCGTTCTGCGTGGACCCTGGCGCGAAGCCCGGCTGTGTGACGACCCTATCGCCGACCGCGACGCCGCTCGCGCCCTCGCCGAGCTTCGTCACCGTACCGACGACATCGTTGGTCAGAATGGCAGGCAGGCTTTCGGATATAAAGAGACCGTGGTCTCGGGCCTTTTGGTCGTGAGGGTTGATGCCTGCTACTTTGACCTTGAGCTGGATCTGTTTGAGACCGGGCTCTGGGATGGGCTTGTCGTGGACCAGTTCGACAGGCTTGCTGATCTCTGTTACAATGAGAGCTTTTTGCACATGAGACATTGTATATGGCTTTATTTTTCTCTGTACCCTTCTTCTGCTTGGAGTGTGTTTGTGTGGATGCTTGAATTGTTGATGAGATGAGCTGATAAATGCCGGATTTGCGCCTATGGAGTTTATTTGAGAAGCTTTATAGGCTTTGTGCTACTGATGATGTGATTGATGGCGTCTCAATATTATTAATCGGCAATTTCACATAGTAGTTTGGGTTCACTAAGTGAGCGTGGATGAAGGCATGCTGGCTGACGACGACTGCTGAATAATGGCGACATTTCTTCAGCGTTGCCCGAGGCAAAGACATACCCAGATACAGGTGTACACTCGTTGATGACAGGGTGTGAGCATCAATCACTAATAACAAACACCACATGTAATTGTCCTCAAGTCCGGTCGCTGACAAAGCAGCATCGGGGTAAAGTCCGCTACCATCTACAATGACCACAGGAAGTCATGCAGGGACAGGCCTTGGGAATAGACAGACCCCTGCAAAACATTTACAACACTGGACACAGATATGAGCAGGGCGGGTTGTTCCGGCAGTCATCGCTTCTATACTTAGGGTTCAGGCTGTTTATGAGGACAAAAGCATGTTCTTGTATTGACTTTCACTTACGCATTTCGACCGAAAGATACCAACAATGAATGCCCTACCCAGACCCCAATGCAGTTCTATTAAGCTTGGCGGTAAACAGACTGGAAATCAAGGTCTCTCATTTCACTCATTGCATGCCCCATTTGGCCCTTTTCATAACCCTCCAGGCAAAACCTGGCCCTGCCTTGAGAGCCAAAAGTTGTACATCAAGAGAAATTGCTGCAGTCGCTTCGCCACGGAGAATGAAAGACGAAGAAGAAGGATGGCCAGACACTCGTACGACTCGAGCAAGATTGACCACGATGTGCCACACAAAGGTCTACTTCAATGTCTTCCGTTGCTGAGCCGCTCGAGGGGCTGGTGTGTAATGAACCGAATGCCATGCTGTTACTCAGTAATACAGGCTGAACGACAGGTCGAATGACCCAGTCCGCAAACAGCAGCCGAAGTATTGATTATCTGTAGCGGTGAGGCCACCCGTAAGCCACCAGGTAAACAAAGAAAAGCTGTGATAGTCGTTTTGCGTCGTAAATGGTATGAAGGGTATATGGAACGGAGAACGTGTTTGGTATGCAACACAAATTCCACGGTTGGACATCGCACGCCGGTCTCACCGGTCAATGCGAGGCTGTGGCTGCCACCCATTGATGTAAGCCATCAGGCCCATGCCTAACAGCACGACACCCATCATCGAGGCATATGGGATAGAGTCCAAGAGGGCCTGGTCCGAGACGGCGCGTTTCGACGGCGACCTTGGCGTAGGTGTGATGGTGTTCGCCCTGGACAGCGTGGGCTTGTCGTCCAGAGCGTCTTCGTCAGTGCTAGGCAGAGACGTGGCTTCCCCGTCGCCACGGTTTGCGACGGATCGGCCCCTGCTCGGCTCTCTGGCTGTGACGGTCGCGCTTCGATCCCTGCCGTTTGACCTCGATCGCGTCCGGGCCCGAGCTGCGGCCTTCAAAGCTGCAGCCTCCTCGTCCCGCTGGCGGATCTGTTGGACCATCTCAGCCAGTGTCTTGCGGTCCGCATCCCGTTCCGAGGTGGCCTGCTCTGCCTGCTTCTTGTAGTTGTCGACCTGCTCTCGCAGCCCTTTCATCTCTGACAGCATGTTGTCTATCTGTGACTGCAGTGAGTCTGTCCTGTCCTCACCGGCCTCACGTTGTGTTGTCTTCTGTATTTCTTCGGTCTGCGCATTGCCCTCACCCGACCGCTCTGAAGGGGGCTCGAACGCCTCCGCCAATGTTGGGTCCTCTATTTGTGGCTTTGATAACCCGTTCATGCGCGAGTGAGCATCATCTTCCAGCCGCTTTGCGAGTTCTTCTGCTGCCTCGCGCGCCTGCCGCTCCCTCTGCAGCATGTCCTCGAGATCTCTCATTTTCGAGGTCTGCGTATCAATCTCTCGTTTCGCACTATTAAGCGCTTCTGTCAATTGTATTATCTGGCTCAGGTTGTCTTGGCGAATCGGCGATGCACTCGATGGACCTGATTTCGGTCGCTCAGTTGTCGCGCGTTTCAACGATGGGACATCGCCTTGGGATCTTGCGACGTCCGGTTTCTCGGGCAGAGGCTGTTGCGGCGGTGGGGCCGGAGGGTCAGAAAACCGCGTCTTCCCATCGGAGCGGAAAGAATGTGCATTGCCGTTAACGACTGGTGGCTTGGGAGGCTCCGGCACTTCGGGTTTCTCCTGGTTTTTGACGTCCTCGTTGGACAAAAGCGCGTCCAAGAACTTGCTGGTACGAGACAGGTCCTGGGCCTGCTGCCGTGCGTTTCGCATCTCGTTCTAGAGATTGTTAGCCATTGCAGCGACGCCAAACGCCATGACGATGGGGCTTACCCTCAACTTCTTTACAATAAGCTCTGTCGAAAAGCTGTTGTTCATGAATGTACGGTTGTTGAAAGCCACCCCGGCAGACTGGGGATTCATCATATGCGAGCCTGCAGGCACCCGTCCATTCGGTCCCGCTGAAGCTTGACTGGCGGCCCTGTTCCGGAACGGCAGCCCAGGCTGTGGCATCATCATGCCCCCGTTTGCAGGATCCAGATCCCCGAAGTTCATGTCCAGGAGGTTGTTTGACGGGTTGAGAAAGCCGGCATGTTCCACCTTGGCCGCTACTTTATGATGCACCACAGACTTTTGGTCCTCGCTCACAATATCGATTCCGAGCTCTAGATGGTCGGATGACTGCAGCTCATGAGGCTCTGATTCGCGGTTCTCGGGAGACAGCCGTGTTCCGTTCACAAAGGTCCCGTTTGACGATTTGACATCGCGGATCCAGATCTTTCCCTGCCTGTCCGCCCATATCTCAGCATGCTGCCTCGAGAGCACCTTGCTATCGAAGAAGCCATTCTGAGGAGTTGGAACCGTCTTGTTATTTGTTTGCCGGCCAACGCGTAGGGTTTCGGGGTAGAAAGGGACTTGGATCGTTTTTCGCTCGAATGTGCCGTTGAGGGACAGTAGGTAAAGAACAGGCTGCCCGCCGGGCATCGTGTCGTTAAGCGGCCTCTGAGGAGCCATCTGCCCGGGGGACTGTAGCAAGGGGGACGGAGACATTGGAGCGGCCCCGTTAAGACCATTGGCCATCTGTGGGCGGGCCTGGGGCATCCTGCCGAGTTCTGTCCCTTCTAGTCTGGGTCCGTTCCACTGTCCTTTGCCCTGGGGTCTCTTGCGTGGTGCCGTGTTAGGCCAGCCACCCAGATCACCGGCTGCCGAGTGTGCGACGCCGTTGGGCTGACCATTTGTGCTGACGGCGGTGGATGTGGAAGAGCTGGACGCGGTGGACGAGACGGAAGAGGACGAGTTGCTGCGGGGGATTGACTTCCGAGGCATCAAGACGCCTCTCACGTCTTCAGAATTCATCGAGTTCAGGGACTGGCCACCGCCACCGTTAATACCCCATGCCGGCCGGTTGATGTTGGAGAAACTGGGAGGGCTGGCAACGGCAGTCATGAGGAAAGGCTGGTGCAGGTGCTCGGTATGGGGATGGGATGGACGGCTGATACAGGTGTCGCGATATGCGTGCTCCCTGGCGCGGCGAGTGTTTGGACTGGCCCCAATCTGACACCACCATGTACGGGTCGCGGCCGCTGGGGGATGGGGCAAGAGGCTCAGCGACAAGCTGATCAGGGCCTGCTGGTGTCAGGGCTGGATGTCATTCGCGTGGTAGAGGCTCGCTGGTGGTGATGGACGGGAGCGTCGAGGGGATGAAATGGGCTCGGCAGATTGCTAATGTCGTCAAAGTGGAGATGTCAGGCCCGAGGTCGTGGGCACGAGATGGCGCAGGGCGCAAGGCAAGCTAGGCCCAAGGCGGAGCAGGGCGGCTTGCAGAAACGTCGTCGACGACGAGGGTGACAACGGAGACAATGCCCGGACAAGTCAGCAGAGGGCGGCCAGACGTACTCGGCGATTGGGAGGGGGCGCAAATGGCGGGTGTTGATGGAGACAAGGACGATGATTTTCAGAGGTCAGGATCAGGATTCAGCCTCTACGCAGCCCGTGCAGTGGACTTGAGCGAACAAAGTCCACAGCCTCTAGACCAGTCCTCCTGTTTGGTGGACTCGCTGCTCGCTTGGCGCTTAGCGCCGCCCTGCTGTAGGCTACGACCAACCCTGCTAACTACCTAGGGCGGGCAGGGACGGCAGGGGTGTGTCCTCTAACCCGGGCCCGCCCAAGAACAACAGCCTTTCGCATTCGACCAGCAAGACAGTTTTCTGGGCTCTGATGCGGTGAACATTCAAGACTTTCAGAGCATGACCATTTCCATGGCCCCAGTCCTCAAGTCCCCACTGCAGTGGAGGGAGGGCCTGGGACCAGCAAAATAATCAAGTAAAATCCATACATTGTACCACGTCTCCGTCTCCGTAGTCTGGCCAGCACGTGACCCCTGCCGTCCTACTCGAGGTCCTCCAGGATGGCCCGCGCTCCGAGGCCTTCTTGGCTCGGGAGCGCGCTAACCACTCACGGCAAGAGGAGCTCTCCAGGGTGGGGAACCTGTACGGCAGGCCGAGAGCTAGGCGCCAAAGAGGGTGGAGTGTTTTCGTCACCTTTGGATATCCAAATTCTACCCAAGTAATTTGTTTCACCCTCACTCCTCCAGACGACCCGGGCACGCCATCTGGCTAGGACTTTCAGCTCCTCGTCACCCACTTGCAGCATGCCTCCTGTACCGGTCAACACAGCCCATGCCGGCCCGTCCAACGTGGACAAGAGTATGTTCCCCCCCGCCCACATCCTTGACCTTCGCCTGGTCTTGCGCCATGCTAACCATCCCCGGCGGAACAGTGAAGATGGGTGCTATGATGGGCGGCAGTAGGTTTTGTTTGTCCCAGGGCCTGCGCTGCAGTGTTCCCAGGTTATTTCGATTGCAGCACGGTATCTGACGCAGCGCAACAGCCGTCGGCGTCATCATCGGCTTCATCTATGGTACGGCGCTGCGACAACCCCCGTCTCCCTGCTCTTCTTTGCGCCCATGTCCTGACACTTGCCCCAGGTACTGTCAGCATATTCCGCTATGGCGCGGGACCCAACGGCATCATGAGGACCCTGGGCCAGTACATGGGAGCATCAGGAGCTACCTTTGGGTGAGTTACGCGCGCGTTGTAGTGCCAAGTGAGAAACACCGGCTTATACCAGAACCCGTCCCAGCTTTTTCATGTCCATCGGCAGTGTCATCCGCTCCGACGCTTCTCCTATTGTCCAACAAGCCTACTGGAACTCGCGACGGAGTCCCATCATCATGGCCGCAGCCCACCGAGCACCTTTCCCAACACGCAAGCAATAAGACAGAAAAGAGATGCCGCACCGATTTCCAGTGGCAGCCCCCACCCTGGGAATTATCCTCCGGGCAATGTACGAAGCAGAGCGCGTTTTTCTTTGAATATGAGGTGGCGTTCGAGCAATGGGTGGTATTCTACAGACTTCTTCGGACGACAATGACAACTCGTTTCCGTCAGGCTACCCGCCTTGAATGTGATGTCCACAGATACCCGTTGATCAGTGCCAAACACAACGAAAAACCATGGCCATCATGAGCCTCCGACATCCCTGACTGGAGCGGTGGCCACAACGACCGAGTCGACAGCCCCGTGCTGGACATTACGAGATCCTTCGCTGAGGATTCCTGGGGCTTTCCAGCGGCCGGATCGTTTCGAAATATCTCGAAAGTTTGCAGATCACCCGGGAGATACAGCAGACGGGCTTTTGGATGATTGACTGCCCCTATCTCCTGCAGTAGCTATTACAGGATGGGCACATCCCTTTTTTTTTTAGCCCTAACGGCGGACCCGGCGACAACGCTGCTCTGACGTCCATAGCAGGGGAAGAGGTAGGATCCAGGCCACGGTGTATGTTGCAACCGGCGAGCGATGCGGTAGATACGGCTCATGCTAGGCAAACTCGACGCTGTATGGCCACGAAGAGACGTGTGCCTGAGTGTCCTCGAAAGCACGGACAATCCGGCGACTACCTAGGTAGTTTCGGTGTTTGGACACACCTGCAAATCGCAAATAGCACCGCGCTATCTGGCACAGGATCCTGAACCATGAAAACGCACCATCTTCTTGTTCCGCAGCTAGGCCGCAAGAGCCGCCTCTGAGGTGCCGGATGCCAAGATGCCAGGAACTCTCAGACCTTGTGGCCAAAGCTCACACGGCGCTGCGCGGAATCGATATTGTCTTGCCCCTCTAGCACGGTTGATTCCTTTCCGTTCCTCGTTTGACTAGATGATGGTTCAAAACATCCCCGCCAAACTAACTGTCTTCCCCGCGGGTGTCCTGAATCACCAAATCCGGCCAATTCGTCCCATACATTTGGGCATACCAATGCCCCATGGCAAAATAAGGACGATAATAGAAACATCTCGTGTGACCATACGGGAGAAGTCTGCCATCTGCAGGGACGCTCCTGGTCAACATGAGCTGTCTTCCTTGGTGCCTTGCCCTCAGCCGGACGCCACATGGCCAGCTGAACTTCATATGCAGGAAGCCCTTCATACTCGCAATCGATGGATTTCTTCATCTCACTATTGACATTCATTCCGATGTGACCACAGCCAAGGAAAGGGGCAATCGATTTTCGCAACTAGGCGCAGCATATATTCGAACAGGCTGCTGACGGGGCAGGCTGTGGAACCCGGATCGGTTGCCTGCGCCTGAAGTTTACGAGATATTGGTGCACTCTGATCCGAACTTTGGGACGGCATGGCCCACATCCCGTGCACAGTCCGGGCATCGGATGAACTTTCGCTAATAGCGTTAGCCGGGCCCCTGGGAGTATGCTATATTGGGAGCTAGCTCACCATCTGTTTCTCGGACAATGCGTTTCGAGCGGATGAAGAATGCACACGCTTGTCGACCATGCTTCGGCTCCGTGGGCTTCAGATCGACAGGGCCGCGACCTGGCTCTCGGGAGATATCTCCTGACTAGTCCCGATCAGCCGGCCCAAGCACGTGCACTACCTACTCCGTACCCACGTCGGTAGGTAGGTAGCAATGGCCAGCTGCGTGTCCCGGGGCACTGGGCCTGGCTGATGGCCTGGGTCTGAATCGTCATACCTCGAGGAGCCTCCGAACACTCGGGCCTGCAGCATGCCGTGGACCTCGTGCGACGCCATGTACCGCCTTAGCCCTGCGTCCCGCGCAATGCTTGTCCAGGGTGACAGTTCTTGTCCCGGTGCCACAATCAAAGATTGAGATCACCAAAGGCTGCGCTTTGAACGCGGCTGAGTTGACTACGTCCAAGTGCTGACCCTCTCAAGAAATTTTGCCTCCCCTGCTATGCCACCCGCTAGGCTTTTCTGCCTCTAGACGGCTTCCATGTGGTCGGGTCCTGCAGTAGCTCTCCAGTATTGGCCGGGGAGCAGACAGGTTAGCCTCAAGCCATGGCACTGAAGAGATGGGACTGTGGTTCTTCGCATGGGCGTTGTCCATGTTGGACACGAGCGGGATCAAGCACCACGGATTTGATGGACCAGCAACAGCGGTACGGCCGCGATATATGCCTATAAAACCGTCTATCCTCCTTGTCTTGGCTATCATGGAGGACTGCTCATCAGGCCTCAATCTTTCGATTATCATTCGTTTCGTTCCATTACACTCTTTTCTTCCTGGCATACAATACACTCTTTCTCTTATACCACACTCGCTAAACCGACTTAGACTTTGAGACCGCACAGTCACTCAAGATGGGTCTGTTCGACAACATCTTTGGGGGCATCAACGGGGTCATCAAAGGGGCCCTCGGCTGGCTTTTTGACATTACAGCAGCCCTGGCCCAGTCCGCTACCAACGGACGATCACTCTATGGTACTTTGCAGGCCATCATGTTCCCTCTTTTTCTTAAAAACAACCCCCTACCCAACGGCTTCCCATGGGGAACCAGAACACCAACAAACACCAGCCCGTACACACAGTCGCCTAACACCGGCATAATTCGCCCGTATGACTTCACCATCAGTCGAGGAATGTTGGCTCCAGATGGATATCAAAAGCCCGTTCTTCTAGTCAATGGAGCCTTCCCTGGGCCGACGATTGAGGCCAACTGGGGGGACATCATCCAAGTCACCGTCCATAACAATATCACCACGGACTCCATCGGTGAGGCTGAAGGAACAGCTCTCCACTGGCACGGCTTCCTTCAGACCGCTACACCATGGGAAGATGGTGTGCCCGGTGTTGATCAATGTCCTATCGCACCCGGAAAGAGCTACACCTACCAGTTCAAGGCCGAACTCTACGGAACTACCTGGTATCATTCCCACTACAGGTTAGTGCATGCTGATACTACGATTGCCTTTGTCCTCTTAAAACGGACAAGACATTAATAGATATCTTTATTAACCTCCTCGACTTACAGTGCTCAGTACTCTGGCGGTGTTACTGGACCAATGATCATTTACGGACCAAACCAGAGGAACCATGATATCGATATCGGCCCGGTTATGCTCTCTGACTGGTATCACCCATCCTATCTGGATTTGGTGAAACAGACAATGGTAAGGAGCTTCTAGATACAACCTTCACCCCTTCTCAAGAGCGTCCCCCCCCCCCCCCACAAATTAGCCTATGCAACAAAGACTGCGAAGGGCACAGGTTTTGATATAATCAAGGCCGCTACCTAACCAACCCTTTTCCTCACCATATCATCTTGAAGCAATTTATCAGTTCTTTGGCAGCTGACGTATCACAGGCACCTCGTCAACCTCCGGTTTTCTCTGATAATAACCTGATCAACGGAAAGATGAACTTCGACTGTACCAAGGTTGCCCAAGGAGATACCTCCAAGTGTACAAGCAATGCTGGAATCAGCAAGTTCAAGTTCACCACGGGCAGGACTCATCGTCTTCGTCTCATCAACAGCGGCTCCGAAGCTGTTCAGCGGTTTTCTATCGATGGCCGTAAGCATCCTTTTTCACCTTTTACGGATCCCCGTCTTTCATGTTTTGGAATGCTCTAGAATACGACAATCTAGGATCTGTAGCAGGGCTAACTTGACCACTAGACAACATGACCGTGATTGCGAACGACTTTGTCGAGATCCAGCCATATTCTACCCAGGTTGTTACTCTTGGAATCGGCCAGCGTGCCGATGTCCTTGTCACCGCGAACGCGGGCAACCCCAAGTCGGCGTTCTGGATTCGATCCAACATGACCTCGTGCTCCCTGACGAAGCAGCCCAACGCTGTCGCCGCGCTGTACTACGACCAGGCAGACACCAACAAGCAGCCAACATCACAGGCCTGGAACATCCCTGACCCAGGGACCTGTGCCAACGACGACCTGGCCATCACGAAGCCCATGTACAAGATGACGCCACCTGAGCCTTCCAGCACAAACACCTTCGGCGTGAAGCTGTTCCAGAACGCATCGGGCAACACGCTTTGGAGTTTCGACGGCGTCAGCAGCCGTGTCGACTACAACTCCCCGCCCTTGCTGATGGCCAACGCCGGCAACCTGTCGTTTCCCGTGGAGGCGAACATCCGGAACATCGGCACCAACTCGAGCGTGAGGATCATTGTCCAGAACGACACCCCGGCCGCGTAAGTTCCCCTTTCGCCCTCCCCCCACGGCCCTCCATCCTTGTCTCTGTCACACAATCAAGCCTAATACTTCTCCACAGCCACCCTATTCATCTTCACGGGTTCAACATGTACGTCCTGGCCGAGGGCCCAGGTTTGACCTGGGACGGCACCATCGTGAACCCCGACAACCCGCAGCGTCGTGACGTCCAGCAGGTCCGCGCGAACGGGCACATCGTGGTGCAGTTCGACCCTGACCACGCAGGAGTCTGGCCATTCCAGTGAGCAACCCCCCCGCCCCCTCTTTTTCCACGTCCCAGAGCATGCCCGTCTCTCTTTCATAGCCATGTTGTTTCGGCGCAAGTAGGACGTCCCGCTGACAGGAGCACACAGCTGCCACATCGCATGGCACGCGTCCGCCGGCTTCTTCTTGCAGTTCCTCGTGCAGCCTGACAAGGTCAAGCAGCTCCCCATCCCGCAGAAGGTCGCGCAGACTTGCAGGGATTGGAGCGCGTTCACGGCTACGGACATCCCTGAGCAGATTGACAGTGGTGTATAAATAACCCCGAGTCCCACCGGGCACGGTTCCTAAAGTTAGGTGACTGTTAAAGGTTACTCCAGGGTTTTTTCGTATCGCTATTGTCAGATAGGGAGGCGTTGGTTATCTTGTTTGGTCTGTTGGTGGGCTGTGTTGCACAACTCATTAGAGGGCGCAGAGCTGGGCACCTGGGCACGTTTGTTTCACGGGGTCATTTTCGCTAATTCCATAATATATAAAACGTATTCATGATTACAGTCTGTTCAATGGCTAGACCTTTGACGCGATGAACTGCGCCCCCGCGTTCGCATCAATCTGGTAGTTTGTGTGCGGTGGGAGCACCAGTATCCCGCCCTCACAGATGTTGTCGCCCTCGTGGCATATGATCTTGACCTTGGAGCTGGGGATGGATCCCACTGGGTCACCGTCGTTTGGGTCACCGTAGATCAAGACTACACACAGTCAGCGCACGAACAGTGGTGCAGGAATGCGAGCCATCGCGTGAAGGCGACAGAGGGACTCACCAGCAGCGACCTTGTTGACAACAGCCTGGTTGGACCTTAGGAGGTTCGCAGCGTTGTGGACGAGCTGACCCCCCTGGCTGTAACCGGACAGCACGATCTTGGTGTTTGGGCACTGCGTGCTTGCCTGTCGGCCGGATTAGCTGACCATATCACATATCCTGGTTGGGCACATGGCAATGACTTACCCGGACGGTCAGGTTAGCCATGAGCTGGCTTCCAGTGGCGTCACCACCGGCCAGGAACCCGAAGATGTCGGCTGCGTAGGCAACACCCTGGACAGCCAAGTTGGAGGAGCCGATGATGGACGAGAGGTTGTTCATCATCAACGGGCCCACATCGCCGGCGGCACCGATATTGCCGCTCTGGGTTGTTCCCCTAGCGTCTATGACATGTTAGGACCAGGCAGAGATCCCGCGGACCGCGAGAGGTACAAGACTGCACTTACAGATCAGCGTGACGGCACGACACGGTGTCCCGTCAGTAAGCTCGTTGGCCGTGCCGGCGTAGGCAGCGGCGGCGAGGCTTACGTCGGCGGGAGGGTCGGTTGAGGCCAAGAGGCCCGGATAGGAGTCGAGCTCTGTGATGGGGACACCCGTGGCTGGAATGTCGCGGGCTGGTATAGCGACCGGCACGGCCAGCCTGGCCGAGGTGATAGCGGCGAGGATAGCTGTGGCCCTCATCTTCGCGACGGCTTTGGGGGTCCGGGCGGACACAAGGGAGGAGTGCAGTCCAAATGCAGGCAGGAGACTTCTTGTCGCAGATACTTACTCGGGCACTGGAGGGTTCTGCCGCTTGCTGGTGGTATCTTTGAGCTCCACGCGCCGGTCCAATTCTGAAGGCAGGCCGGCCCTTTTATGTATCCGACCTTTCACTAACATCTCTTGACACCGTGCCCCACTCACAAGTGAGATTTCGAATGTTCCGAAGATGCGTTAGTGGGATCCCATGATCATCCCCCCCCCCACAGCGGTAAATCCCATCATGTTCCTGGGTTGGGCGGCGCCCGGGCAGCAAGGCACCTAGGTAGGGGCCAACCTCGGAGGTGTGTGAGGGCAGCTCGCCTGCCCCTTTCAGTAATATCCCCAGGGCATCTTGAAATTGCCATGCGGGGACTGTGAGAAGAGATGTAACGGCGACTGACAGCAGCATGGCCCCACCTGATCTGGTGATCTGGCCTTGTCAATAGTGGCGCTGCCATGGCCGGGCGACATGGCCGAGGTGGTCACATTGATGCTGTGAGTGGTGTCCAGCCAAGGTCCCGTCGATGCGGAGGCCGAGAGACCGGGAATCCGGGGACGGGCCTTATTAGTAGGCGCAGGCGGTGGTGCCCCTATCTGGGCATTTCAGTCGTCAAAAGTGCGACTCTGGTCTCGGTCCTGGGCCGGGCAGTGCCACCAACAGACTGAAGCCTGCAGTGGTTTCAGGGAGCCCGGTCACAGATCTAGTGGATCTGCCCTGTCGAATCTGCCCCGGTTCGCGCCGGGCTACTGGATAGTTCGTCGTCCCTTGTCAAGACACCACCAAGTGCCGCATCCTTCCGTACTGTGTACCACTGTACGGTAGCATCCTTCTGGAAGGTCGTTTCACGCCCGCCTCCTTGGCATGGTGACCAACTTCCCCTCACTTCTCGCGGCCGTGGCACCCCGATCCGAACTGACAGGCATCAGTGGCCGCCGCCGGTGGACGAGTGAGGTCGGATTTGAGTTGGCGGGCCCGAGGGTTCCACAACACCAGGGCCCCACTGTCCGATCACGGTGTTACTGTGTGCTAGCAGACGGCTGGCTGGCTGGCTGGGTGACATCCAACACACGTGCGCGGCCTTCGACTCCTTTTCGGATGAACCACTCTGACTTGGTGCCGAGGTCCCTCCAGAGGCTGCTGCAGTAGCGCCGGCATCAAGAACCAGAATCTCAGCCACGGCATGACAGGTCCGTTTCGATACTGCTCAACAGGCAGGAGGACAGAGGGCGTGTTGCCTTCGATGCGACGCACCTGCCCAGCTCTCGCACAGCGTAGGTGCTCATGTGACACCCTACCTAGGTAACCTCCAGCTCAAAGGTCCAATTGGCAAGTTTCCTTGACCTTTTACTGTCTATCCAGCTCAACGACCCCCAACAGGGAGGAAGACTCTTGCTATTGGAAGAGCCCGCACAATAAACTCACTTTTGTGGCTTCCGCCTCTCCCTCGCTGAGTACCTAGGTATGATGGCATCTTTCCCGCTGATGGCCACACCAGCGTTGTGGGTTGGCAAGGTCCTGTTCGCTGCCTCGAGCTGATCCAGGCCTTCGAACTCATGGCAACTGGGTTATGGAAAGAAGTTTCAAGTGTTGCGGATGGGCATGTCGGTTTGTGGTATTAAGAGTGCGCGCTGAGACTCATGTTAGCCACTATGAAAACTCCCGTCAGCGGTGGGAACGGTGCAAGATCGTCAAGGCTCATTTGTCAATTTTACTGTGTCCACCCCGACAAGTGCTTGTAACACACATCAGGTCGCACCGGTCTTCACGTCTGGCGCCCTGCCTCCTGATCCGTGTACGCAGAGGCATTGGCAGATGCTGGGCCTCGCCCAACATTGTTGACTTCTAGCCACCAATCCCTCCCTCGACCCCATTTTCCAGTTGTCCAGGTCCCATCTCCTTCAAGTTCGAGTGGATCTCGGCGCTGAAATCGAACATGGACTGCTGATAGGCCTCGAGCGTGGCGGAACCATTGTTGGGATCGACCCCTCTGAGACACTCGGCACGGTCGTAGGGTTCGGACGCGTCAGTATGAGGGACATCACTGTCGGTACCGCTTCTGTGCAGAGTGTCTACTGTGTCAGCAGGTACACAACAACGACTAGAGATGGCAGGCAACAATACCTGGGAGAACCAGCATTGGCGGCGACCGAAGACTCAGGAGTGTTTCCACATGTGGAACGGGCTCGAAGTACGCATAACTTCCACGGCAGGGGACTTTCTGCCTCGGCGGCCACGCAGCCTCTGCAGTCCTCCTCTATAGCGCTGGCATCTGATGGGAATAAAACGACATTGTTTGACTCAGGAAGACTTGTCCAAAGTGTCAGTCAGCCATGGGCTCGGATGGCCGCCCAGAGACGACGCAGAGGGGTGGCAAAAATCACCTATCCGAGTAGGTCGTGCTACCAACAACTTGGGGGCCAGGCGCGGCAGAGTCTTCTTCACGCGACATTTTGGACAAAATACCAGCATACAGCTTGTGTCAGAAATATCCAGTATGGCTACTGGCTGTTGGGCCGTTCTTGGGGTCGCTAGGAAAACACCGTGACCATAGCAGTCAAGAGGTTTGGAGGGCTTGGGGGAGGGGGGGGGACGACGACAGGACAGAACCGGAGGGATTCCCCATCTCCTCTTGTGGACTCCTTGCAGCGCCAGGCCATTCTGCACTCTGCACAGGCCTGTCGCCACCTGAAGAGATCACGGTCCGGGACCTTCAGCGCGGAACTGGGCAGCACGCATGCGTCTATAATCTCTATGGGCTTCGCTCGACAGTCCGCCAAGCCAGCACCGCAACCTAACCCCCTATAGAAATATAAGGCAGAATGAGGCAACCAAATATGCCACTTCTGGCAGGCAGGGGTACCGCAGAACCGGAGGTAATCATACGAACCGCCATGGGGTAGAATCCACACTGGCAAGCGCCGGGGTCTCCGGCATGGCTTCCTGTCCGAGGATCTTCACCACGAGTTGGAAAACACAGACCGCCCCGGAGGAGTTGTATGGGGGAGTGTGAAGCTTGCAGAAGAGAAAAATCCGGGGACCGTGCAGCTCGGGGCTGCGAGTGTTGTGCCGCCTTTTGCGACGTCGATAATGGATGCCACCACGCTCAGTCGGCCTCGGATCACTTAGAAGGGAGTCACGGAGCGCTGAACAGACCCAAATCAGACAGGCCATGCGAGGCAGGGCCGGCAGTGCGTTCCACGATCTATGGCGTCCCTCAAAAAGCTGGTCCGGGACGCGTTTGTGGCTTCGGCCCGCGCTGTCGAGCTGCGCGCAATAGATCTTTACAACGGCCGACCGCAGTCTGCACCACAACCCCGAGCAGACCAACACTCGTTGCAGAAGGCCACGTGCGGAATCATAGAACGGCTCTTTGTTACCCGAGTACCCGTGGCGAAGACAAGGGGGCAACTGGTCGAGGCTGGCACCCTCGATCTTCCCGCCCAGCCACAGAGACGAGGAAATGACCCCGGTCATTCACGTCCTGGCGCGCGAACCAGTCGCCTTCTAGGGCTGTTGACTCGCCGCTGGAAGCTCGACCTGGACGCTTTGTTGACTTGTCCGCATTCGTCCGGGGGATTGTGACGGGTCTCATGACAAGCAGACAAGGAGCCTTTGACCGGGGGGAGGGGAGGGGGAGGAGGGGAGTGTTGCCCTGAGCGACGGTGTTACCCAGCACTACAAGGCTCTCTCACATACTCTTGTCCATTCACTGAACAGCGGGCGGCTTTTCTGGCCCCCAGCGTCTGTTGGCCCAGCAAGACATGGTCACATCAGAGCCCACACCACCAACACAAGAAAAACCGCGACAAGTGCCAAATGGCTGCCTATGGCTCACCGCCGGTCAGGCGCTTCTCAGAATTGATCCTGCCTATTTCTCTGGCTGCGCACGAATTAAAAGCCTGTAGCCGCCCCATGTCTCTCTCTCTATTTTTCGAATTGGGAACCCCCCCCCCCCCCAAAGCCCCCAACTATTCAGCTGTAGCCTAGGTAGTTTTCGGTAACCGCGCTGAAGCAGAGCAGCCGCAGCCTTGTTGCACGGATTTCCAGACAGACTGCACTTCCAAGCCGCTAGGCAGCCACATCACAAAAAATCGTGAGATATCCTTGTCCGATGGCAAATGCTTCAAGAATGTACCCTGAATTCGATGTATGCATTTCTCGGAGATGGGTGATTGCGGGCCATCTGGCAGTTTGGTTGCCACAGCATGCGAGAAAGGAGGGGCTATTCAGTCCTCATGTTCATGCCAGGCAGATACTACTATGGAGCTTAACAGTGGTATGGCTGTTTCATAGTACTTCATTGCACTTTTCGACCCAGAATTAGGGGGGGTGGGGCTCTACCCAGCTATCAATGTAAACAACAGGACGTTAACAGCACAGTATCTATGTTGGCTGCCTCTTTGACGACACGGATGTGGATGACAAGAAGAAAGGCAAAGACGTTGTCGAGTTTGAGGAAGACAGCCGGCATGCCATGTGCGATGATGACGACGCAGATTGGAACTCTGAGTCTTTCTTTTCTGTATCGTCTAGCACGTCGACGGCGGGGATATTAAGTCAATATCCGTAAGGGCCACTCTCCAGCATCCTCATCCTCATCGCTCTCTACGCCCTGGTCTTCCCATCGTCAGTGGCGAAGCGGACGAAGGAAATCAGACCAGCCGTCCTTGGCAGGCTGAGTCCTGATCCCTTCTGTCCATCAGGCCCTCGAGAAAACAAGGGAAATCAATACCTGCCAGATTATGGAGCATTTTCTCAGCCAATAACCTTACAGCGTTCCTGTCGGAAACTATAAATGCCAGTCGGCAGCCTGCAATGAACCAATTCGGTTGGCTTTGAATTCTTTACAGTCACGAACCATTCACAAAACGAGCTCCGTTCGGCGGGCCGCCAGGCGGCCACTGTATCTCTCCCCAAACTCCTATAGGATGGCTTTATACAAGATAACGAGGTAACTTCTTATTGGATTATTAGATCACAGGATATCCTCCCCGAGGATACTGGCTGATTGAAGACGTGGGAGGTATTCAAGCTATTCATGTATGTCCTCGGATGTATAGGGTACGGAATAGAAGCGAAACCACATATCATCTTGTGCAGCTGCTCTACACAGTGGGATGATTTCTTTGGCTTCTGGTACACGGTAAAGCCCCCAACGTAGACACTTTGACATCATGCATTCGTCTTGAGTCTGAGTACAGTCGGTACAGGCTATCGGCATCACGGCCACCCTTGGCCCTGTTACTTTTCTGATGGGTTGGGGAGAAATTTCAGCCCAGTTCGATTGTGTCCAGTGTTCCATCCTTGGCACGAAGCCGGCTCACTATTTATGAGACAACTCACGGCGCACATATGCCGTTTTGGTGGCTTTTGCAACAAATCAACGGGAGGGAGTAGATATCGGATGCAGGAGGCCTACCATGAACAGGGGCGGCAATATTTGAAGCCAACAGAATGAAACAGATCAGCTGCGTGAGGCCCACCAAGCACCCAATCAGGGGACCCAGCTATCTGTGCAGTCACCGCCCGAGAACAAAGAGGCTATTGCCCAATGATTCAGCGAACATATCAAATCATCGAAGATCAGCCTCCCCAAATCGACTCCATGGCCGGGCGCATTCGCTGAGCGTCAAAATCATGGAGCATCTATAAAACTCGAATGGCAACCCGCCGTCCTAGTCCTGCAACCCCCAATGCTTTCTATTTTATCTCAGCAGCCCTTCTTGAACTTCTTGTACCAACGTTTTTCGTGCCCTGAGATCAGCCTTCGTCTTCCCATCCCACCTCAGGACTGCTTCACAATGGGCAGCATGACCAAAATAGTCAATCCAGTCGAGGGTCTGGGGAACCAGGCACTCTTGGACAAGATCGATAGACTCAGAGAGCTCAATGTCGGTTCCATCATCCCTCTTCCCCAGCTTATCGTCGTCGGAGACCAGTCCTCTGGGAAAAGCTCTGTTCTTGAGAGCCTCACTGGTTTCTCATTTCCCCGGGCTGCTGGCCTCTGCACGAGATACGCTACGCAAATCACTTGCCGGCGAGACTCAGCTCACAGCATGACGGTCACTATAATTCCGCGGCCAGAAGCGAACGAGACCGTCAAGCAAAGACTTCGCAAGTTTCATCGCTGTCTTGACGAGATGGACCCACAGAATCTTGCAGATATCTTCGAGGAAGCTAATCAGGCGATGGGGATCCGATCAAGTTCCGGCCGTTCCGAGGATGGGGATGATGAACTAGACACCTTCAGTGAAGACATCTTGAAGATCGAAATCAATGGCCCGAACCAACCAGGACTGACAGTCATCGATGTGCCTGGCATCTTTCGCACACCGACTCCTGGCCTGACCTCTGACAGTGACATCACGTTGGTGACTTCGATGGTGAAACGCTACATGAAAGATTCGAGAACAATCATCCTGGCAGTGATCCCTTGCAACATAGACATTGCCACACAGGAGATCCTCAAGCTTGCTAAGGACGCCGACCCCAACGGGACCCGGACAGTGTCTGTGTTGACGAAGCCGGATCTCACGCTAGAGCGAGCTATGCAGCAGAACATATTGGACCTCATCCAAGGAAAGCGTCAAGACCTGAAACTGGGGTACTGTGTTGTCAAGAATCGCGGAGCTGATGACGGAGATTCATCTCTGGCGAAACGAGACGAGGAGGAGAGAGCATTTTTCCGACAGGAACCTTGGACATCTGTGGCATCGTCGGCGCGGTTGGGAATCGATGCGCTCAGGGTCTTTCTACAGAAGATCCTGATGGACATCACGAAAAAGGAATTTCCCATACTCAGGAAAGGTGCGTTTTCTTTGCCTTGCATCAAATGCCCTATCGACTGATTCTAGTTGCAATAGAAATCGCCAAGAGGCTTTCCGAGTGCGGCAAGAAATCGGATGCGATGGGGGTTTCACGAAGCGACGAGAAATCCCAACGAGCATATCTAGGAAGGATTGCAGCCAATTTCGAGCGTGTAGTTGGCTATGCGCTCAACGCTTACTACACTGAAGACCCGATATTTCATGACCGTCTGGAAATGAGGCTTATCACAAGGATCATCAAGCTGAATGAGGTCTTTTCAGAGGTCTTCTCGCAGAATGGTCACACACGGCATTTCGAAAATTCAAGCAAGAACGAAGAACATGAGAAGCAGTCGAAGGGTCAGGTTCCAGAACTCGGGTTCGATATACCGGATGCTGCAGTTGACGACCTCTACGGCATCATTGCCCCGGAGCGCTTCCTGTGCCCAGAGCCAGCAGACGACCCTATCATCGACCACATTGACGAAATCTTCCAGAAGAGCCGCGGGCCTGAGCTGGGCACGGTAGGAGCTACCATATATTGCTATAGGACAACACGCTAATGCTTCGCAGGTTGGCGGCGCGCTTCTTGGTACCATTTTCAAAGAGCAATCCAGGCGCTGGGAGGATCTCGTCACCTCTCACGTCAGTGATGCCATCGCTCTGGTGCATCATTTCATTATCGAGCTGCTGGCCCACACCTGTGCCGAAGAGCAAGTGATGACACAATTGTGGGACAATGTTCTACTGGAGAAGCTACAGGAGTCGTACAAACGCAGTATGCATCATGCGCACTTCCTCCTAGAGGTCGAACGAGAGGGGAAACCCTACACTTACGACCGCTACTTCAGCACAGAACTCCAGAAAGGCCAGGCCAGGCGCCTCCAGGAGTCTCTCAGAAGCCTGGCCATAGGTACCAGCAGTGGGGAACATGTGGTCAGATTGGCTTCACTCAGTAGCCTGGACATCAACAGGTCCAACCCCGAGCAGGTGCGCGAATACCTGCACGATATTTTGGAGAGCTACTACAAGGTCTCTGTCAAGCGGTTTGTGGACACCATCTGCCAGCAGGTAATCGACCACTTCCTTCTCAATGGCAAAGACAGCCCACTCCATGTCTTCGGCACAGACCTGGTCTTCGATCTCAGCGCCGATACCCTGGAGATGGTTGCAGGGGAGGACCATGCCACGAAGCAGGAGAGAGAAAGCTTGAGGATCGAGATGGAGAGGCTGGAGGCTGCAATGCAGGTTGTGCGTGGTTGAATGGGAATCGTCTTATTAAAGATGAATGTATGCTGTTGAAGCAGCACAGGAGTTCGTTTTTCTTCCTTCCTCGATAGCTGATGTCTTTTCTCGTCCTCCACTTAAGGTCGTTTTTCCAAGGTAGAAGTTTGTCCGTACATGAATGGTCTACTAAAAGTTGACCCATCGTATCAATCACAAATAGTATTATTGTACCACCGCCACACCTTCAAAAGCAACGAGACGACATGTCAGTCCCTATGGATAAACTACACTATTGGAGGGACCAATATAGGAAGTCGTCCCGTAAGAGGTCGTCCCATGGAAGGCTGGGGAGAGATACCTTGACTGCGCAGCAGACAACCGAGTACGTGAGCAGAGTTAGTTATTGTCAAACACCATGGGATGCTGAATTGAACTTGGCAAAAAGTTGAACTGGAGAGCTCGGGGGCCACCGCCATCAATAGAGAGCTGCGCTGCCTCTGATGGTTGTCAATGTTGCTTTGGGGGTGCCGAATGTTCTCCACAACCTTGGAAACTGATTATACATAGCCGCATATTATTTTCTCCGCTTATAGGGGCCATGGTAAGGATATTATTTGCAAGCAGAGTGAACTAGGGACACGAGGCGGGTTTGCAGCGCAGTTGTTACGCAGCAGTTGCAGTCTTGGGGCTAAAGGTATCACGAAACCTGTTCTCTTTCTTTCCAAGGCCATTTTACGTCACGAGCCTGTACTCCCTTTCACAATAGGCCGCTTTGCCTCAAGTGCTGCGTAGTTTCTGTGCGGCATGAGAGCTGTGCCGGCGGCCTTACTCTCTCTGTTCTCCAAAGGCGAAGTGCTGAGGCACCGTGGACCCTGACAGGGATCGATATAGGAGAATCTAAACATATTCCAAGCTTGAGGGAATTCAAGCTATACTATGGCGCTTCAAAGTCCAGGATCAGGTCTGTCTTTGGTGACTCTTCTTCGGCTCGACATCTCTGGGGACTGTGATATAAATACACAGAATGAGGGCTCACACGTCCAAGTGCCTGTGAACAACTTCATGTTTACATAAGGCCTTCGCCTTATATGTATGCTACAAGTACAGAACCGTGGGATAAGTCAATCAAACCATTGAAAGAGTCTTTTCAATTAAAGGCCCCATGGGATGAGTGTCGAAACGAGTCACCTTGGTATCGAAATATGTTCAGCACACCAACCGCAAAGGGATCGAGGGCCTTCTATTACAAACTTCCAGGGTAGGTAACATAGGGTAGAACTGCATCACAATGTAACATGTCAATCCTCCTTTTGTCTGTGGTGTGTTTTTTTGGTTGTCTTTCTGCTCTGACCAGATAATATTCTCACATCGATTCATGGTTACCCTTTCCAATGTCAATTACGCCTCATCCCTGGTAGCAACATGCATTAAACACTGGACCGACTTCCACTTTCGCTTCGATTGTCCACACTTTTGTAGCAATCAGTGTGGGTTGTGGACAATTCTTCCAGTGCGAATAGCTAGACGGGTCACTCGTGACCGGAGCTCAGTAAGATTTGATCTTGGAAGCCATTAATACTTGATTACTATGGACACACTCACGAGCAGCCTTGATGGTAGAGAGATTTCATTCAGAGCATCATAGTAATTGACACTTTATGTGATTGCATATTGAAGAGTGTAGGTGATCTCAAGGTCTACCAAATATGGATAATACTCTGTGCATTATTCTTGTGACCCAGATATGTTGCGATAGTCTGTGTGCGTCGTTTTGGACTGATATGTCCGGGACAGAGGCTCCAGCGTTGTCCATGTCAGTCCTTCATCCTGTTTCTTCCGCCTCGTTCTCTGTAGGAACTTGGGCGTCTTCATTCCGAATTGCCACGGGTGTCGGACTGGTTCTATAGGTTGATGCCTGCCCTTGATGAATCTGTTCAAGGTTGGGAGACAGGCACAAATTAAGCCAATGCTCACTTCCGCGGTTCTACATGTGATGTAAGTTGAAGTAAAGTACAAAACATTCTGAGGTTTGGTTAAGGTGGTTCACTTACCCCAGCAGATTAAATCTGACAAAGTCCACGGTCTGATCGTCCGACCTCTGAAGCATGATTACCAAATACATTCTAACAAAACTGGCTGCAGTGGCCACACCGCCGGCCCCTAAAAGCAAATAGACCTTTAACTTTTGCTTCCAAGGCATTCTTAACGCTCTAACAAGTGGAACGGGTGCTAATAAAACAACCAGATCCGTAACAGCGCTGATGACGGTATCAGCAACAAAAATAGCTCGCTGGTTGAAGCATTGAGACGGCACATTTAAGTCCCAGAATCCCCTTATCGGTCGGCATATATTTATCTTGATGATCATAACAGGCAGGTAATACCCCAGCATGGCGGCAATGAAGGAGTACCCGAAGATGACGAAGCCGCGGCTGACGTTAAAGACGCGGATCATGACGAGTAGGAGCGTTACTTTGACGAACCACGCGTTGGGACCGTAAACGACAGTGTCCGCGTAAAGTGCCTTGAATGGCATGACAAGGTCAGCCGTGAGATCTAATCACCCTTTCAGGACCAGGGTTATTTCGAAGGAGTCTTACCTTGAGAAAATCCGTGAATTGACGTGGCGATATCTCCCATGAGTGGAATCCCCCTCCAAAAGCGTTCACTTCAGCTCGTCAGCTAGACGCTCTTGACCGAAAGAATCGATGCCGGCGAAGACCTACTCGTGAAAGCTGTTGCGCTATATAAAGTGCTCAGGATCTATATGCTGTTTAGTGAGTATGTTCAATGTTGAAACTGGTGCATCACCTTACAAGCGAAACAAGGCAACACCCTGGTAGTTTTGACTGTTAGATAATATTATCTCCAGAATTAGGGGACTGAGTGCAAAAGGCAAAGACGGGGCCATACAGTCGTCCAACCGGAAGGGGGAGGTGTTCTTCCATCTGACTACATAAAGCCTGAAACACACAATTGGCGTGACGGTGACCACTGCAAGAATCTGAGAGACGAGGTTGATCGTATGCAATACATCCTCCGGATTTTCGAAGTTAGGAGTCCGTCCTGGCGGCGCAGGAGTCGCACCTTGTTGCACGTCAGCCATCTTGATTGGTGCATGCTTCGCTTGTAATAAAAGTACGATGCGATGAAGCAGCTAGCTCGCTGCATCCAGGCCGCGCTGCAAAACGACTGACTTCAACTGCTCTGCCTGATGCTTGTGGGTTGAGATATCACCTCGCGACCAGGCAGAAGGAGACTGTTGATGATTTGCGGATCATAGGCACGCTTATACGATTCCCTGGTATGAGATTACCTACCAAACCTAGAGAGATTGGGCCGCAGTAGCGAGCCGACGAGTCAGTCGTTCGACGGCCTTCTCCATGCCATTGATGTTCCCCAGAAAAGATCTCAAACAGGTACGACCCCAAACCTCAGTATCCGCGGCCTGGGCGACGTTATCTATACTTTTCCTGAGTCGTCAGGATTGGATGACCATGAAAGCACAGACAACGCTTCAGGCACGTATATATCACCCAGCTGCTCAGCTTAGTCATTTGTTTACCTACACCTGGCCCGACCCCGAGTCGTCCAAATTGCACGACAAGGGCCGGACTCCCAGGCGATGCTGCCAGGCTAGTCGCCACCTAGTCATCGCATATTGCGACAGGACACCCCCCGAGAATGCACGCATGATTTCGCTAATGCCTCGTCTTCTGGACCAGCCGTGACGGACCCATTCTTCAGCGCACAGGAAAATCGCAACGTCTCCGCTTGGCATTGGAAAGGCCCACACGACCGTGCGGAGAGATCATGACTTGATAGGGCCTATGAAACCATGCCAGTGTGAGTGCTGAACTCTATCGTGCCCTCTGCCTCCTCATCGGCCTTTATGCCCTTTTAATGAAGCTCCGCAATCTAGCCTCCCCCGGCCGTGAAGAAAACTGCTGGACGGTGCGAGCCTAAGAACATTTGAACTGAGACTCTACACATTATCATTGGCAGCTCCATGCCGCTGAGAATCCAGAGGCCCATAGAGGAACCGAACCCGAACAATATTGGTAGTATCTCTTGGAGGCTGTGTATATACCAGGCACTGAGCACGCTGCGAACTTGATTTCTAGATCATTCCGGGTCGAGAGCTGCCGGTAGATCATGGACCGAGACCTCAGGTGGCCCGTGACCAAAGGGAACTTGCCCACAAACCCTCAGCTTATGTGCCAATGATCTTTCTTTCCATTGGAAGGGTGACCTCGGGTGAAGGGTCCCAGAGTTGCCAGCCTGGACCTCTATCTAATTACAATCTGATCCTATGGTTCGTGTGAATTTTCGACGGCGCGAGCAACACAAATTGGCACATGGATACAACCAATTGATCCTCAGAGGTTCCAGATGTCTGCTCGGATACACCTCTGGGGAGCCACTGCTCCCAATGGTTATTTACAGCTTGGAAGGTTGGGCTTGATTTCGCACGGCCGGCTGAAGATATGCAACCAGGGTCTAGGTAGGATGATGTGAGTGCCCAAGAGGCCTGCCGAGTGCGATCGAGATTCGTGGTGACGCGTCCATGCCACAGGCAAAGCTCGCTACAAATGGACTTCACAGTACGGAGGGTGGTCATGGCTGAGATATGTCAAGCAGACCCATGCCAGCAAAGCAGTGCTTCCACATCGGCAATCTGCCAAACCTTGAGCATGGGCGCTTGGGTCTAAGCAGCCAGGTTGCGGTGCTCAGGCCCGCAGAAAGACATGCCCACGTGCAAACAGGGCAAAACCATCACTGTAGCCGACTCAGCACCCCACCCTCGTAGAAAACCGTGCAGCATGTCTCAGAGATGGTAGACATCAAGACTCTGGCGTGAGACACTGCAAATCTGCTCAGATGGAAAGGGGTGACTATATGGTCTCTCGACCTCAGAAATAACCACCACAGTTACCTCAGCCGTCATCGTTAGAGCCATTAGAGCACATGGGTAGGGATCACAGAGAGTATAGCATTTGGATCCCCAAGGATGAGGGAAAGGACCGTCTGTGCCATGAAATAGCACGGCTCAGCAAAAGAGCAATACAGGGGAGGTGGCAGACCAGGGAGAGCTTTGTGTCCATGTTGGCACAGTCTACAGTACAGACGCACACCCGTCAGCGGCTTATGATATTACATGACAGATCAACCTTCTTCCTCTTCCAGGTCTTTCAGGAGGTTCCTCAGCCTTGGGGGTTTCCTCCCCCTCTTCGTCCTCCTCTCGGGTCTCTGTCCAACAAGGCCCCTAGGACGACCTGACAGGACGCCCTTGCCGTCATATTCCAGATCCACGACCTTGGGACGCCCCTTCTTGCCGCTCGCAATAGCTCTGGTAGCCCTGACACCGCCATCCTGGGGTATGACTTCGTCTTCGGCGATGCCTCGGCCGAGTCGCACGTTACGTCGCACGCGGGTCTTGGCGCCCAGGGCCCATAGGTCGCCCCATCTTGCCTTGCGCGCGTCGTGGTATGCCTGTTTGCTGAAACTCCGTGGCACGGTCCACCGCTCGATAGTACCCGCTGGTGTGCAAAGGTCGAGGGTGACATGGCCCTTGCGCTTGAGGGGTGGGAGGATATTGCGTGGAAGAGAGAGAGGATGAGGGCGGTCTGGACTGTCTGGTGCCACACCCTCATAGCCAGCAAACGCCTGCGTTGTGGCCTCCACGCCCTGACGTATCGGCTTCACAGCGACCGGCCTAGAATTGCTCTCAAGAGCGGATGAGGGCGCCTCTGCCGGTGCGGGGGTTGACACCGGCATACCACGGCGGACTGCAATGTAGCTGAAGTCGATGTCCTCATGGTTGCGATGCGTTGCCTGGAGGATCCTTTGTAGAAAAGGAGGACGGGTGAACCGCTGACTGAAGTGACAGAAATCCTTGCGCCCGGGACTAAGACCTGGACTCAAGTACATAGGACATTTTGAGTGGTTCGTGCACGGCGCGACGATCATTCCGGGCTCACGAATTCGCTCCACATCCTGCTCGATCGCTTCCGGCACAACTCCGTCTGTTGGTGGGACGATGAACTCCCCTAGAAGCCTATCGCGTACATCAGCAATAGCCTCAAAGCCTCTCGGATGCCCCTTCTCAAGCATGATGAGGACGCCTCCCTCAGGTGACAACAGCGACCACAGCTGGTCAAGGATGTCCTTCCGCCTGTATTCCTTCTCAAGTGGCATGAGGAGGTGCGTGGCGATGATCACATCGTACACTTTCCGTTTTTGTGGGACCTCGGGGGCATCAAGTTGTTTGTCCATGTTCTCTACCGAGTGCGTATAGTTTGGCAGTCGAGGCAAAAACTGGGTGTTTTCGAGAAAACGTGATATGCGGTGTCGCAGCTGATTCGACCCAACAATGACTGTCCTCTTCCCTGACGGTGCCGGGTCTGCATCTGTAGTCTCCGCTTCGTTGTCGCGCAAGGTATCCCATTCTGCCTGGAGCACGTTTTGCCAGGCTGCCAGTCCAGCACCGCCAGCGCCAGCGTCAAGCACGCGGGGCCCTTCGCCGTCTGCATCTTTTCGGTTCAGAAGGCCGCGCAGCCATTCGGGGCCCAGTCTCTTGCGCACCTCGACCAGAGTGCTGGTGACAGATGCGTAGATCCCAGGCAGTGCTGTGGCGATAAAAGCGTCTGCATCGATCTCTGACATCTTGTGGTGCCCTGCCTCTAGGCCCAGGCCCTTCTGCGGCAAGTTCTTGCCAGTGCGAGGAGTGGCTGGCGAATGTGGGAGGCCCGGGCCGCCGAAACGCTTCTCGGCCGTCGCTCTGATGTGCTTTGTGTCAGTCCGTCTTAGCAGTTCCGTAATCGGTTCGACAAAATCCACACTTGGCAGCTGTAGCGTGCTTGGTGATGTTCTGAACAGGCCCTCCGTAGTGTACCGATGTTGGCGCGGGCCCTCCTGGCCTGGATACCAATCTAGAAGCTGAGCATCGGGTTCTGTGTCATCGACGTCCTCTTCCTCTTCCTCGCCCTCCCCCTCGTCCTCATATTCCTCTTCGATGTCCTCTTCCCTCGCCTGTGCCTCCTTTGCCGCAGCGACTGCGTCTTGCACGGCAGCGACTCTCGCTGCTTCAAAATCCTTTTGCAGTTGTAAGAGGGCATCGTACTCGCGTTGGTTGCTCGCATTGACCTCGATATATTCAAGTTGCGCATCAGTCGGTGGCTGTGCCGTCAGCAGCTCCTCGGCGATGGCTGCTTCTTCTTCGCCAGCGTCAAGTCTGGGAGTGGACTGGGATGTATATTCCACCTCTTCCAGCCCGCCGTGTCGAGTCTCCCGAAGTAGTGTGTTTTTAGCCACGCCAATTGCGTCTCTCTGCTCGAACTCGCCCAAGGACCCAAACCCGACATCTTCTGGTCTCGTGCGGCGCAGTGGCGCCCCATAAAGCCTCTCGTAAACTGCATATTCTTCCTCGGACAAGTAGCCCTTGGGAAGGGTGTCGCCAAACATGCGCTTCGCCTGTCGGACTACCGTTTCGGGATCCTGGTCTGATGGTAGGCGTGGCTCATCAGGCTGTGCTGCGATTTCTTCTGGGACATGGCGTGGCGTTTGACTCTCGGCTGCGTCTTCAGTGGGTCCATTCTGGAACTTCCTTGATGTGGTCGACAAGAGTCGTGCACTTTGTCTGCGGCTGCGGAGCCTGCTTCTCGAGACGACGTGCTGTGAATTTGGAGCTATGGCGGGACTAATCTCCGCAATGGAGTGCACATAAAGCTTCAGGATCTGAGCTGTACATGATGGGCATGCATTTTGCAGCCTCCTGGCAGCAAGCATGGCGACAGAGTTGTGGTGTTGAGTTGCAAGAAGAAAAAGTTTACGCAGGGCAGGTGGTCCAACCGGAAGCCCCAAATTTCAAATCTGCGGTGCTTCAAAGTACTGTGTAAGCTTCTGCCGCGGCGCGGGAGGCGGGCCACTGACGCGGTAGGAGCTCCCCACCCGGTGGCAATTAATCATGCATGGATCTGGCCCATGTTCCACCCATGGGATTCTCGATGTCCATTTTGCACTACCAGTACTATCTGCAAAGACTGAAAGATTGGCTTTCTATAATCAAACTGCACTGCCTGTCGGCATGTGTCCTTCCCAAACGCCAATGGCCCCGAAGCCCAAGAACGTGTTCCGCTCATATTACCCACGGCTGCCACGCCGACCACGCTGCAGACTGCTTGCTACCTAGTCCTTGTAGAGACCCATCATCTAATCGCCACCAAGATCGGCTAAAGTCCGGAACGTGGCCTTGGGGGCCGATTTCTTGACGCTGCCACCGCTCGCGGAGCTGCTTGGGGTGGTCGCAGGTGCAACAGGATTGTGTATGTTGTATCTGGAGCCCTCGGCGGCTTTGTAGGGGTCAAACTGTGATCGCGGTTGTCAGCATGAAACACCCCCCAGGGGGAGAAGACCAAGGCCGAGGAGTCCTCACCGAGAGCAGCGAGACCAGATACAGTCCGAAAAAGTTGATGATGGCGTTCAGAAAGTTGTTTAGGTCCCACTTGATCGGCCTTCGAAGCGACGCCCGGGATTGGGAAGCAGAACCGCTGGCCCCGAGGGTGCGCCCAGGGGCGCTGAAGCCTGCTCCAGCGGTGGGACCTGCCAGCTTGACGGCCTTCTCTACCGCGGCGGTCAGTGCAGGCGGGTTCGCTCCCTGTATGGTATCGATAGCTTGGCCGTTCTTGAAGATCATAAAGGTAGGCATTGCGCGCACGCCGTACTGCGATGCGATTTCCTTCTGGTTGTCGACGTCGACCTTGGCAAATACAATGCGCTTCGGCTTGGAGAATTTGGTCGCAAGAGACTCAAACGTAGGCGCGATCATTTTACATGGACCACACCAGTCGGCATAGACTGGAGCGAGGCAGGCGATTATCAGTTCCAAAGCTGACTCCAAAGCTGACGGACTGGCCAGGGCCTCACAGCACACTCACAGTCGGCCACCACGATGCTGGACTGCAGGATTTGTCGCCATTCGGACGAGGACCCGACGTGGACAGCCATGTTTTGTCAGATATCTCCCCCGGTCGTAGGTCAAAGGTTGGTGACAAGCGTTGGATGGGAGAGCCGCAGCAGGGACGCCAGTTGAAGATGGGCGTAATCTGGCCGGATGCCCGCGTCGCTGGTCGGTCAGTCAGGTCAGTCAGCCAGCCAGGTACATGGATACCTAGGTACCTAGGTACTCCTTACTTAGGCACCTATGTATAGTACTCCATAAGCCGGTTGGTCAGGGTGCGTGAGGGGGTGGGCCCCCGGGAGGCACAAGCGGAAGGCGGACAGCGATAAGGGGGCAGAATCTCTTATCGGGAATTGTTGCAGGTTTTCATTGAGAGACGATCCAGACACCTCTGGTCGTCACTCAACGCTCTCATCGATGCCGATGTTTTAATTAGGTTTCGTTCCATCATTGGATCATGTCTTACTCGGCAGATCACAGGGCCAAGGTCAGTTCCGCAATGCTTGTTCCAATCTTCCCACTCGGTGACCCCGGCCCGAATTTCCAACCTTGACACAAAGCTTGCCGTGTTTGATGAATTGCCGTACTGACTGGTCGCAGAGGAGGAGAACTGACGATGACGGCGAAGATGTCAGCCAACCCACCTTCAAGCCATCGGCTAGATTCCAGCCAACAGGCGGCCGTGGCTTCACGGTTTCGATAGCTGTGCCTGGCAGCATCATCACAGAGTAATTGGACACCTCTGCCACGTTGACTGTGCGTGATTCGAGTATATGTTAACATGGTCCAGCTTGAAAACCGCGGATCAGAGAATAACGACCACAGGTCGCATTGCCAGGGCATTGGCCGTCTTCTGTGTGGACGAAGTAGTCGTCTACGATGACAGCCCAAACGAGTCTCGGCCACGAGCTGTTGACAAAGACAGGTACACCGGCGATACCGACCCGTGTCACTTTATCGCACATGTTCTTGGTTATCTGGAGACACCCCCTTTCATGCGCAAAGCATTATTCCCGCTGCACGACAACCTGGCAAGGGCTGGTCTGCTGCCCAGTCTAGACATGCCGCATCATCCTCACAAGGATGAGTGGCTGCCGTTTCGGGAAGGATTCACGGTCAGAGGACGTCCCGAGAGCGGCAAAGGGTAAGCCAAGCAAACATTTCAGCCTTTAGATCTTCGCGTCTAACGAGGACCCAGGACATCCGTGGACATTGGACTGCAACGGCCCGTAACCATCGCCGAAGAGATCCCTCCGAACACGAGGGTGACTTTGCAGTTCCCCGACCAATCACTAAAAAACCCAGAGCCAGTACATCCACAGACTCCACGCACCGAGGCAGGATACTATTGGGGTTTTTCTGTCCGAAATGCGAGCTCGCTCTCAGCAGTGTTCACGGAGAGCCAGTTCGAGGGCGGCTACGACATGAGCATAGGCACATCTGAGCGGGGAACGCCCGTCAACAAGGCCTTTCCTCCCTTCAAGAGGCAGACATTTAATCACCTTCTGGTCGTCTTTGGCGGGCCCAGGGGTTTAGAGTACGCGTCTATGAACGATCCAGAGCTGGGTGGGATGGGTATCAGTGGAGGCCGGACGAAAGAGCTCTTCGATCACTGGGTCAACGTCTTGCCGAATCAAGGCAGCAGGACCATTCGGACGGATGAGGCGGTCCTTATTTCGATGACCGCGCTGAGAAGACTCTGGGATGACAGTTGAAGGGATTTGAAAGCACCCATGGCTGGGTAGGAGGCAGATAAAACAGGGGCCTCGGACGGGAGTCTCCCATCAAAAATTATACGCGCGGCCGCATCAAAGCCCACTAGGTACGATCCCATCCAAACGGATCAAGTGGTGATGTTGAGCTAGAAGGGGGTTTGGTTGACATTTGCGACACTAGCGAATCGAACGTCACCTATATCGCGAACGAAGAAGAGATAGCAGAGCAACATCGGCCGCTGGTCAAAGTCAGTACGCTTGTGCGGACCTTAGCAGACCTAAGTTCAACTTGATCAATTAGAATAATCTGGAGCTCTCAAATCAAGCTTTCGCTACGGCCTGTCATCGCGTTGGTCGGCCAAGACTCAAGCTTCCAAGGTTTCGGATCAGCCCCTGAAGAATTGTGGAGAAGCTAGAACATGCCTGGCCGCTTTGCAGATGCTGAAGCATCTCTTCCCATTTCTAGGACAGATGCGTAAGCGGAAGCTCACACGTGTCAATGCAATCGAAACAACTATGATGGGTCTCCGGACTTGAGCATATTCGTGAGGGATTGAAACGTGGCTCGAATAGGTCCCGAACCACCCCGTGTGCCCGCCCTGCTTCTAGAAACTGCGGCCAATTGAAGGGCTCAAATATCTAGGCATGTTCATGGCTTCAATGATCTCCGCTGCTGGCTGGGCTTGTATCAAGTCAGCGAAGAGTAGCTGTTCTCCGGAAATTGTTGAGCAATTTGAGGCACCGAGAAATTTCTAAGTCGCGATAATCCGATTGTGGACTTTGAGCAGGTGTCATGTCCCTCAAGTGCTCCATGATGTCGTTGAATTATGGACAGTGCCAGTTTGGGACCGGAGGGGCAAGGAGCACATATTCCAGAGTCACGCATGATCTAAGCTATCAGTGCACGACGTGTTCTGACACATGATAACGAGCAACATTTTCACTAGCGAGGGCAGGAAGAAATGCATGATTTTGACGCACAACCGAATACATCGCATATTACACTACCGTAGTCCCGCTATATCCAATGTAGGAGGCTGTCCTGTGAGATATTGGAGACTATCTTACGAGAGGGAATCTCCTATAGGAATCACTGTTATAGGAGGTTAGAGGCTATCTCATAAGAGAGCATCCTATAGTAAGCTGTTCTATGGGACGTTGGGGAGAAATGCCGTGGCCATGGAGCGGACATCCAAGTAGCGTTCATTTATATCTCATACTACAGCTTGAAAGTCGACACAAATGATGCTATGGGCTTACTTCAGACTATAGGCGGGGCCATCGCATGTACAGCCTTTTTATCTTCTCTCAAGCTTGTGAATTGGTACATGTGTAGATAGTGGGGGAAACCATGCATATTTACGCAGCCAAGCCTTGGAATGACTCTATCACTTTCATCCGACTGTTTATGAGAGGTTGATTTGGGCTTACAGTTCGATTCTGTTGGAAGCAATTGACAGGATATGTCTGTTTGATTTGTAACGTCCATTATATACTGAGATACAGTCTAAATTAAATCTACAAGGGCCTTCCTCTCTGAATGTCGCGGTGGATGTCAAGCTCAGGCCGCTCCATATCTTCAAAATTCCAGATTAAACACAGGCTGGAACGCTAGTTCTCTGATGAAATGTAAAAGCCGAAAGGGGGCGTTTCTAGAACTGACGTGAGTTACGTGAGCTATTACGTGAGCTGTAGGAGCGATGACCGAAAGCACTCGAGTCCTACGGATGCCTGCAAGACAGCTCGCTAGGCTTTGGTAATTGCATTTATTGGCTTTGTTTCACTAAGGAAACATTCCAGACAAATTTATTTGTCCAGGGCAATGCTTTTGATGAGATTGTGGTCCTCGGAGACGAATGTTCACAATTCTCATTGTGTGCCCAGGTGCACATGTGGCTTGACTTGAGGCTGGCCCCTTGAACAATCGGTTGATGCTGAAAGACATCGGCTTATTACTATAGTAGTAAGAGGTTGAAACAGGCTGCCTGATTCCAGGTAGCATAGCTTCTTTCAAGTGAATTCGTACGGTGATCTTTCAGAACGGCCCAAGTCGTTTCAAGGAGGCAGATACTTTCATCTTTCGAGGACCCGGACTGGCTGAATGCGAGACGTGCTCTTGTATCGCATATAAAGGCATTCAGATGTCTCCCGTCATTAAGAGTTCCTCGCAGATGTTGCGACCAGAAAGGAAACGTGAGAACCAATCGCTCAAGTTCTTCAGGGCTTCCAGTTCAGACGAAAAGCGAAAGATTGTGTCAAGGTGTTGATGGCATAATGGCACCCATTCCCAAACGCCAAACTCAGACGACTGGAATCACCGTTCCTCCAAGTGAGTGCCCCCCACGCCAATCACCGATTCCTGGGTAAATACCTTGATCTGTGGTTCATTTCGAAAGCTTTTTATGCCATTGAATATATAAGTTGTGGTCACGGCTGTATACTGAGGAAAAGCTCGAAACAGAGTGGAAAGGAAAGATCCCGGCTTTCTTGTTCCGGGGTTGGAAGTCTGAATCAGGTGGCAATTCCAGGCTCAACACGAAAGATGCTGTCACTCCTCATGCATTCTACGGCTCGCGGGGGGAACCGGGAGACAAGTTGATCTCCAAAATCCCCCAGGCACAGATCCAGTCGGAGATCATGGGTCATCTGGGGGGAGGCCTCGTCACGACCCATTTCAGTTCTTGGGCTGCGGATCTCCAGACAGCTCTGGGTTTTGCAGGCGTCGGCAAAGACGCGCACATTGCCGTGTTCGAGACCTCACTCCGGGGGCAGCACAACGAAATTTACCATGTGCCCGCCCTCAAAGAAATGGGCCTTACTCCATGTTACTTCCCCGAAGAGTACCTGGTGTATGGCCCTGTTTCGGGTGAGGCGTACACGTGCGTGTCCGTTAGGCGTCTTCGCGACCTTAATTTGGGCTTGACCGTGGCATCTCGCATAGAGGGTAAATCAAAAGTCTCAGTGGCAGAACTGAAACACTGCGAAAAGATTGCTTACGAATTCCGACCAAAGCGACATATTGCCTCCAAAGGCCCTGCCCTGTTCTTGGCGGTGTTCGCTGCTGAACTCGGTCGTCTTTTGCGTGCAGCGCATGGAAGCAATGTCGGCGTAGGATGGTCTCAAGACGACAACAAAAAGATTTTGTCTCACCTCTCTGCATTAGGACTCGTGGACCGAGCCGCCAAGAAACCTCAGAAGAACTCATTGGTGAATCCGAAGACCTTCGTAGACGGCTTCCCTCAGTTGAAAGCGATGGTCGATATTCTTATGACACTTGGGCTCGAGATTGAACGGAGGAGACCCGAGGCTTCCAAACTGTCGTCATCCAAAACACTTGAGCCACCGAAATCAGGAAAGAAGAGGAAGTTTGATGATACAAAAGCCCCGAAAGATCCGAAACAGCCTAATTCTCAATCTATGCACCCGTTGGACGCCCAGGCACACTTGCTGAGAGGCAGACTCATTTCGGTTTTGACAGAGAAGCTTGAAAGCGTCAAGTCCGTACCGGAAGTAACTGGGAAGTCCATGCACCGATCAGCCTCTCATCTTGACATCCTGATCAAGTGGGCCCTGGACTTTGACGCCGAACTGGATCGTGCAGCAATTTCGATTTCGTCACTTTCTGCGTCCTGCAACGGACTGATCGGGTCGTTGAACGGGGAGAAAGCCAGAAGTGCCCGACCACGTAAGCACTTGCACAAAAGGACTTGAGCTGGGAACTTCATATGAAGTGATCAATTGTGAAGGAGATAGAAGATTATGAGCGGGTCCACCTGGCCACCTGCAGTTATCAGTGCTGAGCACTACCTGTTGCGAAGAGACCTTATGCTGCATCAATGTAGGAGAAGATGGACTCTGGAATACGGGATCGGAGGGTACCTAGGTAGTCGTCAACTGGTCGGGACAAGGAAAGCTGTTGATGTACCACATTCCATCTGACTTTCAAAGCAACGGGCTGTAGTTGGAAAACACTGAGAGTCAAACGTGTTTCCCTTTCAAGAATGCAAGGGAAACACCTCGTCAATTTTGGACCAAGGCAAATGCTACCAACCTTGGAAGACATGATTGGATGCCAGGTGGCTTGAGGCAAGTTTTCTGATTTTCCTTGGTGCATTTGGCAAGTATTCGGAGGCAGATCTGCCCTTATCTTCAAGGTTGAAAGGAGCCCAGCACAGGCGAGTTGGGTACCTAGGTATCCAACATAGAGAGGAACATGGTTGAGACTTGGCCAAACGAAAATGAATTTTAAGCTATGGGTCTGGTCTTATCTACCTAGGTAGCCAGGATTGTGAGAATTAAAGCAGTCCGGAGCCAATCCTACTTACCATACATTTATCAGTCTCAGTTGAACAAAGCCTGCTATTTGTGGGGGGTTTAAAACTGACTGGGCAGTACGCGTCTCGTCTCGCTTACCCGCCTGCCCTGGGCTACCCTGCGCCGCCCCTTCCCTTCCTGATTTCAACACAGAAAGGCCCACAAGTCTGAAGAATTGGTCTTCTTGTCTTTGAATCTTCTATGCTTACTCGTTGGTTCCATTGGGCCTTTTGACTCTCGATGTATCTGATTGAGACGCTACATGTGCAAACTTCAGTTTCGTCCCAACACCGCGTCTCCTTCTCTTTCGCGAGCAACACGCCAAGCTCTTTCCACCTCTTCCATCGAGCACAACTCAAAGCCTCGTCTCTCAAGCTGTCAGCCACCCCATAACTTCCACTGATACCTTCTCGAAGCGATTCAAAAGTCTTGACAGTGATTACTGGCGCGGTGTGCAGCCCCGCCACGGTCGCCGCCAGTCAACATGTCTAGACGAATCACTCCGCTGTACGTGTTTGACAACCCAGCCGAGTACCACCGCCGCCACAGCCAGGGCACCTTGGTCGAGTTTCAGAACGAAAGCAAAGAGATCAATGCCTTCAATGAAAGGCGGGTCGCCTTCAAGACCTGGGTGGTCGCCAACGTATGGCAAGGGAGAGAAAAGTCGGGCTGGATGTTTCTGATCCGCCCCGGAGACCAATCCCAATGTTTCCCAAAGGAGGGAGATTCCTGCGACATCATGATACTTTCCAAGTCTGGCAAAGTCCAGAGGTCGAAATGGCTCGACGCTGAGCGTGTCGACAACCCCGCCGCTTCGATGGGTCTTGATGGAGCGCACCTCGCTGCTTTCGAGGTCAAAGTGCCGAAAGATGTCGCAGCAGACGTCCTGCGCCCAATCAAAGGCGATCCAGATGACCCCGAGCACAGCGGTGCGCAGAATAAGGGCAACAAGTACCTTCTTGGTGACAAGAAGGCAATCATGGTCAACATCAAGTTAAGAATTTCCTCTGCTACCAAGGACGCCGAGTTTGGCGCGCTTACCAAATTGGCGCTGAACCCAAAGAACGACCGTACTCAGAAGCAGCACGACGCCTTCTTGTACTTGATGGACTTCAAGAACCCGCGGTTCACCGTCAGTCTGTTCAACCATTTCCCTCACCTAGCGGATCCGATGAACAAGGGACTGCTCCCAACCAAGGTCATCACTATGCTGAAGGGATTTAACGAACACCAAATCACCGCCTACAGAACTCTTCTCGGTTCTCTGCCCTGCGGCCTTGGACTGCTCCCAGGAGGCCCTGGGGCAGGCAAAACCCACTGGAATTTGGTGCTCACCACGGCCATACAATCCAGGAACGAGATTTGGCTTGCCCCAGGTAGGCCTGAACCGCGATCTGCCAAAGTTCTATACTTGATAGACATAAACAAACCCCTCAACGATGTGTCCAACAAGATGGTGAAGCTGTACAGAACCTTGGGAATGAAGAAACACGCCGTGCGGCTTTACGGCTGGCACTACCGAGGCGCTGGCACTGGAAAGGTGGACTTCTCTGACAAGTTCATGTTCCTCGCAAGACTGAACAGATACCGCAAGCATTCTTTCAACCCAGACTGCTTGGCGCCCACCCTCGACGAGCTCGCGTGGGACGTCTACGAATCACAAAAGACCAAGAGATATAAGGGTCTGTACGAACTTATGGGCAAGGCAATGAAGAACGGGAGTGCCGCCAAGACAGACGAGTTCAAGGACAGAGTGAATCAACTCTACCGTGATGTGCTCGATCATGTCGACTTCATAGCGACGACTCCTGTACCAGCCGCTACCGCTTTCGACGGCTACTTCAGGCCGGACTTGATCCTGTATGATGAGAGCCCGCACAGTCGCGAGGCTTCCACCTTGGTCGCTATTGCTAACTTCGAGCCTGTTGCATGGATCTTCAGCGGTGTAAGTTTGTTTGACCAGGTTGAAATTAAGCCTCGTTGTAAATTAACATCGTTTAGGATCACCGTCAAACCCGGCCCTACGTTGCCTCTGACGATGTTCGAGACAACCCTTGGGTCCCCCAAATGCTGGTCAGCATGATGGAGCGCGCAGACCGAGCAGGAGCGGTGCCACATTCTCTTCTCATCAACCACCGCGCCTATGGAGGCCTCCAGAAGCTCGCATCAGGCATGTTTTACAACATGAAGATGATCAGCGGCCACTCGGACCAAGAGCTCTTCCCGCCGTCGGTGCAGCACCTCCAGAGATACCTGGAGCGCTTCTTGGATCCCGGACAGACGTGCCGCGAGCCTCGCCTGATCGCCTACAGCCCCAGACGCGGCGAGGTCAAGGTCGGCACTAGCTGGTTTAATGAAGACCATGGTGTGTTTCCGCCCCACCTTCAGCCCACACAACGAAGACTTCACAGGCTATATTTTGTGACACAGGCTGTGGCCGCCTTGCGGCCCACTGCTCGCCGTGTTAGCATGAAGCTTCTTCTTTGGTTCTTTGGCAGCTGACACCAAGTGCTTGCTATAGGTTGTTGGGTCATGGATCGAGTGATGGAGCTGCTCCAAGACCCAAGCTTCCGCCAGGTCGGGAGGACTGATCGTGGCACCATCCTCATCATCTCTCCCTATAAAGAGGCGTACCAGAAATACAAGAAGTCGATCAAGAATTTACCCCAGATGTTTCAGGCACGGCTGGGAGTGGAGGCCCGGCTAGAGGCACGCACAATCGACACGGTCCAGGGAGGCGAGGCAGACTTTGTTTTCTTGGACCTCGTCCGTTCCAGTGCAACGGAATTCACTGATGATCCCAATAGGCTTTGTGTCGCCCTCACGAGGGCACGTCAAGCCGAAGTTGTCTTGATGCACCCTGGAAGTAAGTTAGTGTCACTCGGCACACTGCCGTGGGATTTCTACCGAGATGGGAAAGTGAGCTAATACCCCAAAGTGTGTAGAGCCAGTCGTTTTTTGAAGGGGATCATGGCTCACTGTGAGAATCTGGGACAAGTGGTACATACAGAGAAAGCTCCGAAACAAATAGCCGCGGTCCCAACAGAGGCGAGAGCCCTGGAGCTGGACGCAGCTCGTCGGCCTGCCATCGAACGCCATCGTGCAATGCTTGGCTTGGAGCCTCGATTCGACACTGCCAGCCCAAGCCCTTCTTCGCCTGGAAAGCCCGAGCCGGAATCCATCTACGCCGCCCAGTTCTCGAATATGGCCAAAATTATGGAGGATATCTTGGAGAGCAACAAGAGAAACCGTAATGTTCAGGAGCAGGCAGCCAGCCATGCCGAGCAGTCCGATACTACACAAATCTCAGGTGAAAATGGCTCGCCATCCCACCAGCAGACTTCGATGAGCGACGAACAGGCGCCACATCCATCGCGTGGGGTCTCAGCCCCCAATGGAGGGCTGTCAGATGGTGCTTCTGCGACGAGCGGAAAACCCGATGTGAAGCCGGGACTTGCGAGTTCTCGCTGGATTACTCCCGAGCAGCGAGCAACAGTTCATCCTCAAGCTTACCCAGCTCTCCAGCAGGACCATCGCATGAATACTGGTCCAAACGGTCATCCCCTACCTCGAGCGGTTGCACAAGCCCAGACTGTCGGTCAGTCCGGAGATTTGAGTACCAAGTCAACCGCCTCTCCCGAGCCTTCTGGTCGGGCCGCTTCCAGGCCCGCCGTAGGCGGCAACGGAAGAGCGAGAGATGGCGAGGAGACCGGCTTTCTCCCTACGGGCCAGTCATGGTGGTGATTTCCTGAGTCGTCATACCGCCATGGTGACAACTCGACATGCGCAGCGAGAGGTTCGTAGGGCCAGAGTCGCATTGATAAGCCGCTGACCATGCGTGCGTGCGAGTGCTTTTTAGCTTCTCTTTACAGTTGTGGTTCGGGTTTGCAACGGTTCAGTTCTGTACACAAATGTAGCCTGCCTCACGAGATACTCAATGATATTGCTTTAGGGAGGAGGAAAACGTCTGATGATCAATCTGAGATGTGGAAGGTGCTTCCATACGAGCCCAATGCACTGCTATGAAATTTTGGTTCCTCCTATGCCAGCACTTGAGATGACATGTTTTCCACGCATGCCCGGGGACTGCTGAAGCGGCCCTTGTTGGCCCGGAGGTGTTTGGCCACACCCTACCACTCGGCCGAGTGGCCGTGGTACGCCCAGAGTGCATTGTGCAGGGGCCGCCTTTTCATGCCTTTGCTTCGGAAGTCTTCTGGACCTTCTACGTAGAGGGGTTGTCCTATAAGAGGTTGCCCTATGGGAGGTTATCCTATGGGAGATTGTCCCATGGGAGGTTATCCTATGGGAGGTTGTCCCATGGGAGGTTATCCCATAGTAGGTTGTCCCGTAGTGGGTACTCCTCTAAGGGTAGACTTCCTACAAGACGTTGTCGTACAACACAATGAGAAGGCTGATGCCGTGGTTGTGAAGGTTGTGAAGTGAAGAGAGTTGTAAACCAACTCAACAAAGCATTTCCTATATGCAATAGTTGTGAGGGAGTTTGTCCTGTTTCAAGACAAGCAGCCCCCTACAAGTGGGTACTTTGCGCGATTAGGGATCGTACAAGAGATCTGGAAGAAGCACAACGACGATCCACTATTGATGCCTTGGCTGTGGCAGCGGTCACCCGGTCACCAAAGTAAAACCCGTACTATTTGATGATTATTGCTGGTCTTCGACGAAATATGCGGGCCACGATGGATTGTCGTGGAGATCAGGGCGGAAAGACCCGTTGGAACGATCTTCTGGGAGTCTGGCCGCGATGGACGTGAGATGGTCGGCCGGCAAGCCGATCGAGGCCGCGAAGCTTGAGGCAATGCTGGAAGCCACGGTGGGAGGCTACAGTGTCAGGAGTGTACATGATGTCCTCGTGCCGGGTGGGCTTCTCGAAGGGTTTCCTTGCAGCACGTGCCCTGAATGACTTCCGCCTTGACAACAGCACAGCATACCGAGCTCCGCGACGGGCCTGGCCACGTTGTACAGATCTGCTGCCCGCTGCTGTGCCAAGGCGGAGCTAGTGCACGGTATCTCGCGCGCATCGGGTCCTGCCTGGGCCTGGCAGTCTGGCAGTCTGGGTGGCAGGGTGGTTGGGTTGATGGGAGGGTCCGAAGCTCGATGCGTGTGGCTTCTGAGGCTCGTACCGATCAGGCTTTTGTGTACGGAGGTACCTAGGTACTGTGGTGTGTGGGGCTGGGTGTGCACAGTACTGTGTATGTACTTAAGTATGTAATTCTCCACCGTCACAGATGCAAAGATGGACAAATACCCAGACTGCCAGATACCCAAATACTCGAGTTCTAAAGTGCATACTTGGGTGGCACAGACGTGGACCCAAGGGCAGAAGGGCTGACCCAAGGGGCCAGGGATCGGCAGAAGAAGATGGGCATGGGCATTTACAACTTCACGATGCACATTCGGGATTCCGATCAGGTAGAGCCATCTGGCATGGTGGTGTCATGTGTGCTCAGATGCGAAAGTTGAAAGACAACGCAGGTGTTCCGCAAGGGGTCTAGGCGTGGTGCAAGAGACAATGGCCGCGATCGTCGCCGGGTCTGACGTCGTCGACCCTGGGCGGCTCGGAGTTCGGCAGTCCACAGCTCAGGCACCTTGTGGTCCATTTTACACGAGTGTCCTCATACTATAGTCTAGTAAGTCTGGTCTGGGTCAGCTACGCTACCACAGTAGACCGCAGCTCCGCCCCGCCGTCCGCCCAGATGCCGAGAAAAGAAGAGGGCAAGAGTCCCGGGAGGCCCCTCGAGATCTTGCAGCTTATAGTTGACGCCTGTGGCGACACAAGCACGCTGCCAGCTGCGCATGCGGTACGTACCGTGTCGGCGCAGGGGTCTGTCAGGGACCAGAAGCAAAAAGTGGGGACTCCAAGGAGCGACCGCTGTCTGGACTCGTGCCGAGTATTGACGTCTCTCTGACCCTCGATCTCCGGGCCAGCCTCCGCCTCTGGATATCGCCAGGCCGGCTGTGGAAACAGTCCTTTCTTCCCCCCCCGTTCGCCTCTCGACCGCCCCCCTCAGGGCTGGTACGGAGTAATGTCCAGAATGGCCCCCTCGTGCCCACCAAGGGCTTCCGTCCCGTTCCCAGAACCCTGGATAATAAGGGCCTCCTCTCCAACAGCCACAACATCCATCCTTGCGCCTCTCGGGGGCCTCTTCAGATGCCCGGGAGCTCCTCCAGATCCCAAGCTCCAGAGTGCCGCCGTCGACCCTCGTTTTCGTGTCGATCGACGCGGACCGGTTGCCACCATAGCAATTAAGTCTCTTGATAAAGCCCTCCATGGCAAAATCTGTCTCGTCCCTCCGCCTAGACCGCGTCGATCGCTGCTAGACCACATATCAGTCCATCGGCGTAGCTGGTCAGCAATCGGGTCGCCGGGTCGCCGGGTCGCCCTCCCCACTGTCCCATCGCAGCAGAGCAGAGCCGCCGCTTTACGGCACCTCGAGCACACTGTGTCTGTTGCTTTTGCTCGAGAGGATCGCCAGTCCCTGACTCTTCAGACTGCCCTTCCAATTGGGCCCGAAGTCCCCCTCCAGAACCAGGGCAATCAAGGTCCCCATCAGAGAGGACCCCGGCCAAAAATATCACCAGCCCGCCGCTAGAGCCGTGCGCTGTGCGGCCGAGCGGGCGAGCGAAAAGTCCCCCTAGCTCCTTCCCATCCAACAATTCAATTTTCCAGCCCTTTCCCTCTCCGGCTTGGCATTCCCCGTCATATGCCGAGAGGTTGGCCCCCTTCGAGGCACATGTGCTGAGCCTCACCAGAGTCCCAGAGTCTCGCCTTCCACTTTCAGCCTCTCGTCCGGGATATAGGTCTTGCTGTGGACCAGCCGTCACTCTTTTTTCGTGCTTCTTCCCGCACGAGGCCGTCCCTGAATAACAGTATCCTTCCGCCCTCGCCATCGCCCAGTCGCCCGAGGGAACTTGACGCCTGGAATCGTCCTGCTTGGCTGCTACATCCTAGCTGGCGCGCCGATTTTGGAGTCTATGACACAACCATTCCAAATACAACCTCCAACCCAGGTTGCTGTTGTCTGAACTTCATCTAGCCGGGAAACCTGCCGAATGTTTCAGCCTTCTATGCACTGGGGCCACTTCCTCTTTAACTAGACTGCGGCCTTGATTCTTTTTCTCACCGTCTTGTCTCAAGCGGGAAGCCGAAACTTTTCGGAAGCCCACTCTACCTTCGACCCACGCTAAAAGGCTCAGAAAGTGCTCTCTTTCTCCAGCGACTCCAAGCCCAGGGCTGAAGTTGCAATCATCTTGACACTATGGCCAAGTCCAACATCCTGATCTATGTTCTCCGGCATGATCTACGCCTAGCGGACAACCCAGTCTTCCACAAGCTCGCCACCCACGGTGACCATGGCTTCACGCACCTCCTGCCGGTCTACATCTTCCCGGCTCAGCAGTTCGAGGTCTCCGGGTTCCTCAAGCCGGGCAGCTCTTCTCCCTATCCCGAGGCGAGAAGCGCAGTAAGCAAGGTCTGGAGGACCGGGCCCCACCGAGCAAAGTTCATCACGCAGTCCGTTTGGGATCTGAAGCAGTCACTTGAGTCTGTCGGTAGCGGACTGGTCATCCGCGTGGGACTGGTTGCAGATGTCGTCAAAGTCTTGCTGGACGGTTTCCGAGACCGACAGGACAATGTTGGCGCTGTGTGGATGACAGGCGAAGAGGGAGTCGAAGAGCGCAGGGACCAGAGGGCAGTCTCGGCGCTCTGTAAGAAGCTCGGAACTGATTTCAAGCTCTGGTCAGATGAGAAATATTATGTCGACGAGTTAGTAAATTTCTCGCGCCCCATAAGTCCTTCCTGAGGCGGACCCTTGCCTCCCGTGCCTGCGGCGATGCTGACCCGTGTATTCCAGTCGAGATGTGACAACACCTATCAGCGAAATCCCAGATGTATTCACCACGTACAGAAAGTCTATAGAGCCTCTGAGATCCCGGCCGCGGGCTACACTTGCCAAACCAGCCAGCGGGAAGCTTCCTCCCATGGTCGAGACATCGCATACACCTGACCAACACGGGCCCTTTGCCATACCGACGACTTACGATGATTTAGAGGATGCCGTTCTTTCCCCAGTCAGGAATTTCATTACTGGAATACCCCCATACCCCGACGGTGCTGAATCTGCACATCCTTTCCAAGGTGGAGAGACCGCGGGAAATGAACGACTACGTCACCTGATCAAGACCGGTCTGATGTACAGCTACAAGGAAACTCGCAATGGCATGATTGGATCGGCTTTCAGCACCAAGCTGTCCGCGTTTCTGGCCCAGGGGTGCGTCACAGCCCGACAAGTACACCACGAGCTTCTGAAATATGAGGATGGAACGGACCCAGATTACAAAGACGCGACTGGCTATGGCAACGGCGAGAATGACGGGACGAGCGCCGTGCGTTTCGAATTACTGTGGAGAGATTACATGCGGCTTTGTACGATGAAGTTTGGAGCCCGCCTGTTCCGCATCGAGGGTTTCAGAGACCACGACTACGACGGAGAAGGTGAAGGCAGCGCAAAGAGGCCAAAGTGGAAATCGTCTGTGAAGGAGGATGCCCTCCCGGAGCAGAAGCCGAGCCCAGACGAGGTTGCGAAAATCATTCAGCGGTTCAACACGGGCACGACCGGCATGGGCCTCATCGACGCATCGCAACGCGAGCTCCTTCACACCGGCTACACGTCCAACAGAGCACGGCAGAATGTGGCATCATTTCTCACGAAGCACCTCGGAATCGACTGGCGTTTCGGGGCGGAATGGTACGAGATGATGCTGGTGGATTACGACGTGTCTTCCAACTGGGCCAACTGGCAGTACGTCGCAGGCGTTGGGAACGACCCCAGAGGCGAGGCCCGCATCTTCAACCCGGTCAAACAGGCGTTCGACTACGACAAGGAAGGCACCTACGTCAAGACCTGGGTGCAAGAGGTGAAGCCGCTGGAGAAGCTGGAAAACGTGTTCCAGGTCTCGACGACGTCGGCCGAGGAGCTCGAGAAGGCAGGCCTGACGGACAGCATCATGGTCACGGATCCGGTGAAGCGAATCGAGTTCCTGGTCGACGGCAAGCCCAAGAACAACAAGCGCCCGTTCCACCGTGCGCGCGGCTCGCGGCGGCCGCCCAGTGCCGGCGCGTTCGACAGCAACGGACGGCCCATACACCAGTCAAACGGCCCGGCCGGTCCGGGAAGCTCAGACGGGGGCCCTGGGCACAGAGGCGCCCCGCATCGTGGCCGCGGCGGGGGTTATAACAACGGTGGACCGCGGCGTGGCTTCTACAGCGGGCGCGGCCGGGGCCAGTACGCCGTCCCGAACTACGGCCCTGGTTACTTTGGCGGCCCTCCACTCAACGGCCAGATGGGCTCGTTCGGCCGCGGCGCTTATCACAACATGGCGGTTAGAGGTGGCTTCCAAGGCGGTTATCCTGCGCCTTACCATACGGGCCCTCCCTCCTAGCGGAATGCGGAATAGCCACTTGTAGGATCAGATGATGGAGAAGCGTGCGTTGTAATTCAACCAAGGGAAAATTCCTGGCTTATCCGGAACAGAACAACTAGCGTTCAATGTACAGTACTGCATGAATACGAGTATATAATACTCGTGCATTCATGAGTAATATAAGCGGATTCTATCTTGCGCGAGGGAAGAAACAGAAGGGATGCAACACCTCATCCACTTACAACATGGAGTGCGATTCAAAAGGCATGCCGACCGAGGTATGGGAGGGTTACAACTATCATTGTGATGTGTGTACTATTACAAGTCATGAAAGTATGGGCCGAGTCCGTTGAGAGGGCGACTCGCTCGCGCCCACACTCTTTGATTTATATGGCCCGGCTTCTATATTTCTAAGACTGCACCTTGTGCACGCGGGGGTGGTCAAGCGCAGGATTGGCTTCTACATGTCCCGTGTATGCTCGCTCTGGGGTTCTCCATTACATCCCCTGACAGGGCGCGCAGTCTAGAAGTTCTCGGGCAGTCTCCTCAGGCTCATCGACTTGGGGGCCACAAACAGGGAGCGGCACTGGACGCACGTCTTGCCGTCGACGGTCTCGATGCTGGCGTCGACCCAGACCTTCCTGGCCCTCCTGCCCCTCTCGGCTGCGGGCAGCTCGTCGTCGGGCACGGCGCGGGCGCGCAGGACGTAGAAGTCGGAGGCGAGGGTGGGCCGCTTGTAGACGATGTCCAGGTTGGCGGTGAGCAGGCCGGCGCCCTGGAGGTCCTTGAAGGCGGCGCGGGCGGAGTGCTCGTCCAGCAGGGTGGCGATGGCGCCGCCGTGGACGACGCCGGGCCAGCCGATGGTGCCCGGGCCGAGGTAGACGACGGCGACAACCTCGCCGGTGGAGCGGTTGTGGAAGACGTGCTGGTAGGCGCCGACGCCGCGGGTGCCGGCGAGGGGCCCCGTCGTGATGCGGTGGGGGCGCGACGCGGGGGGGATGCCGTCGTAGGCGTCGTGGTGGAAGCCGGCCCACTCCGGGTCGGAGAGGAGGTGCTTGACGAGGGGCAGCGCGGCGGCGGCGGCGCGGATGTCGGCGGAGAGGGCGTCGTCTAGTCTGGAGGCTGGGACGATGGGCGGCGGCGGCGACAGCACGGCGCGGGCGGCTGTGCCTATGGTGAGGCCCAGGGCGAGGAAGACGGCTGCGGAGATCAAGCCCGGCCGGCTCCTTCGTGGCGGCGCAGCGGGCTGGTGTGTCTGGCTGGCGATCGAGGCGGTGGTCGACGTCGTGCGCGGGTCAAGCGACAATGGCGACGAGGTCGAGAAGGCGTGGGGGCGCGGAGGCGTTCGGGAGGCAGCTGGTGGACGCTGCGATGTGACACGGCATCGCCGTGCTGCCCGTGCTGCCCTCGCTGCCCGTGCTGCCCACAGCACTCGAGGCTGAAGCATCTCTATCGTCGGCGGCCGCGATGTGGCGGCGTTGACAGCCGGCTCAAAGGTGTCGCCCGAGACGGCACGCACTTGAAGGTTTGCGCCCGGCTGGCGCACAGGCCCCACCCACTGCAGAGCCTCGGCACTCCACGCACCACGCGCTACCTGTCCATCTAAGTACCGAGGTACCGACCCAAATACCTCCTTCATCAGACAGAGAGCAACGCATCAATGACTTCTTCTGCCGGGACACACCACGTGCCCTCTCGTGCTCTCTCATGCCCTCTCTGTGATGCCAACGACAGGACACCACGATGCCCCATGCCCGTCAGAGCCGCCGCGTGGGACATCAAGCCCAGCCTGACTGATCTTGCCCGTCCTGTCGTGTTCTCGTGCGACGGCGATAGCTTCGAGCTTGGCGGCACGGGCCGTCAAGCAGCATCCAGCAGGCAGGCCATATCGTCGATCACATGCCCGGTTGATCGCATGTCTTAGATCGCAGAGCTGGCCAAGGAGCTGAGGGTGGCTTGGCTGCCTTCTCTCGCTCGGTCAGCTGAACGGGGCACCGAGGCAAGAGGCTCACGATAACCGTCCGGGTTGTGTGTGATCCATGCGATTCCCGCTCGCAATCCCACGTCGGTCAACGGCCCTGATCACGGCTGTGCTTGCGGGTGCGAGGCAGTACTTTTGGCGCCGCACACTCGTATACCGTGCCGCGACCCCGCTGATCCGATGCAAAGAGTCAGCATTCCAGCTACGGGTCACATCGCATATTCTGGAACGAACGCCTGCAGCTAGAGAATGCCTGCCGCGGCCTTTATTGTCTGACTGCCTGCTCCTGTTTGATGCTTCACTGGACATGCTCATACAAGTGTGACTGGCCTCTCTTCGGGTACAGTAGCCTTTCAGCTTGGCCAATGCTTTAGCGATGGGTAGGCGCATCTCGGTCAGAGAATATGATGCTGGTCAATCCTCTCTGGCAACAAATCGTGCCTCATATCTCTTTCAAATTTTCGACTTGATGTTTCATTGCAAAGCCACCCCCTTCTTCTTATCCCACAGGGTTGAGACCCTCCCTCACCGGTCCGGTTCTATCATGCTTCTGGTGGGCATAGTGGACGAGACGGCTAACCTTGGACTTAAAACGTGCGATCATGTCATTGAACCCGAAATCCCACCCCGAGCATTGCAGACGAGCAGTTGACAGATCGACCTTGGTGCATCGAGGCATCCAAGAGAGCTCAAACAACCATACAGGCCAAGAGTTGCCTCGGGATGACTCGGAGGCATTACTTTGCGATCAAGGCTGTCCCACCCCGTGACAATCTATCGCACAGTATCAACAAGTGTCGTTTTCGGAAAACTGTCTGATCAACGTGTAGGAGATGATATTGGGGTTGTGCCACAGTTCGTTCCGCTTGCAACTCAGAAACCATGGAACCGGACAAGAGGAGGGGCTCCGGCTTCAGGGCTGTGAGACTGGAAATTATTGCCTTACATTTCTCGTATTCTCTCGTTCCGTGGAAACTGCATTTTGTGCCCTGTCTACAGGTGGACAGCTGGGAGGAAACCTCCGGCTGGCTTGATCTCCAGATTGTTGGGGCCGCTGGGGCCGCGTGTTGCGGTCGGGGCTGGGACATGCTACTGAGATGGAAGTTTGTATAGATACCTTGGGTGAACATGCAAGCAGATGGACTGATCACCAGGCATCTCCGTGGCACTAGACAGAAGTCCACTGCGTTGTCAGCAACAATGGATGTTGGAATGTTGGTGGCTGCAATACCATACCCGGGCACGAGTGTGGTCCGGGGCATTTCCAGGCGTCAAGCAGACGCTTTCTTTGAATCCATTGGCAGCTTCCGATCTCTTCTTTTGAGCGTCAGCAGCGTGCCATCTTGTGTTGTGCTCAACCGTGATCAGCTGGTCTTCTGGAACTGAGCATCGTGACAAACACAATTGAGGCTCACAAGGGTTGACCGAGTGTGGGACAGGTCAACTCGGACCGTTTTTGTGTTTCCGCATTTTGAAACAGTTTGACAGGCATGGAACCAGAGGCTTTACTGCCCTGGAAACTGCGTGGTTAGCAAATGCGGTCATTCTTGTACGAGATTGGCTCCAGATCTTTTGTCTCTTTGCGTGGCGGACAGGATTGTGCATGCTTGACCTTTGAGTTTGTCACTCGGCCCCAGGCATCCTGCACCCGAGAATGGAGTCCCTTTACACCCACGGCCCGATTCGGGCGAAAGGACTGAAAGCACTCAAGCTTGAATCTGCCTACAAGGCAATAAGAGCTACATAACAACAGAACCGCCCAACTGCGGTGTGCCTGTTGCCTTAACCAACTATCAAGCCGGAGACCCAGCCGTTGGCCACAGGGCCATCCCAGGATATCTCACCAAGGGATGAACACATGCATGTATGTTGCAAATTAAGCCCCATGGGGCCGGGGGCGGCTCTTTGAGGCTTAGATATTGAGCAAACATTGAGCCAGCCTTGTATGATTTGCTGTAGGCAGCAACCAGGTAGGTGCTAGGGGGCCCCAAGTGCTCGGGCGGCTGCTCACTGCCCAGCCAATCATCTTACACGGGGGCCCTTCCGTCTTCTCACTGGCACCTCTACGCGCGATCCGCTATGTGCCCATCACCGCATGGATACTTAAGTACACTTCAGCCGCAATTTTGGAAACTGGAGGCGCTTGCTCGTATAATTTAATTGATCTCTTCCGAAATGCCTGATCATATATCAATGGAATCCTGTGACCCTCCCGGTCGGCCCTTCTCCCACCGGAGGCTGACCCGTCCGTCCTGGTTGAAACGGGTAGCGACCGGGGACAGGAGCCGCCTTACAAGGCAGACATGCGAACAAAGGGGCGAGGCGGTGTTGAACAGAGGTTCGCCGGAATTCTCGCAGGTGCATACGTTCGCTGCTGGGTAGATGATACCAGGACTCCCGGTCGATCGCAATGAGGAATTTGCCGCATCGCGAGACCAACTTGGTTGAGATTTCACTAGAGCCAGTTGCCTTATTTACCCAAGCAAGGAGCGCTGTAGCCTGCGCTGCCTCCTGCTATAGGTGGAGAACAAGGTTTGGGCATGCAGGACCCGCGAGAAAGGCGACTGTGTATAAAGGGGTTGGGGTACCCCTCGGAGCGTCAATTACGCTTGGAGCACTTGGCTTGGAATCGGTGTAATAATAAACTCCATTTCCAAGGGCACAGCCGTGGGGCCAGAGAATCAATCATTTCTCCTCGGAACAAGAAGACAGAAGTTCGGGGGCTGGACCAACGAGTGGGGGGCCATGAGAGCCTAAATACTAGTATGGTCATGGTCAGGTCGCATTGCAGTTGGCTGGCTTGGATCAATCCCGGGCCCACTCATGTGCTGCTGGCAGCCTGCAGCGCACAACGCAGTGGTTTTCTGACTGCCTTTTCAGCTGGATACACAGTATCAGTCCAGCCATTCGATAATTCTAATTAGTCTCGCTGTCCTCGTCCACAAATGGGCAGCTGTGCGCCAATCCCCAGTAACTGTCCCGAATCGGAATGAAAAGTGGCTGTGTACGATGCGGACAAGCAAGCAGACCTCAACGTCTCTTTTTATCCTCCCCAAACAATATGGGGCTACTCTACTCGCATCCACCCGAGGTCTGCTTCAATTCCAAAGCGACACTACATGTCTACCGCTGTCAACACAATCAAACCGTTGCACATCTAGATGACAGCTGTGCATGCTTTTCCAATGCTTGGTGGCGGGCCTCTAGTGCATCCACTACGAGCGCGGGACCACCAGACTGGTCGAGAAGTATTGGGCTCGAAGGTCACACTGCATGTCAGCCTCATTATTGAATGCCAGAGGTTGAATCCGGCCTCTATTGCAGAACAACAGTCGGTTGACCTCGAATCAAGTATTGGGGCTGTTCAATTCAACCCCCCGACCCCAGCACGTACTGGGCCCGCCACAACAGTGAAGGTTTGGTTGGGTGACACAAGATGATAAGCTCCACAACCTCCATCAATACGGGATCTCACATGTTGACCGAGACTCCGTGTAAGCTGGAGGCTCGGGTTCTCATAGTCACCGAGTAATTCTGAACGACCGCGGCAAAGACCAAGACGCCGGACTGCCGAGGACTTCACGAAGGCAAGGTCGAGAGATGGTAAAGAGGACTGGTTCGCAAGTATTGCGGAAAAGGGGACACATATACAGCGGTAACATAACTGTCAATGGCAAATAAAGAATAAGGAGAAAGAGGATAGGGTGGCCTTGCAGGGGGTTTACTTTTATATTTCTGCAGAGGCGTTGTACATCCCACCGATTCGGCAGAGACTACCATATCAGTGCCACCAACGCCAGACACTACCTGCTGAGCTCATTCGACTCGCTTGGAATAACAAGACACGCCTCACTCTTGTTGCTGCAACATGACTGGCGCTAATCGAGCTCGTTGCAGATAGCTGTCCTTGACTCGCGCTGCTGATGCCACGCCTCTAGTGGTGGCTGGAATAGTCCGAAGCTGTGGGGCAGCCAGATCACACGTGTTCCAGCAAGCCTCAAACAAATGCTGTGGCCATGGACTAAATGTTCAGTCCTTGTCAAGAAACAGGACAAGTCTCTCCATGTCCAATGACCCTTAGTGCTGGGAAACCGCCCCACCACTCTCACTGTTGGACACAAGCAATGCCTCGATATCTCTCAGAATCCAGCTCCTAAACTGGCATGGGACCTTTTGGAGGATTTTGACAGCCCCGTATGGCACTCAGGAATGCGCCCGATCCCATCGTCTCGCCCTGTGGACGTGTTCAGGTCTATCCGTCGCTCCCCCAGTTTCCCCGTACACATGTATGCCAGCGATTCGTGTCATGAGAGGGCACAGAAGCCCCGCCTCGTAAAGGCAACCACAACGTGTACTCACCGAATTCGCCGACGAAGATCCAGATGCTCTACTTTTCTTGGTTTCCACCTCATAAACGCGCACGGCAACGGGGCGTCCATGCGTCTCTGCCCAATATGAGGCGACGAAGTCGGCATCGCCTAATATTGGGCATCCGAGTGAGGCTTTTCTTGGCTGAAATGTACAAATTCCCTCATGGGGCGGGTACAGTCGACTGTGGTGAGAGTTATGGAGGTCTCTGAGATGGGGAGAATCCTGACTAGCGACACCCGTGTCAGTCTGATACGCCAGATCGGGTTTCTCAGATGTGAGCTCACTGTACTGGACAGCGACGAGGCGACCATGGTACCAGTTGACGGCCTCCAGGGCTCATCAATGACAACAGATCAGGTTTGCATGGTCACACAAGGCTTGTGTAAAGTCGATATGACTCTTGATTCGTACGTATATCTGCCGAGGAACGTGTCCAGCACACCTTCGCCGTCAACATGGTGGCTCATCGATGCCCGAGCTTTTCGTGTCTTGTACCATCATCATGTGATGACTTCTAGATCGAGGCGGCTCCGCATAGAAGATATTTCGGTTTATTGCCACACGCATCAGGGTGGGTGAGGGACTCGATTCGACGGATATGATCAGGACCTTATGTGTTACGACGCCCATCATCGTCGCACGTGCGATGGGTTTCACCGAGTCATCGCAAGGAAGACTCGGGGTTCTTTCTTACACTTCCGATCACCGACGACAGACTGTAGCGGATGTCTTGCGGTTTCACTCCTTTTTCCCCTCACACCTAGCGCAGCTGTCGCGTTCCTCCGAGGCATGTCGCCCCTTTGTGTACCCAGATAGCTCCGGAGAGGTCACTTTCAGAGAAGAAAGCTGAGTTGACGATGGCGGAAAGTCAAGTGTTGGCGCGGAAAAACGTGTTTTCTTGAGACATTGTTAGAACACGTGGAGCTTTCCATCTCTGACGCGAAATGCCTCGATTTCCGCCGTCACATACGATGCTGGGGTCCGGAGCCGGAGTAGGACGTCGCCAGCGATTGCCTGCCCAGGTGTGTCTGACCGACCCTGGAGGAAAGTTCCCCACCGGAGGTCTAAGTCCTGGATCACAGCGACGGAAGGCAAGTGGTTGGCTACAATGCTGGCCTGCCTCTGGGGACTTGATTTCTCTTCCCGGGAGCTGCATCGATCAATGCGTCTTGTTTCGATATCCTCTCCAATAATTTTACTTCGCCTTCATTTCGTACACGGCGAGTCTATGCCTCCTGAAGCTCGTGGCCTTGAATTTTCATGGTTAAAAACCGCAAGATCGCACACAATTGTTGTGAAAGCATGAATTGAGCCATTAATTTATCCTAGTATTAGATCTCTCCGCAATACGTATGTCCTGCAAAGTGACAGAAGTCGTCAAGTTTAGACCATTAAGGTGCTATGTCCGATCCGTTTGGAGCATTCCAAGGTTGCCACGATCAGGCAAGTGGATGTTGGCGTTTGCAGTTGAGACCACTCTCGAAGAAATACCTCCCGAGGTCAGCACTCGCGTCACTTGATTCCATTCGTCCATGAACCCTGAACCTGTAAACACTCTTAAGTTTCTAGTTCTGTGTTCCCAGCTCACTTATGACAGCACACTGCCAATCAGCTGCCGAGCCACTTCGATTGAAAGGCATCACTTCATCCGAGTATGTTTCTCACAGCCCAAGCCCCTGCGAAGAGGCACAGCAAGCGGATAGACCGATGTACGCCCACACGCTCCTTGAGCATTGAGAGTGGCCTCATATCATTTGCCTCGTCTTGGACCTCGCCAAAGTTGTTGGACGCAAACAGGATATGTCGTCGGGCGTGCGTCAGGCAGCGAGTAGGAATACTACATCCATGACAAGTTGCAATCCAACTACGCTTTGTTTGCCTCACTGGTTACCCTCGTCCCATGGAATCAACTCAGCGCTGCCGCCACTGGCGCAGACCTCGAAGCTACCTCAGTCAGCAAGAAACGATTCTAGGTAAAGCGCATCGGAGTCCCCGGAAAGTCCCTCGCCGCCGGGATTTGTTTGTGTGTGCGCTGTCTTACGTGCGTGAATAAGAAAATCCTGAAGGCTGGTCTCACAAAGGTATGCGTACAACATTTCGTCCGATACCGCACCTGGACGGGAATCATGTAATTGGTCAAGCGTGCGCATTGAGAACTTTTCAGCGCTTGTGACCATCCGGCGATGCCTGAGGGCGAGCATTGATGCGAGGCCACACGCCTATACCTAGGTATGTAAGCATCGATGATTAGTCTTGCCTCATTTGCCTTGGAATGTCGTATTCACCGACGCTGCCGTCCGAATTCCAAGAATGCTGGAAGGGCCGAGTCAGTGGGGTGCATCTGAATGCATGAAACACGAATACAACCCTTTTCAGGCAACAAAAGGGCTCAAATTCAGCTTCCTGCGAGGATTCAATCGCGTCGAAAAGCTTTTTCTTTTAGTAGTATAAACCGGGCTTTCAGAAATCATCATGAGGTTTTACAATACATTCTGTGTATGCCCTCATCGACGGAACCGATACCTGGGTAGACCGCTTAGGCAATACTCAAATGAGTTGTGAACGTGCTGTGAATGACAGATCATTGCCCTGGAATTGGCATTAGCCCACACATACAATGCAGTTGTCACTTTGCTGTTCTTATCGCCCGTATTGAGGGGATCCTTGGGCACTGCGCATTTGATCAAATTTATATTCACAGCATCTTTTATTAAAACTATGTCTAAAATGGCAGAATCATGGAATAGAACAATTCACCTTCATAGGTACCGAGGGAGCTCTTCCACGGTTGCAAGTGCTTAAGTGGAGTTACCTAGGCAACTTTACGTTGCCCAGGTAGAATAGTCAGTATCAGCTCGACCATGTACCGGTTGTTAGTCCAGCAACTCCTGAACAAATTCCCGATTTGATAATGGCAACTATGCTATCAACGTCCCCGAGCTTCTGTATGAGCCGCATTATCACTCGCATTACCATAGTGTAGTTTGAGCTTCCAATTGACGTTGTTTAGCAACAGAGCTCGCTCGGCACAAATTCGATCACCGAGACGTAGAGAACCAGGCTCCCAGCAAAACATTTGCTACCACCCGGGAACAAGAGCCAGGGTCAATAAGCAAGGCTCAGCTGAAAAGTGGATGAGGCTCTAATGCAACGATCATCTGTTTTTTCCTTTACGCCCGACCGTAGCGCTGACCCCAGACGACACGAGATTTCAACAATAAATATAGTTTATAACAAAAGGACGTTGTGCTCCTTCGGGCTTGTTGAAAGCCTTGCAAGAAGTACTGTCTTCGCCAAGGTACACCGAACAACAGAATGCCGGTACATTACAATTCCATGGTCAGAGTCAGATCGTAACCTAGTAATGTACCCAGGTGACATTCTCGCAGCCGAAGGCGACCAGCCTCGAAGCGCACTTCTAGGCAGCATGCTAACATCATCACGATGGTTCGGCAGGCTCGGATTTGCCTAGTTTGCGAAGGCTTGCCTCGCGTCTCGTATCTCCGGTCATCCTTGTGGGTGCAAAACATCTTGTGCAAGCTGAACAGGCACCAACGTCGAATCATCTGCTCCTTCTAAAAGCAGGCAAATGAACAACTGCTGTCCATTAGCTGAAAAAGACGGAAGGGCTGCCTCACAGATGTAGAAGCGGCTGATCAGTCTGTTCTTGAGCACCATATCGACAAATTCGCGGGACAGACTATCCAATGAATGCATGGTATGAGCTGGGGAGAACCTGAATTTCACACTACCGTGCGAAACACCGTCTCGCTTGCCCCTGTCTTCGGATCACTGTTGGGTTGTAGCGCGCAATCCAGAATACTTGGGGGGCCAGTCACATCTTCATCAGCTCTCGTCTCCAGGATCAGCTAGAGACTTGTGGGTCGGGAGTACCTAGGCAACGAATGACCTGCTCCTGGAGAGGCTGGCACCCATCTCACCATAAGATTCGTTGACTCATCGAGCGGCTAGCTTCAAATGTTGTCGTTGGTGAGTGATTGACGAGAAACAAAGTCACTGCCGGACAGCCACAGACGGTGGCAAGATGTTCAAGTGTTCTGATGGGTGCATCGATGTCGGAGCTGACTTTTGCAGTGAGCTGAAGGCGAACTTGTCTTGGCCAGGCAGCTGCGGACCCATGACGGTTGGACCAGATATCTATCCCACTCACGGCGCGCTGGTCCTGGTGACGCGTCGTTGGTCGGACGAATCATGTGGTGATCCAGGAGCACCTAAGCGACGACCTTTTCGAGGATCTGAGGATTATCGACAAATGTTTCCGCATTCATGCTTCGTCCCGGCTGTGTGTCAACAGGGAGGCGTTGTCAATGGCAAGTCACAGGGGCGTCATCGGAGGTCAGGCCACACACTCTCGGTCTGGCATGAGAAGCGGTGGCAACAGTTGGGAATTATAATCTTGAAGCACGAAGAGGGCTGCTGCTTCTAAAAGGGCTCTGGCGCGGGCGAAAAATTGATGTTCACGATATCTCCCACGCCACTCGCCACAGTCATTGTCGCGGTGATAGCCGTTGCGCCATGCACAGCCACTCACAATGTGAACACGGCGAAACCGATTGGTCACCAGTACGGGCTGTGCTAAGGCTGCATCTAAGCTGCTGTAAACTCAAGTAAGCGATACGAATTGCGTCCTAAGGAGGAGTGGAGTGAGAAAATCCGCAGAACTCATATTTCACGAGAAGGCAGAAGGCCTCGAGCCGCAAGATCGTTGGGTAGGGGCGTGAGGGGCGAAGTGGGCCCGCGAAAGCAACATTGAAGGATGACATAACACCAGGTGGAGGACACAGAGAGGCCTGGTAGGACGGCCATGCCACAGGGCTCGCTCGCGGATTGGCTCGGCACCGCTTTGTGGCAGCGGGCAGAGGTGGTCTAGTGTGTCCCGGATCCGAGACGGTGAAGCGTCAACGGGTCGCCGGTGATGCCCAGAGGGTGCGAGGTTGATCTTGAAACAGAACTACCAACGGCAATTTACATGATGATCTGACACGGGTCGGTGGTGGGAGGGTTGAGAGTTGCGGACGAGGAAGGTGATGGTCCCAGGTGAGGCTCAGCGTGGAGACCATCCAGTCACCTAGCCAAGTTACCTGCCTGGGTACTCAAGTAAGTAGGTACGTAGGTCCTAGGTATAAAAGCCAGTCTGTTTCCCTGCCGCCATGCCGCCATCTGGTGGCGCGCTGCGCCAGCCGCCCCAGCTTTTCTCCTTGTACCATTCTGTCTCTGCCCCGTGAAAAGAGTCATACCGGTACGGCGAGGACTGACTGCAGTGCTTCACAGCATTGCGTTGTGAGTCTACGAGCTCTTGCTGCCTTGCCCCTGGCACGATGTTGTTGAATCTGGACTCGGCGGTTGGCTGACCTCGAGTGCTTCTAGAACGCAGTAGAAGAGATTGAGGCTGTATGGGTCTGACGTGCTGGGATGGTTGGTCTTGCAGCCTAGTCGCTGGCCAGGGCTAGAGGGAAGCGCTGGACGGCGTGGGCGGCCCAGCGACCCTGAAATATCTGCAGAGCCGCATTGGCGGACCATGCGAACCACAGCCCACAGGATGTACTCCGCCGTAAGGCAACCGCACCTAAGTACGGAGTAAGTAGCTATCTACATGGAGTAGACCCCACTTTAGGTACCCGGGCACCTACCTAGGTAGGTACTTTCATGTGGTTCGCGGCCCTTTTTCTGCTGTCGATATTTATTCTGAAAGACGTCCGGAAGTTGCAAAGGGGTCAAGAGGTTTCGTTGACCAGCTTTATGTAGTTGTTTTGAAAATTTGCCGTGGTTGACAATTGACGTGGCACTTACGTCCCCTTGCTCATTGCATCACGCAAACAATCCCCTTGCCGGGAAGCTACCTGGGTTTAGTACCGAACGGATGCCCCCACCTCATTCGTCGACGACACACCATCCATCGCAACTGTCCCCGTCCTGCCACGGGCACTGCGCTTTATTTATTTTATCAAAAAACAACAACTTTATTTTCAGAAAAAGAATGGCAAATCTGGCCCAGGGCTGGATAAACCATTTACGTCGCCAGGCGAGGAAGTGCGTTGCGCCGTCGTCAAACTCTGCTTTGCCCAGCTGACTTTTCCAAGTGATCAGCCTCCCCCAACAGACGCGGCAGCTCCGGCGCCCCCCGCGAGAGACCAGCCACAGCAGCGGCCCAGCGGCGACAGACCTGGCGATGCTGCCCTGCGAGACCCTCCCGAGGCTGTCACGGGTGGCGACCCAGCCTTCGAGGATGCTCCGCCGGCCAGAAAACGGCTGAAGAGCCCACCAAATTCCGGCAAGGCCGGCGACCGCCCCCGTTCGCCCTCGCCATCGCCAAATAGACGTTCAAAACCAACCAAGCAGACCACCACAGGAGACGAGTCGACGGCTGGCTTTCCCGCCCGACCTGCCCCTAGAACAAAAGGCAGAATATGGAATGAGGGTGACCCTATACCAACCCGGAACCCCGCCTCGGCCCAGCCTGCGCCGCAACAAAATCCTCCTCGACCACCCCGCCGGCGCGACAATAACAAAGCCAATAGTAATCCGCCACCAGAGGAAGAGGATCCCTCCGTCAATACCATGATTGGACAGCCCGAGACCCGGCCGATCAGTCAAGAACAATTAGTTGCTGAGGTGAAGGGGATTTATGCCGGCCTCGTCATGTGCGTCACTTCCAGTCTCGTGTGCTGTGCCTGTCTTGTTGCCTGCGATTCTCTGCTGACCGACTCTCCACAATTAACAGGGTCGAGTCCAAGTGTATCGAGGTTGATAGCTCCCAGAGCGCACAGAACGATTCTAATCCCAAGTTGAACAACGAACAGTGGCAGGCCCTGATCGCGCTGCACCGCACTCTATTGCATGAACACCACGATTTCTTTTTAGCCTCTCAGCACCCGTCGGCAAGCCCGGCCCTGAGAAGACTTGCTTCAAAATATGCCATGCCGGCGAGAATGTGGCGCCATGGTATACATTCGTTCCTCGAGCTGTTACGCCACAGGCTCCCTGCCTCCCTGGAACACATGCTCACTTTCATTTATCTCGCCTACTCGATGATGGCTTTGCTTTACGAGACGGTCCCAAATTTCGAAGACACCTGGATTGAGTGTCTGGGCGACCTCGGTCGCTATCGGATGGCCATTGAGGATGAGGACATACGCGACAGGGAAATTTGGACCGACGTGTCGAGGTACTGGTACTCCAAGGCCAGCGATAAGGCTCCTACCACCGGGAGGCTGTACCACCACCTGGCCATCCTTGCGAGGCCTTACGCTGTTAAGCAGCTTTTCTACTATACGAAAAGCCTCTGTGTCGCGATACCTTTCAAGTCCGCAAGAGACAGCATCCTGACACTGTTCGAGCCCATCATCAACGGGACCCAGACTCGACTTCAAGCCATCGACCTGAATTATGTGAAGGCGCATGGCATCCTGTTCATCAGGAGTAATACGGATGAGAAAGACAAAGCGCTTTCCAAGAACCGCGATGAGCTGGCGGTCGAGTACGCAAAAGCCAAAGGTCAATTTCTAGCACACTTGGATAACCACATTGCGCGGACGACCCGGAGTTGGATGGAGCCTGGCGCTTTGATTGCCATTTCAAATTGTAATGCACAACTGGAGTACGGGAAAACTGAGGCAAATGCCCATGGCCATGCCAACGTGCTGATGATGGCTATTCTTCCCGAGTCGGACAAGGATACGTTCATGGAAAACTCAACCGAGGACAAGCCGGCGCCATCTGACGTCTTCAAAGAGGCATCTGAGTTTGCCGAGGAGTGCGATTCCATCATCTCTCGCCGCTACGGCGACCCCAATGTTTTGCCTTATCTCAATGTCCGCCTGTCTTTCGTCAAGTTCATCGCCGGCAACGAGGCTGCCATGGCGTACATTCAGTACACGTTCCCATGGACATTGATAGCGTTGATGCTAAACTCTTTGTCGATTAGCGTTCAGAGCCATGTGCGCATCGAGTCTGAGGAATTTCCCAGGCCAAGCGACAGACCCCTCCCGGAGGATTGGTCTCTCCGAGGCCTCCTCTGGACCGAGAAGCTATTCCCATCTGACTGGTATGCCAGTGAAAACTGTCAGGTTGATGACGATGAGAAGACCTTTGAACTTGCTTCCATGACTGAACAGAGGAAAGAGCGGCTCCTTTGGCTGGGCTACCACATCGCTACGCATGGCAAGTGGCTAACCTATGACAAGCATAGCAAGCAGTTCAGTGTTACCGCTGAGTTTGACAAAGAATACCTAGTGCATGATGCAAGCGAGGATGCCACTCTGTCTGGAAAGGAAGACTTTTTGTCACGCTCTTCAACCACGGGCAGCACAGCAACATTCGACCAGGGTACTGAGAGTTCGTTCACTGAGAAGGACGACGGCGACATCCCAGCCGTGGACGACGATGTCTCTATGATGACAGAGAAGGAAAACCCTTGAGTTCATACGTTTGTGGATAAAGTGTCATTTCCTCGACCACCCAGTTACGTGAATTATAGCGCCTGCTGCAACGGACGGTAGGTTTCCCTGGCCCTGATGTAAAGCCGGCTTTTGCGTTGCTAATGATATTTTCAGATGTACTAGTAGGAAGGACCCATTGGCACAAAGGCAGGGATTTAGACTATTATGGGAACAAGAATGAAGCCGCGTAGCCTTCCAATATCCCCAATGGGACCACTTAACAGACTTATCCTGGAACCGGATTCAACTTAACAACACGCCTCAGGAGGCTCGGCTTATTTGCTACCTCGCATTTCCAAGGACTGGGCATTCCAAGGACCTCCGCTTGGATTACTGATTGTTCGTGTTTGCGTGCCTGGAAGAGGAGCATTCCACCCACCCCCATGCATCGGACCCAATCCCATGAGGACCATTTCGGATACCGAAAGATCTCGCCTAACTTGGAGGATGCCTCCGCTCTCGGAAACATGATCAATAATACCCTGATCATTTGGTCCACAAGCATGCTGTGCGACTGCGCAAGCCTCCCCAAAGCCTTGGTGGCAGACCGTACAGCAGTTCGGGAGCAGTTTGGTCAGGACGTCTCCTGCTCTTACCGTGTGTTGAGGTCTTTTCAACCAATGCCATCGTCCTTGGGTTCTACCGTGACTTGTGGGCTGCCCGCCTCGGAGTATCCCGCACAATGCCATTGGAGCACAGCGATGGCCAAGGGAACGGCCCACCTCAAACCATTGGACAGGCATCAGCACCCCGCTTGGCTCACACGAGCACCGGGACTTGAGCCACAGACACACATATATACGTTGGTTGCTTCACATAGGCGCTTCTAAACGAACCTCCAGGATCGCCTACATATCTTCACAGAAGCCACACTATCTAGCCGTTCACTACACACACGTTACCGGTCATCACAATACTTAGCATATGCGGACGACACAGGAGGGCTTGACGTCTACAGTGTCTGGTTACCCGCAAAACATTAGATTTCTGGTGAACACCACCCTTGTTTTTGTAATTTTAAACTTAATTGTGTCATAGCTATGATGAGTTCGAAGAAGCTCAAATATTGTGCTCCAACGCATGGTGACAGCCGCTCAGCTCAAATCGTAGCTTTGCAGGCTTGTCATTCAAGACTGTGCCTGCTCGCTGACAGTAGGACACGCCTCATGTCGCCGGGGTCATGAGCACCTCCTGCATCATCCTCAAATATGTCTGTGTTTCCTCACAGCGGTACCGAAACCAGGCCAGAAAAGAGCAAGTCAAGGCAGCCACTGCATGGAACCTGAGTGAGCACGAATATTCGTGTTCTCAAAAGATTATGTGATACGATCACGGTCTCCTCTTACAGCTCCAGAGAAGTGCAAATAACCGATCCTCGTTCCGGACTTATCGGCTCACCACATCACACCAAGCACGCCAGCGCATGGCCTCGTGCTTTTTCCGTGTCACTCTCGGCTACATGAATCGAGTGTATTGAGACAATCTTTGTGCTGGCACCGCAGCATTCTCCAAATCCACATCACATGCCCTTGTACAGACGGCACCTGGGCGTCGGTACTGCACTTTGGCGATCACGATCACTGTATCGAACTTCCAACCAAATCAGCATTTTCCTACCGGTCTCAGAATCTTTGAAGCAGGCTCTCCAAAGGAAGTTCTTCGGCAAGAGCAGCCCACCAGTCCTTTCCGTATCTTTATTGCGCGAGGGAGTCGGCTGATTAACGATAAGGAAGGGGGGGTGGCCTCTCCACAATGTGTAAGCATACGACGCTCAGGTGAGACAGGGGATAGATACATCGCAAGTGATCACACGGTCCTCTCCCCACATTCTTGATGAAAGGTTCGGAGGCAAAGAGATTGGTCTGAAACAAACCCCCATGAGGCGACGCACGCCCGGCAAGATTGGAGCTCTGGCAAAGCTGTGTTCAGCCTCGTGGCTGCACGGGCCGGGAGTCGATCTTGCCTGAAGCTATCCCTGCATCTGCAGGATGCACTCCCGGAACTCCCCTGGCTCCCCGGTCCCCCCCCCCCCAGGCGTTGAATCTGCAGGTGAGCTCGGAGCTGCAGGCTGTGGCTAAGTGTGCTACCACCATCCTGCAGGCCTGCGGCACAGGAGCCCATCATCGAAAAATAGGGCTGTTGAGGGGTGGGTAATCCTGCACTTTTGGACAGCGGCCGGTGACCAGGCGAGACCACACCAGAGACAACCATGGATGGCTACTCCAATGGGGCAGCAGCTGGGAAGCACGGGTTGTTCGACACACTTGCACCACACACCCCTTTCCCCTCTTGACGCCTTTTGGTTAGCGGCTTCAACCTTGATATCTATAAAGCATCGGGCCGTCATCCTGTGAGGGTGCAAAGGAGTCATCACTGACTTGTTCGATGGATGCACAATGGACATAAGTCATGTCTTGTGACGTGGAGATGAGGTAGCAGCAGGCGAGATAGTGTGAGCAAGATGCTGGAAAATAGGAGGCACTATCACGAACTACGGGGAAGTGGAGGTCGGTGCAGGCAGATTGCAGCCTGGCAGCTGATCCTGGCTGCCTGCCTACTTTAGGCATTTGCCCAGGCTTGCGAGAGAAGCTCGTTCCAGAAGGTGGGCTCTGAAGTTCTGGAAGCGAAGGCGGGCGTTCATGCAGGCATTCCAACGGGCCCCGCACGACACAGCTGAGGGAATCGCAACCTGGAAAACTTGACAGGTACGGTACGGAGCAAGACGTCTCCATTGATACTGAACCTCATGATCCTCCACACCGGTCTGCTTACCAACATGCCGCCCATGGGCCAAGGATTTGGAATCGATAGCGTCTCGTTGGCCATGGTGCCTGCTTCACGAGCCGGTCAACCGGGGGGGATACGCTCCCCAGGCGCCAACGATAAGGATGCTTAATTTGAAGACCAACGACCGGCCAGCTTGTCAGTATAATGACGCTGACCTGAGTCTTGATCGACCAATCAGCGCTTGTACTGTTATTGCACCGTGGGGAGGATCAAGATGGCGCCAGGAGTGTCCACGACACTTTCGGTGTGCGGTTTTGGGGAGACAAGTTAGACAAACAGTACGCGGTGCCCGAGGTGAAGTGGCCCCCGCAAGGGTTAGTGACCCCGGCTCGCCCCTCTGCCGCGGCCGCTGTAATTCCAAAGAAGTATGTAGCCAGCACTCTAGCTCCTCCCACCGTAACTAATGCTCACCGTTGCGCACATCCTCATTTTGAACACTCCTGCGTGATCGCATTGGTGCTGTCGCATCCATGACGCTGCCTCTCGATCGAATGTTGCATCATGCTGACTTTGTGGGACTCGCCGAGCGCAAGGACCTAATAGCGGTGTGTCTATTCAAGGGGCTTTCTTTGAAGTCTGGCTACTTGTGTACTCACCGAGCTCTTTTCTAGGTGTCTCAGCCATAGATCCGAGCTTCGGTCTCCGACATATTACTTAGGTACCCACAGAAGGTGAGCATCCAGCTCCTGAGAAGAGAAATCGTAACAAGGCAACCATGGCGCCCCTTTGCACAGCATCTGCGCATTATTATTTTTCTGGTCTCAAAACGAGCACGCCAATGATCTGCTTGTTTTCTTGACAAGAGTCCGTGACGTCTTGTCATCAAAATCCAACCCCGAAGGCGACCGAGCTATTTGCGGCTGAAATAGAATATCTGCACAGGGTGTCGTTAGTCTTGAGTTAAAATTAATGCGCTTTTCGGGCAAAATAATATGCACCAAGTATGCCTGAGCTGGAATCCAGCCTGCGTTGAATCCGGCATTGCGTGAGATTTGATGCAGGGTCAAAGGAATGCCCCTGGGCCAGTATCAGGCAACAGCACTTGAGGACTTTGAGACCCCCAACGCTGCAATCATGTGGCGAAGGAGAAGGGCACAGCAGACACCCAACCTGAAGGATTCCATCATTGATGAGAGCCCATGAGAGCCCTGGAGGTCATGCACTTTGAAATTCGAAACTTGTTATCAATCATCATCCTCGGTTGGTAAGAAAATCCTCCCGCGCCTAAGAATAGAGACGTTGCCTTATCCCGAGGCTGCCTTTCTACATAGATACTTAGGTATCGCATTCTTCAACATAGCCCATCCCTCGAGGTAGCCTGCTTGTTTGCCCTCAAAATCTTTGAATGCGACCTCAGGTGCGTCTGTCACTGGTTGAAGTGACGCGTTGTTGCCCGTCGCGAATGGGAGGAAGCCAGGCAGATCATTGTGGCGCTGCCGCAGCACGGCTTTCTCAGCTTACGATCGGTATTGGAATTACCAACATCGTGGCCGAGGTTCTGCACGGGCTGTCAGTTAGACCGAAAGCAAAACCAAGCCAACGGGTTGAGGCATGTTCAAGGGGGCCGGGAAAAGATGACGAGGCAAACAATCCCACAGCGCTTCTCGTAATGCTGCGCCAGTGGCTACGGGAACACCAACTGGAGGCTTCAAACGCATATTCCACGGTATCATGATGTAGAGGTTTTGCATAGAAACCTAGGGCTAGTCTAATAGCATTGCATTGCGTGCTATCTATCTGTCTGTCAATGTAATCTTCAAATATAACCCTTAGAACGATAAATGGTGCAATCTCACTGCCACTAGCAGCAGAACGTGAAAGAGAGACGCATAAATACCTCTTTGAAATATCCGTCACCATAAATCCTTATGATGGATAGAATCTTGCCTGGGTCTTGGATCGATAGTGCTAAAGGGCAGAGGAGGGTGAGGGAGTAGAACACGGTTTCGAATGCAAATATAAAGTACAGGTGTTTAGATAACTGAGTTGTAAAGCACTCAGCAAGGGTTCAATGATAGATGCTCACATGTTCTTTTGTGATCATATATGTATCATACCATGTTCTACCATATCAAGACGGGTTTGGAAGAACTATGAATGTTGCTACAGAGTAGGTGCTCGTACTTGAACGGCGCCTGCTAAATATGTGTTATTAGTAGAACTTCAAGGTTTCTAGTCTACTTCTGCCAAATCCAGATATCAACTGCACCCCTCTGTGAGTCCAAACCAATGTCTTCATCAAGTTCTAACTGAAAGCATTCGTTGTGGACTTAGTATTTTAGTTCCCAAGCTCAGCCTCTAAGAAGTATAATCCTAGGAACTTTTCTCCTTTCAAGACTATAAGAGATGATGGCTAGTAGATCAGCAAAAGCCTATAGAGGTTCTTTGATAGATCACCATGACTCCTAGAAGTTTGACTAAATTAGAAGATACAACTAGAGGTAGAAGCGATACCTGCAAGGCTTTAATTTCCCGCCGAAAGGATGACGGCTTCTCTGCAGACCAATTAATAAAATGACTCGGCTATTTATTGTGGGCATCTGAAGCTCGAGATGTGTAGCCATGGTAGAAGTTTGGCCCTAGATGCTGGTGTTTCTGTCTCTTACGGCTGAGTAGTAGCAATTGATGCAGTCTTGAATGTTAAAACCGCTATTTCAAGATCAAGCTTTGTAAATAAAAATACGGCAAACCAGGCCTTTGTAATCGGAAGTGTGTACTGAGAATATATTCAGGCGCCGAGATATCCTGCAGCCTTGTTAGCTGGTATATTTCCATTTAGTGCGGGGGTCTTCAAGTATGTCATGGTTCCTCTTGGGCTGTGAAGGTGTTAGTAGCGCCACCGCAGCTCCTTAGGACCGCTGAACAGAATTCCCGAGTAGACGCGGGAGGAAATGTGGGCCGAGTGACCACGCTTTTGACGCCATGTTGGGCTATTGGGTCCATCACGCTCACTGCTACCGCATCCGAGGTCTTGCTTGCCCAATCTCCACGGCATCTCCATGCTGGAACCTCGCCACTTTTCTCCTCTCGGGAGAGAGGCTTGCAGAATGCTGTGCGCAAGAACTTGATGAATGGCGTATAAATCGCATGGTAGGGAACGTTAAGGGGTGTGTGTCGACGTGCGAGTGGCCCTGGCTTGACGTGTCCTCCTGGGCTGATATCTTTGTTGCAACAACTCGACATTGGTGCTCAGCTGCTCGGACAAGCTGAGGTTTCGCTTTGAGGTACGATTACCGCGCGAGTAACGGCTTCCTTTAGCCGACCCATGCGTCCTAGTCTTCGTCCACGTGCTGTCTTCTGTTTGTTAAAGACGAGGCTCATCCACCCCCTCTCGCGATCTTGGGTCTTCACCCCTGTCTTAAAACCCTTGGTTTTCATTTCCATCCCAAAGCCATTGCTTGGTCTGCAAGGAGCGATGACGAAATGCAAATTCGAGCACTTCTTTGAATCTACAGTACCTTGTCGTACTGTATGAAGACGTCTTTCGGAGGAGTTCCGACGGATTGAGACACCGAGATCGAGCGTGCTGTATCTTGATACAGAGATCGGTTTCGAGGCACATCGGTAGGATTTCGGGATCTTGAGAAGCCTATAACTTGGTATAGTTGCCTGGCGTTACTGTTATTGTGACTCTGATTCAGGCACCTGTAGGTTTCGTACATGTGGAGCGACAGGCTGAAGGTGGCTGGTTGCTTGTCACTTAGGTTGGTTAAAAGTTCGACTTCCATCGAGTGAACGACTCTCCATAATTGTTTTGGAGGGGATAATAGAACAAGAGGTTCATACAACCTCTTCCTTTCCCATTTTCTAGTTTTCGGACAACGGTGCTGAAAGGACTGACGCTTTGCTCGGGGGTGCGCCCATGACCATTGGGTGGTCGGACGAAGCGGATGGGACAGGCGAAGAACGTAAGCTTATGAGAGGTGAAAGTGGTCAGGTGACAAAATTGCGGCTCACATAGCGGTGGGAGAGACCAGTCTCCTCGCACACATCAGGCTGTCGGCAAGGGAGGAGTCACCGGCGATCCGTGGCAGATCAGCGGGCTGCTGGTGCCCAACACGAACCCCATGCCAAAGAGGTGTGAGTGACATTGATCGGGTACCAGTATTCTTTCACCGACTCCACTAGCCCTCATCTCCGCATACATGTGGTCATATTATCTCCGTAGTTGCTGCCGTTGATAGAGCGGTGATTCTGCTCCTCGGCCATGAGTTCACTCAGTCACCAGGATCCAAAGGAGACATCGAGGCTACTAGTTCCATGTCCGGGAATACCTTATCAATATTTCTCGCTTCGATTCATTTTTGGGCGTTTAAATGGTCTTCAACCCCGTCTATACCAGCCAACACACTTATTCGTTAGTGTGCTGTTCTACCTGGCTCGCAGGCGGGATCCACATACCAGCCCTGGAGTTGACCTAGTTTCCAGGTTGGCGCTGTCCAATACATGCCAACAAACAACTACGTTCTCTTAACTTTTGACAAAACACCATCTTCAAAGTATCAATCTAGCACTGAAGTGTGAAGATTTCACCTTCTTTTTTCAGGCTCATGGAGTGGTGAGAAGAAAAGCAAGCACATCTCGACTTGGCTCGGAAAGTCACCAATTATAACACTCTACCTCCGATGTCTCCATCGGGAATTTATCGCTGAAATTAGATTCAGATTGCTCGTCACTTGTGCAGAACTGATGACACACAGATTGGAAGTACTTTTCCAGGTGGAACACTCGGGTCTCGCCGATTACGACTGCGATCAATTATCCACTCAAACCCCCAGCTCACAACCGAACCTTGCCCTCGGCCAACGCCCGATTCTTCGCCTGTTCTCTTTCTGCACAGACTGTTTTAAAACAGTCCTAGAAGTCAGCACCTACTAAGAGAAAGGATGATTACCTATATAAGTACTAAATATGTTTAAGAATTAATATTCAAGTGGTTTCGCTTCTATTCCATATATATCCGAGGACATACATGGTGCCTTTATACGGTGGTAAGCGCTCAGGACCCAGCGCTTAACGAGCTACCTAGGTAACAATACTAGTAACCTGACTTTGTGAGCAGTCTCTAATAGTTAGGTCTATACTTATTCTCATTCCAACCATCATTGTATCTCCTGAAGAAACACGGTTGAGGTCTAGCAGGTATTCAAATGCGAGTCATCCTAGTTGATGTGCGAAAGAAGATATTAGCAATCATCTCTCTTCTATATAGTTCTGTAAGTTTGATAAGTTATGATTAATTGTCTGTTGACACAGTGAAGCCGTTTCAGTTTTTTCCGATAGAGCTTGCAGTTGCTGAGTTAGACGGGAGGACAGCAAAAAATTCTATCACGGTGAGTTGAGCAAGAAACGCTCCCTAGCCTTTCCGGTCCAGCCGATACACAGCGATCCTAACTAGGGCAGAATGCGCGAGAGCAAGGCAAAGACGTGCATTTGTGCCAGGCCGTATGAACGACATTGAAATGACACGGATTTTAGAAAGATGCTACTTGGGTTAGGACCCGGGAAGAACTCCTCATTCGCTAACGCTGGCACTTTGACCGGGGAACACAGGTTAAGCTTAAATCTAAGGTTCTCATCTTAGTAGGGCCAAATACGCGACTTTTTCCAGCCTCTGACTTCAAAAACGCCACATCGACCGACCTGCAATTAAAGTGGGACTGTCAAAGGAGATGCATTCAGAAAACATCATCTCGAGAACCTATGCACATGTGAGCCACATGAGTCGTATTAAATATCCGGTAAACAAATATAGCACCGCGGACTACAAGCAATATTGAGTCTCTTGTCGTGTGATGCTACTGTACTATGTAGTACATCGCATGTTCTCGTGTTGCATTGACTGTGGGCCAAGCCCTCCAATACGAGAATGCCACCTCCACTCGATCGAGAAAACCCCCTCTTCTCCCTGATAATGGGAATTGTGGGCCACGGAGATCGGCAAGAAACTGGGTCTCCAATTCAGGAGGTCCGAAAGAGACCTCGGAAGTGATTTTTATCTATAAAGACGTTGAGGCTGCCGACTGAAATGTGATTGCAACCTTTACTTTCTCTCATCCATCCCATGAAATCGCTCGTTCGTTTTGAAGATGAGGGTGTCGTACGCTATTTGGGCAGTGCTTCTGGGCCGGACCGCCGTCTCGTCCGCCTCACCTGATCAATCACCGACAAATGTCGTGCGCGGAGCATATATTGTGGAGCTCGACAGTGACGCTGACGGCCCGGATTCTCTTTACGAGACCCTCGCTAGCGATGACAATATCGCCGTAGACCACCGCCGTGATCTTCGGTCGAGCATCTTCAACGCTGCGTCGTTCCAGCTGCGGGATGTTGCGGCAGGCAGCAGCCACGATGCGGAAAGCTTTATGGAAAAGGTCAGGGCAAAGCGCAATGTTAAAAATGTCTGGCCAGTACGAAGCGTCTACATCAACAACGAAGTGGCGAAGCCCTCCCGGATGAACATTCCCATTGGCCGGCGGCATGAGTCTCGAGACGTGGACGAAAGCAGCAACACCACGACCTTCGCGCCCCATATCCAGACACAGATCGACAAGCTGCGCGCCGAGGGATATACGGGCAGCGGCGTTCGCATCGCCGTTGTCGACAGTGGCGTTGATTACACTCATCCCGCTCTTGGCGGGTGCTTCGGCCCTGGGTGTCTAGTCGAGGGTGGCTACGACTTCTCAGGAGACGAAATGAACCCAGAAACCGGCATTCCTGCATCGCCCGATGACGACCCATATGACTATTGTATGGGCCACGGTACTCACGTCGCTGGCATTGTTGCTGCGCAGGCTAAAGACAACATTCTTGGTTTCTCAGGAGGCGCACCCGGCGTAAAGCTCCTAGCATACCGAGTTTGGGGCTGTGGTGGCGGCAGCACCAATGAGTTGATGATTGCGGGATTCAACAGGGCTTTCGAGGATGGTGCTGATATCATCACCTGCTCTAACGGGTAGTACGTCTTTGATCTACTGTTAGCTGGTCCAACTTGTCGAAAGAGTTCTGCTGACCAGTCACGTATCATGCAGCCAGTCTGGCTGGGCAGAGGAAGCGATTTCCGTTGCCGTTGCACGCATTGTCGCAGCAGGTGTTCCCGTCCTCATCTCCGAGGGAAATGATGGTAGCTCGGGACTCTGGAATGCTCTGACTCCAGCTGTCGGGACAGGCGTGGGCGGGACAGGCGCCGTGCAGAATAAGGTACAGCCCATCTTCGAGACGGCCGCTTCCTTCACTGTCGGTGATGCTTCTACAAATTCGACGACCGAGGAGTTCGGGTTCGTGGCTGGGGAACCACTTTTCACCGACGATGGTTTGACTCTCGATCTTCACAGCCTCGGGACCGATGCGTGCAGCCCCTTGCCTGACAGCACACCGGACCTATCTGCTAAATTGATTCTGCTTGAGGTTCCGGACTCGAGGGTGACAAGATGCTATCCAGTTGACCAGGCTGCCAACATCCAAGCCAAGGGCGGACATTATGTGATGTACTATGCCAGGGACAATACGTAAGTCATCCCTCGGAAACCCTCAGCGGCTTGCTTTGGCGTACCGAACGATAATGCTGACCTCCCTGGGATCGTTCTGCAGAACGGTGGATGAACAGTTCCTATATGTTGATGGAATCCGAGGCGTTGGGACCGTCGCTCCCTACAGAGGTGAGGCCTGGAATCTTTTGTTGGCACGAGGAGCCAAGATCACAGTATCGCTTCCAAACCTCAACAACACCAGCGCCGTCAACCAGACCACTTCGCCAACCTTCTACTACGAAGAGGTGGAAAGCAAAGAAAAGGGCGGTAGCATCAGCGACTTCACCACTTGGGGTCCATCCTGGGAACTGTCCCTCTCGCCTCAGTTCCTCGCCCCCGGAGGACAGATTCCAGGCCTCTATCCTGTGGTGATGGGTGCATACAAGATAATGTCCGGCACTTCCATGGCGGCGCCCCACGTTGCTTCTATCTATGCTCTGATCAAAGAGGCAAGAGGATCCAGCGACCCGAAGACAATTCGAAGTCTACTCTCTTCCACGGCCAAGCCACAGGCTCCAAGCGGGAGCGGGAATAATACCAACGGACTACTGGCCTCTGTCGCCCAACAGGGTGCGGGTCTGGTCCAGGCCAGTGACGCTGCGCATTCGACTATCATTCTGAGCTCGGACGGGATCGCTCTCAATGACACTGATAATTTTGTCGGCACGCACACCTTCAGCATTCAGAATACCGGCACCGACGATGTCACTTTTACCTTGGGGCATGCGAAGGCTGTGACTATGAACACGTTTCGCGACGGGGCCAATGGGGCATTACTTGCCTCGAATACAGCAGTTGATGCCTGGGCTGAATTGGCTTTCAGCGCTGATGAGGTATCCGTCCCGGCCGGCGGCTCGGAAAATGTCACGGTCACTTTTACTCCGCCAGAGAATCTCAATGCCACTCTCCTTCCCGTTTATAGCGGCTACGTGACTCTCCAGTCGACTGAACAGTCTCTCGTCCTGCCTTATCTCGGAGTTGCAGGTAGCATGAAGTCAATACCAGTTCTCGACCCAAGGAACGTGTTCCTTGCGGATTTCAACATCCCAGCCAAAGCCAACAGGACCTACACGATCGAACGGCCCGGTCCTGACACATTTGTCAATACTGATCGCGGAGACCAGGCGACGATGCCAGTTGTTGCAATTCACCCAACGGTTGGCACCCCGCAACTGCGAATCGATATACTGGCTCTGTCTTCTATGGGAAACAGCACCAGCCTGCCGACCAAGCCTTTCTTCGACCGTTTCGAAAGCGTGGGAACCCTGCCGCGTTACCCCGTCCCATACGCTCCAAATCAGCAGCGCGAAGCTTACTTCAAGGGAAAAATGGCCGATGGGACGGTATTGCCCGAGGGAACGTACCAGCTAGCTGTATCCGGGTTGAGAGTTTTTGGCAACGCGAGTGATGCAGAAGATTGGGATACCGTCAAGACGATTCCGTTCAACGTGAAATACGTTACTGAGTAGGCAGGTCAAGGATTACAATTTACTTTAAATTAAAGTAATAGCTCTTTATATATAGATATATTATTTATAATTATATATAATATAAGTAAAGAAGAACTTACTTTTATAATTAATTTAGTTTAAGTTTAAATTTAAAATAAATATTTATTTATATTATAAGTTTTTAATTTTTATATATATTAATAATATCTATTTAAATTTCTTTTTATTATATAATATAAAAGGTTTATTTAAAGTTAAAGAATATAAGTATAATAAAATTACTTTTAAATAATAAGTTATATAATTAATATTTCTTTATAATATAATATTTAAACTATTTATATTTTTAAAATATATTAAAAGATAATTATATAATACTATAATTACTTAGTATTAAGATAATAATATAGTTAAAAGATTCTTTACTATAGTAGTAGTTACTTAATTCTAATTATGTATGTGGGCATGGACCCTTTAGGTGCCAGAATTAGGGCGTGATGACATGGTGGCTGATTCTTGGTGTGGTTAAGTGCACATGTGGGGCCGGGGGATGCGGAGGTGCAATATGTCCATTGAGCAGTGGTGTGTCATTGAATTCGTGTCATTGCCAAAATGCTGTTCTGTCACTATGGCTGAGACTATGGCAAGCATGGAAATCAAGCCGGGACAAGCTCATAGCTGGACGAGTGGGTCACTTGGAGGCTCGGCATACGTTCGGGCAACGTGAAAAAGAAGGCAACCAATAGTCCCGAGCAGATAACCAGAGACCCCAAGTCTTAGGAACTTTGTACCAATACAAAGGGAAATAGGCATCAGCAAAGCCTCTTTCACAGGGCTGATGATGCCAGTCGTTGGGGCCTAGCCGCACGGGCAGGTATGGGTGTGACCTGCTTTCGGACGCCCTGTTACGACCAGTCAAGCCAGCTAGAAGAAAATCTAAAGTCTGACGGATGCCTACCTAGGTAGGACCTGCGATCGGATTCGGGGTGACTCGGCGCTCCGTTTAGATCTTAAGCCCTTCAAAGCCGAGGATTCGTAATGTGCAGGGGCTGCGCCTCGCTTCGGTATGGGCTACCCAGTGCTGGCTGAAATGAGGGGCGTTCCGTATCTACCTAGGTGTCTTTTAAGAACTTAGGAGAAAAGGAAAATTATTTCTTAAGTAAAAGATAAACTAATAACTCTTAATATTTATATTATTTACTTTAAAATAATAAATAAGAATATTTAAAGTAGTAATTAAAGTTATTATATTAAATTTTATATATATATTTATTTTTAAATTTCTTTTTATAATAAAATAATTTAAATAAATAATAATATAATATTTATATATTATTAAAATATATTAATCTTTTAAAAATAGTCTTAAATCCTATAATATTTTAAAAATTAAAAGTAATAAAAACTTAAAAATTTATATTAAAAATATTAAATATTTAATTTATTAAAAATAATATTAAAATATAGTTTAAATTTTTATAGATTTAATAGTTATAATTTTATATTTTTAAACTTTTATTAATTAAAGAATTAAAAGTATAAATTAAAATTTTTAATAACTTTATCTCTTTAATAAATATATAAAAGGGATACTTTTAATTTAAATTAAAACTTTTTTAATTTTCTATATACTTAACTAAATCTTTTCTAACTAATACTAACTTTAACTTTAATTCTTAACTTTTAATTAATTAATTTAAATAGAAAGTAATAATATATTATTAAAGTAAGTAAGTAAAATAAGTAAATAAAAATAAAATATTATTATTTTTAATTAATTATAATTTAATATTTATTAAATAAAGATTATTAAAGGGTTTATAATTAACTATTAACTATATATTAACTATTATTATAAAGGGTAATAATAATTCTATATAAGGGTAATAATAGTTTTATATAAAGGTAGTAATAATCCTATATTTTAGCTAATTATAATTAGATATTTATTAATTAATTATTTAAAAGAATAACCTTTATAAGTTTTAAAGAAGCTATTTATATAATATATATTATTAAAAGTAATTAAATATTAAATAAGTTATTATAAATTAAACTTTAATATATTATTCTTTTAAGAATAATTCTAGGTTTTATAATATTTTAAAAATTAAAAGTAATAAAAACTTAAAAATTTATATTAAAAATATTAAATATTTAATTTATTAAAAATAATATTAAAATATAATTTAAATTTTTATAAATTTAATAATTATAGTTTTATATTCTTTAAACTTTTATTAATTAAGAAATTAAAAATATAAGTTAAAATTTTTAATAATTTTATCCCTTTAATAAATATATAAAAAAGATACTTTTAATTTAAATTAAAACTTTCTTTTAAAGTTTTTAATTAATTAAAATAACTTTCTTTAATTCCTTATATACTTAATTAAACCTCTTTTAATTAATATTAACTCTAACTTTTAATCTTTAACTTTTAATTAATTAATTTAAATAGAAAATAATAATATACTATTAGAGTAAATAAATAAAGTAAATAAATAAGAGTAAAATATTACTACTCTTTTAACTAATTATAGTCTAATATTTATTAAATAAAGGTTATTAAAAGCTTATAACTAATTATTAACTATATATTAATTATTATTATAAAGGGTAATAATAGTCTATATAAAGGTAATAATAGTTCTATATAGAGTAATAGTAATTCTATATAAGGGTAGTAATAGTTCTATATTTTAGTTAATTATAATTAAATATTTACTAATTAATTATTTAAAAGAATAACCTTTATAAACTTTAAAGAAGCTATCTATATAATATTTAAAATAATTTAAGTTTTAATAAAAGTTTATAAATAATTTAAAGTAATTATATAATAATTAAATATAATTTATATATAAAAGAAATAAAAATTATATTTTTATTATATAAATAATATAAATAAAGATTATTTATATAAATACTTTATTAATTATTTTTTAATTATTAATTAAATTATAATTTTAATATAAAATATATAATACTTATATTATATTATAATAAATTTAATAAACTTTAATTTAATTAATAATTTTAAATAAATAAATATTTAAAATATTTTTATTAAATAAAAGTATAATTTATTTTATTTATTATAATATTTATTTTTAAAATCTTTAATAAATATATAACTTAATATAATATAAGTTATTTATTAAAAAGTATTACTTTTATTAAACTATTTAAAGCTTTAAAAGGTTTTAAAAAAAGGGTAGTAATAATATAGGTACTTACATACTACTAGGAGCCAATTGTTAGATTGGTTATTATGGTCTTTTGGCCGGACGGTCAGGGCGTGTGTGTGGCTCGCAGTCGCGCCTCCCGTTCCAAGATGAAGTAGAAGCCTTGGTGAGATGATGTTTCCCCGTCTTCAGTCCTCTAGTTCATCAAACATTGGTGGGAAGTGACTTCCAATGGAAAAAAGGCCCGTGCGCCTTCCTTCAGATAGCAGATCCGTTTGTAGTCAATCGGTCACCTGGGGGAACTCGGACTGAAGCACAACCACAGCTGCAAACTTTGGAAGACAGATCTCATTCCAGCCGTACAAGGCTTGTTAGGGGAGAACATGTCTTGCTCTCCGTCAAAGGCTCGTTCCTTGCCCGCCCTGCGGCCAGACCAATCCTCACCTGCCGCCGCATTGAAAGGAAGACCAACAGCTTTGCAACTTCCACACTCACAATCGGACTTGAGGGTGTCCTATGGTTTCCGTCTGCAGGGCAAGACAGAGACCCAAATCTCGAGAAGCTCGACACCGAGTGGTTACCACAGTCACTACCTTCCGGTGACCGCCGTCACGAAACATGCCGAGGCTGCCGCGAGTGGTCAGGCAGGTGACACACGACCACCCAAGATTCCCAAACTCCGATCGTTATGGCCAAAAGATGATGCCGAAACACTGGATTCATCTAAAATACAATACCCACTAGCAACATCTGGTCCAAATCCTCCCACTGGCCAGCCGTTCTTCAGCCTCTCGGAAGAAGAACTCAAACAGCTGAGGAGGAAAATGGGCAAAGGCCCTGGGTACAAAAGTTTCAGATACCTCACCGTTGCAAAGTCCCTCAAAGACCTCGGCCGTGGATGGGAAGGCTTCTTACGAGCCAAGGACAAGGCAGAGAAAGACAATACGATCAACCAGTTCTGGCACAACTTCAGTTCTGAGCTGAACACTATCCTATCCACAACTCGGTTCCCAGTGGGCGCGTTATCACTTGAAATCGCTGCTTCTGTAAGATTCGTCCATTCTTGTTGAATACAACATCATCTTTCGGTTCTTGTAATGCTTCAGAATGCAACTCATTCTGCTTCTTAGTGGCTGACTTACACGTATCAGGCTGCGCAAAGCAACTACACTGAATCTACTGGTAGCCTGCAGCCAGAATACAAGGCCGAGATCCAGCGTTTGAAGACAAAATTCCGACCCTCGGTTCTCCCAAGCTGGAGTTCAGGCGACTCAACAGTTGCACATGTACCTCCTTTCTCCACTCTTGCTCCCGAATGGAAGCCACAACTTTTCCAGCAAGAGAGGCCGGACCCTGTATCAAATTCTCGACCGAAGAGGATCTTGGAACGGCCGAACTATAGGGAATTGCCACTTCTCGAAAGCAGCCCAGAGCCTCGATTCAGCCCTGAACTGTCGCCTCTAACGACCTCACCTACCCCCCGAGAACTGTACGATAGTATACAACCAGTATTCATTCAGTACCCATGCGAGTGGAACGGATGCAAGGCGGTACTGAATAACCTGGAAACACTCCGAAAGCATATTCATATTGTGCACTGGCAGGCTGAAGAGGCTGAGGGCACATTGTGTTGTTGTTGGGGGTCCTGTGGAACCGGTTCGCTGAGGGTGTTCAAATCGATTAAAGATCTCGAGAACCACTCCGCGGCCGCCCACTTGACGCCACTGCAATGTCAGTGTCATTCTCTCCCGTTCTAATGTGCCTGTTCTCAAGTTCCGGAATGCTCCAGAATGTATTGTGGCTAACACAACACTAGGGCATCTTGGTGATGGGCACAGGTGCAACCCGATTGTGGTGAATGAGTTTAATGGCTGACTTTACGCATAGTATTTCCGAATTGGGATCGGGTACTGCTGTCCGCCCAGGAGGCAGATTGAGATTCCGGGAGGCTGAATGTTCAGTGCGGAGTGTCTACGGGATCCTCCGTTGAATGTAACACTGGTGCAGAAAGCGCTTGGCCTGGAATTGCCTTGACGATCGGGAGGCTTGGGAGATATCTCGACTGCCTGGAGGAACATGTTCGAACCCACTGGATCCCGTATGGTTGCCACCGAGTCTTCTTCATGTTTATCCCTGACACGATGCCTTGTGCGTCTTGGTTGAGATCTATGACACCCCACCAAAAAGGGTGCATCGGATGTGGCCTGGCTGGCAAACTTTTAAGAGAGACTGTAGAAACTAGACACAAGTTGCTCTAGAGTCCTGAAGGCAACAATGTGGCTATTCATTCATGCACTTATATCACACGTCCGGCTGAGTGGTTTCGCTTCTATTCCGTACCTAGGTATACGTCCGAGGACATACATGGCGCCTTCATACGGTGGTAAGCGCTCAAGACCACACGTCCGGCTGAAAAAAAGAAGATTGAGTACCTAGGTAGCTCTGCCTCACAAGACACAAAGCTTTACCGTCCCTGGTTTGATGCATGGTTGTTGGTCAACTGGTTTTCAGATGCAGCCACTATCCACAGGTCCATTTAAACTATTCCAGTTATGCCTTAAAACCTATGATAGACAAAGTCATGTTGAATGATTCGATTCGCATTTAATACTACAGATGCAATTGTAAATTTTATGAAGCCCCTGATATGGTGTCCTAGCCTTTCAACTTAATTCTCTCGACTCCGCACATGGGCCCGATTTTGCAGAAAGGCTCAGCATGTCTCTTTGATCATGAAGCCGATGCATGCCACTGCTTGAGTGATTCATGCACATTGGAAGAAATCATCTGCATATACGAATTTTGCCTGGCAGTTTTGTGATCGCAGCATTGGCCAGGTTCAAGGCAACAACAATGTGCCGCCCAGCTAGGCTTTGTTGGTTTTGCAAAAGTAACGAGTTCAAGGCCAAAGAGGCAAAGGTTGACAAGGCAACAAGGCAAATGCCTGCAAACATGCACATTGAAGCTGGGATGGTTGCTTCTGCTCTTCTCGCCAACGACTGTAAGTCTCAGCTGCATTTGGGGTGACGAGATTCTACAGGCTGATCTGTAAGTCCTACCTAATCAAGGTGGGCCGCGCCTTATGCAGCCCGATACCACTTGAGCAAGCTCCGAAAGCAGATCTGAGGAGAGAAGAGCGGTCAATGTGCGGAGACCTACATTATCAAAGTCGAAACAGGAGCTCAAGCGATATTGTATTTTCCAGCCTCAGGAAATAGCTATCAGTATAAGGTTAGTCACATCTTTAGGTTATACTAGCAGAGGGTACTCTAATTAATAAGACTATTCTACTAGACACTATAAATATAAAAGGTTATTAAAAGATAGAAGATAATTAAGTCTTTTATAATTTCTATAATAAATTAATGTAATATTAAAATATTTATATATTAATTTTTTATAAAGTTAATTTAAAAATATAAAATAAATAGATTTTATTTTTTTAAATAGTTTTAAATATTCTTATAATATTCTTAAAATTTAAATTTATTTTATAATTTAAAATATAAATTATTTTAAATATAAAATATATAAATATTATAAAATAATATTAATAAAGTTATAAAATTAATTACTATATTTATATACTTTATTTATTTATTAAATAAAGTAACTTTTCTACTTTTTAATATATTATTATAATTATATTATTTCTTTCTTATTATTCTTTAAGTTAAGTTTAATTCTTTTACTATTTATTATTAAGACTATATTAATTAATAATATTAATAATCCTAAGATAAAGAAGTAAAACTTCATACTAATAGCATCTGAATTACAATATTTGGATCACCCTGAAGCTCAAGAAGTAAATTTCAGTGTCATATCAATTTCCTTCAATCCGCTGTATAATCGGAATCTTGAATCTCTTGGGTCTTGAGCTGGAGCTCAAGTTCGGCTGCGACAATCCTGTTGTCCGGGTCCGGGTCCAGCATCTCGGCAAGAAGATCATCATGCCGCCCAAGCAGAATCCTCCTCCAACCTTCGACCTCTGTGAGCCAGCTCTTCATCTCTTCCAAGACCATTTGGTCTTCGAATATGTGTGGCAGGATCCAATTTCCGTCAGGCAGGCTGATATACTTGAACGCGAAAAGCATTGTCACGCCCAGGGCCCAGACATCACCAGCGTTACCCTTGCCCCTATGGAGGAATTCGGGTGGCGCATAGGGTGGTGTTCCGGATGGGTTAAACCAATCTGCCGGGAGTATGTTATGGTTCAGTGCGGCCCCAAAGTCGATCAAGACGGCGTGCTGTGCACTTGGATCCCACATGATGTTGTCGGGTTTCACATCGTCATGGGTGATAGAGTTTGTGTGTAAGTGGGCCAGTGCGCTAGACATTTGCTTCCATAATGTGATTGAGTCGCCGGAAGAGATTGTCGATTTCCATCGGTCGTCTACGTACTTGTCCAGGCTCTGCCCAGGCTCAACGCGTAATGTAAGGGCGATTCGGCCGATGTCTGCATCTAACAGCTGCGTGATGTTTGCCTGCGTGTGTTCACTTTTACTTAATACTTGTCAAAATGAGGATTCGGTGTCCTTTGAAGCAAGATTTGACTTACGTGGGAACCAGCAAGTCTTAGTGCATCGACTTCGTTATGGAATCGTAGCGTTGTTCGTGAGTGATTCTGATTTCGAAAGGTCTTGATGATTGCCACCCTCCCATTGAAATTGCCAAGCTGTATTGTTGAGTGATAAGTCTCCGTGATGAGTACAGGAGAGGGAGGTTTGTCGGCATTGGACCCAAATGGGCCTCGTGGCAAAGATAACTTGCTGGCGTCCATGACGGAAACTTGAGACGGAATGCGAAAGCGTGATTGAGTAGAGAATCTGACTACTGAGATGTTTTGCTCTTGGCTGGCTGGCCTCACCTTGCCAAATCTGGCTGGGCGGCTTACTGTCTGTGTGGTGGGTGACTCAGGCCGCAGATACTGTACACCTAGAGCATTTATGTAAGCTCGAAAAGTTGAGACGATGGCTACACCAAGCGTTCGGGCAGAGACAAGTCCTTGTGGGGATGGACTGGATTATAAGTTCGGATGCAGCTCATGTCGCCCTGTCTATGCACCCTCTGCCTGTTTACTGTCAAATTCCAGCCGTGCACTGCTCGGAGGCTTTACATTTTGCGATGTAGGTCTACCGGTCATCTCAGGCATTTGCATATCCGAAGGCCAGACAAGTTAGGGTTGTCATGGGCCCCCCTCTTAGGTCTGGCCTCGGACAGCAATCGCCAAACACCAGATGTCGATGCCCCTGATAAAGCATTTAAACTCGGCGATGAACGCTGTCAATTCAATTGCTGTGGCACCCACAAAACAGCGACAGGCACAGATATGGGACCGGTGGAGAAGACGGAGACAACGGCAGTCACCCGCCGGGGCAGGGCCCACACAATGGGCGGGAAGCTGCAGGGCAAGCACAGAGGCGACGTCGTGCGACGCGTTGCTGTGTAAGTATCTACACCGTCGATGCACCAGAACATATTATTATAGTATTTGTGCATGGGGACTGGCGGCAGCTGAAGGGGGTGTTGAGTTGGCATATATTGAAGACGAGCCAATGTGCTTTGTGGCGTCAGCGTGTCCGTCTCGCAAGGTCGCCAACAACGACAAGACCTCCGGTGTCGCCGAGCTCGGTCTGCGAGTCTGAACTGACTTGGAGCCCACAGAACATTCCTCACCATGTGGCTCTGGAGTGACGTCAATGGCTAGGAGCGGTCGCAAGGCCCAAGGGTCCTCCGTGAGCCGTGCTACAGCTAGGCGTGCGCGCTAGGCTCGAAGAGGCCTAGCCGGCTTGGACAGGGCTGTCTTAGGCCCCACTGGGCGACGGCAACCCGGTTTCCATGGGGGCCCTGTCGTCATCCACCTGCGCGTCGCTTGTGGGACCACTGCGACAGCTACAGCGACGGCGTCCAGCTCATGTGCTCCCTACCTACACTAGGTAGTAGTAGCAAGCCGGCAAGCCTGGCAATGGCGGGGGACCCAGCACACAGGCACGTTTAACTGCCGTACGACCCTCACTCCGCCGTCATCCTGGGCCGCGCAATCGACCCATCCAAGCAAATTCCAACTCTCTCTCCCGTTCGGACGGAACCTGCGCCTGCCATAGCTGCTTCAAGGGACCATCGTCGTCCGGAGTTATTGGCCCTTCTCAAGCTGTGCATTGACACCGCCCCCAAAGCGACCGTCCAACTCCCAACTCCAACAAAACCTGCCCTTGGTGGCACGATCCTGTCAAACCAACCTCCTCCTCCCCTCACCTCAACAGTGGAATTATATACCGGCCGACGCCTGACCCGAGCGGTGGAACACCAGCATAGTCTCTGTCTCAACCCCCGAAACAAATCATCCAATCGTCCAGCTCCAAGGTATGCGACGACCTGGCTCCCTCCTCCCTTCCGGGTTTCTGCTTCCATTTTCTGTCCCGCTTATTAACACGGTCGTGCACTAGTCACATTCCATCGAGCTGATATCTTTTGCGACCTGTCCCCTCTGTTCGTCGACTTCTATACCCTCGGGACGACCCAGCTCCAGCCCGGTCTCTGCACTCTTCACGGCTCGCCTGTCCGACACGCCTTGTCCGACACAACAATGGCCGGCCGTATGTTTTCCCTGTCCTGGCCACCTCACCAACGCCGATTTTGTACTGACGAGTTGGACAGATCCCTCACTGGGCGGCGTCGCCCTGATTTTCCTCGCCGGCTCCATAGTAATGATCTTCTTCGTTGTCCTGGCCGGCGTGACAACGACTTCGCCCCTGCAGGATACCTACTTCCTGCGAGCAGACACGTCTGCCATCACCGGCGCGCGCAGCATCTCGCAATGGACTTTCTTTCACATCTGCAGCCCCGGCAACGTCGACTGCACCCGACCGAGCCCCGCCATGCCGTTCGGTCACGCTTGGGCGGACGACGCCGATAATATCCCAGACGGTCTGGGCGGGTGAGTGCCGTCCTCTTCCGACCATCCATAGCGCAGGGCAGCAGCTGACAAAAGACCCACCGCAGGAGCTTCGCCGGCAACACGACCTCCAAGTACTACTTTTACATGTGGCGATTCGGCTGGGTCCTCTACCTCATCTCGCTCTTCTTCGACGTGCTCGCCTTCTTCTCGGGCTTCCTCGCCTGCTGTGGCCGCCTCGGCGCAGCCATCTCCGGGCTCGTGGCATTGGTGGCCTTGTTCTTCTACACCATCGCTGTCTCGCTGATGACGGCCACGTTCGTCAAGGCCCGCGACGCCTTCCTGGCTGACAACCGATCCGCCAGCATCGGCCGCTACGCCTTCGGTTTCAGCTGGGGCGCGTGGGCTGCCCTGTTCATCGGCACAGTCCTGTTCTTTATGGGCACGCGCAACCGAGAAGGCTACTCCCGCCGCCGTTTCGGAAGGAGCCGAAGTACTAGGAGCCATCGCTCTCACGACCTCGGCAGTAGACGTGTCAAGGATGATTATTCCTAGGCCTTGGCCGACAGGAAACTTTCTAACCACCGGAGAAAGGTATAGCGGAAGGAGTTGTGATGGGAACAGCAGAGCGTCGGGGGGAGGCCAGGTGGCTCAGCGGAACTCCACATAGAGAATGGCAGCGATAAATTGTCTTTCTGCGCTTCAACAATCGACGGCGCCTTGCATATAGTTAATCCTTGGAAATGACGTGCTAATCAATGCTAATCCACATTACACATTGCGTCGACCGCGACTTGATAACTAATCTTAAATGGTCGTCCTAGAGGAGTATATATGAGGCATTCTGTCGTATATGGTATGACAGCCTGCCTTTACCTATGCCTCTGTTGTTTCTCAGACCATCCCAAAGAGCATGGGCTGCTTCGGGCACAATTAAACCTTCTGGAGGACATGTGACTGTTGTTCTTTGAGCCTATAAGTCATTGAGCACCGTATGAAGGCGCCATGTATGTCCTCGGACGTATACGGAATAGAAGCGAAATCACATACACATACGACCGGGATACCACAGGGATTCATAGACTCCGTACATCAGTGTCTCGCTGGTGCTTGGCCAGCATAAGCCAGTAATGTCTAGAATAGCCTGGTGATAACTACCCTACCCAGGCAATGTTCGTATCCTTAGAAGTGAAATCGTCCTCTTCCGGGATGGCCACTGGTATTAATTACAAGCTTCCGGCTGCCTAACCCGGCCTGTTATTTCCTAATAGTATGAAGAAGCATGAGTAATGCTTCTTACATAAGATTTAAAAGTAATATTACAGCAAGCCTATTATAAGTATAAGCCTAAGACTATCTGAAATATGTAGCTATCATGGAAATTCTGGTTTGATTACGAATATTTTATTATGAAATCTCCTCACTTTAATCGGATGGCTCGCTGTTAGAAAAAGTGAAGTCTATGTTATTGCTAATAGTATGATACCCTCTATGATTCTATACCATGCTTAAGTGCTCCTGCTAGTCTAATTTGCTTTAAACAATGGTCCCGTCTTGACGGGTGCAATCCTCACAAACTCCATCGGCTCTGGGATTTCATCCTGAGACCAATTGAGCATCCCATACCTCAGCCAGTGGGCGTAGGTACCGGGAATATCGTCTGACCCCGGATGTGCTCTCCATAGCGATCCCAGGGTCTGGCCGAGCACTTGGATGATCATGCCATGAGCCAGCTTGAAGCTGAAGCTTCTTGAGAGGCACGCTTCCACAATCTCTCTGGCTAGCTTCTGATCACTGGTCTCGGTTTCGGCGGGCCCTACTGGTAGTTTCAGGGACATCAGCTCGAAGGCCTTGGCTCCGTCCCAGGCGGTCATCTCGTTGATGAGTTGCGAGCCGACCATGTACTCCAAAGCGTATATGTGCTTGGTCACGTATTCCGGCCCGTCCCAGCCGTCCTCGTCGTCAACAGAGCTCAATACCATGCGCATGACCTGGCCCTGGATGATGTAGTCCGTGAGATCCTGGCTTTCCTGGTCCGAGAGGTTTCGACCTAGCAAGGGCAGCCCGCGCAGCAGGGCGCTCTTGTGCATTCCCTCCGTGCTCGTCTTGCCGCCGTTCTCGGCCCAGAGCGCCAGTAAGAGTCTGTGGCAGCGCTGAAATACTGGGTTGTCCTTGCGGGCGCAAAGAAAGTAGTTGGTCAGATCGTAGTCGTCGGGCGGGCCGGCGTTGTTGCTTAGGATCTCCCAGCGCGAGCCCGGGTCGCCCACCGTTGCATCCCAGAGCCGGTCCAGGTCGCCAATGGGCATCAGTCCCACATCCACGTAGACGCCGCCGTACTTGAGGAGAAGAGGCCATCGCACGAGGTCTGAGGTGTGTTGTAGAGCATACGTCCCCGTGATTGTGCCGTCTCGGAAGGCCTGGGGAAAGTTGTCTGGGTCGTGCAGGTTGAGGAAGTTGGCTACGTTGCACGGCGAGTTTGGGGCACGATCGACCACGCGGACTGTCCACCCCTTCTTCGAGAAGCGGCGATGGTAGGTCCGCACTGTGCGTTGGGTGTAGGGGTGCATTGTGCTGTAGCCCGAGTGCCAAAAGAGCCAGATGTTTTTCTCAGAGGACGACGAAGGCGGCAGAGGGTTCAAGAGGGCGGCATCAACTTCAGCATCAGACCTGAGGTCCAGTTCGTCTGCTGGGATGGCATGCACCCCCTTGGGCATAGGGTAGAGAGGAGACTCCATGGATGTGGTGGTGGTCACTGAGAGTTGATCTCGATGGCTGATGTCGTGTGTCATTGACTGGAAACTGTCAAATGCTGTCGGGACTGTGGTCTGATGGTGAACAGTGGTGGATGGCCTTTCTCAGCGGCGAGGCCCCCCATTTTATATTCCAAGGTTGCCAGACTTCACTGATCCTTCAAAACGTTTGTCGCCAGGTGCGAGCCAGCTTCAACCACCAGTTGCTGACCTGCGACCCTGTCAGACCCCTGTTGCCGCTGCCGCCCGACGACCGCCGACGGGAACTAACAGCCGCGAGCACGGGGCTGTGCCCCCTAGACACTGCCCTTGATCACTTCGACTCATAGTGGGTCTAGTTGAAGGGTTACTAGTCTTTTTGTGCCCGTCAGAACTGTCTCGCACAACTCCGTACCGATCAACTACTCAGCTTACATTTCCTGCCCATAGCGGAAGCCCGTGAATGAAAACAACGACTGATAAAGAAAGATACGTGATCGGCCAATCAAATGCCCCGGGCTAACCGTAAGTGGCTTCCTGCCAGCCGACAACCAGGCTCCGGCATGCCGTCTGACCGAGGCAGAATCGAGTGGCGATTCTCTTTAATGCGGAGAACTTGTTTACATTGTGCTTGGAGCTCCTGAGGAGACACTCATACGTCCGAAGATATACGTGACGGACTAATAACTGTATCTTACGGATTTTCTGACGCATTCTCAAGATTCCCGATCTCCCTTCAGCTTGCGGGAGCTCAAGTCTCGCGTATCATGATGCAAGTACGTTAGGACTCGATGATCATGTAACAAGCCAAGTCTATTTAACTACTAGTATCCTATCGCCATCCTATCGCCATCCACAACGGATTGCCGTGTCCAAAATTATACCACCCGACTTCAGGAGGGCACCTGACAAACCAAGGCACATTTATTTCAACTCATCGGTGATACTAACAGGTTTCGCATCTATTCCGCATACGTCCGGGGACATACATGGCGCCTTCATACGGTGGTATGTCGGTGACACTAAAATACAAACATACTTTATTAGTAGTGCGACCTACAGAATTCGACACTTCCTTTTCAAGCGTATAACTTAAGGACGTGGGCGGCGTTGTCTCACTCTTTAAATCGGGCTTTGGCTCGGAGACCACCGTGAGATCCCAGCTCTTGCCAGGGAATGCACTACCATCATTTGTCACTACATCGTTTCATCGCGGCCCTCGCAGTGCTATTGAATGTCGCCACCGGATCGAGCTGGAGCAGAGCCCTGGAGGTCATGGAGCCGGCACCATCATATTATTAGTCACCATCCTGCTTGCTTTAGGACGGACCGGAAAATCGTGATACGTGAAGGATTCTTGGATTGTATATTGGATGCTGGAAGACTTGCAGTTCAGCGATGGCGTTCGTGCCACTGTAGATCTTCAAGGCGAGAGGGCTCACATTGGGAACCGCCGGTGCATGCCTCCTCCCCCCCTGCAGCTGGCCATTATCTGTTGGTGCTCGTGGCCATGGTTCTAGATCTGGGGGTGGAGTATGCAATGGCAACTTGTCTGGGATGGGCCATGTGCGAGGTGTCATTGGCAGCCATGGCTAGGTAGATATTGCAATTTACTTCGGGATGCGCCAGGGGAGGGTGGATGAGACTGATGCGTCTATCAGCGGCCTGGAACTCTTCCCATGTGGCGACAAGGTCATGCAGCCAATATTTGGCTTTGACTACACGTGTAGACCTCGAGTAATTACCTCTCTTATCTCGAGCAGTACGTATGGCATGCCCGGTCTCATCGCCATGCAGCACCCACCCACATTCCGAGGAAACGGCACGTTACCACCCGGACTGGCAGGGTCCACGGGTGAGGGGTTGAAAGGATTGATTGCAGTGCAACTGGAGAAGCCATCACGATCAGCTGAGGTCAATTTTCCTCTATCTCGCTCCACAACACGCACGCAAGAGTGTTGAGAAAACAAAGGAACAGTAATGGAACCTCAAGCCGCCTGGGCCCAGACCCAGAGCCAATACTGGCCTCGAGTGCTTTCGAGTCAGGTCGAAGGTCGAGCAAAAGGGGAAGGAGGCCCGGTTGCTCGGGGCTGGCCAGACCGGGATCCCCCGTACCAACACTATGGCGTGCGATAGCCGCTTTCTGGCTCGTTATCGCATCACCTGCTCAGCTGCTGCCGTCGCAGACACCGTACGGAGTAATCCGTGACGCGATAGCAGAGACATTTGATACCAGTCTTGCGAGCCTGCAAATGGGAAGAATTGACGTGGTAGTGGCTGCCGCACCCTGATCCCTCTGATCCCTCGGAGCCCCCAGGGCTGCAGACCCACGCCGTGCAACCTTCCTATCCAGGACATAATAACCTTTCAGATGCTGTTTTGGTCCTTGTCGCTCACTGCCCACTGTTCGACATGCATTTGCCTCAGCATCAGTGTTCCGAACAGCCGGAATCACACCTTGCCTCCATGGGGCCGGGCCGGGGTGTCAATTTCCTAATCTGCTGTGGCATGCCCAGGCAAGCCAGGTCAACTGGTGTCTCTGTAGAAAAGCTTATGTAGCAGCCATATACCGCCAAGTCGCCCGGCTCCATTTCCCACGAGCCCTCAGCCCTCTTGGCCCGTCTTGTCTGCATTGGCATCTCTCCCAAGTGCTTGTCTAGCAGTTGCTTGTTTGTCTTGTGTGCCTGGGTATTTCCAGCATGCCCAACGCCGGAATTGACCAGGCCGTCATCGTCGGCGGCCTAAACCCCGTCGAGGGTAAGGTCTTCCCGGTCCCCACCCACTCTGCCGCCAACGAGAAGGAGGTTATCGTGGGTGCCGCACGAGCCGACACCGAGGGCACGCTCGGAGACGACAAGATCAGCGCTGCACCGTCGGCAGGGGACGGCGGCGATCACGAGAAGGACGACGATGACAGCAGCAGCGACGATGTTATCATCATCACCGGTGCCGACGCTGCCCGCCACCTCCTGCCCTTGCGGGATGACTTCGATACGGCCCTGACATTTCGCAGCCTGGTCCTCGCCTCTGGTCTATCTTGTTTTCAGGCCGTTATGAGCCAGATTTACACTGTGGGTGCTCAATGCGTGCCGTGGGTACTCCTTCCGTTGGTGCTAATACGGACATTCTCACTTAGTTTAAACCGACGGCAATTACCATCTCAGGTACTTTCATTGTCCTTATCGCCTACTTCCTCGGCAAGGGATGGGCTGCGGGTCTCCCCCGCGGTGACAAGTTTGAGGCCAAATGGAGGGCCAAGGGCGGCGAGGGCAAACCGCCAAGGTGGATTTCCATCATCAAGTTTATCAACCCCGGCCCATGGACCTTGAAGGAGCATGCCGTGTGCGCGATCACGGCCACATCTGCCTCAAATGCTTCCGCCAGCGTCCAGGTTTTCGCCGCCCAAGACCTCTTCTACGACCTGCCTCTGAGCGCCGCCACCGTCATCTTAAGCACCATCTCAATTGGTCTGTTTGGATACGGCATGTGTGGTGTCATGCGCCCGATTGCTGTTTGGCACGTGGACGCCGTCTACTGGAGTACTTTGCCAACTGTCAAGACACTTCAAGGCTTGCACTGGCAGGATCTGAAAAACTCGAAGCCGCTGCGGTACTTCTGGTACGCTTTTGGCGGCATGTTTGCGTATGAATGGTTTCCAGCATACATGTTTCCATGGCTGAATTCCGTATCAATCCCGGTACGCGACCCCATTCACTCAGGATATACCAAAGTTGGTTCATGCATTTGGTGTTGCGGGAGGGCATGGCCATTGATACTGGCGTCCTCAGCTTGAGATTGCAACTCTGGAGGATTTTGAAGTTATGAATGAAGTTGCGAGAACAATTGAATTGCTAATTTGAAAATTACAGTGCTTAGCCGCAATGAAAGCTACTGGTAGCAAGGCTGCTGTGTTGACAAACCTCTTTGGGGGGTCTATCAACAATGAAGGAATCGGATTGTTCAGCCTGTCTCTCGACTGGCAATATGTAAGATCTTAGCCTCCGGGGCGATAGGCTGCGATACTGATGGAGAATCTGCAGATCACCTCCTTCAACACATCACTTCCCCTAAAACTGCAAGTCCACGCCGCAGTCGGATACCTCGTCTGCTTCGCCGCCATGCTTGGCATCTACTACACGAACGTCTGGGAGGCACAGTCACTTCCTTTCATGTCGACGACGCTGAGAACAGATGACGGCGGAAAGGTGAGCAGCTCTTGACACCTGCCACTACCTCCTAGCAAAATTGTTGCCGGCCCGAACCAGGTACACAACGTCGCCATGGGTCACTCGCCAAAGACTTTTGGAAGTCTCTGGAGGTTCAGCATGGCAAATCGGCAGTAGTCCCAAAGCGTGTGACATTGCTAACCTTTGGTCAATCATAGTACCCTATCACTGAGGTTTTCACCGGCGGGGTGCTCAACGAGACAGCTCTGGCTGAGAACGGTTTGCCTCGTCTTACGGGCACGTTTGCGTACGCGATGCTCATGGCGAATGCGGCAGTTAGTAACATTTAATCCCGAATGTGTTATTCTGTATGGTGCACGCTTTGCTAATACCAAGTCAGATCGGCGCTCTGGTTATGCATTGCTTTCTCTTCTGGGGCGGAGACAGTAAGTATTACTCGTCTTTACCAAATATTCATACCCCCCGTTTGGCATTCTAGCATTCAATATAGAGAGAGTTACGAGAATCCAAAGCAGTACTAACGTTGTACCAAGTCGTCAGAGCATATAAGAGTGCGAAGGCGGGCCGGTACGACGATCGCCATCACACACACATGGCTAAGCACTACAAGGAAACACCATGGTGGTGGTACATTATTGTGCTCGTCGTCAGTTTCATTATTGGCCTGGTCGTCGTGATTAAGGAGAACATTACACTCCCCGCCTGGGCCTACATTGTTTCACTTTTACTCGGGATGTTTATCGCGCCTTTGGTAGGTCACTATCGCAAGGATATCACTCAATTCCTACGGAGCTCCGTTTTGACTTTGATATTGTAGAGCACTCTTCTCTACTCTCGGTATGGCAACGGCATTGCCACCAACAACTTGTCGAAAATGTTGGCTGGCCTTATGCTACCTGGCCGGCCCGTTGGAAATATGTATTTTGCAGCATGTGAGTTGGTTTCCCTCACATGAGCAGTCAATTCTCTGCCCTCAGACAAGATTGAAGTCACTAATATATTTCAGGGTCACACAATGTCATCAGCAACGCTGTCACCTTGTGCAATGACTTGAAGATGGGCGAATACCGTACGTAACTACCTATACAACCCAATTGTAGTCCCCATACAGAGCTAACCTTTCTCAAAGTCAAAATCCCGCCCCGAGTGATGTTCCTTACTCAGATTTATGGCACAATCCTTGGCGGTTTCATCAATTACGCTGTAATGATCAGTATCGTCAACGGAAACCGCGATCTCCTTGTGAACAGCAACGGCAACTCTTCTTGGAGCGGTGCCACAATGCAGTCATACAATACTAACGCCACGTCCTGGGCGCTGGCAAACTATCTATATGGATCTGGTGGCCTCTATTATATGGTGCCTATTGGCTTGGCAATTGGCGGCGGTCTCGTCATCGTCCACCGCATATTTGTATTCGTAAGTCTGCCAGCACAACTCGTCACGGGCTAGTCAACGTGTCGTCACCCGGCAACTAACTGGTTCCGTCGTTTAGTTCGTCCCCAAGATCAAAGGCGTCTCGACCGCAGAACTCAACCTACCGCAGTTCATCCAGTATGCCGGCTACATCCCATACAATGCCAGTCAGACCTGCGTCATCTTCAGTCAGGTCATCGCCGGCTTCTTCACCCAGTTCTACCTGCGCAATTACCGCCCGCGGATCTTTAAGGACTACTCATATCTGGTCACCGGCGCCTTCGATGGAGCGAGTCTCGCCGTACTCTTCATCCTTTCGTTTGCCGTCTTCGGCGCAGGCGGGCCATCTAAGCCCTTCCCTACGTGGTGGGGTAACAACGCGGATGGTTATTACGATCTGTGCCCATCGCCTCCGGAGTAAGAACTGACTTCTCTTTTTGGCATGTGGGCTTGGAATTACGGGTTTATATATAGACTCTGGCTCCGGGAAAGCTTCCGAGGTTCCTGGTACCTAGTTATCGGGGCATGGGGCTCCTTTTTAACCTGTGGTGGGTTGATAACTCGCTCCCCTCCAGGGGCTCGAGGCCTTGAAGTGTCAAACGCAACCCTTCCAAAATGCTAGCATCAATGCAATATTCCGCCTGGGCCTTTCTCGAAATCCTTCTTGGATTGCTGCCGCGTTGATGACTAGTTGTCTCTTGCCACACCCAAGCTGCTCCATGGCGCGGTGAAGCTTTGGAATAATTTGCGATCTTACATGCATATCTAATTAAGCCGGGGCTCAAGGCTTGGCACATACCCGAAATACGTTTCAATCTTTACTCCGTTCTTTGTGCATCTACGCATGCTGAACCCTTGTTCCTGCCTCACTGGGGCTCACTGGTCGATTGAGTGGGAAATTTTGTCGTGTTAGTCATCCTACTTCCCGGTTGACAGTCACAGAACGGAAAGACAAATCTTTATTGATATGCCGATGGTTAAGTCAGCCTTGTAGCAAGTTGGCGCCTTAGCGCGGGAATCCCCTCTTTCTAGGCACCGAGCCCTCGCGATGGGTTGTTTGTAGGAAGTTCAGGTAGGGTAGCGTCAGTGCTTGATCGAATCCTTCACTGAGTAATAGGCTTCCTTGCAGCCTTATGTCACCAGACTGTGGATCCTGGGGTTTGGAGCGGTGACGATTGTTGGCAGACCGCGCCTGCGGAACCCCTGGCTAGTGTCAAAAGGGTTACATATTACTGGCTGAAATGGTAAATGTCTTCTCGAACTATTGCTCAAGTTCTGGTATTTGTGCCGCAGCCATGCGTCGAGATCAATTTAAGCGTAGGCAGACGTTCTCGAAAGGGTGTGCCTTCGACCGGATTGGGATAAAGCCTGCTAGCGCCTCCTGCAGACCTTGTAGACGAGAAAATGGTCCACTCTGATTCGCCTCCCTGTGGTGGAAGAACGTGAAATTTGGTACCACATGGTCGTTGTGGAATTTGGGCGGCAACATGGCATGACGCGAAGGAATGCAATTAAATCCCAGTATTTCCTCGTGCTCAGGATGGTCCTTTCCATCACCTTTCTCCTCTGCCCTTTTTTCTTTTCCATCACGGACTGTGACAACCTCGGACGGTATCAAAAGTTGATCAGCCAAACAAAACACAACAGAAAAACACGAAATGAAGTCTTTTATTCCTGCCATTTTTATGGGCCTGGCCAGCCTGGTCGCGGCCGACACAACACCAACAGACACCTCCATCCCGACGTCAACAGATGCGTCGTCCTTCCTCTCGGACGTGTTTGAAGGCGAGGCAACACCCACATGGGTAACGGGAAAATACGCGACAACATTGGCCTCGGCCCTCTACAGTGCTGAGACGTCATTCGCAATGCGCTCCGACTACCAAGATATCGTTAATGCCATCTGGTCGGCCGCAGAGAAGGACGGTGGATCCAGCGTCGTCGAGTCCCTCAGTGCCTCGTACTGGAACTGGGGAGCCGTCACCACGAATGACTGGTTTACCAAAAACGTTCCCGGTTCGCTTCAGACTGCTGTGGCCCAGTACGACGATGCGTGGGAGAGCGTGATGACCAGCGTTGAGGCCAAGGCCACCGCCACACAGAATGCGGCTCCGGCGCGCTGCACGGGGATGGCTGTTGCCGGTGTCGCCGCGCTGGGCATTGCTGCCGTGGCTGGGGCTATTTGAAGGCCTCCCGAGTTGGATTGGAGGATGGCCGTCGTCGTCACAAGTCTCTGTTCCCCACTAATTTGGGAAATGATCCTTGGGGTTTGGAGTCCGGGGAACTTTTTGGGCCTTGACGATGATGGATCAAGTTCGATTGTGCGTCTGGGCATGAATGGGCTCTTTTGTTTCTGTCCCTTACATTGTTCTGCTTCTCTTTATACCAGCATGCTCAGTCACTACAGATGTAAATCTCGGAGCCTAGTTACTGCCATGCATATAATTTTGAATGTGAAGTGGCCGAGAGGTTAATTGTCCTTCCTCACCCACACTCAATATTAGCACTGAACACGTTTTGTGCCTCATCTTGAGGCGGCACACATTCTTAGTCACCAGTAAGTCCTAATCCTAAGGTCATCATAGATGGTTTCAAACAGCATCCATTCAGTTTACCCCAATGCTTTTAAAAGAAAAGTTTTTTTTTAAAAAAAGTTCTGAATGGTCCCACAGGGTGATAAAGGCCATCCGATCCAGACTACCATATATGTAGTGTGCAAAATATTCTGTAGTTATGGCTAGCGCTTCTGAAACATCTAAGAAGTAATTCCGCTAGTTATGTGCAGTATTTAATCTCCTCGTTGTGACCACAGTTATCAATATCGTGTCTTTTTCAAGCGCTGGGTCTTGAGCGCTTACCACCGTATGAAGGCGCCATGTAGTTATGTCCTCGGACGTATACGGAATAGAAGCGAAACCACACACAACCACATTAGTCTCACTGCATCAAGAGGCGCGCTCTGGTTTGCTGGCTCAATGACGAGTGTCGCTCATGTGGTTCGTGGACAGTCGCAACGTAGCTTGTTTACTTATGGGCCGTCGTGACTTTCAGGAAAGGCAAGCCTTGCTGTTAACAACGAGGGGTTATTCATTCATACGGAAACGGGGCACGTACTGCCAAAGTCACCTCGGGATCATTTAAAATCATCTTCATGAACAGCCAAAAAGCTCACTCGACCCCGTGAGCAGTCCAGTGCCCTGCAGAGTTCCAAAAGCACATAGAATCAATCCAATCACTCGTACTACACATTCTTCTCCGTCTAATCGGGTTGGGAGACTAGCACACTTTGAAAGCAATGACCTAGCAGAGGACCGAAGCACCTGGGCACCGGCAGAATGTACTTGTCATGAATAGCGTCCACGGGTCACCGCATCATCCCCTAGGAACGACACGGACCAGAACATGCAATGATACCATCCACTTGTCCGTTATCAGGAGAATGCTCTTAAATTGCCTACAAAAGTTTTATCCCGCTGCCAAGTCCCGATACAGGTCAAAGGTTCCGAGATGGCGACATGATAGGACGGAATCCAACTGATAATTTTGTCTTGGCACGATGATGCAAGGCTTGGTACTCTTTGCAACAACGACACTATGATCTAAACGTGCATCTCACGGAGCTATAAATCGTTTCCATCGAATATGAGTTATCATACTGGCAATACCCATCCATCATTGCGAACGCCAATCTCGGCAATACCCTAGAGTAGCCTCCACAATGAAGCACGACCGCGGAGATGCAGGGGAACACTCTACCACTTTGGACCCTGAAAAGCTCAAGGCCACGGTTGAACCCACTACCGAAGCTGAATCTCAGAGTGGCGATGACCTCGATGACAACAACTCTCGGAAACACGTTTTCTCCGACCCGCTCGTTGCAGAACATTGGCGGAGCATATACGAGAAAGCTGGGTACGAGAACAGACACCGGTTCGATCCAGCATTCGCGTGGACTGCCGAAGATGAGCGAAAGCTTGTTAGGAAGGTAGATTTTAGGATCATGACATGGGCTGTGAGTGATTTCCGGAAGTATCTCGAGGTTGTCAGGAAATGGGCGAGTTTTGGTCCTGCAAGAAATGCAGCCGATCAGCCATTCATGGCATTTGTTTGAAGGGGTAACTAACTTAAACATTAAAGTGGATCATGTTTTGTGCGTTGGATATGCATCGCAGGAATATCAACCGGGCGATTTCGGACAACATGCTGGAAGAACTAGGCAAGTCACTCTTGTGCAACCACAAGTTGCAATCTGCGTCACTTGGCTAACACATATTCGCACAGGCATGAACACAAACGACTTCAACTATGGACAAACCATCTTCCTTGCGTCCTTCCTCTCGGCAGAGCTTCCAAGTGGTCTCATAAGCAAGAAACTCGGTGCTGACAGATGGATCCCCTCCATAATCGTGGGATGGTCTGTTGTAGCTGGTTCACAGACGTTCCTGACCGGTCGTGCGGGCTTCTACGCCATCAAAGCCCTTCTAGGCTTGCTCATGGGTGGTTTCATCCCAGGTTAGTAGCTACCACCTTTCCCAAATTGCCCTTGAAATACAACTTTACGATTTCACTTAGGATTTGGACAGAATTTGGTTTGTTACGACAAATGTACCTCCTAGACAAGTAGCACGCACTGACTCGAGTAAATTTCCAGACATTGTCCTGTACCTCACTTATTTCTATAAATCTAACGAGCTCCCTACTCGTTTGGCATGGTTTGTAAGTTCCTCATCCTTGCCTCCTTGCTCATAGACAATTTGCCGACGAGGTCGGCCATACTGATACTGGAGTGTCAGTGGACTGCCCTAAGCACAGTCAACGTTGTTGGTTCTCTGCTCGCGGCAGGTGTCCTTCAGATGAGAGGAATCAACGGCTGGTCTGGTTGGCAGTGGCTTTTCCTCTTGGAAGGCCTGCTTACTTTGATCGTGGGCCTCTTCTCTTTTGGGCTCATGCCCCCGGGACCCTGCCAGACTCGTAATTGGTTCCGCGGCTCCAAGGGCTGGTTCGATGAGCGAGAAGAAAAGATCATGGTGAATCGCTTGCTCCGAGATGACCCGAGTAAGGGTGACATGAACAATCGCCAGGCTGTTGGCCTCAAGCTACTGTGGAAGGCTATCCAGGACTGGGAGCAGTGGCCTCTCTATCTTGTTGGCCTCACCACTTACATCCCGCCGAGTCCCCCACAGAACTACCTATCTCTCATCCTACGGCAGCTAGGCTTCTCGGTATTCGAGGCAAATCTGCTCGTCATTCCGTCGCAGGTCATGTTCGCGTTGAACCTCCTCTTTGTCACCTGGGTCTCAAGGCGGCTTCAAGAACGGGCGATAGTATCATCGTTTGCAAATATCTGGATCTTCCCATGGATGCTTGCTCTGGTGGTCCTACCTGCTTCTGCGTCTCCATGGGTCCGGTAAGTAGGGTCTGCATGCAATTTTCACCCCCTTCAAGATCAAACATGTCTAGTATTATCCACACCCAGGTATTACAAAGACTCCAGGGGCTGCAAATTTTAGGACCTGCTTTGGCCACCTCATGGACCACTCTTTGCTGTATTGTTGTAAAGCTAATTCGCTGATTCTTTGATGGCTAACTCCTAATACTGTAGGTACGGAATACTCACAGCACTTCTCTCGTATCCTTACTGCCACGCAATCTTGGTGGCCTGGAACGCGAAGAACAGCAATGCCGTGCGGACGCGAGCTGTCTCGGCGGCTTTGTACAACATGTTTGTGCAGTCTGGAAACATTATCGCATCCAACATCTACAGGGATGACGATAAGCCCCTCTACAAGAGAGGCAACAGCATTCTTCTGGGCATAACCTGTTTTAACATTGTCTTGATGTACCTGGTCAAAGCTTTCTACATCTGGCGGAACCGTGTTCGCGACCGAAAGTGGAACGCATTGACTACTGAGGAGCAAGAGCAATATCTGATAAATACAAAAGATGAAGGGCAGCAGAGGCTGGATTTCCGTTTCGCGCATTAGAGGAGGACGAAATCGAGCGCGGAGCTAGGATTTAATTCGGAGCTTCGGCATTAGCCACTCAATTGCACATTGGATGAATGGAACGGAAGTTCAGCTGTCCTTTCCTATTCAGCGGTCGTCAGCGACCTAGGCACATGCAACGGGACATGCAGATGCTGCCAAGGGATTGAGCGTCACAAAATATTCTATTGTAGTTAGTCAACGTAGCAGACCTGCGCACGGACCTAGAGGACAGCTTTATTTGTCCTCCTCCTTTTTTACCCTCTACTTTTGCTCTCATCTTCAGCCTGGTAACTATCTCGCGCAGTTTTGATTCGTTCATACTGGCGACGATTTCTAAGTTGACTATGCTCCCGGAACAGCGGGCACTAACTACTTGGGTACGGAAGTTAATTCCAACTATGGTACAGTTTCCACCTTCTCAAGTGGTCCTGCTGGGGCAGGCTCTTGCAAACGAGATGAAACCCGCGGAGTGATTGAACATGGGTTGCGAGTGTCCAAGACTTTGGTCGGTCACCTATTGCAGGTTCATGTTCCACTGCTTTAATCGTCTCATTTGCCGATTGTTACCCTGAACTCAGCACACGCAGTCAGATGCAGATCAATTTTTAGGTCCTCAAGCTTTGAAAGAAATATGGACGGTGCCTTAAGACAGTGGCACGGGTATACTATCTCCCAGACTTCAGTTCTCGAAACGCTTCAAGTTGCTTGCCCCATCCGCCAATCATCCATGAAATTTGTATTGCTGAAGAGCATCTCATCATACAAAAAAAAATCATGAATTGGGGTGTCGCAGCTACAGCGATGCTGATTATGGACGGCGTACTTCTTATATCATACCTGATATGGCTCTACATAATGAGACGCCTTCTGCGAGAGCAACTTGAGACCACCGCCGGCAGCCAGCAGGAGCAAAGTCCGCCAGAGCAAAATGATAGCATTTTCAACTACTGAGCAAGATCGTCGTTGGTTTTGGTGGAGGTGCGGGTAACACCGCACGTGCGAGGCTTGGAACCGAGCAGCAGTGGATATCATGCGTTCTTCCCCGCAGCAAGCCCGGATCTTGGACAATTCCGACCTTTCACCTCGACAGAAGCTAGTGTATGTTGGTAGGCCAGTGAAGCTTTGATCCCACGACCCATGAGCTACGACTTCAAGATGCCCTGCACAATTGTCCGTAACTCGACCGGCGGGGGAAAGAAGGGGGCTCAGAGCACAGTCAGGGCTTCCAACACCTTCACTGGAGATGTCTGGTGAGTTATCATCCAATGATGATGTCAAGCACCTGAGAGGTGCCTGCAGGCTGACTTGGAGTCCTGTCCCCCACTCCCAACTTCCAGGTCATCATCTCGGGGTCACGCACAGAATCATGGCTGACTGTTTCCTTCTAGGATGGACAAGCTCGTCGGACCTGTGGACGGCATCATGTGCAACCATGTTACCTTCCTCCCCGGCTCTAGGACATACTGGCACCATCACGAGAACGGGCAGATACTCGAGGTGAAAGCGGGGAGTGGTTGGGTATGCGATAAGGGTGGGAAGCCAGAGCGCATCAGCGTGGGCGACATTGTGCAATGCCCAGCTGGTACAATTCATTGGCACGGCGCCGACGAAGGCAGCATGATGATGCATCTTGCAATCAGCCTCGGAAAGACAACTGTAAGTACCGTTCGTTCGTCTCTGTTCAGAGTTCACTGTCTCCGTCTCTCATGCTGGGATACTCCATGAGCACGTCACTTTAGGATCCGTATTGGTAACTGACAAGTCCTAGTGGATGGAGGAGGTCAGCCAGGACGAGTATAACGCAAAGACTGGGTAGTGGTATGGACAACCTAGGGTAGTCACCTCAATAAGAATTTTCTTCTTATTATGTTCGTCACCGTGTGAAGGCGCCATGTATGTCCACGGACGTATGCGGAATCAATAGAAACGAAACCGGTTATTGTATTCATCTTACGCTACAGCTCAGACGTGAACATCCAACAGCGCCAGCTTCAAATGTTGTTCTGCCTGACACAACCACCTTATGGTGGGCCGCGTTCACCGAAATCTTGTCCTGAAGAAAGGCTCATGGTAGCACAGCCGATTTAAACATACCGGTGAGGCCTGCCATTTATCAAAGCACTGCTACAACTTGAAAAAAAGATCAGAGGCTAGATACAACATGAAGTTGCATATTCAAAAGACTTCTCACAATCCCGGAAGATCACATATTCTTCAAGTAGAGGCACCTCAAAGCTTGCAATCTGACCGACGCTTAGCATTGATGGATGGACTATTGTGATTGCTTGAAAACTCATTTTTGAATCAAGTGCTCCAAAATTTGGTCTACACAGCCGATCATCGTTCGGAAAACATAGCTGGCGCCATCTTGTAAATGCGGACTCGTCCCTCGTCGAGAAACACCAGCGCCGAACTTATCTCTTTGCACGACGTCCATCTAGAATATGTGGTTTCGCTTCTATTCCGTATACGTCCGAGGACATACATGGCGCCTTCATACGGTGGTAAGCACTCAAGACCCAACACCTGTAATGTATTGCAAATCTTATCGTCGAAGTCTCCATTGAAGGGTGTAGTCTTCCAGTTGGAAACCAGACCAAGTTCCCTTCTCCTGCGAGTCTATCCAAAACACCGTGATTCCGAGGGAGTTTGTCGGCTGTCTCCCAAGGTCTAATACCCGGACTGATATAGTGGAACCTTTCTGCATTCCTGCATCGCTACGTATTCAGTATCAATGGAAATGAATCAGTGAGTGGCCCAGGAGATGCACCTCGGCGAGGACATGGGAACCAAGATGTTGTCAAGGAGTCTCGTTGGTCGAGTTTGAATTTTCAGCTACATTCGGAAAACGCCAAATTTTGTGCCGCCAGGTCTAACTTCATTCCGGCCGGACATGGCAGCGCGCAAACCCAGGCCTAGGTATCGCCTCGTGTGTTGTGGTGGAATGACTCCGTCATCCTGTTTACACAAGGCTCAGTCAGTGTCGGGATGCTCGCAATCTAGAAAGGCAACCGGAAGACGACTTACCCATAATCTTGCGCTCGAGTAGACAGCGTCACTCTCCTTCTCGATTCTTTCCTTCAGCCCCTTATCAACTGTCTTGCCCACGGTTTCCATGACTGCGGCCAGCTGTTCTCCACCCATCACGCCGATCCTAGCGTTGGGCCACATCCACAGGAAGCGCGGCGAGTACGCCCTCCCACACATGCCGTAGTTGCCAGCACCGTAACTGCCGCCGACCACTACTGTAAACTTGGGGACATCGGCGCAAGCCACGGCTGTGACGAGCTTCGCGCCGTTCTTTGCGATGCCTTCCCTCTCGGCGTCGCTGCCGACCATGAAGCCGCTGATGTTCTGCAGGAAGACAAGTGGGATACCCCGCTGGCTACACAGCTCGATGAAGTGGGCCCCTTTTAGGGCAGAAGAGGAGAAGAGGATCCCGTTGTTGGCAACGATGCCGACCTGTTGACCGTAGATGTTCGCAAATCCCGTCACCAGTGTCTTGCCGTAGTCGCGCTTGAACTCGGCAAAGGCAGAACCGTCGACCACACGGGCAATCACCTCGTGGATGGGAAGCGGCTTTCGGAGGTTGGTGGATGCTATGCCCAAGAGCTCAGTCGGGGGGTAGAGCGGCTCGGAGAATGCCGTCTCTTGCTGCGGCGGGCCTGACCTGTGAGGCCAGTTCAGATTACTGACACACCGTCTCGCTAGCACGAGGGCGTGGGCGTCATCCACAGCCAGGTAGTCGGTCACACCCGAGACGCTCGAGTGCATCTTGCCGCCGCCAAGTTCCTCTGCGCTGACCGTCTCTCCGGTGGCAGCTTTGACCAGAGGCGGGCCCGCGAGGAAGATGTGGCCCTGGTCCTGCACAATGATGCTCTCGTCGGACATGGCGGGCACGTAGGCGCCGCCTGCCGTGCAGGGTCCCATGACGACGGATATCTGCGGGATCCCAGCCGCGGACATGCGTGCCTGGTTGTAGAAGATGCGCCCGAAATGATCGCGGTCTGGGAAAACATCGGCCTGGTGGGGCAGGTTCGCGCCGCCAGAATCCACGAGGTAGATGCAACTGCCCAGCACCACAAGGCAAGGATTAGCACGAGCATCAGATGGGCAGGGAGGACTGGGCGCCTACGGTAACTTGTTCTCGTGAGCAACAGCCTGGGCCCTGAGGTGCTTCTTCACGGTGATGGGATAGTACGTGCCGCCCTTGACAGTGCTGTCATTGGCAACGATGACGCATGTGACGCCCTCCACGACGCCCACGCCCGTGATGATGGCGCCGGCGGGGACGTCAGCCTCCGGGTACAGCTCGTGGCCAGCCAGCCCGCCCAGCTCCATGAAGGTGGTGCCCGGGTCTATCAGGGCCGTGACCCTGTCCCGCGGCAGCATCTTGCCCCTTGCCAGGTGCTTGTCTCTGGCCGCCGGCGACCCGCCCTGCTGGACCTTGCGCGTGAGCTCGGCCAGGCGCGCCATGGCCTCGTCCATGGCCCGCTGGTTCTCCTTGAACTCATCGCTGCTCGTGTCTACGGTGGACTGGATCGTGGAGATTGCTTGTGACTGGTACGGAGGCGTGAAGGTGGCGACTGTTCGCTTGCTCCCGTTCCCCGTGGGGAGGACGGGGAGGACGGGGAGGACGGGGAGGACGGGGACGGCGGGTCGTCGCTGGCATGGGAGCCCCGGGCGGGCATGAGGGTGGATCTGGAGTCGAGTCCGGGGTAATGAGCGGGCCACCCGAGGGACCAGACCTGATCCTGGGCTCCGCATCGACGACATGGTGCTCTCTGGGAACAAGGCGAGACCACGTCCGCGCGACAACAGCATTCGAGGACGGGGAAACGAGACAGGTTGCTAAGAAAGCTAGGCGCCTTGCAGCGTCATGTTTAGATAGTTGATCTTCCACGGCTCCCCTGGCGCCTCGGCCCGCGTTTAAGCGACCTCAACCGCAATTGGAATCCTGGGAGTGCCCGTCAGTCTTGGGCCGAAGCAATGCGACGGCCGACAACGACAACCGCTCTTGACATCAATGATGGAGCAGGCCATGAACTGATTTCCTCAGTTTCCTAACATACCGCCGCCTCGGAAACATGTCGAGCACCAGAGTATTTGGCCGCCTGGCCACATCAGCGCGAGCCCTCCCCAAGGCCTCGTCGCCATCGACCCTGGCCATCCGCAGCAGGGCAGCGGCAGTCCCCGAGTGTAGACGATGGGCCTCGACCTCCAAGCACCCGCAGGGCTTCGTGCCTCCCACCCAGGCCGACCTCGAAGAGCTGCGCGAACGCGTCCAGGAGTTCACCCGGCGCGAGATCACCCCAGAGGTGGCCGCTGCCACTGACCAGAGCAATGCGTTCCCGCCCGACATGTGGGCGAAGCTGGGCGAGGCGGGCTTCCTGGGGATCACGGCCGACGAGCATGTCGGCGGCCTGGCGCTGGGCTATCAAGCACACTGTATAGTCATGGAAGAGCTGAGCCGCGCCTCCGGGTCCATCGCCCTGTCCTACGCCGCCCACAGCCAGCTGTGCGTGAACCAGCTGCAGCTGAACGGCTCGCCCGAGCAGAAGGCCAGGTACCTCCCCGGCCTGATCGCCGGCGACAAGGTCGGCGCCCTGGCCATGAGCGAGAGCAGCGCCGGCTCGGACGTCGTGTCCATGCGGACCACCGCCAAGAAGGTGGACGGGGGGTACGTCCTCAACGGCTCCAAGATGTGGATCACAAACGGGCCCGACGCGGACTACATCGTCGTGTACGCCAAGACGGAGCCTGACGCCGGCAGCAAGGGCATCACGGCCTTCATCGTCGAGACCAGGGGGTCAGAGGGCTTCGCCTGTGCGCGCAAGCTCGACAAGATGGGCATGAGGGGCAGCAACACCGGCGAGCTTGTCTTCGACAACGTCTTCGTGCCCGAGGCGAACATACTCGGCAAGATCAACGGCGGCGTGCGCGTGTTGATGGAGGGTCTCGACCTGGAGAGGCTTGTGCTCAGCGCTGGGCCCCTGGGCCTGATGCAGGCGGCCCTCGACGTAGCCCTGCCGTTCGTGCACACGCGCAAGCAGTTTGGCCAGCCCATCGGCACCTTTCAGGCCATCCACGGCAAGCTGGCCGACATGTACACCAAGCTACAGGTCTGCAGGGCGTACACGTATGCCACTGCGAGGGCTGTTGATGAGGACGGCATCATCAAGACTCAGGACTGTGCAGGTGCCATACTCTATGCCGCCGAGAGGGCTACTGAATGTGGCCTGGACTGCATCCAGGTGCTTGGCGGCATGGGCTACGTGGAGGAGATGCCAGCTTCCCGGATATTGAGAGAGTAAGCTCGTCCATCCCGCCGTCTCCTAACGCTGCCCCCTTCGGCTTCCATTACCCTTCGCGGAGGCTCGGACTGACACAGGCGCACAGTGCAAAACTTTACGAGATCGGTGCTGGCACTTCTGAGGTGAGGCGTATGGTTATCGGTCGTGTCTTCAACAAAGAGTATGCGAGTCACTCGGTGTGATCGGCGTGCCCGGTGTATGGTTTGCGGTCAGTATTTACATCACTTCATGTATAAGCATGCATGGCGTTAAGGCGGGGTTTGTTTTCCTCAGACCCATCGCAGTGAGGATGAGAAACCAGAGTTCACTCAACCACGTGCGTTTTCCGGATAGACCTACCTGTGGTCGTCGGTGGTGGTGTTCGCCGAGACGTTTGAATCTCGTGTTGCAAGTACCCAGCAGATTCCAGCTTTCATAGGGCATCGACACTGTTCGAACCCTATGCCAAGGGGAAAGGCTCTTGCTTCAGATCCACCGGGGTAGCTGGTAAATCCTCGACGGCTGCATGCGGCCACAGCAACAACGGAAGACCATTTTGATTGCCTGGTGAGAAGCACTGGGTAGCTTTCGCGAGGTTAAGAACAGGGGGCGGTCCCCGTACCAGTGGGGAGGAACTCGAAAACCGTGATGTCACTCGAACTTTACTGCACGTAAATAGATGATCGATTTTGTTGATCGCCTCTCACTAGAGACTGGCTGGTGCAAAAAAAATGCAAAATGGCAGGAGTATGGACCCTGAAATCGGTAGTCTGTACTCATTGTTGCTCGGTTGTCCCCCCCCCCCCAACCAAAACCTCAACTCCAGCTCAAACTGAACGCCTTACTTTTGGTTCATGATTTGGACGAACTCGTTGACTGTGACCCGGTCAGGCTCCAATCTGGGGTTGTGTCTCTTGGAAACTCACAGTCTATGGTACCACTCCCATCTGAGTCAGCAAAGTGAAGCATCTCGTCGATCTCGGCCTCGGTAAGGCTCTCGCCGATCGACTTCATGACCGATCGGAGCTCATCCTTTGAGATGGTGCCGGTGCCATCGCGATCGAAGACCTGTGGGCGGCGGTCAGTCAGACTGCCGGCAGGACTTTGGGAACTCGCGCGTAGAGCTCACCTTGAACGCTTCTCGGAGTTCCTGCTCCGGGTCGACGTCCTGGACCTTGTGCGACATCAGGGCCAAGAATTCTGCATCCCACCTGTCAGCAAGTACATGGCCAGAGACTGGTTGAACAAGGCTACGTACCCTTGAAATCGATAGTGCCGTTCTTGTCGACATCGACCTCGTCGACCATGTCCTGGAGCTCGCCGTCGGTCGGGTTCAGACCGAGGGAGCGCATGATGGTTCCGAGCTCATCCTTGGTGATCTCACCTGTGGAACAAACCGGGTCAGCGGGCGTTCAGTACGGCGATTGCGTGCGTGCACGCAGAACCTGTTGGCGTCTTCCGCCCCGCCAGAGTTGACCGCCAGAGACTAACCGTTGCCATCCTTGTCCTAGAACAAGTACAGATTGTCCGAGCCGTCAGCAAAAAGCACTCCTGGGGCGGTAAGGCTTAAGGGGGGTTGATGTGGGCGTCGGGACTGACAAAAACCAAGAAAGCTTCCTTGAAGCTTTCGATCTGCTCCTCAGAGAGCTGCCCCTGGTCGGCCTGTGATCGGACGATGTGGTCAGTCTAGGAGTTGGGCCGGCGCAGACCTCGGGAGCCTCGTGCGGGACGGGCAGGCCCTGCCGAGTTGTGCGCTGGGGGAGTGACCACCAACCATGATGTGTCTGGGGAATGGGCTTTGCCGGAAGTGGAAGAAGGAGGCTGTGCTGGAGCTTCAGGGAGGTATGCAGGAGATAGAGGCTGCTTGTATGTACTGTGTAAGGGAGGTATCTGGCGGTTGAGTCCGTCGAAGAAGCTTGTCAACTATGCTGGCAGGCTGGGTGGGTGGGGTTCCCTCACCCCACTCCTAGATAGATAGTACGTCAAAAGTGGGCAATCCCTGTTTCAGGGTGCTCTTGATACTCTCGCTCTCGGGATATCATCTGTTAGTGCTGAGCCTGCGGCTCCGTGCATTCCCGATCCATCCTTAGCACATGTACAACTGTGCCCGCACCCAGCCCTCACCATATATCACCATGTCGCCATCTGGGCAGGCCCGCCGGGCTTCATCATCGCATTACGAATGTGTCTCCGTTTGACCTGCTAACCTACCTAGGTATACTTGTGTAGGCAGCTGATAGCAGACTCGTGCATCCCTCCAGAAGAAAAAAAAAATCCTCAGTGCATTTCAGCAAGCACTCTAGTCACGAATGGCTACTAAATTATACCTTGCGCTTCAACCGTTCCACGTGATGGAAAGTTCATCTCTTTTTGCTATGCGAAACCCTCGATGAAGACCCTCGCTAGAGGATTGGTACTGGACAAGGAGGTATTATAGACAGGGCCCCTTGCCTGTCGTTCACCAAACAACACGACGAACCAGGATGGCCGCGGTTCTCCCAGACGAAGACATGGTCTTGTCAAAATCATGTTTTACATGATGTGCCGATATGTCCGATACAGAAAGCCAAGCTTGGTTACTCGGAGTCTTATATATATACAAGCCTCAAATATTATTTGGCACTCGTCCTTGGGGGAAAGGTTACTTACCTAGGTGTGCGGTCTGGACAGCTGAGGAGTGCATCCCCATGATGGCACGCGCTTCCTTAAGTGTGCCAGTAGTGAAGTAGCATAAATCACTTTATCACTTCAAGCGATGCCAGGTAGTGTTTTTACGGGATGAGATGTGCCTCAATCATCACATACTAGTAGTTCTCTATCCGATTCCGACACGTTTGTTCGTTCTGCCTGTTTCCTAAAACCAGCCACAAATTATCTTACAAAATCTCGCCACTTACATGTTCGCCTGCATAAAGTGAAGAATGTCCCTCAACCTGAACATGACCTCGTACCTCCTTCGATGCTGGAAGACCTTCATGATGTCAGTCACCCACTTCTTGCCATCCTCCTGTGCCAGCCGCTTGTGGTCACCCGACCCGAGACATCCCCAGAAGCACTTGCAGAACGCATCATCCAGCTTCTCCAGTTTGCTCAAGCTGTCTGCGCTGCCGTCGACATCGTACAGTTCGGCCTTGGTCATCATGAACCCCTTCATCGCTGACATGGCCCACTTGGTATCCAACCAGCGCTCCAGGTCATCATCCTGCTTCTCGGCAAACGCCTTTCTCGCCTTCGACTTGAGGTTCGCCATGCGGTCGGTTGGTGCCTGCTTGGCAGCGTTGAAGAGCTGTCGGAGCAGTCTGAGCTCGCGGAAGCACCGTCTGGCAGCCTCCTCGTCGAGGAGGTCGAAGAAAAAGCACCACCTGTCTGTGATCTCCTCTGGGGAGCGCGCCGTCATGGCAGGGCGCTTGATCACCTTGTTCTCGGTCGATGCCTTTGGGGTCTCTGGCGGCTCGAAGCTCTCCTCCAGGCGGGCCGCGATGCTATCTCGGCACCCAGCCCTCTCCTCGGATGACCGCAAGGGCGCGACAGTCTCTTGGATCTTATCGCACATCTCCAAGATCTCCCAGACCATGGCCGCGTGCCGGGGGGCAACCTGTGCCGCCTCCCTAAGCTGCTTCACCCACTGTTTGTCGAGGGCCAACCTCTCCTGTTCAGCTTCCGAGAGGACGACCCAGCAGTCCCGGATGCCGAACCCGTCCTGACCGGGGAGGCCAACGTCTCCTGATGGGCTGAACCGGCCCTTTGTTGAAAGGAGGATTTTGAGCTTGTCCGCCATGGTGGTCATGAGATGGGTGACGCTCTCCCACCGCTGCTCCTCGTTGCGCAGGGTAAGAGCGAGGCACAGCGCGAATTTCCCTGTTTCGTGGCCCAGGTACTCCTCAGCCTGTCTCTTCAACTCATCTGCGCTCAAGAATTCGTCGGCAAAGTCAGCTTGCTCCAGCTTGTCGATGCTCTCTTTGGTGTCCTTGATGTTTGCCTTGCATATCTTCCTTATGGTGTCCACTGAGATCTTCTCTTTCCTCTTGGGCGGGGCCTGCTGTGTCTCCGCTCCCTTCTTTGTGGACAAGACACTCAGGCGGCGCTTCAAAGACGGGGCAGAGGCAGTGTCCCTGTTTGGAGAAGGCGCCCTCCTGGCTGTAGATTCATTGATGCTGGAAAGTAGCGAAGAAATGCTGATTTGGTCCAATACGCCTGTCGGTTGCTGGTAGAGAGGATCACCTTGATGCTGCAAGACCCCTGAGCGACCAAACTGGCCGCCGTGAAGATTCTGACCTAGCTCTATCAGCCCCTGCGCAACATCCGGGTGCTTCATGGCCGCGGCAACCAAGAGTCGAACGAGATCCGGGTGCAGATTGGCTTTTGGGTCGAAGGCCTGGATCGCTTCGGTAGCAGCAGACTGCGGGTTATCGAGCAGGCGCAATGCCCTGATGGCAAAGACAAGCGAGTCATCGCCTTCGTCTGCCTCGTCATGACACTCCTCGGAAGAGGGTTTTCTAGGCAGAGTTTCTGTAGCGTCTGTAGCGACGGAGTCGTTGGTGAGAATCGAAGCGACGGACGCCATCGAGTCAGGCCGATCCGCCGTCGGCAGCGATGTTGGCAGCTTCTCAAAAATGGCTGCCATGGTGCTTGTCATAAATATGGTCAAGCAAATCTGCTTCTTGGAGTTGTTGTATAGGGGCACAGTTGTGTAAAACCATGCAGTAGATTGGGACGAAAGCAGTTGTATCTAAGCACAGAGACGACGAGACGGCCTTATGAGCCGGCGCACCAGCCCAGCCGACATGGTCGGCAATGAATAATGCCTTTCAACACAAACCCATCATAGTGAAACACCTCAGTCGGCATCTTTTGTCTTGGGCCGCGCTCGTCGTTGCTTGATTCGAGGGAGGGGTGTGTGAGAGGTCACTTGGCAGATATGCTATGTGGAAGCGACCAACGTCTAAAATTAGGGCTCAGGACGCTTTTCTCCTGGATTGAACAGTATCAGAACCAGGTCCCTAAGAAACAACCGACTGTTGCAAGATGCTGACCACGCCAGCACGGACGGCTTCTGGAACTGTTGTTCTCTAATTCACCAGCGCCAACCATCGGGGTGTTGCATCGCCAAGAAATGCCAAATGTTTCGAATGCTGAGCAGAAACACTCTGGGCGAGGACCCCTGATGTAACCAACGACAGTACCTAGGTAAAACATCATCGCACCAGAATCAGATGGTGGCAATCATTCGTGGGGATTCACCGCACCGCTGGGACAGCAGCCAAAAACAAGTGTTACATACTTGAGGCATGCGCGCCTAGAACTGGGAGATGACTGACATCGCTCCGAAGACACGGCATTACCTATTGCAGTTCCACTTATGCAGCCCTAGCGTGTTCGGGATCTTTGGATTCGGTGTCTGTGTCACTAGTCTACTACCCCAACGTACGGCGTTGCTCTCGTGACGCGTAAACTGCCAATTTTCACAGGTGCATGCAGGCCGTGTCTTCGGGAATGATAGTAGACTCGATCGCTTGACATGGGATAAGCTCCGCTGCAACGGGCAAACAGAGGGGCGATCATGTAACGCCGAGATTCCATGCCTCGAATATACCTACCTAGGTACCTTCACAAGTCCGGCTCGGACAATGTTCAGTTTGCAGACACCGGTGGCGTTCCCAAGAATTCGGGCCTTCGTATGCCCTCTACTCACTCTATGCTGGCTACAGTGTGCCAAATACGCCCCCCCCCCCTCACTGGCATCGCCCCTTCTGCTCGCCGGAATATTCTTCCCGGGGCGATCGTGTTGTCTGGAAGCATGCGTACCATGTCAGGTGGTGAAAAGGCGCCATTTTCTGTCAACCCAGGCACGGCGATCCTAAATTTAGTATCTCGAAAATCAAATGAGTTAGGACCTCGGGACCCTGAGGCGCACAGCCAGAATACACGTGCCTGACTTCAGCTGGCCTTTCCTACCAGTTGACATGACGCATTTGTGTTCACTTGTGAGTCGAGAAAGCCAGCCGTGAAAACGTACTTATTGATTTTCTTCACTCGAATAATCAGCGCTGCCCAGGTGGTTGTATATATGCCCTTCTCAAGTCGCTCATTCCAGGCAATTCAGTAACGTTCGCTCACGCGACCTCAACTAATTTGGTATAGTCTGTTGAGCTCGAAGCCAGCAAAAGGAGGACGTTGCAGTTCTAAGAGCATTGCTGTGGCTTCCAGTCTTAACGATAGCGGAAGATTGTGGCCGCACGAAGCATGGAGACACCACGTAGAGTGTGGGTACATTCCGTCTGGGCGATGCGGGAGCAGACTGGGCTTGTGCTTGGCCCAAAACTAACATGAGTGTCGGTAGATCGAACATATTAGCAGCACTTGTGGCTCTGCTTCCTGAGACATCTTGAACTGGGCGTGTTTATTTTGGAAAAGGATTATAAAAGAACTCGCGAAGCTTATGTGGTTTCGCTTCTATTCCGTATACGTCCGAGGACATGCATGGCGCCTTCATACGGTGGTAAGCACTCAAGACCTAGCGCTTGGAAAGAACACGATGCCGATAACAATAGTTATAATACGATAGGTGCTTGTGGCCTCAGCCTTGCGACGCACAGTCGCGAAGCTTATGGGGGCGATTAGTTACCCACGTAGTACGTCCTATGCGCTGCTACAGCCAACTACTGATGTTTTAATGCTTGATTGCCAATAGATCTTTACTCGTTAGTTCCCACTGGCAGATGATGTTTCAAGAACTCAATCCAAATTTCCAGAAAGCGTTGCAAATTTGAGTATCTAGGTAGGAGCTTCAGGCGTTTTATTTCAGTGAAATCATTCTCGGACAGCTTCCTGAAGTCTATTCACGTCGTGACGAAATACTGTCATCGCTACATTTTAGATGCTCTGGCGTAATTTTCGGTCTCTCTCTCTTTCCCCTTTCTCCATACTGCGTGTTGTAGATCCTTATGAGATGAATATTCGAAGACGGTGTAGTTTTCATTTACTTGTCGTGGGGGAACAGTCGTTGAGATGCTTTCTAAGATCCGACTTGGTCAAAAAAGTATGGACAGCAGTGTTGTTCACATTACATAATTTGATTGAGTCTCGGCTATAGACAGTTTTGGGAGGACAATAGAGCAAAGACCTTCATTTATCTAAGTTGACAAATCTTGCAACCGTGCTTTTGCAACATCCCATAACTCCGACTGAGGCCAGTAATGATGAATGTCCATTGTAATCCGGCGGAGCTTCTGCCACTAGACATCACGGCGATGACAGATAGAATCTTGGCATGGTGAGGCAATCTATGGTTTTAAGAACTATAAGAGCGCCGGAGCAAAAGCTGAGGGCATACTGGCAACGGCGAGAATATCGGCGGAATACTTCAAAGAGGCTGGCCACTGCCATACTCGCAAATATGCCAAGGCCACTGACATTTCCAGCCATTACCAAACGCGGGTCCAGGAGATGGCATGTTGCGCCAGGCAGAAAACGGATATACTAACGTACCATGTACAGACATAGCCTCATATATACTAACTTCTACTTCTCAACCCCCCCCCTTAGCTAGCACTCTGGGTACCATAACATCAAGATCACTACAGAAGGTATTTAGAACGTACTTACTCTCATTTAGTTTGCTATGACGTTTCCCTAGAACTAGCTTTTTTATAAATAAGACAACCTATAATCAAAGTATAGGATGCCTTAGCATAGTATTATATGTGCTTCAAGAGCTGCCAGACCTATAATTTGTTATACTATAGAGGAAAGCGAACATACCTACAAACTCTGTGCCTAGATAGGTATGGACTCTGATGTACTAGCTTCTGATTTGAACATAGCAGACACGGATAGCACGTGGCGATCCACACAAGCCACGGACAGAGACCCTCCTGTCTCCTGCTCCAGGCTCGTCCCCATGAAAATCACTCACATCAACCGCAACATCCCGATCGTGCAGAATTGGCAGGCGGGTGGCCTTTTCCGGGACACAAAATTCGTCCGTTCAAGCGCCCGGTACATCAACGTGACATCGGCGAGCAGCCTCATCCCAGTCCTCATTGGCACAAACACCGCTCATTAGTCCCACTGACAACGAACTGCTCCCTGAAAGGCCAAACACCGCTCGGTCCCAGCGTGGTTTCGATGTCCGTGGTGAGCGCGGCCCATAAGGGACGGATGTGGAGGTCCCTATGGCCAACAATGAGAGGATCCCATAGTGAACCTGGAGTGGGCGGAGAAACTCGGAAAACATTGTGAAGGGGTTGAGTTACCCTATGGCTCCAGCGTTGTTCGGTATGTCGGGATTCCTACTCATACCTGATGCACTCATGCCTTGGGCGCAGCTTTGCTGACTTGTCTCATCGCCCTTTGAAGGGGGCTCGGCCACAGCATAAACCAAGAGATCTTCGCGAAACTGGAGTGTTCTATCAAGAAAGTGCAGCAAACAGGTAGGTGGCAGCGCGATGAGCTATAAAAACCGCACCAACCCGTAGAAGGGACAGATAAAGGACTTCAGCTGTTTGGTCTACCATTTCCAAGCACAATTCAGTCCAAATCTATTGTGTGCCAGTTTCCAGTGCTTAAGCGTCCGTATGTCAATGAATTTCAGGCTAGAATCGGACTTCATCAAGATGTAACTCTTTAAACCCATCTTCGACGATCCACGACCTCCCCTTCTCGGGCGCATAGAGCGCCTCGCACGCCCTTCCCACGACAAGGAGCCCTGGCGGCCTGCTCCCTTCCGCCTCAATGGCTTCGGCAACGAATTCGAGTGTCGTGCGGATGACTCTCTGATCGGGGCAAGAAGCCCGCTCGATGACTGCGCACGGCGTCGACCTCGGCCATAAGTTTCTTGTGCCCTTCGAAGACTGTGCAACATCGCTCGTCTCCACCATTTGGTGAATCACGTCCTCCGAGGGCCCAGCCCCGTCGGGTATCGTCTCAGTTGTTGTGGTTGTGCCAGTGCTCTCCACTTCGCTAGGAAGAGGTTGTGTAAGCTCGGCCACAAGACCCGTGATGCGATGCAATGCCATGAGGAAGACGACTGTTCTGCTTGCCAAGAACTCCGGAGGTGTCGGCGGTTTGCCCTTCTTGCCCGTCCCCGTGCATACCAAGACTTGGTCTGCAACATCCCGCTGAGTGGGCGGTATGCCCGCGAAGAGCGGCGCACTCAAGGAGCTTGTAATACCAGGCAAGACCAGCACTCTATCGCCTAGACCATGCTGGCGGAAGTAATCAACCTCCTCGCCTCCACGCCCGTAAATGAAAGGATCTCCTTGTTTGAGCCGCAACACCGTTTTCCCCTGTCTGACGCCCGCAATCGCCTGCTCCAACAGTTCCTCCTGAGCCTTGTCCGCGTTGCCAGGGAACTTTCGCGCGATAGAGACAGGCGTCCGACGGGGAATGAGATCTAGTACGCCTTCGGGGACGAGCTTGTCGGCCAGGATGATGTCGGCCGACTGGATTGCCTTGTAGGTTGCGCGAGTAAGTAGATCGGGGTGTCCAGGGCCGGAACCAGCGAGGATCACCCTGCCGCGCGCACTGGCAGGAGAGCCACTGTTCTTGTCATCTTCTGATCCTCCGATGGCGGACGCGCCGGCGGTGGTGCTGGTGCTGCCAGAGTATGATTTCAAGACGGTCTCAACGTCGTCGTCGCTGATAGCTGCCAGGCGCTTGAGTGGCCAGTACTCGCAGACCTGCGCGAGCCAGCGCATGCGCCTGTGCTTCACAGCGTCCAGGTCTTCCTCGGTGACCAGCTTGTTGAAGTTGGCTGTCTGTTCCAACCCTTCCTCCTCTTCCCCGGCATTGAGGTGGCCGCCGCTGAGAGCCTCGTGGAGGAGGTGGTCCTCTTCTTGGATCCTCCGCCTAACTTCCCCCAGCTTTGCGCAGGCGGCCCCCAGTGTTGGCGGGAGCGAGGCTGCGACCTCACGGCGTATGCGGCTGGCGAGGCGGCATCCTCTTCCGTTGGTGGTGACGCCGATCTGCAGTGGCCCATCGCTATGTGTCGACAGGATGGAGAAGCTGCAGAGGCTGGGGTTGTCGACCACATTCACGGGGATCCGGTTGCGCTTGCAGATGGCTGAGATGAGATTGGCCGACACACCCTCGCCCAATGAAGAAGTGTTTGTGGTCGTGACGAAGACTGCATCGACCACATTGCCTATCTCGTCGCGCCCGCGAGTGAGGGCAAGATCCTCGGTAAAAGGCCTGCGCTCCCACTGGACCTGGCCCGAGTCAACGAGGTTGGCGAGGCCATAGTGGAGAGACTGAGTTGGTGGGGGCTCGGGCGCGATAAGGATAGGTTTTGCGCCGGTGGCAATTGACTGCTCGCACCGCTTGCCGGCGAGCGAATTGCTGCCGACGACGAGGTGGACGTGAGAGCGACAGTCTGTGGCAGTGAGGAGAGAGGTGTGGTATGAGGCTGCCATTTTGTGCACAGCTAGTGTTCTAGAGGTATCGTTGCCGCGTCTGGTCTGTTCTGTAGCCATTTATTAGGAATTAGAGATACATTGGATGCCGTTATCAGTCCACTCGAGCCGCATGACGCCATCCCGATAGCCGGTGGCCGGACCGACGAGCCCATTGATCGCTTCACATAACGATGCACTTCTTGTCCTCCTTATCCTTTTTGACGCTCATCGCCACCCGGGCGGCCTCTGTGAAGGCCTCGTTGACGCCGCGATTCCGCATCGCCGAACACTCGAGGTATCGCATCGCATTTATCCTCCTGGCGACCTCCAGGCCCTGCTCGTACCCGATCGTTGGCTTTGTGCTCGCTGGGGGGTTGTCGCCGGCCGCCGCGTCCTCGTCCTGGGCCTCTCGCAGGTCGCATTTCAGAGCGATCAGTACGACCTTGACGCTGGGGCAGTGTTCTGTTATCTCGCCGACCCATTTGCTCTCGACGTTCTCTAAGCTCTCGGGGCTGTCCACGCTGTAGCACAGCATGATGAGGTCGCTATCGTCATATGAAAGGCTTCGTAACCTGTCGAACTCCTCCTGGCCAGCAGTGTCCCAGAGCGACAGCTCGATGTGGATGTTGTCGACGAAGATGTCGTGTACGTAGTTCTCGAAGACGGTGGGCTCGTAGACGGTGGGGAAGTACCCTCTCGTGAAGACGTTGAGTAATGACGTTTTGCCACACGCGCCGTCGCCCAGGAGGACGAGCTTGCGCTGGACTGTCTTGTTGGTTGCCAAGCAGGACATTGTGATGGTGATGATGGGGGAGGAGAGGGTGTTGTTGTTGCTGCTGAGACAGCCGCTGGAAGGGGCCGTCGGGGATTCGAGTTCGGGGCTGACTGGGGTTGGGGTTGGAAGCTCGGACCCACACCCACACATCCCTTCCATCCCATTCAGTGGCAATCCGAGCAGGTTCCCGCCCCATGGAGATTATCCAAGATGAGATTGAGATTATACATGGCGGTTTGTGCGAGATTAGCAAGCTGGCCTGCTGGCTGCTGCTCTATGACCGAGAACCGGCTGTGCTACATTATGATGCCCGATGAGTGCTCATGAGGTTACAGTACATACTCATTGGTTGATTCTGCATCTGGTTCAGAAAGCCCAACCTTGTAGGCGCAGCCAGCGCTTTTGGTTTTGGGGCAGTTTGGAAAGGTACGGTTATCTATCCCAAGCAGCAAAAGCAGACTTGTGGCCTAAATGTTCCCTGGGCGGACGTTCTGGATAGTTTGTCAGTCTTGATTCTTTGTATCTACTTGAATCATGTTAGAGCACCCCTTGTGGTATCAAGACAAGAGCTGTTCCAAAGTGAATGCTTGCCCCATAATATCCTGAAGTCAATGTAAGTCGCTACTGCAAACTTGGTCTCTCTGACCAAGGCGGCCAGTCTTGCAAACTTGCAGCAACAATGTTGGCAGTACGGATATAGCAGGTCTGTCATATAGAGCAAGGGTATGGGGGCTGGTCATCTCTTTTTGGCTACTGGCGTCTGCAATCCACTCTTATTATCGGTAGATGATGCCCCTATATTTGGCTCCGCTGCCGCTCCAGACATCATTCCCCTGAAGTGCCGCCGCTGTTACTCCAGGGGAAGAGACATCTGACCAGTATTTGTACAAGTAAGCGTTTGATAAATTCCATATCTCAGCTCACGTGCTCCAGAACGAGGCTTAGCACCATCCCTTCAAATCGCTGGCGGTTCCGCGAGGCGGAGAGCGGCGAAGGCCTGGCCTCTGACCTGCAGCGGGTAGGGATTCATTGCGTACAACGCCCTGGCCAGGACAGGCTCACGTTTTTTGAGTTGCAGTCTGAGCCAAAGGGCGGGCGCTGACTTCTACAACGGGTAAAAATTTGTTTCAACTCTTGGCCGTACCACGACGGCTGTTGTCGGTCTACAATTGGGCGCCCGCGGCGACAAGCTCACTGGAGAGGGAGTATTCCTGTTTCATGCAGCACAATCACAAGCAACCTTCCACCCCGCGAACATTTCCTGGAGTAAATGGCTGTGCGTGCAAATGTAGTACCGACAGTGTGAACATGAAACTGTGGGGTCAACCACGCGCGTCGGTCTAACGCTGCGTTACCCATCACAACGGTACTTAAGTAGACATTCAAACCAAAACCTAGGTAGGTCACCGCCGGCACTGCGGCTTGCCTCCGTTGGTACACATCTGGCATAGCCTCAACGTCCAGTGCTCTCACATTGCTGTAAAATTATAGTGTTGTAGTAGCGCGTATCGCGATACTATACTCACGTTTGTGAAGCTCTACAGCTTTGTCTCTTGAACGCACGGCGGTGGGCGCTTGACACTAGCCTACCATCGAACCCGCTTCAAACGATCGTGATGAGGAGTTCCGACGAGATATCGCCCGAACCGATCGTTCCTGACCTGCGGAGAGCTGCGTGTGATTGATGTTCTTTATTTCCAGGAAATGTCCTCTGATTCTGCCTTGCTTTGCTTTGCTTCGCTTTCAAAACGGAATCGTGTAAAATACGAGAAAAGTAGAAAGTGCTCCGCTCCCGTGCTTCCACTCCTTACCATACAAGAACCCACCACCATCACAAGGCTGGGCAGAACCAAGACTGTGGCCGATTTGAAGCAAGCTGGCGCAAGAAGAAGAACACCCAGAACCCGCCTGTGCCTTAGCAATTCAATCCAGCTCGTCCAGGACTGGAGGAAAGGATATGTGGTGGATGGTCCCGTATTCCTCATCAGGGCCGAGACCAAGGAACACCGGTTTCACACGGGAATCTTTGGCTATGATTCGAGACTAGCAGCTGGGCTGACGCTGTCAAATGGTGCTGCATGCAACGCCGGCTTCTCCGTACTTGTTGATTGCGGCCCTTGCTTCTTGCGCTCCATCGCCTCTTGTACCCATTGCGCAACCTCGGCATCTCCTGAGCCTTCGTTGATAGAAAGCTGTTTCGCGGCCGCGTCGGCGAGGTCATTGTCCGTGGCCTCCGACTCGGCCTCTGCTTCCTCGGTGATCGTCTCGGGCTTGCTCAGGGATTTGATCCAAGGGTGGAGCAAAAGCATGGGATACGTATGCCTCTTCTTTGGATTTTTGTTGAGGCATGACTTGACAAAGTCGCGGGCTTGTGCGGAGTAGCCTTCTGCGGGTAGATCTGGCGGGTCGCCTTCAACGATTGCCTGTAATCGTGGTCCCGGTTAGCCAAAAAAAACAAACTCTGAAAAGTCAGAGCATATGCGTAACTTACGTTCAGCTGGCCGAAGATGGTGGCCGAAATCTCCGGCGGGTAAGGGTATTTGCCCATAGCACACTCGATGATGGTCAACCCCAAGCTCCAGATGTCGCTTTGGACGCTGTAGGTTCCGTCCGCGCCGGCAGCCATTGCGCCACCAGATATTCGCTCAGGGGCCATGTAGCTTTGGCAGCCTATGTTCGTCTTCGCAATGCTGGCCACAAGGTTCCCGCTAACACCGAAATCGCATATTTTGACCTGACCCCGGGAGTTGACGAGAATGTTGGTCGGCTTCACGTCTCGATGAATGATGTTGTGCTCGTCTTTCAACGATTTCAGACCCATGATCGTGCTGTAAGTTATTTTCTTGAGAACGTCCTCAGGTATTCCGCCATCATACAACTTATCAATAGAGCCGCCGTCCATGTACTCAATGCACATGTACACCGCGCCCTCCTGGAAAAAAGCCCCATAAAAGTCGATTATGTATGGCGACGAACACTCGTGGAGTATGATGAGTTCCTTGAGGATGGTGGTGAACTTGGCCTCGTCGAGTTCTAGCCTGATCTCTTTCATTGCCATCACCCGCCCTGTTGTACCGTCTAACCTGCCGGCGCGCGGGGTCGAGGGTGAGCCCTCGCTTCCTGAGGACTCGTCCTTTTCTGACAAGCTTGAGTTTTGCCTGGAAGCAGGTTTGAAGCCGCTCAACCCCTGCCCAAACCTGGGTACCTTGGGCCTCGCATGTCGAACCCTGTAAACAGTGCCGTAGTTTCCCTTTCCCAGCTCGTCAAGGATGTCGACTTCTTCTAATGAGATGGAGAAGGCAGCGCCGCTGGCAAAGTTCACACCAGTCCGCGTGATGGTTGCTGCGCCGTCAAAAGTGATCCAACCCTTCTGTGTGTCGATGTAGTTCTTGAATTCGTTCATCTTGGAGTCGCCTCGCCTTCCATCCTCCGTGGAGGACGCGTCAGAGCCTCCGTTCATATCGGAGAGCTTCGGGGTCGCGGCCGGCGAGGGTCCGCCCGGTAGGCCGCCGAGCCTCATCGCCCCTCTTCGATCTGCCAAGCTTGGCTTCTTCGCACCGGGTACGACGGGAGCGGACCTGGGAAAGCCCTGGGCCGGCGGTCTAGACGGGCCGCCCATGGCGCCTGGTAATTTCAAGTTGCCCGGAACACCACCGGGAAACCCTCTGGGGGAAGCTGACCCAGAGCCGGGGGAGGGAGAGCCCATTGCACTCATGTTGGGCCGTGGCAGACCCGCCCGCTCCGCCTGTAGGGCACGCGCCTTGGCCATGAGATCCATAGGCAGACTGCTAGCCGCGGGTGGTGGCCGGCGCGCGTTGTTCAGGGTACCCGATACGCTGGAACTGGGGTGGATTCCAAGGCCAGGGCTGTTTCCTTGAGGATCCGAGACGGTTCGAAGAGAGGGGACACGGCGAGGTGGTTCTTTGGGGGAGAACTGAGGTATGGCGTCGGAAGACGCACTGGGAGGGTCCAGCGGCGTGCTGGCTTCGGAGGACTCATCGGCGTCGGAACCAGGTGATGCAGGGTTGCTTTCGACCTGCTCGTCCGGGGTGGGCGGTACAGACGAGTCTGGAGAGTCTGACATGGCGGGCAACATCTGGCGGGCAACCGCACGGAGGACTGTCTGCAACGAACGATGTTGGAAGCGGGGCTACCTCGTTGTCTGCGGCATGCGGCTGCTCAGGAGTGTCGAGGGTGCTCTACGGGTCGGTCAGGGTGCTGGGCGATTTAAAGATAGGAAACGCTAGGGCAAACTTTGGCTCACTCGATCGTATGAGTCGACAATGGCGGCGGAGAGGGAACCAAGGGACGCGGTGAGGCCGAAATCTTAGGGTGGGCAACTTTGAGGCAAGCGCGAACCTTAAAAAGACAACGAGGGAGGTCAAAGGAGCGCCGTGCAAAGATGTGTACTGTGCAGAGCAGAGCCGGGTCGATCTGGTTGGCGGTTGGCAAACGGGCAAAGGCAGGGCGGTTGATGCCAAAAAGAGAGCCGGTGGGACGGGCGAAGCCAAACGGCAGGAGGAAGAGTTGAGGTCTAGTCGGGACCAGGACAGGGCGAGACAGGACGAGACGAGAGCAAAAGCAATCGAGGCCGGACCCAAGCTCAGATATTCTCGACAAAACAGACAGCAGCACAGGTCGCGGTCGAGGTCGCACGCCAGCCAGCTGCTGCGAGAGCTTCTGATCTCTTGCGTCAGAAGGTCTGGGAGATATGGGTCTTGATTGGATTGGCAAGATGCAGGACCTGGAGGAGACAGTACATGGGCGGCGATTTTGTACCCGTCCGCTCGCGAATATGTACCATGCAGCACAATTCAAGGGCGGAGAACAGGCCCCAAGGTTGGGCGAGCAGGCGAGGAGGTACTCCGTACCTGTCTGACCTGTGACTCGAGACACGCCGCACTGAGTCCACCCTGCCACCCGGTCCCCCAGAGCTGCCTAGCTACCAAGATACCTGTGAGTTGGCTTGCTCCGCACAGCCTGGGAAGGTACCTCGATACGTCCACGAAGCACGCGCAGCCAGGTGCAGGACATCTGGAGCAGAGGCCTGTGGCCCCGCAGTAAAGCAGCCTACACGCACGGTAGCTCGATCTTGCAGAACTCCAAGCGTCAGACTGACCTCTCGACTCCTCGCACGCTTGCTCCGGGCCAGCATCCAATTGGGACCCACCCTCCGAACCCCTCCACTTACCGCTATAGTGCCTGATTACGTCGATCTGACTCTGGCACACGGCGAGCTACACAGCACCTGGGCAGCCCCGTTCCGATAGGAAACAAGCCCATCAGTTGCAACTGCAGAGCCGAGCAGTCCTCAGCAGCTGCTTCACTCGATCCGTGCGTCTAGGCAGACCGTCAGGTAACCTCCTCATCTACCAAGGCGGTGCGGTGCGGTGCGTTTCTCTTGTGCTCTACTGCTTCCTCTGCGGGATTCGACACCCGCAGGGTCACAAAACTTAGCCCAGCCTGGCTTAGCTCCTGGCAGTCAACGGCGGCATTATTACGGCGTGCCCCCTTCGCGGGCCCAGGGCGAGGACGACAACCCCCGCGATGACGTCGTGATGGAGCGGTGGCTTGGAGAAGGCGGAACTGACAGCGCCCGCTCCACTTATCAATGCAGAGATGCTTCTTCGCCGGCACTGACGAAGGGAGATGAGATGTGCAGTGCACTACACGCGGTATGGCAAAGACGGGAGCGTGGATCGGAAAAGATGGGCATCTCGAATTCCATCTGGCGTATGCGAGAGGGTGGGCAGTGTCACTGGGCTCCCGGAAAATCAGGTTTCTCGCCTCCAGCCGATCGCCCATGTCTTTTTCCTATTCCAAGCCTCTGAAACGTACGGTCAGCAGTCTAAGTATGGCTGCCGAGATGAAACACAGGTACCTCACTCATATCAGAGCAGATCATTAGAGCAGGGACACACGCCAATTGGCCCCTGCTGGTATGTCGTGTGGCAGCTGGAAGCGGTGCACAGGTTTGGCCCCAGAATCTTGCCACGTCTCGCCAGGCTGGCTGGCTGGCAGGGCATGGCAAGGCAAGGCCAGCTGTTCGATATGAGAGGCCAGGACGCGCTGGCGCCGACGTCCTGCCAGCCAGGAGACGGGAGCTGGAAGCTGGAGCTGGAAGCTGGGACTGTCAGCCGCCGATGGCATATCACCGCATCGTCATCGCTGGCAGACGGTACACGGCAACAACGCAATAATGCAGCTGCGTTAATACCCCAGCATATGCCCACGTTCCCTGCTCGGTGGCAGCTCTAGCTTGAGCTCGCCCGGAGCTTTAGCCACGGGTCCAATCGCTTGCTTGCCGGGCGGCAGGGGCAGCAGCCTTCTGCCCAGGGAGTTTCCAAGGAACCAGGCTTGCCAGGCACTCTGGCGCTAACAAACCTGCAAGCTAAATTGTGTGCCAGCGCCCCCACCCTCGAGTTGCAGGCTTTCGTGGACGAGACTGCCTTGAAGATCTTGAGAGAAAGGACTTGGGAGGCTCATGGCCATATGTGCGACAGCCCCTTCACCAAGGTGTGGTGCAAAGCCAATGTCAACACGAGCGCCTTGGCGCATGAACCCGTGGGCGAGGAATTTCCTGGAATTGATAACGAGGAAACCAGTCGCCCACGTTGGCGCCGGGCGGCTGAGGTTTTGAACGAGGCAGAAAAGAAGACAGGGTGACGTCATGCCAACCTGGCCCGTCCTGCAGCCCTGATGAGGTGACGTTTTCCTACTTGATGCCATGAGACTCTGGACCTTGGCCGAAGAGAGAAAAGGAAATGTGGGAGCCGTTCCCAGATAAGCACCACGAGGAAGTTTGGATGATGTGATCCACCCAAGGATTAGAATTCCTCATGGAGACCTCATGATGACTAATTCCTTGCTATTGAACCCAGCATGTTCTGTTCTGTGGTTCGTGCCCAAAGATATGAGCATATGTTTTCGACGCGGGTTGACAAATGAACTGGAAAAGCTGGCACTCAGTCAGCTTCGACGTTTCCGACGGCTGGTTGCCCCGTCATGACTTTGGTGCGAACCGCTCGGCTATCGACGTGTCAAGCCGTGTCGCAGCCAGTCAGAGATACTCCCCGGGACATTCACTCTTTTCCTTCTTTGCAAAGGAGTTTCTGTTGCCTGCCTGCTAGGAAGCAGCAGTTATGGCTCTCTAACTAACTAGGTAGCAACTAGATCCTTTCCTCTCTGTGAGAGGAATGAAGAGTTTTGATAGACAAGCAAGTCAAAACAAGGATCTGTCCAAATTCAGCCCGCGGTCTTGGTCCGAAGTCTAGTCTGGGACGGTCATCGGTCATATCACCGCAGTCCGGCCGCGCTTTATTGGTCGTGACGCGGACGAGACCGCTCGTTCTCAGCACTGGCACAACTCGAATTGATAGTGGATTCTGGCCGGCGGAGTTTGTTGCACACGCAGGTCATAGACAGGCTCGGGTGTTGGCTTGGCAGCATAGGGCCTCGCAATATCCACGGACGTACCTATGTAGGTGGGCAAGCAGGTGATTGGTATAACAGCCTTTCCTGTTTTCTCTTTCCCTTGGTAAATGTTTCGCAAAAGCGTAACTCACCTACGTGCCCAACTACTGACGGTAACCAGGCGGCGGGGCGGGTTGCTTGAAATATGCATGTGCCATCTACTCCGTACACCTGCATGTGGGCGGAGAAAAATGTCGTGGGCTGCACGCACAGCAGAGGCTGCTCCGGCAGTCGTGGTGGTGAGTGTGGCAATGTGGCATTGGGGAGTCGTCAGCCACCCGGGATGCCTCCAAGATGCCCCAAAACTGCCCCAACCTTCAGCCCTTCTGCTGTCATCATCATGATGCCTGTCATCCCGTGCTGATCAGGGGCCGCATGGTTGGCTGCCCTGGGCCCCTGGGGGAGGTCAGGGAACAGATGCACCACCCCGATGCAATACCACCTCGGCAGTGACCAATCACTTTCTGGAAAACCGCCCGGCCGGTGTGTGCCTGGGCTGCCTGTCGGGGTTTTGCTTTCTTGCGACCTGACCGTGGTTGTACTGTGCCCCGCGGAAGAGATCCAGCGGGCCCTCGTCTCGTGTGGTCAGACGCCAGTCAGTCTTATCTCTGACACACAGACCTCCGTGCTGGGAAAGCTGCGCTTGACTTATAGCTACTGCTTACTTAAAGTGTAGCTGGAGAGGAGAGGTTAGCTTTCAACGTACAAAGGTCTATAACTAAAATGTACCCCTTATAAGGATAAAGGGACACCTATTTTACTAGCTAACTCTAAATTCGAATTTCTCCTCTAATAACTCTTCTTTCTTTAAGTAAGTACTCTTTTTAACCTTAAATAATAATTTTTATTAACTTCCACTAAGTTATACTTTATTTTTAAGGGAATTTAGGTAAGGTAATATAGGTAATTAAAAGGGTGACTTAAGTCCCTTTAATTGTTTTTTTAATTAAATATACTATATTTAATTAAACAAAGGGCTTTAAGAATAAAAAAACTTTAAAAAGAAGCTTTTATTAATTCTTTCTATTTATAAGAATAGTAGGCTATAGTGGATTAGCCACTACAAGCCAGGTTAATAGTAGTTTATGCGTATATACAAGCCAACTACTTAGTTAATAAGATTTGGCCAACCTAATTAAGCGCTTTCACGCCCACCAAGTAGACCTTCTAACTAATACTAAAATATACCACTTTAACTACTTCTTACATATAAGCTAAGCCAACTAATACTAATTAATTACCAACTAGCTTTTAATAGCAAGGTAAATTATCTAAGCTACTTAGGCGTTAAGTCTAAAAAAAACAAATTAATAATGCTATTATTATTATTACAGCCTAAAAAAAGCAAATTATTTAGGCTGCCTAAATGCAATTAACCATTAAGTAGAACCCCTTTACTAGGCAAATCTTATAATTCTAGTAACAATACTCTTTCTTACAACAAACCTTTTTTACAATAACTTATAAAAAGTATTAAACTACAAATAGCTATAGCAGCCTTTTCTACCTATTAGGCAATCCCTTTCATAAATTAATAATTTAAGCCTATTTTCAAATTAATATTTAACTATATGCTTGCCAACCCATTTAGCTACCTACTAATTAACCTATTTACTAGCCTATCTTATATTATTCAAGCAAGCAACTTTTATATACTCTTTTAACTTCTCTCTCTCTTTCTTATAATACCCAAATAAAAACACTTTAGCATTATAGCTACTTATAACCCCTAAGTTTCTCACAATAAAGTTATTTACAGCTATTATAGGTGCGCGCTAATAGTACTTCTACCCATATTACTAAAAAAAGTTTAAGTTAAAAAATAAAATAAAAAAGTATATTAGCAATACTTATAAGGAGGAATATATAATGGCCTAAAAGGCTGCTTAAATTATTTAAATAACTAACTAAATAAGTAGCGCTCAAGCAACTAAGCCACTTATTAATCCCCCTATTAAGCTAACCAAGCAGATAGCGCTTAAATAAGTAGCACCTAAATAAATAGTGCCCTAAATAAAAACTTTTACCTAATTAATTAATAACCCTCTTACCTAATATAAGTTTTTTAAAAGGACTTTTACCCTATTAATTAATAAGCCCTTTATTTATTATAAGTTTAAAGTTATATTAACCCAAATTTATAATGCTTATAGCAACAAGTAAAAGGAATACCTTATTAAATTAAAATACTTTAATTACTATATAAAAAGTACTTAAATTAAGTAGATTTCCTAGCTAAGCTAGCCCTATATTACTAATCCTACAAATAAACTAATTAAGCCTAAGCCTAAGCTTATTACAAATAGTAGCTTCGCCTTAATTAGCCTTGCTAATAATAGTAGCAACAGTAATAGCTTTAATAGCTTTACCCCAACCTATTAATTTAAGCCCAACTAAAATAATTATATTATTAATAAAAACTAAAATTATAAAAAAAAAAAAAACTACTACTTAAATAAAAGTAAACTAAACTTTACCTTAAATAAAAACTTTAACTTAAATAATAACTACTATTTAAATAATAATTTTAATTATAATAATAATTATAATAATTATAACTTTAATAATAATTTTAATAATTACTATTCTAATTAAAAAAAGCCCACCTAATATATATTAAAGCGCCTTAACTAGCTAAGCTATAAAAAAAAAAACTACTAAAAGGACTAATTAAATTAATTAATAATTATAAATTAATTAACAATTAATTATAGTTGGCAAGCAATTAATAATAGCCTAGCAAATAATTAATAGTTGGGCAACTAGGTAATTTATAAACATTAATTCAAAACATTAACTATAAAAAAAAAAAACTACTAAAAGGGCCAACTAGTTAAACATAGCTATAATTAGCAACTATTTAGTAAACAGCTTAGTAAGCAATTAGTAATTTAAACTTAATTTCACCTATTAAAGTAATTTAAATTCAAGCAATTTAGGCAATTCGCAAAACATTAATTTAAAGCGTTTTAAACTACTTAAATTAAGCAAATTACAATTATACATTTAATGGCAATTCTAAGTAATTAAAGCAATTTAGTTGGAAACTACTTTATTAGCAAATAGAGCTTTCTAATTAGCTGGAAGGAAAATTTTAAAAAACTAAAAAAATACTAATATAAAAATAGTAGGCTGCAATAAATTAGCTACTACAAGCCAGGTCAATAATAATTCGTACATATATACGGGCCAACTACTTAATTAATAAGGTCTGGCCAACCCAACTAGGCGCTTTTATGCCCACCAGGCAGACCTTCTAACTAATACCAAAATATACCACTTTAACTACTTCTTATATATAAGCTAAACCAACCAACACTATTAATATATTATTTCTATATAAATTACTAGTTAGAAAGATATTAGAATTAAGAAGTATTAAAGGAGGGTATTTTTTATTATTATATAAATTAATCCTTTTAATTTAAATTTTCTACATTTTAGTTTTAAATATCCTTTTAAGTGTTTAGTATAGCTTTTTAGTAAGTAGACTTTTTAGTTAATATATTTTCTTTAAAGGTTTCCCTAATATTTATTAGTATTTTAACTACATTAGTTTTCACTATACTAAATAGGTAGAGAAAGCTATATTAAAAAAACGTTTAGGAAAGGGGTATCTGAACATTTGAGATAAAGTCAGTCCAGTCAGTCCAGTCAGCGAGACATGCCAGTATTGTGCCGGTGCTGTGCCATTACGGAGTGCCAACCATGCACCTGCATCTTGGGGGGAAATGTTTCGATGAATGGATCGATGCTTCGCTAGTTTCAAGTCTCACGGGCTTGGCCCCAGCGAGGCCTTACTCCAAGGTTGCTAGCACGTCTCGTCCGTTTTGCCCCTCTGCCCGTCAGCCACCGCATTAGTGTCCAATTGCGCAAGCAACTGGATGCACAACTCGAGGCAGATGCAACGACAACGGTGGTCCAAGTTCCCGGCAAGGCTTGCTTTGTGTGTGTTCTGCCCCTCTGCACGGTACTGTGCAAGACAATGTGGAGCTGCTCAGCCAGTGGGCCTCTAATGTGAGGACCACAGTATGTACTTGTCTGGGTAGGTGCCTACCTAGGTACCTAGGTACCGACGCACCCACCGTACAGCAATCTGATGCTGGAGCTGGAGCTTTGGAAGGCTGGTTAGAGAGGCCCGACCCTGCCGGGCCCCCAAGTCAGGAGCGAGCTGTCAAGGGAAGGGGGGGGCCTCCCAGACGCGATCCTGCTGCAGCCTGCAGGTTCTTTAATTTAGCTTCTTCCCGGCCCTAACAATAAGGGCCCTTATTAGTGACAAGTAAGTCCCTTCGCACGCCAGGCTAAAATGGCCCGTCATCGCTTGTCTAATCCATCAACCGGCCCAGCCTGCGGCCATTTCTCTTGGCCTCCCAGCACAGCCCAACCCGGGCCACGACCACCATTTCAAGGCCCAGCTTGGCCGTACATCATCGCCGTCTGGCGCAACCTCGCCCATTCTCGCCTCCTGGACGACAGCGCATCCAGGCCAGATTGTGACGTCTTGGCGCAACTGTGTGAACCCACACGACGAGAGAGAGAGCGAGCGCCTGGACCCAACCAGCGGAAACTTTAAACGCCAGGTCCCATCGAAACAAATGCTCCAAAAGTCCACAGCCCCATTAAAGCCTCGCACGTCTCCACGCCGCCGCGCCACGACCGTGTCCCTCTGCGATATAAGTGAACAACTCGCCTCTCCTTCTCACAAGAAAACCCTCTCTTGGCCTCATCAGCCCACACTCGAAGCCAGACACGAGAGAGCCCGCCAACAGTGATGCCTTCCTCCTTCCGCCTCGCCAACCCCGAGGCGGCGCCTCTCGCGATGGCGCAAACATCGCCATTTGTTGTCTTTAGAAAACCCCACGATTCTCACCCATCGCTCGACCATCTCATCCTGCTGGTTTTCGAGGCTGTGATGGAGGTGGTGTGCGTCAGCTTGCCCGGCTACATCATCGCGAGGCTGGGCCACTTCGATGCCGACAAGCAGAAGTTCCTGGCGAACCTCAACGTCATGCTGTTCACGCCATGTCTAAGTACGACTCCGGACAATCCTTGCTCACGCGGAATAGAGGGATCATAATGGCTAACGTGGGATACCCCCAGTCTTCACCAAGCTTGCTTCTCAGCTCAACGCCGACAAGCTTATCGAGCTCGCCGTCATTCCTATCATCTTTGTCATACAGACCATCGTGTCTTATCTGGTTGCACAAGGCGTTTCCCGGCTTTTCGGATTCCACAAGAGAGCGTCAAACTTTGTCACGGCCATGGGTGTAAGCTGGGACCTAGTGCGCCTCGTTCCACCAAAGACGCGTGTTAGCTGACAGATGTGCGCCACTCAGGTGTTTGGGAATTCGAACTCACTCCCAATCTCATTGGTGATATCACTCTCGCAAACCCTAAAGGGCCTCCACTGGGACAGGATACCTGGTGACAATGACGACGAGGTTGCCGCCCGTGGAATCCTCTACCTGATGATTTTCCAGCAGCTCGGCCAGCTGGTGCGATGGAGCTGGGGTTACCACGTCCTTCTGGCCCCAAAGGACAAGTACGACGACTACGACGACGAGAGAGTTGAAGAGGGCCGCTATGCAGGAGATGCCTTGGGCAGCGAGGAGACGGACAACTTACTACGGCCTGGAGACGACGAAGACGCCGACGACCACCGGGATAGTGCGTCAGACACCTACGAGCCTGCTGGCCGTACCCCCGTGGCGAACCAATCACGGTCATCCCTTGCTGACCTTGCCGACGACGACGGTACATCTACGCCCAAGAAGAACGTGTATGGTAGGCACCACTACAAAACGAACTCGGCGCGCCCTAGTACTGCGGACACGATTGGCGAGAGCTTGCACAACGACAGCATTCTCTCCTTCCCCCGCATCCGTACCCACGATGACGAGGCCGAGATTCCGGAGGGAATCAAGGGCTACCCAGGCCGCTGTCACCGCTGGGTCAAGCAGACGAAGCTGAAGACGACAGCCGCTGTCAACAGGAAGCGCCACGAGGCGTATACCCGCCTGCCCCCTCCCCTCCAGCGCGCGGTAGACTTTCAGCAGAAGGCCGCGGCCAAGTTGAGCAATTTCCTCTGGGAGTTCATGAACCCGCCGTTGTGGGCGATGCTCGCGGCGGTGATCGTCGCTTCCGTCCCGGATCTACAGAGGCTTTTCTTCGAGGAGGGCTCGTTCGTCAAGAACAGCGTGACCAGCGCCGTCAGCTCGAGCGCCGGCGTGGCCGTCCCGCTCATCCTTGTCGTGCTGGGCGCCAACTTGGCACGTAACACGCAGAAGCGTGACGCCGAGCCCGAGGAGGCCGTGATCGGAGGCAAGCTGCTGGTTGCCAGCCTCGTCTGCCGCATGCTGCTGCCCACGCTGATCATGGCGCCCATCCTCGCCGTCTTCGCCAAGTACGTGCCCGTGAGCATCCTGGACGACCCCATCTTCGTGATCGTCTGCTTCCTCCTCACCGGCGCGCCGAGTGCCTTGCAGCTGGCGCAGATCTGCCAGATCAACTCGGTCTACGAGAATGTCATGTCCAAGATCCTCTTCCAGAGCTACGTCATCTGGTAAGTACACTCTAGTAGTTTTGCACTGTTTTATCTGGGTGACTGCTAACGGAAGCCCCGCGCCACAGGATCCTCCCCTCAACCCTCATCCTGGTCATGCTTGCGCTTGAGGTCGTCGAGTGGGCCGCATAGGTGCACCTACACTCCCGGGTTGTCATCCCTCATTTTCTTTTTGTGAATTCATTTTCGGGTGGCTATACAGAAAACACAAGGCAGGGTGCTGGCGAAAGAAGCATAGACGGCTGGCATTGGTTGTGGCGTTCAGCGGCGGCGTTCTTGGTCCGGCGCAAGGTTTGTCAGGGACTCATAAAGGGGACCCTTCTCAGCGCGAGGTTCTTGTCTTCAGACCTCAATGTGATATGGCTTGAACAGTACATATGATGGCATTGTGGAACAAGACACGAGGTACGGGCGGTATTATAGGGTAGGCATAGAATCAAAACGAATTACCAAAGTCGGTTACATGCCCTGTTGATCAACACAATACATACCGTTGTGAGGGCTGGTTCATTTCGAAGGGCTTGTTGAATGCCCAAGATGCTTCTGGGCGGTGAAGTTTGAAATGTCACAGGAGGCTTTGAACCCGGATCCATTAAGCAGATACATAGACATGCGCTTCAATTAAGGGTTTTCATGTGCCATTTCTTGGAAAGAAAGTCCAATTACATTTCTTCCTTTTTTGAGCCTTCGGCTCTTCGTTATGGCCAAATGCCGCAGGCTCGGTTCTTTCACGCAGAAGTGACTGTTATCAGCAAAACGTGATACATGATTTCAAGCCGCAAACAATGATCTACGATTTAATGGTGCCATGGGGGACGATCGGGAGTGGGCTGGGATCGAGCCAGCCCCATCTTGACTTGGCCAACAAATACGTTCTCAGCGCCATCATGATGGGCAAAGCAACCGCCCCGGGGGCCAAGGGCTTCTCAAGACTAGGGACACAGCAGGAGGTCTGGGCCCAACCTGCTCGAGGAGCTTATACGTAGCCATTCGGTCTCTGCCGGCCACACACTCGTCGATGAGTCTCTCCGACATGGATCTTGGCGTATTGTCCTGAGCAGATCACTGCGGCCAGCCCAATCCGCCCCGCGCATTCAACTGGTGCCGTTCACCAGGGCAGGCTGCTGATGGCCTGCTGCGGGCGGGACAAGCTCCCACTCGTTTACGTTACCCTTCCAGTCGCTGGTCCTGACGCCCCTCACGGCGACGATGATGACCCTGACCTCCTCGCCGGCGACGAAGCACTCGCGGCCGCCGTCCTCAGTGGTGGCGGCGGCGGGCTGGGCGAAGGGGCTGAAGCCGGCGCTGGCGTCGTCGTCAAAGGTGTTGTTGTCGAGGTGGGCCTGGCGGTAGAAGCGCTCCTCGTCGGTGCCGGCGGCGACGACGCGGGCGCTGCCGTTGATGGTGGCGCTGATGCTGGACATGGCGCTCGTGTTGAGGTTGAGCAGCAGGGAGGCGAGGCTGGAGCGCGAGGGCGAGACGGAGGCGGCGCCGCCGGAGAGGCGCCTGGCGGTTGAGGTGGGCGGGCGGTGGGAGACCCAGTCGTGTACCAGCAGCGAGACGTGTGGGTTTGTCAGGAGGTTGGCCATCTTCTTGGAGGCCGGGTTGGTGGTCATGACGATGACGGGCTCGGAGGGCGAGTACGGCGAGGAGGGGAGGTAGGTGTAGTTCATGAGGGAGACGTTGGGGATGTTGTCGGTGCATGTCGCGAGGTGGAGCTGTCGGCGGTGGCATCTGTCAGCGGCTTGGTGGCCTGGTGGTTTGGCGGCGGGTGGTCCGAGGGGCGGGCACACTTACGAAGCGGGCATTCTCGAGGCACTGGACCACCTCTGGCGGGAGAGACGAGGTGACTTGGCGGTTGTTATCGCCAATGGAGGCCGCTGCGTTCAGGGGTATTCGTGACATGGTCGGTGGTCGGTCTTGGTCTTGGTCTTGGTCTTGGGTTCCGCTGACGAGCCTCAAGGTGTGGAGGGCAGTTATTAGTTGTACTGGGCGGTGGTGGGGCGGATGAGTTGAGCAGAGCATCGAGCACCGTCGGGATGCTTAGCTAACGAGTGGACCGAAGCACCAAAGCACCATCCCTGTCGGGTCAGATGCACGGTGACGCAGTGACCTTCCCCGGACCCGCCAGGGGTTTGTGTATCCTAGTATCCCATCTTCTTCCCCGGATTCAGACCCAAGCACCCAAGCTGATTCGTCCAGGTGTTGATCTGCAGGTGCTGGATGCGAGTGTCTTTCCCCTGCTTGGAGAAAGCAACTGCTAGCCGACATTCACACTGCACGGCATCCTAGTTCAGTGCCTAGGTACCTGTGCAGCAGGGCGTTCGGCATAGCACCATGTCGGCCTGGGGCACGGCTATCCACGGCTGACGTCCGATTGTCCTTCACCTCGGGACGGACGAGACCATCAACATGGCGACCAGAAAAGACAAGTACAGCTGACTGCTCGTGCACTGCCCAACCCACGAGCAACACCCCGCACAATACAAAGACGCCCATCATGAGATCCGTCAAGAACGCCCACCGGCGTCTCCCCCTCGGCCCACTATCGAGGGCCTTCCTCTCCACGTCGGCCTCCACGTCGACCATCACGCCCATCACGTCCGTGATAATAGCCAACCGCGGTGAGATCGCCCTCCGCGTCCAGCGCACAGCCTCCAGGCTCGGCATCCGCACAACAACCCTCTACACGGATGTCGACCGCAACGCCCAGCACACCACCGCCACCCCCTACTCGCTTTCCCTGCCCAATTACCTCGACGGCGACCGCATCATCGCCCTCGCCAAGCAGCATGGCATCCAGGCCCTGCACCCGGGCTACGGCTTCCTGTCTGAGAACGCCGCATTCGCCCAGAAGTGCCACGACGCCGGCATCGTCTTCGTCGGCCCGCCCGCCTCTGCCATGGCTGACATGGGCGACAAGGCCCGATCCAAGGAGATCATGACCGCTGCCGGCGTGCCCTGTGTCCCAGGATACCACGGCACTGAACAGGCCGTCGAGGCCCTGCAGGCCCACGCCGTCGAGATCGGCTTCCCCGTCCTGCTCAAGAGCGTCAAGGGCGGCGGCGGGAAGGGCATGCGCATCGTTGACTCCGAGGCCGACTTCCCCTCCCAGCTGCGCTCCGCCCGCGCAGAGGCCCGCGCCAGCTTCGGCGAGGGTGGCGAGGTCATGCTGGTCGAGAAGTACGTCGTGCGTCCCCGTCACGTCGAGGTCCAGGTCTTTGCCGACAAGCTCGGCAACTGCGTGGCCCTCGGCGAGCGCGACTGCTCCGTGCAGAGGCGTCATCAGAAGATCCTCGAGGAGAGCCCCGCACCGCTGCTCGACGATGCCACGCGCAAGGACCTCTGGGCCAAGGCGAGGACAGCCGCTCTCGCCGTCGGCTACGTCGGCGCCGGCACCGTCGAGTTCATTCTGGACAGGGACACTGGCCGCTTCTACTTCATGGAGATGAACACCAGGCTGCAGGTTGAGCACCCCGTCAGCGAGATGGTCACCGGCACCGATCTGGTCGAGTGGCAGTTCCGCGTCGCCGCCGGCGAGGCCCTGCCTCTGACGCAGGACGAGATCGAGGCGAGGATTGAGGAGAGGGGAGCCGCTATTGAGGCCAGGATCTACGCCGAGAGCCCTGAGAAGGAGTTTATGCCTGACTCGGGCAAGCTGGTCCACCTGGTCACACCAAAGACGGACGAGGATGTTCGGATTGACGCTGGCTTCATAGAGGGTGATACTGTATCCTCGGCCTACGACGGGATGATTTCGAAGCTCATTGTGCGCGGCAAGGACCGTGAGGCGGCGATACGAAGGCTCGAGCTGGCGCTCCGCGAGTACGAAGTGGTTGGCCTCAGCACAAATATCGAGTTCCTCAAGAGGCTTTGCAGGAGCCAGGCCTTTATCGACGGAGACGTCGAGACAGGATTCATCAAGAAGCACGGTGACGAGCTGTTTAAGCCCAGGCAAATCGAAAACGAGGTATTCGTGCAAGCTGCTCTCGGACTGCTCACAGCACAGCTACAAGGCGATCTATCAAGGTCAGGCCCGCATGGCGAGGTGCTCGGCTTTGGGCCTCAGAGCGCCTCCTCAGGCGAGCGGAACTACGCCTTCAGATGCATCGACAACTACAGCTCACAAGAAGGCGAGGTTGTCCAGGCAAGAATCACACAACTGGGCAATAATCTTTTCAGCGCGACCGTATCGCGCAAAGGCCAAGAACAGCCCCAAGCCTTTGAGAATCTCATCTGCGAGCCCCTCCCCTCTTCCATCACCCAATCCAACCCCTCAAGGACGGCAGTGCGGACATTCTTCCCCCTCGAGAGGCTGGACACAACCGTTGTGTCAGACCCAACTAACTCTCACAAACTGAGCATCTTCCAGCACGGCCTGAAGACCGAGCTTATGCTGCAGCAGCCTTCGTGGTATGACAAGGCACTTGGGTTGCAAGATGTCGCCGCCTCAGTGGTAGCGCCGATGCCGTGCAAGATTCTCAGAAATGAAGTCAGCGAGGGCGAAACAGTGGAAAAGGGAGCACCACTCGTTGTGTAAGTCCAGACAACCATCAGTGTTTCCTTCTGAACCCCGAACGCGTTATTCATCGTGACGTACGAGGGAGGTTCAACCTTTTCTCTGACAATGGAAACACACAGTATCGAGTCGATGAAGATGGAGACGGTGATTCGGTCACCGCAGAGCGGCGTCATCAAGAAGCTGGCGCACAAGGGGGGTGATATATGCAAGGCCGGCACCGTCCTTGTCATATTTGAGGAAGCCGAAGAGAACCACAATGCTCCATCTTAAAAAGCGCAAAAGAAACAGGAAATTATACAAAGACTTCATTTTGCCTTCTACAAAGCACATGTGGACTTCTACAAACCAATGTTTACGCCCATACACTATAAAGAGTGGACATGAATAATAAGCGATCCAAATTACATAGAAAGAGAGGAATCAAGCTTTCCATTGGGTTAAAGTATAAGAGAGCCCAATGTGCGCTCCAAGTCAACATCATGTGAATTACAGCTTGAACAGATTTGTAGCCTACCACTCTCATACAACAAGCAGAAAAAGCACATCCGTTGATCCCAACTCTCCTCCTCTCGGATAACTCGAGCAGTGAATAAATATAGCCGCTATCAGCATTCACATGTTAGAAGCAGCTTCGAATTGAGTCTCGATTCTGTCAACACCCCCCGGCTGACCACTGCGCCAATTCATCGAGGCTCGCTTCCTCGTCTTGGAGCCCGCCCGTCAGAAACACCCAACAAGGCCGCCACCGGAGACGAGGAGCATGCCCTACCTACACCAAGTATACCAAGGCACCTAATGCCCTGACGGCGGAAGCGCCGGCGCCGGCCTCCAAGGAGGACATTGGGGTCAGGCTGGGGACATATGTATGTTGCCAAGAAGGTGGAGTTGAAGAGTGTGCCGGTTGCTGTCAAGGCGAACTGAAGGGGGCCTCACAGGCACACGTGGTGGATTTCCCCAGCCTGTCCTGGTGTTGGCGACATGGTGGTCTCTTGCGGCTTGCTGTAATGTCTGCGGTACTATCATAGCTAGGTTGCTTCTTTGGAGATCTCTTTGTGCAGTCATCTTTTGCCTGGGCCCACGATCTATTGCTCTGTGGGAGTATTTTCCTATGCCTACTGTGCCATCAAGTTCTTCGGGATGCGTCAATTATGTGCAGCTGGCTAGCCACGGCAGGGAAACAACGAAGTAGAATTATTGCGAGAAGACGAATAACAACTAGGAAGTGCCATCCCTCTCAAGATTCGTCACTGTCAAAAGTCTTGTTGTATCAAGAACTGAACCACAGTCCTAAGATAAGCCGTGCTCCACCGCCCCGTAGTAGGCCTGGTCTTGACAGCCTGATTAGGTACACATTCATTCGACTGGCGCTTGCACACGTGGGCTAATGTATGTACACAAGTGGTGGGGTTAACGGGAAGGGCACGGAAAGGATCCACCTGACAGCGGTGAATAGCAGCTGTGGGCCTCCTCCGCAAAAGGAGGGTCTCTTTGATGAACCATCCATCCCGTCACAATGGAGTTGGGCAAGAGCGGAGACGACATTTGCTATTAGAAGACGGGTTTCGAATGTCTTCGAGTGGTTTGGTTATTCATTAGCAGCCGACATTGTTTTGGACATGCGAAAATTCCCAAGGGAAAAGAGGACAACCACAGCAGTAGCAGTAGCTTTCTCCAGGGACGAGATTATTGAAAGAAATATTCAATAGCCGGACCCTCGGGGAGCCCATCGTTGATTTTTGACTTGAGGTGCGACCGGTCTCTGAAGATTCCAGGGCTGTTGTTGTAAGAGGTCAATCTCATTTCCCGCTCCAATATACTAGCCGGCTTTGTGAATTAGGTTGCACGGTGATCAAATGAGACGTTATCATACTGAACTACTTGCAACTGTGTGCAATCATGCCATCATGGATTGGCCCGTCGAAATCAAACACAGTGACAGCAGCCTGAGACTTTGGGGTGACAGACGAGAAAAAACGTTTGATTTGACGGTGATCTAGGATCAGAGAGTGTCACTATTTAGTCCTCTTGCCGACAGCATCCTCGGTCCCTTCGTCACACTCTCGAGACACACAAACTTTGCATAATGATAACACCCAAGGAAAACCTAATCCGTTTATGATGCGTGAAATTATAGCAACCGTAGTAGCACTGACGGTACTACTATGCTAAATAAGCCAGGTCTGCGCATCCCCGGGAGCCCTCGGGATTGCCCAAAAAGCCCATGCCTGGTCTGTCCTACCACATCGTCGGAGTACGTGAGTACCGCAGACGTTGCCGAATTAGGCGCGGATCTCACCGAGAAACTCCTTGAGCTCCTCGTCGACAAGCTCGTGAATCTTCTCGGAGAACTTCTCGGCCTTGTTGGCAAATGACTCGCCGGCCGATGTGACTTTGCCAGAAATGACCTTGAAGTCGTTCTCGATGGCCTTCTCGAGCTCGGAAACGGACTCCAGGACCTTCTCATCAGCACTTTGCTTCTTCTCGTCGGGCTTGACGACGTAGCTACCGCCCTCGATAATGGACGTGTAGTTGCTGCAACCGCCACCGTTCCAGGCAAGCAGGTTGGGAGTGTCCTTGGGGATATCAGAGAGGGCGTCGACGGTGGCAATGCTGATCATCTGGCTCTTGAGCTCCTTGGGAGTAATGGCCGCAACGGAGTACTCGGAGTCAGAGGCGGGTTGCAGCGACAGGTAGTAGGCGAGGAGACCACAGATGTGGGGCGAGGCCATGGAAGTTCCCGAGATGGTGTTAACAGCGGTCTTGCTTCCGATCCATGTAGACTGGATGCTCAGGCCAGGGGCGAAGATGTCAGTGCATTTTCCGTAGTTGGAGAAGTAGGCACGGCTGTCGTCGATTGCAGAAGCACCGACGGTGATGGCCTTGTCAGCGGAAGCAGGTGAGTAGTTACACGCGTCCGCGTTGTCGTTGCCTGCGGCAACGGCGAAGTGAATGCCGGCATCGACGGCAGCATTCACAGCCTGGTCAAGCAGCTTGGTCTTGCCGCCACCGAGGGACATGTTGGCCACGGAACCCTTGAAGCCCTTGCGCTTGCCGTTCTTGGCAGCCTTGACCTGCTCCTGGTGAGAAGTGGCAGCAAAGTCGACGCCGGCTATGACATCGGCCATTGTGCCACTACCATTAGAGCGGAGTACCTTGACGGCGTAGACGTTGGCCTTCTTCGCAACGCCGTACTTCTTTCCGGCAATAGTGCCGGAGCAGTGTGTTCCATGGCCGTTACCGTCTTCGTCGGCATCACCGTTGGGGATGGTCTTGCCCCAGTGAGCGCGGCCCTCAAAGTCGACGTGCTCCGTGTTCGTGCCGGTGTCAATGACGTAGGCGTCGACACCCTCACCACCGTCCTCGGCATAGAGGTATTTGTTGAAGGTACCGAAAGAGAGAGGGTTGCGGTGGGAGACACGAGCCAGGCCCCAGGGGGCCATCTTCTCGGTCTCGCCGTCGCAGGACTCCTGAGCTTCATACCTCATCGTGTGGACGACGGTGTCTTGTTCGATGGCCTCAACCTGCCGGGAAAAGTAATGTCAGCAAGCGAGGCATTAAAATCACGCCCATGCGATTGGTCGACACCGTGGCCCTCTCGGGAGCCGCCAACTGAGCTGCAGTGGGGGCTCCGATGATGGTAATGCCAAGTTCGGTGAGGCGGTGGGTGGCTGGGAGTTGGACTTACATCAGGATGCCTTCGGATGTCCTCAATAGTGGCGTCATCGAAGTGGCCGGCGTAGCCCATGAAGGCGCCGCCGATCTTGTAGGTGTGCTTGAGACCCTCAAAGACAGTGTCGACGAGAGGGAACTGACCACGCTTGCGCAGCTCAAGCTCACGGGCCTCCTGGTTGGCGGAGTGAACCGAGCTCAGCCAGTTGTGGTGGTCGGCGGCGTGTGAGTCAGTGACATGCTTCTTGAACTTGATGATGTAGCGGTTGGGGATGGCGTCGGCGTTGGACGAGCTCAGGATGGGAGCAACGCCATCATGGATGGTGCCGGTGCTGAAGGATGGAACCACAGCTGCAGCAGCGCAGGCCGCAAAAGAGAGGGCGGCGAAGCCTCTCATGGTGACCGAGAGTCTCTTGAGAATGAGAGGGACGATAAGGAATGGAGGATGGTCAGTGGATGTCTACCAGCGACGACAAAAAGGGTGGGGAATAAGTAGGGGCCAAAGACGACGAAGAATAGGCGCGAGGATAGGAGATGAAGAGCAGAGGTCGTGTGGACGCGAGATACAGAAAACGATGATGGATGGTCAGGATGGTTGTGTTGAGATGATGGAAGAGGAAGAGGGAGGGCGAGGGTTTAAGAGACGGAGGAGTAGAGCAGGCCGATCAGCAGCCGGCACTGTTGCGTTGTTGGGGCAGCTGCTGTCGTTATCAGAGGAAGGAAAGGCACGGGACCGGCGTTATCACCCGCTAAGGATGACGACTGACGACACCACGGGTGTGCTGGCCCATTGCCAGACAGTACTGTGTAGTACGTACCTCCTGCCAAGTGGGGGATCCCAGGCCCAAGTGGGGCCCCCAAGTCGGCCCCAGGTCGCAAGTACGTCTCGCCCGGCCGCCTCCAGGGCAGGGCGGCTGGGCTGCTAGGCTGCTAGGGTGCGCCAGCTGCGACTTACTCCGTAGGTAATAAGGCGTAGTAGTATGCGCAGCCCACGGCTGCCTTGCGGAGCCCGCCTTGGGTGCAAGCGGCTGGCCCCTGCCTGCCTCTTTGCAGAGTTGGCAGTGGGTGTGAGTGGGCTGGCAGGGGCGCTCTTGGAGCTTTCCCCGGACTTGCACTGGCTGGCAGGCAGGCGGCTGGCTCTCTCGGCACGAGGTAGGTGTGGTGAGCTCCCCCCCCCTGATAAGAGCTCCTGCTCTGGGCCGCCCCCTTATCTACTGTGTAGCTACCTGGGTGGCTGCATTGGTATCCCAGGCATTGTACTGTACGAATTAGGCCAGAGGGCTGCACCTGCCTGCCTGCTTTCGTTGCCGGACGCGACATCAGACATCAGACTGGCACGAGACCTTTCTGTTTTGTTCATTGCAGGAGGCACCACCGTCCTGCGCCGTGGTCAGCAGGACAAGCCTGCCGAGACCTCGTTGCACACTACAAGTACGTAGCTTGCCTTAGGTACCTAGGTACCCTGGTAGACCGGGCACCACCACAGTACGCTATATGCAGGCACTGATGAGTACCAGGTACGGGGTACTCCGTTCGGCGGCAGGGCGGCTGAGGTCACACGAACGAGGACCCTGCGGGCTGCGGCAGCAACCACCTGGCCACTCTCGGGTGAAGCTTATCTGGGTTGATGGATGGATGATGGATGGTCGTCTCGACTCGTCAGGCTCGTCCGCGGGTTTGCCACCACCGCCCAGAGCCCCATGCCATCATGGTCGTGGCAAGGGGCTAGCAACGATGGCACTTGAACTCGCAGTGAAGCTGTCTGGCTGTCTGGCTGCCTGGCAGCTCTGGCAGCTCTGGCAGTGCCTGCCCCTTTACCCGCTCCTCCAGCTCCTCCAGCTCCTCCAGCGCGGAACGGGAGGCTTGCAGATCCCGGTGGGCCGGTGCAGGTTAGAAGGTCAGATGGAGGCGCAGAATGCCTCCACGTGCCCTGACGCCGAACTGGTCCCCCACAGACGCACCCACCCTGATCCAGTGCATGCTTGCCCGAGTCAACCAAGTAGTGTAGTGTTCAAGTAGTGTGGTGTGGGGTGTACGAGGCCACAAGGGAATCCAGCATCCATCTGCGGAATGACTCGAGAATTGCCATGACGCCTACTGCCTATCTCGACGATCCAGTCAGCCAGTCAGGCTCGGTCCCCTAATAAGTAATAAGCCCCCCTGCCTGCACACGGACCAGGAAGCATCTTGTACACCGCACGATGCAGGTCAATATTTCATGTGATGATTGTCGCTCCCTCACCGAGTCGGGAGAATAGGGGTTCAAGCTTGTTACCAAATGGTCAGGCCGGACTGGTTTGAGATGGCCTATTGATTTGCACCATCAATCACCATTGGTTGTCGGATGCGCACCGCGCACGAGAGTCAAATACCACTTAAGTTCATTGTGCCGTCCATCTATGAATCTCCTCGACCCTAAATAACAGCACGACGGGGCAGGAAATCCCCGGCCACCAGAGCATCACACGTTGCGCATCCACCAGTCCGAACCTGCCGTGGCCTACTCGTGGTCTACTATCGAACTTGCTGCCCGTGGAGCCACCCGGGCACCCGCCTGAGGGCTGGCAATAGCAGCCTCAGATCAACCCCGAACACCAGATACCACGGATACGGCCTTGTGGACGATAGCCCCCGGAAATATGCCGTCCACAGTTGAGCGTTGGCAGCCCTCCACATCCTCCTCTCCTCGAAAATGGCTATGGATATTGTCGCGACCCATAGGAGCAAGACTGCCACGGCCGCGCACGATGCTTCCCACATCGGAAACCTGGCAAGCAGAGGGCGTGCCACGTTCCACCCCGCCAAGTATGTCATGGTCAAGTACCAGCCATAGGCGCAACAGCTGTAAAGTGCGGCCACGAACCAGACCAACATCGTCCACAAGTAGCGGCCGGCCAGGAATGGCAGGGCAATCGGGGCGACACAGACAGCAGCTATGACATACCATAACACCGTGAGATACATCATAACGTCATCTCGAGGTACTGGCTCTGGGACGAAGGCTTCATCAGGCTCAGGGGCCGGGGAATCTGGCCAAGAAAGGGGGGTTCCGCCCCATCTGTCGCCTCCTCCGGGCACAATGGGGGTAAGACCGAGTGCATTCGCCACACCATTCAAGATACCGGGAGGCGTGCGAGGGATTGGATCTCCCGCCATGTTCCTACAAACGTAGAAGGCGACCTGTGGCACGCCATCAGCCGGAAGCGCGCCATATGTACCTCTGCCGCAGCAAGGGCATCTCCGGCCACGCCTGCCATCAGGCGTTACCACTGGCGGGGCTTCCACGGGCTGCCATTCTCCCATTGCGGCCTGTTCCGCTGGCGTCTGGATTGGTACGGTCTGTTCTTGCTCGCGTCGGGCTGGTGTAGCCCCCGCTGAGCCCTCTCCCGCTGAGCCTTGCGCCTGTCCGGCCTCTGCTTGCTCGCCCAAAGCCGGGGCGCCAGGCTGACCTTCCTCCGCTTCCGCTGGCTGATCGACTCGGAAACTCACTCTGCGGTTGCTACCAGTGCTGCCCCGAGACCTTGCCGAAGCCGCCCCTGGGGAGCGTCCCGCGGGAGGCGGCGAGTCCCCAAGAGCGAGCTCGCAAGTACAGCCGCAGGTCAGAAACTCGCCTAGCTCCGGGGGAAAGCGGAAGTTTGGCACGCAGTCGCCACATGGCCCGTTGGGATGCTTGGACAGCCATTCCGGTATCGCGTAGAGAGGTACAGGATTTACAGCAGCAGGTCGTCCCCCAGGGCGTTCTGTCCTGTCACTACCTGAGCTGTTCCTGGAACCAGCAGCAGGTTGTCCCCCAGGGCGTTGTGTCCTATCACTACCTGAGCTGTTGCTGGAAGCATTCGACCGCCTGCTACCAGCCTCTGCCTGCCTGTCGTCGGCCTCTGGGTGTATGCTGCCGGCCCTTGATTGCCTCCTGGACCCAGGTGCTTGCATGCTACCAGCCTCTGCCTGCCTGTCGTCGGCCTCTGGGTGTATGCTGCCGGCCCTTGATTGCCTCCTGGACCCAGGTGCTTGCATGCTACCAGCCTCTGCCTGCCTGTCGTCGGCCTCTGGGTGTATGCTGCTGGCCCTTGATTGCCTCCTGGACCCAGGTGCTTGCATGCTACCAGCCTCTGCCTGCCTGTCGTCGGCCTCTGGGTGTATGCTGCCGGCCCTTGATTGCCTCCTGGACCCAGGTGCTTGCATGCTACCAGCCTCTGCCTGCCTGTCGTCGGCCTCTGGGTGTATGCTGCCGGCCCTTGATTGCCTCCTGGACCCAGGTGCTTGCATGCTACCAGCCTCTGCCTGCCTGTCGTCGGCCTCTGGGTGTATGCTGCTGGCATTTGTTTGCGTTCTGGACGTTCCTGACGATCCTCCATAGTTGTGTCCCGCTAATTCCGTGGCGAGATCCCGGAGCGATGCCCTTGGGCTTACCAGCGAACCCGATGGACTTCGTGCACTGCCATTTTGCGGGTCTGATCTTTCGCTATTCGTCCTGCTTCTGAACATGCCGCCCAGGCCAGCCAAAAGGCCAAGGCCTCCTGCGGGAATCGGGGGAGAGCCTTGTGCGCGTACGAGGGCCCGGACCCGGGCCAGAAGCCGGGTTTCGCTCTCCCTGCAATCATCTCTCTCTCGTGCGATTTCATGCCTCTCTCGCTCGAATAGATCTCTTTGCTCTGTGACTTCGAGTAGTCGAATCCCCAAGAAGGCTCTGGATAATTGCCCGTTGGCTGAGAATGGCGTTACATTGTCATCCAAGGCTTCCATGTCAATGCCGGCATTCATCTGCACCTGTCGCATCCCCGCCTCATGCCGCGCGAGATTCTCCAAGACGGATACCACGGTCTGGAAGGCCCACTGTCGATCTGGGGATAAAGGAGGCGGAGCTGCCGGTCGGTCGGACTCGTTGAATCCAGACTCGAAATTGTCTCTACTTGGCCGCTGGTTTGCGGTACGCTGTATTGCCAGCTCGGCCTCGCATTTGTTCATTCCCTGCATATAATGATCCCTCTCCTGCTTAAGGTTCCGAATTTCCGCTTTCCAGTCCCTCTCATTTGTATTTCTCTCGGTGCGCAAGCGATCCTTTTCGTCTTGGATGTCCTGCTCCATTTTCCGCATTGTGTCGTCGAGCGTATTCAGTTCTTCATTGAGTTCCTTGCGATGCTCTTCCATGCCCAGGATTGTGTTCACGAGTTCGTCTCTCGGTTTCCTTAAAAGTGCCTCGCGGGTCATAGGGAGTGGCTCGGGTCGAGATGAATTAGACGCCATTGACGGTGCCCTGGAGCCACGCGAGCTGCCTCGCCGGCGCTCTCCGGGAGTGGGCGCGTCGTCAATTAGGGTTATCATATCAGTGGTCGTGTTCACCACAAAGTTCCTCTCGTCTGCGAGAGCGTTTGTCACCATGTCTCTGAATGCGATGGTTCCTCTTCGCGCTTCCCGGATGATCTCGTCCTGTAAGGCACGCGGAATGTTTGCTGTGGATGCTCTAATCACATCTCTCATGCCTGCGACCCCTTGGTGCACCAATTGTTCGAGCTCGTCGGCGCCGAGCTGAAACCTCCATCCTCTGACCCTGTCTAAGCGCATCTGGAATTCCTGCGCATCCCCCACCAAGCCATGTTGCCTCAGTTGGTCGTATAATTCGAGGAAAGCACGGTTTCGTCTCCGGATCTCCCATTCAGGATCTACGGCAGGTAGATCCTCTGAGTTCCCACCCGCCCTTCCTGGCCTCGAAGGGCTGGGCCTCGAAGGGCTGGGCCTCGAAGGGCTGGGCAGACCGCGTGGCACACCAAGAGGCGTAGGGCCCTCGTGCCCTCCTATGTCACGGAGAAGATCGCCAAGATCGCCTGTGATTGAAACCCCAGTATGGCTACGTGTCAGGCCGGGGCGATTATTGCCTCCTCCATGGGCTGATTCTGCGCTCCCTTGCGAACTGTTGCTTTGGCTATTGATCCTTGCGCGGGTGGGGCCTATGAGCTCGTCGCTTGGTGGTCCAGGACCGGGAGGCTCTGACTCATCGCCTGGTGGCACAGGAATGGGGTTTTCTGGCTCCTGCGCAAGTGAAGCAGGCGGAGATCCAGACGTTATCGGCGTGTTGGACATTTGGGGCTCGTTGCTAGTGCTCGCATGACTTCCCGCTTGCTGCGCCTCCTCTGTAACAGTTGTGCCTCGTGTGCCCTCTGTGTCCGAATTTCGTTCAGGGGCGACCGTGGGCTCAGGAGGCGGACCATCGCCTACAACAGAAGCCGGGTCGTCGTCTTCGTGGCCCACATCCTGAAGGTCATGAGGCGGCCGTGTGTCTCCTTCGCCATCATCACCGCCTGTATTCGACATCGCGACTGTTAAGAATGGTGTTTGACGCCAGTTGGTCGCTGGGTGCAGATATTCTGCAACAATTCACCCGCAGACAACTCTCACGGCCTTGAACAAAAAGCTTTGGACCAGTGAACGCGCCACGCTTCTTGGTGCTTCGCTGCCCGAAGACCTCGGGACCCTCTTATGCCGTTGCACCATCCCATTGTCCTGTAAACATGTAGTCGCACGTTGAGGATAAAAGAGCGCTCCCGATGCAGTACATCAGAGGGAAATTGAACGAAAACGGCTATTCGGACGGGCGGCGGAGTGGAAGGCAGGACTGGCAGCTTTGTGTTGTGCGTATGAACGCAAGGGGCGTCCCGTCCGCGACAAGCCATTGTCAACGGATCCGGCCATCAACCCGAAAAGTCACTTGATGCAGCTCATCGCACGTGAAAGAAGTTTGCATCCTGTCGTGGCATTTTCTGGATTTGAGCCCATAAGACGGGATGCATGGCCTGCAGCCGAAATCAATACCGCCGGCCAAATAGCGCACGGAAGTGGTGCCTCTTGAGAAGATGCTCGTCAACAAACAAGTAGTCCCGCAACACACCACGATACCTTTGATGGCTGGCTGCGTGTAATTCTGACCAGCTCTTTCCCAAACGCCAAACGCCTTTTCTCCAAATCCGGCGGCCATGACTGCCTGATGCTCCGCAAGATTGGGCGTGCCGCAAGCAATTGTGTAATGCCTTGCTAGCCTGCCAGCCTGCTAGGTCAGCTGTACCAACCCCGCGCTCCTGGACCTTGTGTTTGCGACTCTTGCCTGTGTTCGATCATGGGCTCTTTGATGTTAAAGGCTTGTATGAGATCTCTCCACGTCGGCATATCAATTGACATAATTGCCTGCCGCTTCATGGTCCCGTGATTAGACACGGAATTCGACGGTTGTCCTCTTTCACCAGCACTGGAAGGGCCTAATCCATGTTAGCCAGGGCCATGACCAAACAAGCCATTAGTGTTGACACTCACAAAGAGACGGCAGCCCATTTTCCTCGTAATGCACCTCCACCATTCCCTCGCGAATCAAAAAGCTCACGTAGAACATGTTCTCCACTGTCTGGCCGAAGGACCTGGGGTTAATGCAGAATCGTACCAGGTCTATGTTGCCTGTTTCGGTGATGCCCAGTACTTCCATCGCCCTTTCCATCTGCTCATCATCGATGCTGTCGTCATCTTGCATCTTCTGAAGTTCCTGTATTGCCGTGCCTCTCACAGACTTGAGCTGTTTCAAGATCTTATTGCATATTGCCGTGAGGTCGTTTTCGTTCTTTGCGAGGTCCTCTGTATTTAACACCTCAGGTCGAACCTCCTGTAGGTCGCGTAGCCGCAGGGGCGCTGTCCTTGTAACCAGCTTGCGAACCTTCTTTTGCACCGACAGGGGTCCAAGCAAGAAACCCGACAGTGCTGGTCTTCGTACGTTGGGAACACAGGCGTACCGGCCGAGATGCGCCCAGTCCATCATGTCACCGCCCTCCTCGTCGTCCGAGGCGTCATCATCGGATCCAATCGCGCCTCGTTGCGCACCGACCCGACGGTTGCGCTGGGTGTGTGATAGCTCCTCGTCTGCGCCGTCCACTATGCCAGCGCCTCGGCGCATGTACGTGATACACTTGGATACGAACTCATCCGTGTCAATGCCATTGCCCAGGTTCCCGGCGGTCAATTTCTGCAGCCTACGGCTCTGGAGATCGGCCAGCGTGACGAGGGCTTTGGAATCGATAGCAGCTTCGGCGGTCTGTTTGATCTTCTTGTTGATATCCTCGAGGCGGGCGAGGGCTTCCGAGACTTTGGTAGACCCGACCTGCATGTAGGCCTCTGCATTCTCATGCATGTCTCTCTCGAGGTCGCGGATGCTCTGCTGAATCTCACGACGCTCCGCGAGCGACTGCTCTGGGTCGTATTTGCTTGCATCCTCGTCCCAATCCATATTTACCGTGATGAAGGGTGGGAGAGTACAAGAGAGAGGTGGGAGAATCGAGTCTTCAATTTTGCAGAAAAGAACCAAGAAGCTGGGATGGGTGGGTTTGGACGATCAGGAAGTTGGACCCTGACGCGACTGATCTCGGTGTGAGACGCGTCTAGGTATACCTAGGTAAAGTGCTGCTGGGGGACACTGTGGGCCCTGTGGGGAGGCGCTGTCGCCTGACTGGGCCCGCCCCAGGGGGGCAGCTCCCCGCTGTCCGATAAGGCTTATCGATCTCTATCTGCTTAGGTACGTACTGTTAGACAGATGCATTATCTCACAAGGCAGACGGACGGCTACGAGGGTGCACCTCGCATTCCCTTCTTTGACGACTATCACCACTGTGGCTTCGACTTGCACTAGCTATGATTCGGCACCTGAGATGAGGATCGAAACTGCTTCTGATTACTTCCGATACGCAGTGGTCGGAGCGGTAGCAAGCCAAGACGCCAAACAATGGAGCCATTCTCCTTCGCGAGCTCTGAGGCTGTCCATTATCCTGTCAGGGTCCGGATGTAAGTTTGTCGCCACGACCAGAACCTCGCTTGCCTAAGACTTCTCATGCGTCTGAAATGTACTGACCCCCTCCAGAATCAACTTGGAAGGCGACGAAACCCCTTACCAGTTCTCCACGCTCCTCGAGAAGCCAGAGCTTCGCCACACTGGCTCTAACACCAGCTCCCATTCGGATCTCTACGTCACTGTGCAAGTTTGGGCAGGCTCGAAGCCCCTTACTGTCCCTGTCCAAACAGCATATAAAGCTTTTAGGACAGAACGAAAATGGAATGAATGGCTGACTCTGCCGATAAACTACTCCAATCTGCCAATCAACTCATGCCTTGCCCTCACGATATGGGATTTGTCTCCCACTGGGGGCAGCAATGCCCAAGGACATGCCATTCCCTTCGGTGGCACCACGATCCCGTTGTTTGATAAGGATAATCAGATTCACAAGGGCCGCCAAAAATGCCACGTCTACAGACACAAGCTTGCCGACGGCAACGACAACACAACTACCTCGGCAGTCGAAGGGAGAAGAAGGCTGGGAAGAAAAGGCGAGGCTATCGTCGTCGATAAGGACGCTGAAGAGATGGACAGAATGGAAATACTTTTTAAGAAGCACGAAATGGGTGAGATAGCCAAGGTAGACTGGCTGGATCAGCTCGTCTTCCGTGGCTTCGAGAAGCGTAACTTGCAGGTTGCGAAAGCGTCCGTCAAGGACTTGGAGCGACAGCGTGCACACAAAAGCATCACCAAGGACAGCGGCGGAGAGAACGTGCAAGACACAGTCCAGGATGGAGACCCCAGTCCTGGTCCCTCCAAGTTCACGCTCAACGTGGAGCTCCCCCGTTTCGACTTCCCAGTCGTCTTTGCCGATCACGAGTACGCCCCGCCACCAATATCCTCGCTACAACATCTCTCGGCCTCACAGTCTAATATTCAGCTGAAACCGCCACCAGAAGTCATGTATGGGCCCGGTATCGACGGAATCGGTGTATCAGATGGCGTGGGGAGTCGATTGGTCCGCGTCTACGACCCAGAGGTCGGGCAGAGAGATAATCCAGCTGAGAGCAAGCACAGGCGGCTCGTCCGAAGCCAGCATAGACACGGGATATTGGACAAGGACCTCAAACCGAATGCGAAGACGCGAGACGAACTCAATAACATCATGGAGTACTCTCCAACTCAACAACTATCCCCCGAGGAGAAGGACCTCATATGGAAATTCCGGTACCACCTGAATCGGGACAAGAGAGCACTTACTAAATTTGTCAAGTCGGTCAACTGGCAGGACCAAAGCGAAGCGAAGCAAGCTGTGCAAGTCCTCGGAAGATGGACAGACATTGATGTTGACGATGCTCTGGAATTACTAGGACCGACGTTTGACAATGCTACTGTTCGGGCCTACGCCGTCCGGCGACTACACAAGGCGGACGATGATGAGCTCCTGCTTTACCTTCTTCAGCTCTGCCAGGCTCTCAAATTCGAGCATATTTCTCCCGAGTCTGGTCAAGAAGTCACGCAGGACTCATCGTTGGCGAAGTTTCTGATTTCCCGAGCAGTCAATAATTTTGTGCTCGGGAATTACTTCTACTGGTACCTGATGGTAGAATGCGACGACGTGAGCGACGACCAAGCACCTGAGGTCCGAAAGATGTTCCAGAAGGTGGCTTTTGACTTCATGACTGAACTCGAAAAGCGCGCGGACGGCAAAGAGACCAGGAAGCTGCTTTTGCGGCAAGCTGAGTGGATTGCGATCCTGTCCAGGATTTCCATTGAGATCAAGGAGTCAAATGAGACGATACCTCGAAGAACTGACCGGGTCAAGCACTTCTTGGCTGACCCCAAGAACGAGCTCATCACTATAGACCCGCCCTTGCCACTGCCGCTTGATCCGTCTGTAAAGATCGTCGGCGTGGCGCCTCAGGAGACAGTCGTTTTCAAATCATCGCTTCACCCTATCAAAGTGGCCTTCAAGACCACGACGGGACAGAATTACCCCATCATCTTCAAAACAGGTGACGACTTGCGGCAGGATCAGCTGGTTATCCAGATCATCACCCTGATGGACCAGCTTCTACAGAAAGAAAACTTGGACCTGAAGCTTACGCCATACAAGATCCTTGCTACCAGCACGAGCGCGGGTCTGTCCCAGTTCGTCCCCTCGATACCCTTCCAGAATATCGTGACCAAGTACAAGAACGCCCCGGTCCTTGCCTACCTCAAACAGAACAACCCCGACGACAAGGCACCCCTCGGCCTGCGCAAAGAAACCCTAGACACGTTCGTGAGATCATGCGCGGGCTACTGCGTCATCACGTACATCCTGGGAGTCGGCGACCGACATCTGGACAACCTCCTCCTGGCCCCCGATGGGCACTTTTTCCATGCCGATTTCGGTTTCATCTTGGGCCGCGACCCCAAGCCCTTTGCGCCGGCCATGAAGATCTCCAAGGAGATGGTCGAAGCCATGGGAGGCACCAGCAGTGAACACTACCGCCAGTTCACTCAATACTGTTACCTGGCCTACGCCGCGTTGCGGAAGTCAAGCAACCTTATTCTCAACCTGTTCAGCCTGATGGTCGACGCGAACATCCCGGACATAAAGCTCGAGCCGGACAAAGCGGTAGTCAAGGTCAAGGAGAGGCTACAGCTCGAGCTTAACGAGGAGAACGCCCTCCGGCATCTGGCAAGGGTGATCGATGATAACCTGTACGCGTATGCACCAGTGATGATCGACCGTTTGCATGCGATGACACAGGCATTCCGAGCCTGAGGCGGGCGTCCCAACCTGTCGGTGGGCCGCCAGTGTCTCAGGCAGTTGTTGGTGTAATGAACTCGGGCCCTCACCGATCGAGGTATGGGGGTCATTATACTACTTCTATGTACAATTTAACCTGCGTTGATACCCTATTGGACGAGAATAAAGTGCAGCCTCTTCGGCTTTCTGTGATTGCACTTGCCCCCCGGGCGCCAACCCAATGACATTCATTGCAAAGATCTCCTTTATTAGTCGCTAGATCATGAAGACCATGCTGTGTGCTGTCACGCGTCATGCGTCACGCGTCACCAAACACGAACACACCCTTGCCGGCTCTAAAGCCCTGCAGAGTGCCCTGGACCGCCCCCCTGAGAGTGGCCTCCTCGGTCTGCCAGTTCCACTCGACCTCCTGCACAGGCGCGTCCCTGAACTTTCCGTCCCTGATGAGTCCCAGTATCTCGTTGACCGTGCGCTTCTTGCCCTCACGGTCGGCGTTGGCCCAGCGGCTCAGCCAGAAGCCCTGGAACCGGAGATCCCTGAATATCAGCAGGCCGGTGGGCAGCATGACTGGCTGCTTGGACATGGCGCCATAGGTGACAAGGGTGCCGCTCTCACTGAGGCACTTGGCCATGGCGGTGGCGGACTTGCCGCCGACGCAGTTGAGGCCGAGCGTGACGGGGTCCCTGCCGCCGCGGGTGAACTCGTCTCGCAGGCGGGCCGTGAATGACCTGTCGAGGAACTCGGCCTCGGTGACAACGGCGGTTGCGCCTAGGTCCAGCAGCTCGCGGCGCAGCTGCTCGGTGGCCGTCTGATCCTCGCGCTCGCGGATGACATTGATGCTGCGCAGGCCCCAAAGGCGGCCCAGTTGGATGGCGGCGCGACCGACGCCGCTGTTGGCGCCGTTCTGGATGAACCACGCGCCGCCCGCTGCCGAGGGGTCCGTCTGGAAGGTCTTGACGGACTGTCCGATGAGGTCGACGTAGTCCCGCAGCATGCGGTATGCGCTGCACGGGTTCACCGACACGGTGGCCACCTGGATGGGGTCGAGCCCGCTCTTGTCGACCTTGAGCAGCGAGGCCTCGGCGTTCTCGACGAGGGCGTGTGTGCGCCACGTGCCGAATCCCGTTGAGGCCGGGATGCACCAGTCGCCCTTCTGGAGGCCGGTCACGCCGGAGCCTACTGACAGCACCTCGAGGCAGCCCTCGTTCCCGGGGATGGAGGACGGCTCGGATGTGCCGATGGATGTGTCGTAAGATGGCTTGGCGCCGTAGGTGCCCTGGATGGTGTTTACATCTGCTGGGTTCACGGGGGCGGCGAGGGTGCGGACGAGGACTGAGTGGGAGGGAATCTGCGGCGAGATTGAGTGGTTGTGTAGTCTGGGCGGTGAATCAGCAAGTGCTTTGAGTGGCCGAGCGGCTGACGGCCTCAAGAGAGGCATGCATACCGAAGCACGTCGGAGGGCTCGCCCGGCTTCGAGAAGACGAGGGCTTTGGCTTGTGTGTATCCATACGGGCCGGATTTGTGACGAACAGAGGCACCGCCGAGTGGCCGGGGGGTGCTCTGGCATGCGCCAGCAGCTCGTGGGCGCAAGAATGTGAAGTTCAGGCAACGAGCCGGTCTGATCGTGGCCATTGTGAAGCTATCAAGGGACTGCTTCGCGGTGGTAAACTACAGCTTGTTGTTGGGAATTGGGGGGCCCGCGGGGGATGCGGGGTGTTGGGTGTGCAGTGCCTTTGGGGTAGCTAAGAACCTGGGCACCTAGCTACCAATGCTTGGACGTGTGCTTTCGCTACCTAGGCACCTCTGCGGCCGCTGTATCCGTAGGCGGAGGTCCGTTGAGGCTCTTGGGATGACGTCGGCTCGGCGCAAAGGAGCTCTCAGAAGGCGGGTACTATGTAGGTACTTGAGTGCCTAGGTAGTATCGACAGCCCGAAGTACCAAAGTACCCCTGCTCCCGGCCTTCAGGGTCGGGCTGCAGCGGTCGTGACTGCCGTAAAATCTTCCAGGGTTACTGGTAGTATCTATGTATACAACGTGCTCAACTTTCTTTGGCAACACTACTCTCACCTTATTTAACGCACTTGATTTCCCTACTTCTCATCGACAATTAGCCAATCCTGCCTTCAGTCACCGTGCTCACAAATTGGATTGATCTGGGACGACTACCACTGGTAGCAGATATTCAAGTCTTGACCGGCGTCGGGTTTAGACGAGGACTGCCTCTCGAGTTCCTCCGTCGGGAGTGGAAACATGCCTCGGTGAGCACGACATTGGGCACCTAAGCATCCTTCTCGATCAAGGGACTTGGTGCACGTCCATAAGATATGGCATCGGCATTATCAGAAACTGCAGCAAACGCAGCCAAGGCCGCCTTCTCATCCGCCTCCCTCAAATCCGCAACACCTTTCACACCTCGGCAGACCTTTGAAGTATCGTCTTCAATAGTCCGCTCATACTTTCTCGGTCACCATCATGCCGCTCTGTCGCGTATGCGCCGCACGCTTTCCAACGTCGGACTGGTCATCGAATGCCGAGACATGCGGGTCCCCTTGACCTCCTGGAACCCCCTTTTGGAATCATCCCTCATGTATGGTAACTCCACAAACTTTGGCCGAGGCGGCGACAAAGGCTTCGTGGCTGGTGGCAGTGGCAGGCCCTCCCGCCCACGTATCATCGTATACACACACAAGGACCTTGTGCCGGAAGCCGAGGGAAACAGGATTGCCCGAATCCTAACCAGCTTCAACAAGCGACATGGGGCAGGGAACACCTCCATATTGTTCCACGGCGCTGGCAACGAAAACAATGGCACCAAAGAACTGCTGAAAGAAATCAAGCGCGTAGCGCAAGATGACGACAGCATCACAGGCCTGCGAGCGCTGGTGGTCGGCATGCCCAACGCAGGCAAGTCGTCACTCCTCAACCGCCTGCGGTCACAGGGCAAGCCAACATTGGGCCGCGCCTCCAAGGTCGCCAAGACGGGGTCCGAGCCGGGCGTCACGCGGAAGCTCGGCACGCCAGTGCGCATCATCGCCGGGGATGACAATTCGGAGGGTGTCTTTGTCCTGGACACGCCGGGAGTGTTCATACCCTACGTGCCGGACGCTGAGGCCATGCTCAAGCTCACGCTCGCCGGCTGCGTCAAAGACGGTCTCATCTCGTGGGTCACCGTCGCCGACTATCTCCTCTTCCATCTCAATCGGTTCGACCCAACCGGCAAGGTCTACGCCGAGTTCTGCGAAGAGCCGACGAACGATGTCCACGAATTTCTGAGCGGTGTGGCCAGGCGTACGGGGAAGCTCATAAAAGGCGATGAGGAGTTCCTGGAGGGCGCTGCGGATTGGGTAGTCAGGAGGTGGAGGAACGGTATGCTGGGGCTGTTCGTCCTCGACGAGGTCACCTGGAGCAGTCTCGAGGCAGCAAAGAAACTGAGCCTGGATCCGCCGTTGAGTATGAACCAGGCGAGGAAGCGAGAGAAGGAGGCGAGAAGAGATAGGGCGATGGCGAAGCATGCCCAGAAATAAGATACGTCAGACGGTGGGAGAAACTTAGAGAGGAATGATACCCTGCTTGACAGCACTCGCGAAGTATTACTCCAGGGCTCACGCTGATAGTGCCCTACACATGAGCTACACGGGCCCAGATGCAGGCCGCAACTCCTAGGCTTTCCGCAGACCGTGCCCTTGTCCACCATCGAACTTCGTGGCTTTTCACGCGCCGTGGCCTGCCTTCCTTGCAGTGGTCTGCCAACTGACCCCATCGCACCACACCCAGGTTCGGGCTTTCGGAAGTACTCAAAGGCTATTATGGACCTGCTTGGTTTGTGCGGGTCCAAATGTTTCCCACTGTGGTCTAACACGAGCTGTCTTCACATTTTGTCACTCGCTGCGACTTTATGAATTCCATGACCTTGCCACCCTTCAGAGCACCCTCTTTGTCCCTTCAAGAACTTGAAATCATAGAGCTCACTGCTGTCACGTTGATGCTACACATCCTTTCCACTTTTTTAAGTGTGCCGCTCACTTGACCAAGTCTCGTCCTTCTGTGGTTTCGCTTCTATTCCGTATACGTCCGAGGACATACATGGTACCTTCATACGGTGGTAAGCGCCCAAGACCCCTTGCCTTCTAATTCCTTGAAAACTTTCCCTTTTCTCATTCTCCACCTACGACAAGCTGAACCCTACAGCGCAGCCTTCGTTCATGTTGCTGTGGCCCAAGTTTCGCCCACAAACTCATTGTATCTTGCATCTGTGCACAGCCATCCTGATGACAGCGGATTCGCACTCATCATCTTTTGATGCACTGCAGTGAACGTGGATACCCTATCTGCGCGTGTCCCGAGGCGCCTCAACTCCTCCCGGCAAGCCTCCTCGGCGACAAGTGGATTCTTGGTAGCCTCGAGGTCGTCGTCGGGAAGTCTGTAGAGGCGCTCCTCCAGGCCCCCATCGTTAAGTTGGGGTCCCAGACAGCCCTTCGCAACACGCGGGAGCGCAACCATGGCTGCCGTGATAGTATTTGTCTCGCTGATGTGGTCCTTGATGGAATATTCTCAACAGGCTGCATGCGCCTGATGAAATGGATCCTATTCTGCTCGCATGCGTCCCAGGGGGTCAAGATTTCACCCCACCCGGTCTAAGAGCCTGCGGGGGAGAATGCGAATCGCAACCTGGAGAGCATACTTAAGTAGTCAGCCGGATCGTAGTGGAAAGTTGCGGGGGAAACAGACCAAGTAGACCTGATTTGACGATGCGACAGCAGCAGCACCAAATGATGGTAAGGGTTCATGGAGCGGGGCATCATGAGACACTGTGGTCTTGGTCGATGATATGATTTTGAGTCTCCTAGGTGTCAGGGGAAGTATACTAGGAGCCGTTCCTCCTTCGATCCCTGCGCCTGTACCTCCCTTTTGCGCCTGTTATCCAGCGCGGTAAAAGCCAGGACAGGATCAGTTTTGGTTGATCCATCGCTACTCCACGGATGTAATTGAAAATGCTGGAAAAATCAGGGCCGTTTGTGCCTCGACCGTGCTGCTGATCAAGAAAGTTTGCGATGCGCTCGTTGATGCGCTCATATGTCTTGACTCTTGAGGTTGGTAACGTCATGGATCTACTCAGGTGTCGCGAGCAGCTTGAAAAGATACATGCTGGATCGTCTTGGCCAGAAATGGCTCCCAACACGGCGCTGGGGGTAGGTAAAAGTACAGATTTTCTAATCAGACGTACCCCGTTAGATGGGTTCCGGGTCACTGTCACTTTCGTAATTCCTGGGACTTGTATAGTTTCCTCACCAACGCTACTTGAGGGTTGCTGCCAACATGTCTGTGACTGTGACTATACGTCTTCAAAAAAGAAAAAGGGGGGGGGCCTAATTGATTCGACCCGCCAATGACAAAATCCCATCGAATAGTTCCCACGCGCTTTCAACCCATCACGAGTGGGTATCAGCGTTCATCCTGCCAAAGAGCATCGGCAGTCTTGGTCGTCTCACTCCTTCGTGATATGTGCATGACTTTTGACATATGAACATGTCTTGCCAGAAACCGGCAAAGACCGCAGTGGGATGCCCTCGGGTGTGAACGCCGACATTATGCAATAATTCGTATATCAAGACCATCTCGATCCCATCTCATCCCAACAGACGCCACTAAAAATGCCGGAAATCTGACCCTCCACCCCAAGTAACAAAAACGAACCCGTCAGACACTTCGCGTACCAATAGGATTCGGACAACAGGGAGCTCAGGAGGCGAACTCTTGTTGCCATTTGATCAAGTCGGTCGACAGACGCGCCATCATCTCCATGGACGAAAGGTCTTTGAAGTCTCTCTGCTCTCCTAATGGGTGAGAGCTGGATCCCGATTCGCCATTAGCGAGCTCCGACGCCCTTTTCTGTCCCGGACGAGAGGTAATACCGGCTGTGTGTGGAGCCACGCCTTCGACAGGCTTAGGACTGTCGCTATTCGGCGGGGTCGCCTCTCCGGCCATCTCGACTTGTGTCCTGGATATGTAGTCTAGCATTGCGCCGGCCTTGCGCTTCATGTCAGTCATCGACACCTTGCTATTGAATCCGCCCTTAGCCCGCGAGTGTGGCTTGTGTGAGGCCTCGCCAGATTTGGCATGATGTCCGTGTCCAGTCTCATGTCCTTGTACATCTCTTGACTGAGACCGCGCTGGAGACGTCTCGTCGCGTATGTCTCGATCCTTGGTATATTGGTTCTTCCCCTTGCCTTTCTTGGCTGGGGCTCGTTTGGGCTTCGATGAGCTCTGGGCGGGCGTGTGTGTCGGAGGTGTATCGGGTGCCGGCTGTGACGAAGGTGGTGCCTCGACTGTGAAAGTCGTTTCTGCCTTACTCTCAACCCCACCTGTTGATGTTGCCGTTGCTGGGGCCGTCGTCGTCGCCTTCTCGCCTGTCGACCGGCTGGCTACTGTCCGAGTTGCCAATGGCAATTCCTCCGAAGGATCCGAATCTGTATCCGCTTGAGCCTCCGACCCCTTCACAAGAATCGTAGATACGGGTGTGCTACCATCAGCTCGCCGGCGTTCTGCCCGACCGCTACGTTTTTTTGCTGCTTCAGCCCTTTGTCGCTCCCGTTCCTCCCGTTCCTTCTCCTTGTGCTGGCCCTGGTTGCGAGTCACCAGGTTACGGGGCTTTTTCAACCCACTTCTGTTGTTTGAGGCTTCTTCGGAATCCTCGATGGCGTCTGGCTGTTCATTGTTGTCTTCCGCTGGCGACGGGGACTTGGACTTTGTACGTTGCCTCTTGCCAATGTCTTGTTTCCTACAAGCACTTCTTGTCAGTCGCTCATTGCGCTGCGAAGCCAGAAGTAACATACTCTTCGCTGTCATCGCGGCCACGCTTGGATCTCCTGCTACCACTAGCACTTTCAATTGCACCGTCTTGGCCAACAACCTCCTTGCTGGCCTCAATTGCCAGACGAAGCTGCTCCTCCTCGTCATAAGCTGCGTCCCTGCTGTTCATGGTAGATCTTCTCTTGGATGCCTGTGTGATCGACGACTGCCGACCACTTCTCGTTTCCCTCTCTTTGCTATCTTTGTCCTTCGGAGATCGTGAGCGGGTAGTCGACTTCCGGTGGTTAGGAAGGATAGGAAAGTAGTGAGAATAACGTTGTCTGAGAGACACGGAGTCAGTTTAGCCAACTACGCAGTGGCCAGGTGATCATTGACACCCGCGCACCAGAAGTCTGACGACGGTGTACGATACCAAGGCTGGTGCTTGCTCGCGCGCTTGGGTACGGGCGGACCAAAGCAGGAAAGAAGCTTACCCATTGCTGGCTATGTGTACCTTGTGAAGGTCTTTTCTGCACTCCTCACAGTAGTACTCATCAGGTGTTGTGTCCTCACTCATAATTCCGACGCAAGCACCGTGCTGCCAGACATTGCAGACATCACACTGCACGAACAGCCCTGCCACATCATCGTTAATGTCAGATGGCAGTAGCGGCTCGACGTCAATTGAATCTTTTGGACCATGCTTCTTGTCATCATCCACCGGTGGTGGGCCGGGGTAGTCGTCGAAGCCACAGACGCAACGGACGGCGCCGTCGTCCTCTTCGAGCATTTCGTCTGGATCGCCAGCCATTTCGATTGTGTCCCGATGTGGAAGTTGTTTGTCGCGCTCCTCTTCTTGTCCTTGGGCCCGAGTGCGACGGCGCCGGGTGGGCAAATCGTCGGTGCTCGCGACGGACTCGTCGGGCGGCTCGTCAGAGAGACTGGGTGTGGATTTCTGAGGTGAGCCGGTCTTGTTGACTGATCTGGTGTTTCGCTCGGGGCGACCCGAAAGACTCGACGATGTAGAGGACTGTTGAGATTGCGCCTGCGACTGCGATTGTGACTGTACTGTTCTTGCACGTGAACTTCGTCTCGGTGGAGAGTTCCCTGCCATTGCTTGCCGCGAGGGCTGTGTGGGAGAGAGGCACGAAGCAGGAGGCAGATGGTGCGACGCGCAGGTGGCTGGACCAAGGCCTCTCCAATGAAAGACCGGTAGCCGTGTGTAGAGGGATGGTGGGGGACTGAGAGCCGAGGGAGGAAAGTGACCGTTCTGGAGCTTGGCAGAACAGTGAGGACGAGGGCAATTGTCGAGGAGGGAGGGGGTAGTGGGTGAAGTCGAGCTTCGTGGCAGGCGGAAGTGGCGTCGAGATCTAGTTCGAGGGAGGCAGGGACGGAACGAAGGAGGTTTGCTGCTCGACGAAGCAGACAACCATGACCGAGAGGAGACTGCAGGGAGGAGCAAAGACGGCCTACCACGGAAAGGGCTGGGCAGAGCAGCAGGACGAGGAGAAAGAGCCAAGTTTGGTAGGTGAGGTGGTCTGGGACCGGAGCGGAAGATGGACGAGTGGGAAAATCCAAACCCAATAATGCTGAGTGAGAGGGTAGCGCAGCGCAGCGCAGCGCAGCGCCGGAGAGCACCAAGCAGCCCATGGGGCCTAAGGGCTATGTGCCGGAGGTGCCCCTTGCTGCATTGCACAGTCCGTACCTAGGTAGGTACGTAGGTACCTGCCCGGATATGTGGGCGGGGTCTGCTAGGCAGCACGCTCTCAGCCAGCAGCCATGGCAGAGGACCAGGGTCTCGGCCTAACAGGCGCATTTTGGGACTGCCTGTTCACCACCGTGACCTGCACGTGCAAGGTTGCAACCCGCCCACCAAAGAAGTCGGAGCTCCTGTCTTTGGGTGGGGGGCCATTGGCGAGTAGACGAGAACACAAGGAGATGGATGAGCTCTGAAGGGACGGAGGAGTATTGGGTGCGTTGATATGTACTCGTTGCAGGCCGGCGCGAGCAGTGCTGTCGATATCTGAAGGATCCGTGTGGATGGACGTCAGTTTGGGGGCACTGTGGATGTGAGTGAGGGTAGGTGAGCTCACTGTTGCGAACCTCGTTGTTCTGGGAGAGGAGAAGGTGAGTTGTGAGATGGGCCGATGATTGATTGCACGGTCGATCGGCCAGGCGTGTGAGGTCAGTGAGCCGATGACAGAGGAGAACGGGCCCCGACGGGTAACGGCCAGGGCGGGCCGCTGGCCTGGTACGGCGTGGTATGGGGATGGATGGATTCATCACAACCCCTCGTATCAACAGTGCAGTCGGCAACCAGGCAGTCGAGTTTGACCACGAACAATAATTCCAGGCATGTGGATAGCCTACTGCCAGACTGTGTAAATGCTGCCCAGTGCTCAGTGCTCAACCACGAGGCCAAGGTGTTGAGCTGTCCTGGCCGCCTGTGCCAACTCGACATGCCCCCCAGCTTAGGTAACCCCGTTGGCTCACCAGCACTGTCCCGCCCACTGCCACTAGCCCGATTATCACTGACCCATTCCCATTATCAAGAATTCCCGTGTGTGCCATGCGTTTTAGGAGCCCCCCATTTCCCGACTGACCACCTTGTGCTGCATCCTGCATCCAGCATTCTGTATTTCACACAAAGTCCAAGCTCAGGTTCAGGTTGGAGAGTATACCGACCCTACCCGAGTCCTCTGCTTCTTTCTATTGCTTCAGCAATCCTTTGCCCGCATGCTTTGTTCGCCCCCGTTGCTTCTGTCCCCCCGCGACACCCATCCAGTCGTCATTCTCGCCTGGCGCCGGCCCCCGACAAGCGGGCAGTCGAGTTGCCTGGACGCAAACCCTCGTTTGGGCCCCAGCTAAGGTGGGTGGACTTCCATTCTGTTCTGTCAACGCACCAGCTGTTCAGCCCAACAACAATGCGTGTGCGGCGACCGAGAAGGGGGCACGAGTCCCGCTCGCCCAGGTCCTCATTCACGTTGCGATTGGTAATGACTCCGCCGCGGGGGGCGGCCGCTGCGTAGAGGCAGGCAGTATGGAGACGGTGGGGGAAGCTTGCTTCCTCACCCGTTGCCCTCACCCGTTGCCCTCACCCTATAGCCGGCCTGGCCTGTTGAAAGCTTCTTGGCCGACTTGTTGGGCCTAAGGCTGCTTTGCTGTTGCGAAACCAGTGTCTGATGACCGTGTCTTTGGGCAGGCGAGACGGCCACGATACCCGAGTAACTCCCCTCCGAGCTGGCGACAACGGTGTCGCCCACCACCACCTCCTCCCCTCCAACCCCCTAGAGCTGCCCGAGAGTGCGCTACTGCCATCGCCGATCAGTTGCGAACAGGACGGAAAAGGGCAGAGAAGGTCACTGTGCTGGGAGCTGGACTTGGGGTTTGCTTCGAGTAGAGTTCACAAGAAGAGGCTCTGTCTTGTAAGGCGGTAAACGGTCAGTCACCACCCGGTTGCCTTGCCCTGCCTTGCCTGGCCCTGCACTAGCCTGCTTCGCGGCGCATCGACTCGTTCACTCTTTCCCCTGCCATGACACTTTTCAAACTTGGGCCCTGGGGATCAAGCCCTTCCCCAACAGGTGCCCACCCCAATCTCTTCCTTCAGTCGCGACTCAACAGCAAGACGCCACCATGTCCGTCTCACGAGCCCTGGCGGCGGCTGGTGACGTTCTCGCCGGCGACACAGAGGGCGAATCCATCAAGGAGGGGCTGTCGGAGGGGCGCCAATATGCGATTATCGCCTTCCTGCACAACATCTGCCTTATCACCTTCACGTTTATTTGCCTATTCTCGGGTTTGTACGTCGCACTAATGCTTTGCGGTTGTGTTTTTCATCACGTAGGCTTCGACAAAAATATGGCTTCAGATACTGTACCTACCACTCCAGTCTATCACAACGACCGCTCAGATCGACCAATCCGACCGCTCCCTAAACGTCGCCTCCGCGAACGTCTGTCGCCGGAAGTCGCTGATTCGATCGAGTATCCACCAGCTCGCCAGTCCGCACCGGCTCTGTTTTCATACCCATGTAACCTGAAAGGGGCGCTGTCGGAGGAAGAGTCGGGCTCAGGCGCCAGAGACCCTCGTCCAGATGTCTCGGGCCATTCCACACCTCGCAAGAATGGGGCAAGTGCCGCGTCTGAGATGGACGAGACGTCCACCAGGAGAGCTGTCGTGGCCCGCCCACCAACAGAATCTCTGGGTCGCTCGCCGCGATTGCTGCAAAAATCCGATGCTTCGCGGCAGGGCCACACGCCACAGCCTCCGCCTTCAGCAGCATCGTCGGCGGACGGGTATGATTCTTTCGAGAACACGAATAACAAAAAGAAGAGGAAGATTCCGACGGCGGGAGAGATGAATGGGACACATGGCCTGAGCGATCATGGCTTGAACGATTCCCACGCCGGGTCTCCTGGCCTGGCAGCAATACCGGACAGGCCAGGAGAGAATGTGAACTCTACTTCGGTGCCCTACTACGGATCGGGAAGTTTCATTCCTGCTGGCCAAAACGTTTCTGGTCCTGGACGAGGCCGTTTTGGAAGGGCAAGAAACGGTAGGAGTCCGTTGCAAACTCTCTCTGATGCTAGTGGCAACTGGCTAGGCCGGAATTCTAAGAATCGTTCAGGTCACTGGTCCCCCACAGGTAAGTCTCTAATTGCGGCCTGTGTTACGCTTTTCTATTTCGCCAACATAAGATCTCGCCCTTGGATTGGCCAACCCTAAGACCACGAGTTTTTTGTTTGCCAACTTTGGAGTTGATTTTGGAGCTAAACTGACGTTATCTTTGTCTTCAAGCCCAAAGCACCGGCATTATTTCTAACGCGATTGCCAACGCAGAAAAAATCCCCGCCCTAGAAGGTCAGGAAAACACCAGCCTGCTCCACCAGCAGCAACCGGTCAAGTCGACCCCAGCTACAACGCAGTTCACCTTTACATGCGACTCTCAAGTCCCGGGAACTTTAGCATGGCCAGGTTCCGACCCCAAAATGTCTAGTTCGGCTGCAATGGACTACAGCCAGCCAGCGGCAGGAACCTATACGCACTCGCGTGCTAGCCAGACACCCCAACCGGTAGGCGCCATGGGTGGTCCCAGCCAAGAGGGTGCCCCCTCAGAAGGTAGCTTACGGGGCGAAGCTCCTCAGTCAGCGGCTACCCTTGAACGCAGAAACCGGCGCCGAGCGGCCAGAGACCTGCACCTACAAGCGAGGAAGCGTCGGGAGGGGACTGCTCGACAGAACTTCCTCAACCCGCCCAAGCTGGAGGATCAATGGATCTGCGAATTCTGCGAGTACGAGCGCATCTTTGGCTACCCCCCAGTGGCTCTGATTCGACAGTATGAGATCAAGGACAGGAAGATTCGCCAACAAGAGGAGGAACGACGCCGTGTGTGGGAGAAGGCAAAGGCGAGGAGCCGCAAGGGCAAGAAGAACAAGGCACCATCGAAGATCAGTGCCAACAACAACACCAACTCAAACGGCAACAGCGTGCACAGTCATCCCAATGACGCACATGCGGCACCGCCAATGAGTCTCGCACAAAGTCAGGGTACGCAGAGTGACGTGTTCGACGACGAGGACTACGAGGTAGAAGGCAACTATGACCTTGATCCAAGTCAACCGCCGGCCGAATATAATCGCTCTCCAAAGACATTGTCTGACACGCAAGGACTGGATCACGGCGGCGGCGGAGACAGCGGAGGCCGCACTGTAGCCGGGTCAGGAGCAATACAAACGGAGGGAGCACAGGGAAAAATTTAAGACTCGTGATAAACCCCCGTCAAACGGCTCCAGCGGAAGGGACCAGCGAGAGGGGAGGAGCGCCGGTGCTTCTTTTGGTTCGCGCCTTCGGAAGCGGACGCAGCAGGCAGCACTCCTGGAAAATCCACCCCTCCTGGTCTGTGAGCTCTCTGTAGGGGCGCCAGCGACTGGTGTCTAACTGGAAAGGCAATTTCAACAGATCCGATCTCGCGAACCTCTGGTACACGTTGCTGGGGACAGGTTCTCACGACAAGAGGCAAAGAGGTGGTCAGCTGGGATTGAGGCTTTACGAGTTGTCACTCCGCCCCCATATCTGCACAACTCCGCTCTTCTGTGCACATAAGACAATATAATTCCAAAACACACGCCATGGGACGACGTTTCCAAGAGTGGGACTGCTGGGATATGGAGAGCCGGAGCTCGCTGGTTGTGAGTGGACCGGGGGGCTCCCCAAGGAACGGGCGCTTGGGACGAAACTCGAGTATTGGTCCTCAACTCCTCACAAACATACCCAGTTGAACCGTAGGACCAATGTATGAGATGGATCCTCAGAGATATGAAACTGTGCAAATGTCAACCCCACCTCTCCCCGGCACCTGAGTATTCCCGTCTGGGTAGCTGCGTGCGTTGCTGGTTTCTTGCGGAAATGATCGCATGTCGTTGACCTGATGAGTAATCAGAACAATGATGGTGTGCCGGGCAGCATCTGGGGGCAAGCTACCTAGGTACCTACCTAGGTAGGTAGGTATGACGTATGACCATGCAAGCTCTGTCTAGTGCAAAGGCGGTGCAGAGGCGAGAGAATCGAGTACAGTTACCCTCAAAAAGTCTGGCCCACACCCCCTTTTTACACCAAAACTCACTATTTTTAACTCACTATACCACCTTTATAGAATTTCCTATAATAATTAACTTTTAATATATAATATATATTATTATATATATAATATATTAAATTTTAAAAAATCTAAGTATTAAACTTTTAAAAATATATAAGTTTTCTAATATATTAAATTTAAGAATTTTAATTTTAAGCCTTAAGACCTTCTATAAGACCCCCTAATAAGTTATGTTTTAAAATTTAAAACTTTATTGTTACTTTTAAATAGTTTAAAACTATTAATTCTTTATAAAATATTTAGTTTTTTTAATATAATAAATATTTATTAAAAGAATCTTTAAAAATAATATTTTAAGAATTCTATATTAAATACTTAATTAGTAAATAATTATTAAAAGTGGTAACTTTTGGTGTAAAAAGGGGGGTGTGGGCCAGACTTTTTGAGGGTAACTGTAAGCCGATGAAGGTCGACCCCAAAGCAGAACAAGCTCGGGGTAAGCAGGCGATGTCACCCAACACCAGCGCAACAACCAGAGAAGTCCAAGAGGGGGCCAACTGGCAGATTGGTCAACTCCCGACTAGGAGTCAAACAATCTCAAACTGCGAATCAGAAAACGACCGAGTTGGGCGGGCGGCATTAAAGGGCACACCCAAGTATACCCCCCGGCACTCCCCACACGGTCTACAGACTTGATGAGTGTCAACCGGTGCATCGGGCGCGTGGGTGACCGCATGGGAGGCTTGAATCGAGCTGCTGATTCCGCCGTCTCAGACCACGGTATGTCACGACAGAACACCAGAATACACCGTTGCGTTTGAGCTGGAGGCCGTCAGGCCGTCTGGGCGGACTCGGGCAGGCCAGGTGGTGCCCCTGCCCTCGGCGGTGCTTGGCGGGCCCAATTCGACCCAGAGGACAACCCTAGCGCCCGAGCTTTTTTAGTGTAGGCCGGCCCAGTCCCAGCTCGGTCGCTCTTGTCGATCACTGGGTATGGGCCCATCGGGAGCCCGGGGCTTGACAGACAGACAGACTGACTGACAGTCTGACAGCCCGAGAGTCCAGACCAGGGAGATTCTGGAGGATCATCCATCGTCATCTGTCTGTGGCCTGTGGTCCCGTCCCTGTCTGTTTCGCTCCCCCGTTCCTACCACCTCATGGACTCTTACACGAGTCCCCAAAACCCTCAGTTCAGCTCATTCACCGCACCAGGCCCAACCGACCTGCGTGCATCATCTTCCCTGACCGTCTCTGCCTAGTTTCAAGCTTGCTCACCTTCTTCCCTGCCTAGCCTCAGTTGTTAGTCTGCTGTTCGCCCGCCCGCCCTACTCTCATTAGACTTATTAGGCGCATGCGACAAGACAATACCCTACTACTACAATGCACGGTCGTACCCGGTAGCGAAGTAACGAGAAGCCATGTTCGGGTCTAGACGACGTCGCCCACCCAATCCGGTACGTCGAGCACTCGCCGCCGTTTCTCCTTTGTGCCACACTTCCAACGTCGGTGGACCTGTCATAGATCAACGGATTCACCTGCGTGGATGTAGTGGGAGTGCAGTACATGTCTGCATCTGCCTGAAATGCTGCTCCATCCCCGGCCTGTGCCCTGCTGCATCCGCCTTCCACCCACCCCTGTTTGATTCGCACAGCCTTTCGCCGTCATGGCCATCCTCAGCCGGGCATCTCGGGCTAACTCTACCTCCTCCCTCTCCTCACAGCCTCTCAATGCTTCCACCGCAAGCCCGAGCGCAGCTACTGCTGCCATCTCAGCCTTCACCCGTCGCGAGTCGAGCACTTCCTCGCTGAGCGCCGCCGCCGCCGCCGCCGCCCTCAAGGCCCGTCCCACCACCCCCACCAACGTCGCAGAGGTCCAGACAAAGAGGAACACCCGGAGGAGTGCGTCGCGATCCTCGTCGGCCGGAAGGAGCACTCCCGACACCTCGGCCCGGCCGGGAGGGCAGCTTAGGCGGCAGGGTAGCTCCGGGTCCATGACAGAGCGCACGTTCCGGTCCCCGTCGCCCGGAGCGCAGCCACAGAGGTCCCCTAGTAGCAGTGCAATCCTGAGGAGCTCGTATCAGCCAGACGACATGGCGCCCCCCGTGCCAGCCATACCGCAGAGCGTCAACATGCAGGCCGCCCAGGCGAGGCAGAAGCCCAAGAGCCTTGGAATAGTCACTGCGCCTGTGAGGACGGCGTCGCAGAAGGCTAATAGGGCCGGCGGAAGCTGGTTTGGCCCGGCCAAGACGGGTGACCCGGCCAATGTGAGGACCTCGGATGCGATCCTGTCGACGTCGCCAACGGTACAGACCCATACACAGATACAGGCACAGGCACAGACCCATGCGCCACAACAACGTGATAGCTTGGAGATGCAGGGCAGCCGTGGTTCGCCGGTGAACTTCTCGTATCCTGCGCGCATCCGCAGTCCTACATTCGTCAGGCCTGATGAAACAGCGCAGCCAGCGGCCTCTGCGCCCGAACCTCGCGCGAAGACCAAGCGGAGGAGCTCGACAATCTCTCCCCAACGGGGAGGCTCCGTCAGGTCCGCACGATCTTCATCCGTGAGCACAGAACCGACGCTCGTCTATGATCCGAATTCCAGGAGAATGATCCCCCAGGCCGATCTATCAGCCCTCGAACAGAGGATACAGACAGCCTCTGAAGCAAAGCCCAAAAAGAAGAAACAGTCGCCGGCTCGAACTGGCTCACATCTAGCCAAAGGGACGGTCAGTCGACCACAGGGTAGTGCAGTAGGGCCCGGATCTACCACAGCGGCACAGGCAGCTGCCGCTACCTCACTGCGATCGCATCAGGCGGAGGACAGACGCTGCGCGGTACAAGAATTAGAAGATGAAGACGACCGACGTGTCTCCTCAACAGCTCCCGGTGCCCCACGGACAGCAGTACCAGCAGCAGAGCAATACACCGGAGTTGCGCTGCCACATACTCGATATGCACAGGCATCGATGTCGCCTGCCTCAAGCGCGCCAGAAGTTATGCCCGAGTCACGTCCCCCGGCTGTCGCGACACATCAGACGAGCTTACAGAGGAAACCATCTGTGGTCAGAGAGGAGTCAGAATCGGAGGATTTGGAGTCTGAGATTGAGCTTGAAGTACCAAATCTTGTATCGACGCCCCCAAAATCCTCTTCTCCTCCGAATACTGTGCCAGCTCGACAGAGCGTCTACGCCCATGGCGTCCCGTCTCCGCCTCGGAGTGATCTCACGGAGGACCTGCCCGTTGAGCCAGCCCGTCCTCCCCCTGCGATACCGGTCGAGCTCGCCGCAGCACCGCCTTCTTCCTCCACGGAGCCTCGGCTTGCTTCTCAGGATGCAAACGAAGTGGTCGCTGAACCTCAAGGCGTGCAAGATATCCGACGCGATTCCCGGAACCATTCAAAAAGCCCCGTGCGCAATGCCCGCTTTGGTCCAGTGCAAGATAGCCTGACTGTACGGCATGAACCCCCGCCAAGATCAATATCTCCGAGAAAGTCGGCCCTGAAACACCAGAGTCCTTCTCGCGGAGCATCTCCCGCAGATGCCGTCTCGGACGGGTCTGAGGCCGGCATTCCTTCCCACGAACAGGCATTGCCTCGGAAGAAGTCAGTCCGCGTCAGCTTTGACGACGGCAATACGGTGGTTGTTGGTGAGGCTGCCGGGAACGCTGAGACGGACAGCCCATTACCGCCAAGTCCTCAAGCAGCGAGCAGGCGACCATGGTACAGCAGCCTCGGGATAGGCAAGAAGAAAGACGCAATACCTATAGAAGACGACGAGGGCATGAAGCCAAGACCAATGTTGCCTACATTTGGCAGCGTGAGAGGCAGGAAGCAGTCAGCCAAAGAGCCAGAGGAGCGCCCTCTTGTTCGGCCTCACGAGCCAGTCTACGAGGAGTCGGAGCCCCCTACTCCGGATCCTCTTGGTAAAGATGCTGATCCTGTGGGCCAATCTAGCGACCGTGCTCTGGGTGCAATAATCCACGAGCATGAACCCAAGAATGAGGCTAACATTTCCAAGTTCCGAGAGCCCCTGCCGCCTGTGGTCACATCCGTGGAGGGTAGCGGATATGCCTCGGATACTGCGAGCGACGATAGTGATGCTGCTCTCATGGCAGATACTCCCAGGCTTCACCCCGACGAAAGTCGAGTTAGCGAGGCTTCAACACTTGTTGCTGACTGGAAGCCCTCCAACGGCACCACATATGATCGGGTTGGAGGCGAGCAGATTGCCAGCGATGTCAAGGACTTTGGCGAGGAGCCGCATAATGCAGCTTCCGACGTGCCGGCCATATCCGTCACACAGCCTAGCCCGCGTATTGTCGAGTCAGAGCAAGACAAGGCTTCCTATCGTTTCCCGGGCGAGTTCCCAGAGACGGACGCCGAGTCGGATGCTGAGAACAAGTTTGCGGCCCATGACGCGACATTCATGGATTCGTCTGCGCCAGCACGACAGGTGACGTCTGAGCCTGTGGCACAAAAAGAGCATGCCATAGACGCAGTGTATACTCCCGGCACTGCCCTAGCCACAAAGCAAGTCGCTCAGGATCTCACCGATGAATCAGATGGGGAGAGTGTTTATAGCGATGCATACGAGGACCCGTTGGATCCCGAAGGTGACGGTTTCCAGTCACTGGATGCTGTCCTTGGCAGCCCCTCGAAACTACAGACATCTAGTACCGAGAGGGCGATGATGGATATCGCCGAGTCTCCGACGCCGGGCCTCCCACAGAAGGCACCCGGACACGAAACAGCGGCAATCGCCGCGATACAGAAGGAAGGAATTTCCGGACCCATTGGCGACTGGGAAGCTGCCAAGGCGTACTGGAGGAGTCTTACCGCTGAGAAAAGAGCCCAGCTGGAGAGGGAAGCAGCTGAAGACGCCGGTGCTGAGGGTGATCTCGAGGATGTGCAGCCGGATACAAAGAAACCGCGAAGAAAGAAGTCGATCGAAAAAAGAAATGCCGAGAAAAAAGTTATTGAGGAGCAGAGAGCGGCCGATGAACAGGTACGGACTTATATGGTCAAGCCAGGATCCAAGGCCCAGGACTATAGCTCAGCAGAGCAATCTACACCCCGTGGTACACGTGTCTCCGAGAAGGCAGAAGCAGGCGCCAAGCTGCGCAAGACCATGCGCTCCCCAGGCGGTAGCCCTGCCCAACCAACGCCCCCAGGTGAAACCGGGCCACGCATGCGCAAGTCTCTACGTCCAGATGCACCAGGCCGGTCGGCTGCAAACCCACAGCAACCTGCATCTCCCCCACCAGCTTTGGGTATCACCACCAAGATCACGGGGCCGAGCAGGCACTCGCGAGCGGTTTCGGAGCCAGAAGGCAGGCCTAGTATCACGCAGCCCAGCCTTCGACGCCACGGATCAGACTCCAGCGCAAGTAGCTTCAAGCGAGCAAGACCGGCAAGTCAAGGATTCGGCTTTCGCAAGACCATGAGGGCAGGCAGTGGTCCCCAGGGTGCAGAAGCCTCTCAAGAAAGGCAGCCAAGCCGCTTGTCGCTACGGTCCATGTCCCCTGGCGGTGGCTCTTCCATCCGCGGCCAACCTCCTATCACCATGGACGGCAGGATGCGTACAACACTCCGCGGCGGTCCGCCCGCCAACAAGCGCCGAAGCTCGCAGGACTCCGGGAAAGGCTATTTGCGCTTCTCCGGCTCCTTTGGACAGAAGGCCAAGGGCAGGAAAGGTTCCAGATTTGGCGATGATTCCAGTGACGAAGATGAGGCGGATGTACCCCGCCGCTTCTCGAGCCGCTTTGATGACTCAAGTGACGAAGAGATCGTTCCTGAGCTGCTGCCATCGTCAAACATTCCAAAGACGATGCGCGGTAACAGATCGCGCAACGCGCCGCCCAGTCCACCGCTGCCAGAGGAAGAGGAGCTTTCCGATGAGGAAGACCCCGTCTGCGGCGACGAGGAGGACAAATCCCATCGTGTCACCTCGGGCCAAGCTCCCATACCGCGCGCACAAGCCGATACCAGCATCAAACGCAGCCGTTCAGGCCGTGGCTCATTGCCCAGGGCTGACGAGGGTACAGGGCGCCCCGCACGCCGCAGCTTCATGTCATCGGTTCTGCGCCGAAATAAGAAGCAGGGCAGCGGTGCTATCTCGCGTCCCGAGCGGCGGGAGAGCGCAGCGAGGGCAGACACCAATCTTGAAAGGACTGCGGACGAGCTGGATGCTCTGAGATCCAACAGCCTGCGGGACAGGGCGGACAGTGGCGCCACATGGCCGCTGAACGAGGACGTGCCGGAGCACGACCCCCTCGCGGCGGAGGACCGCCAGACAGACGATGTCAAAGGCACACATGTCGTGGAGGGCGGGTCTGTGAACGGCCAGAGCAGTCCCGGTGTCTTGGGCCACTCGAAGTCACAGCCGTCGTTGTCAAGACCTTCGTTCCTGCAGCGAAGGACGATGTCGCATCAAGGCACGATTGATACCGACATCGTTGGAAGTGATGCCGGCGGCAAGAAGAAGAAGAAGTTTGGGGCTTTGAGGAAGATGTTCAAGCTTGATGAATAGTGGTCGGAAGGCGAGGGCTCCCGGCAGGGCAACTGCCTGCTGTAGTAAAGCAACCGGCTACCACGGGGTCTTGAGGCCATGGGACCAAGTAAGAGAAGGATGCAAATGCAGTCATATCGCCGGAGACACTGGATCTCACCACACACAGGGGGGGAAAGCGGCGGGCGGCAGCAACAGCAGACTATAGGTTTCATTTGTTTGGACGCTTTTTGGAAATGCAACAGCAGCTCACAAGATAGGTATACACGGGCAGGCAAGGATACCCCTAGGAAACAAAGGAAGGAATATTTGCCTTCAGGACAGCGAACTCGGCGGTGTTTTTTTCTTTTTCCCTTCTTTTCTGGAAATGATGAGGTCAGGTTTGAATGAGTCCTCGTGTGTCGGTCTCGAACATTCCAGCACGAGACATACGAGACAGGGCTGGTCTAAAGTGGATACCGGCGCTTGCTGCGAACAAGAACAAGCACGCATAGATGCTTCTAAATTTAATCTAATGAGACGAGAAGAGAACCCAGGGGAGTCGGAATCATTGGGCAGCTAGTAAGCTCACTGTACTCGCCCTCGCTCTCAACCAGGACGAGAGGAGTGCTGAGCGACGGGAGTCTGTCGCCCTGGTGTGTCGCCGTTCCGTCTCGTGTCACCTCAGCAGCGGGCAACGATCCGAAAGGTTGTGTTTCTGTCGGAGTCGGCCAACACGGCCCATCCCCCGTCCCCCCACACCCCTGGAAAAGGCTAAGGGCAGCTTTGAGACCCAACGTCTTGGAACTCTCTGCCCTGGTACTTGTCGGGATGATGCAAGCTGCACGTTTCTCCTTGTTCCTTCTTGTGGCCATGGAAGCATCGATCGGCTGGCTGCAGCCGCTGCGGCTGGGGTTGCATTCTTCCAGGGGTCCAGGGGCACTGACACCGGGGAGGGCGGACATGGATTGTGTGTAGGTTGTCAGGTTGTATGCTGTGTGTGGTGTGCTTGCCCCGGACTTTTCCTTGCCCCAGACTTTGCACCCCCAAGAGATCTGCAGCCGTGCAGCATGTACAACCCTTGGCGGGTGATGTCAAGCACATGTCTGGGCTGTAAGACGGGGGCGCCTTTCACTGGATCTCGGGTCAGTAGCACAAGGCGGAGGAAGTCAGCGGGTGTGAAGGGATGATATCAATGGCTTGGGAGCGAAGAAGAGTGCTGATCAGGCCGTCAGGTCGGCCTCCTTCTCCCCCCCTCGCTTGATCGGTCGGTATACCCAACGAGTGATAGGTGTACCCTCGCCCTCGCCGGCCCCGTCACGCAGCAGACGCGGCGCAGCCATCTCCCACCGGGGGGCCAAGCATCTAGAACAATCTCGCCCGGGGTACCGGGACCTCCAAGACACGGGCATTGAAAAGGCACTCACTCCCTCCAGGCCAGGTGATAATACCCAGCCAGAGTTCCCGCCAATACTAATACCTACTACTACCTACTCTGTGCTGGTGCTACCGTCGCACTACCCCGCCGTCGGATTGTGTCGCACAGCTCTTAGCCTTGACAGCTACTGCTTACCGTTGGCCGTGATTTGCTTTTCCCCAGCTCGAGCTCTACACCTACCTGCAAGGTCGACACAACACCGGTGCATATCAAACAAGCCCGGTGTGGCCCCCAGCAGAGAGACCCGAGCTTCGGACGGGCTTCTCATATCTCACCCACCCACTCACTCACTCACTTACTCACTCATCACTTTCCGAGCAAAACCCCCCAATCCCAGTCTACAAGGCACTACCCCAACATGTCCTCCTTCTCCAGAGCTGCCGCCGCCGCCTTGAGAGCCGTCGGCCGGCGGCCAACATTAGCCCCAGCTGCCACCACCAAGATCCAGATCCGCCCCTACGTGAAGGAATCGCGACAGAGACCCCAGGCTAGCAACCGAGACAAGAGCGAGCCCACCCACGCCGGCACCTTCGCCCGCACCGACGACAGCATCACCGTCGAGTACCCAGAGGACCATGAGCTCCCTAGCTCGGGGCCCATCGTCGGCGCCGGCCGCGCCGGCCTGCACGTCTACCCTACATTGGCCGCCTTCTCGCTGCAGGGCAACGTCGGCGTGGTCACCGGCGGCGCGAGGGGCTTGGGGTTGGTCATGGGGCAGGGGATGGTTGTCTCCGGCGCTGACTTGGCTATTGTTGACATGAACAGTAAGTCTTCTTCCCTGCGTTGACACCCAGGGTCGGGACATCTGGAGGCGGGTGGAGGGGAATCGACGTGAGAGCTGACGGGGAACGACAGAGGACGAGGCTGAGGTGCAAGCCCGGGCCATCATGGACCAGTTCAAGAAGGATAACCCAAACGCAAAGAAGTGAGTGTGCCCAAACAAACGAAGAGAAGCCAGACACCGTACATCCACCTCCTGTGTCCGGTCGCGACTGACACCACAGCCCAAGGTCCCCAAAGGTGACGGCCCACTACGCCGACGTGTCGGACCCGGACTCGGTCACCGCGTGCATCGCCGACATCCTCGCGCAGCACGGCAAGATCGACAACCTCGTCACGTCTGCCGGCTTCACCGAGAACTACAACGCCACCGACTACCCCATCGACCGCATGCGCAAGCTGTTCGCCGTCAACGTCGACGGCACCTACCTCTTCGCCACCGCCGTCGCCCGCCACCTCATGGAGCGCGAGGCAAAGGGCAGCATGGTCTTTATCGGCAGCATGAGCGGATCCATCGTAAACGTGCCGCAGCCCCAGGCGTGAGTGTGTTTCTTATTTCTGGCGATTGTCCCTGCCCCCATTTTGCACCCTCCCTGGCTCTCGCCTCTGGCTCTTCAGACTGCTCTGCCACAGCGGACAGCACTGGGTTTCATCAGCTCACAAGGTTCGCCGTTGCGCGCCGTCCATTGGGACTGCTGCGGGCAGCATATCTGCTGCAGGTACAGTTGAGAAAGGCGTGGCTTCATGCCCCGACTGGCTCGCGGCTGATCCGCGATCGCTTTCCCAAATCAGGGAGGGATTCGTACACGCCAAGAGCCCCCCTCCCCCGGCAGGATAAGACGCTCTCTTCGGGCTTGATGGAGGTTAAAGTCCAGGATTGAATGCTGACAGCTCGCCGTTCACAGACCATACAACTCAGCCAAGGCAGCCGTCCGCCACTTGGCCGCGTCTCTGGCAGTCGAGTGGGCGCACGCGAACATCCGCGTCAACTGCATCTCTCCGGGTTACATGTTGACGGCTCTGTAAGTCGTCTCCCCATGTTCTGAGCCCGCACTGGCCGGCATTGTCTTTGGAATTTGCTGACCCACCCACCCATCCCGACAGCACCCAGAAAATCCTCGACGACAACCCGGACCTCCGGAAGCAGTGGATCTCGCTCATCCCCCAGGGAAAGATGGGCCAGCCGGAGGACCTCATGGGCCCGTTGACATTCTTGTTGTCGGACGCGGCCGGCTACGTCACTGGTGCTGATATTCGTGTCGACGGTGGCTATACCGTCACTTGATCCACGATGAGAATTATGAACTGTTCTGTCAGTCTTAGTCTTGGTAGTGAGTCTTGGCTTGGTCGTTGGTCTTGGGATGTTTGGCGTTTAGGGGGCAAAATCTGGATGGTTCCGCGAGCGAGAGAACCCTAGTGAGTAATCGTTCTTTGGGGTGGCAGTGTCCTTCTGCACCCGTGTATTACTGTCCAATTCAGTAACGTCCTCCTGACAACTCGATCGAGCCGCAGTAATTTGTGGTGATCCATGGAATATCCTGCAGTGTTCAGGTGTTTCCAGTAATGTTTCAATAACCCTAGAGTCCGCATCCTTGCGTGTGCTTTGGGCTCTGCCGCAGTCTCTCCCGTCTTGTCATTTGAAATAATATGGAATCATGCCAGTGATGCCGACATGTCCAAGTCTAGGCCCCTTTGGATTGTATGAGTCCCGCTACTCTTGGGCCTACACAAGTAGGTGGCGAGAACCACCAGGAGGATAGGAAGAGAATTCGCGGTAGACCGGTCCCGATCTAGAGACTGGGTAGGACGCGAGCGTAACCTATTGAGCTGAGGATCGGCCTGACTCGAAATATTGACCGTTGAAGATTTTCAACGGCACGGCTTGAGCGGGGCGCACCACTGCCTTTCTGACGGCGTCGAACCGAACCATTGTTTGGTCAGGATTGTTGGGAAAGGGCTTGCCACACAGCCACACTGCCACTGTCAGCATCACGGCCGTCTGTAGGCCCGTCTCCATTTCTGTAAGGCCTTGGGCATTTGCAACCCCAAGGGAATCCTGCGTTCCCCAATCGTGCCAATCCCCAGATGCAGTGTCCAAGAGTCTGGAATATCTCATCTCTCGGCCCGTCTTGGCTGACTGGAGGAGCCGCTAGTACATCGGTTTGCTCCGGACGGGACCAGCGCGAAGGCCGATCGATGAGAGGCGTTGTGGCGGCGCGCGTGCGTCCAACGAGGTCCATGCCCGACCCTCCTGCTGCCCGTCAACCTCCCCCCCTGCCTGCCTGGTGGGCTCTCACCCTGTATCTGGAGATCTCTGGTTTGACATCTCATACCTCCCGGTGTGGTGGTTGCTCCCGACCTGGACTGTCAGTGTAAGCCATATCGACACCAGTGGTGCTGTTCTTTGGCGGCAAGGATGAGACAGTTTGCCGGGGCGTTCCGTCCTCCCGACAATGGATGGGGGCAAAAGTGCCCCACGACACAAGTCCAGCCGGGGTCCAATGTGGCCAGCTGGTTGCCGTGCGAGGCGATGCGTCTAGACCGGCTGCGACACTTGTATCGACGCTACGAGATCAGGAGCAGAGTCGAATCGACAACACATCCGCTTTTGATGATCTGTTGGGATTGTAGGCGAGACTGCAACCCCAACAGGAGTTTGGCCTGGTCACTGCATCCACAGCTCCGGGGCCGCGGAGGAGGGAGGGGGCATGGGGAGGAGGCAATAGAAGGGGGTATACTATATGCAACAGCATGTCACTGCCTGTCACTGCCGCAGCTGTCTTGCGCATATGAGGACACCATCTTTTGATTGCCGTCCTGGAACTGGACGTTCTCGCCAATCTGCGAGTGGGTTCCTGCAGATGTCGCTTTGTGACCCACACAAGCCCAAGTAGTGTGTTTTCTCGAGTGGTTTTTTTCTGACATGTGAAAGGGAAGCTGGGCCAGCGATATTCGGCGCCTAGTGTAGATACGCAATACGCCGAGCTTGAACCAAGCGGCGCGTCTCGGGGGAACTCACGAATCAGAGCACTGTTTTCGAAAAGTGGTGGAATATCATGGCAAGTTTTCGCATTTCTTGTTCTGTTTTTTGTTTTCTAGAGGGGGAGTGGCGGCCATAAGTTCGAGGCTTGGTTGACTATGCCAACCAAACAACTGCACCTTGCGACAAGTGGGAGCGTCGAATAGCGTCCGGTGCCCCGGCGGGCACGATGCAATGATGCTTGGAGCGTGCAGAATGAAATCCTTTGTCGCCTGTGTCGTCACAGCATTCAAAGCTGCCTGCAGTCATGAAGGCGCGGCGCAGAGTGTTGCACCGGGGAAAACAAACACGGGCAAGTCAGATGCTGCGCTGCCGGGGCCGGTGTGACTGGGAGTTCGTAGGCACAGGTGTGTTACGGGCGGGCTGGGCTTAGAGCTCGGCCGTGGCCAGATTCTGTCCAGATTTGGCTGCAGCCGTGGGCACCACTGTGTACTTCCAAGGACGAGCGGCCGTGATACACCACGGTGCTCCAGGGTGGTGAACAGCGCTGAGCCCACCCAATGAGAGCCTCGCCTCGCGGCAGCTACATGAGAGATGCCATGTTGCGCCGAGATTTATGGTCACACGACCTCCTCTGTTCTCCGCAGTTTTGATCAGGCGACCCGCGGCAAGGCAGGACCGAGAGATTGCATGGTTTACCAAAATCTGCGAGCGGGGGCTTGGAAGCTGACGGCACCATCATGACAAGCGGAAGGTGTCAGGGTGTTCGTCCAAGTTACACGGCGGACAGAGAGTAAGACAGCTGCGTCACGAGATACGACCAAGGCGCCAGGGTGCAGCAGAAGGAAGCGTCCGGCGCGCGGGCTGGCAGGCGGTGTGTCTCGGCCAGGCGAGGGCAGTTTGCAATGCCCAATGGCACGGGGCTGGACCCTTGCAACGGGCATGCTCAGCTTGCTTGTACGCATTTTTGCCACCTTCGAAGTTTGGTTTGCGTCGGCTGGTAGGAAGCTGGGAAGCTGGGAAGCTGGGAAGCTGGAAGCAGGAAGCATTGCAAGGTCATGGTTGGATATGTAAGAGCGCAGGTTACAACTCACAAGTCGAAGCAGGACCAGCAATCCCCCTGCCAAGGAACACGGGCAAGGCCATGCCCTCCGGGACACGATACCGCACAATGCCACGCCGCCTGGTCAAGGTTGAGCCTGTGCACGAGGCTGTCTCAATCGCAGAACCTCGTTGGCTGGCCAGCCTGGTCAGGTGGACTGAAAGTGGTACAAGCCTTGGCTCCGTGCTGAAGTTTGCTGGCTGGCAGGCATATTGGAACTGGATACTCGGTACAGATGCCGCGGCGTTGAGGACTGGGGGATGGCGTGCTGTAGCCTATAGCCTGTTAGCAGGCCTGGGCCTCATCGGTGGTCCACCTGCCCATGACTGATGGGGGGGGCTTAGTCGGGGGCCCATTCGGGATTCTAGAACAGCTGTGCGTGCGTGTTCGTGCCGAGACGTGGGGGCGGGCGGCAACGGCTCCAGGCCGCCGCCTGTCTGCCAGGCTGCCAGGCACGCAGGGGTGCAGGGAGCGGAAGCGGTCACGAGGGCTCGGATAATAATGCTGTAATCATCATGCTCATGCTCATGCGGCTCCGGCTCCGCGGCTGAAGACAGCCAGCGCATGGCTGCTGCAGGTGCAAGTTGTGGTCCCGCTGGCTCGGTGAAGGGTGGCTCGGATGGCACCGTATGGTGCTGTAGCCTGTGATACTCCGTACTGTAATCCCGGTGACGACGATGTGGGCGACGAGGCGGACGGCCCACGGAATCGCTGGGCAGGTGGTCAGGTACCAGTCCTGTCATCCTGATAGGTACCTTTCGGCCATGCAGCATTGTGTCAGCCACCCGCCATCCGGCCTGGCGAGTGGCAGCAGCGGGTGGCGTCCTGAGTACCGATCGCCTCTGCTTCTTGCTGCACGACCAGGTCAGGAGACCTGCTGCTGTGGTAGGCAAGGTACCAAGGTAACGTCGGTAGGCCCTAGGGTGTGAGGCATGTCCACGGCCGCTGACTCAAGCCTCGTGTTATACATGATGATGAATACACGTATAAGTCAGTACTTTGCCCTTCACACTTGCTGCTGCTGCTGCTGCTGCTGCTGCTGCTGCCGTTGCCGCCGCCGCCGCCGCCGCCGTCGCCGCCCGGCCTGCCGGCTTGGATCGGCGTTGTCAAAAGGTTAATGGAGCAACGAGGGAGAAAAACAGGGCCATCAGAGTCTTCGCGGTTGGCACGGCAAAACATCCGGTGCATTGATCTGTGCGCTTCGGGGGGCCAGTGTCTGATCAGGGCCCATGGAGACGGGACGAAACATCGGGCATGTCCTCAAATAGAACAAGACCATGACCTCGAATCTGCCAGCCTGCCAGTCTGCTTCCAAATCTTGCAGCCCTTCTGTGACAAGCACGCAACCTGCTCGCAGTCGTAGTCCCGGTTCCGTAGTTCATCCTGCCTCGGCCCTTGTCCATGCTTGGGTTAAGGCAGGGAGGGCGGGTATCCGTACTGTGAGGACTGAGAGAGACAGCTGTGGTCGTTGTGCCTGGGTGAAGATTTGTGGATGCCACTCGTCAGTCCAACAAGGGCGGCCCCTGATCCCGCCCCAGGGTGGGCACGCACGACTGGAGACAGCCCTTCCAAGGTTGGAAGGAACAAAGGCAAGACATGACCACGTCTTCTGGGCCCCAAGAGTGGTGTAGATCCCTGGGTCCCTAGGTCCCTAGGTCCCCTCGCCTGGCAGCCTGGTCCCCCGCGGCCAATGGCCGTGTACCCCTGCCGGGCGGGTACCTACCCGTCACGCGGGAGCTTGTGCTGGGCGCCTGTATCCAGCTGCCACGGCTACCTCTGCCCATGGCGAACGGTACCTCCGTGCTGTCCTTGCCCAGCTGGGTATTCCGAGGGACATTGTCCGTCTCGCCCTCAGCGTCACTCTCTCTCACCTTCTCCTTCTGCTCCTCCCTCTCCACTACCTGATAGCAGCAGGTCGGCAGGTTCAGAGGCATCACAACGGCCAGGTCCAGGTCCAGGGTCCAGGCCCAGGACAGGACAGGACAGGGTTGCTGTGTGCAGCTGGTGCTGGCTCCAAAAGTGGATCTTGTCTGGGACTCTCTTCTCTCTCTCTTCTACAACTCTACAACTGGGCTGTATGTACTTCGTACCGCCCCTGTCACTCCCTCGTTGCTCAGTCTTGGCCGTTAGCGGCCCACTTTGCCCGCTCGCGCAGAAAACCCGACCTCTGGCCGTCTTGATCTGGACTGTCCTGGACTTTGTGTCTTGTCCCGTCGAATTTTCCAAATCAGAAAGAAAAATCAAAATCAGAAAAAAATCCGCTGTATGACTAGTCTTACCCAAGGCACCTACTTACGCAGCAGGTAATAGGCACCAGCCTTCTCCGCCCCTCTGTCTTGCCTAGGTAGGTACCTATCTCTGCCCTGTGTCTAGCCCCCCGTCTCTATGCCCTGCCCCTGCCTGCTCCGCGTCCGTCGTCAAGCCCAGTCCAATTCGGACCACTCTGGGTCGGGCCCCCTTCGGGTGAGAGAAAAGAGTCAGAGGGAGGGAGGGAGATGCTCACTGCTCACTGCTCACTGCTCACTGCTGGGCTCTTGGTAATGTTTTCTATCCGCTCTCTCGGTCCACCAGAATTCCTTTCGCATCTCTTTCTTTCCCTTCCTTTCCCTCTCAAACGCCTTTGCTTCCTCTTCCCCTCGTCCTCCTCAACTCTCCTCCGCCTTCTCGCTAATCATGACTTCAAGGCCTGTGTCCCGCTCCCGGATTCTGTCCCTTCCCGGCTTCCCGTTCCATCTGTCTTCGCCTCTCCCTCTTTGATAAAACGACCTATACCCGCAGACTGGCTGGCCGACGCATACATATCTGCCCAGGATCTCCGGGTACATAGTACTTCCCTTGTACATCATCGGCCGAGGCCATTCTTCCCCCGTCGCCCTCCTAATTCCGCTCTACAACAGCCGTGCTCATACCTACAACCCCCTTAATGTATGTCCTGGTCACGCTATGCTCGGGTCACCGGGCCCCAATTCTGCGCGAGTCCTAGGTGTGGCCGCTGTTGGTCCTCCTCACAAAACTCACCGCATCGTGGCCGCCCCGTCCCCTACCCGGGACTGACCCATCCAGACAGACACTTCTCCGTCACTTGGTGCCATCCTCTTCGTACACACCCATACTAACCTCTGCTCTCTCCCACCCCAGTCTTGGCTCAGAATCCGGTTCCCACAAAAAAAATAAGTCTCGTTGCATTTTCTGGCGCCTCATTTGCTTTGGCGGTGTGGATGCAGCGCCCAAAACACATCACCTTGACCACTGGCCCCTGAGTGGCCCTGTCGCATAATCGCACTCGATCCAGCAACTCTACAGGGTGCAAATCTCGTACCGGACTCATCTTGGGCAACCGAACCCAAGCAAACCAGTGCCTCTCCGCCCACCTTCACAAGTCGACACATTCAGCGTCGACCTGCGCTCTGAGGCATGTTTGCGACACTGCACCACAATCACTTTCAGGCCACCATATCGAGCAACTATCCGATATCAAAATCTTCGTTCAGGCGTTGACTTTCACACCTACGCAGAGACCAACAGGGTTTTTTTTCTCCCTTTTTTGACTTCGCCCACAGGCCTAACGCTTGGTCGATTCGAGGGACAGAAGCTGTTATGTGCCCTTTGGTTGGTTTGCGATAGTATCAGAGATTTGGTCGCACATCATCACTATTTAATCCTGCTTCGTTGACAGCCTTTCGTCGTCTTGCCCAGTTATCGGCCCGACAAGCGCATCCCCGAAAGCAGTCACATTGGATCTCACGAATCATGACGAGCTAGTCAAGCGCTCCAAACCGTCTTCGATGAATTTTCAAGCCAACTAGTGTCTCATTGTACGACACGGTACCTTCGACATGGAGGCCATTGTCGAAGCTCTTGAGCAGCTATTGCCCAAGGGCATTGTCTTCGACTCACCTACCATCTATGCCGAAGTCGCCAAATTACCAGTCGTGCCACTTGAGGATATTCATCGCCACTGGAAGACATATACCAGAACGCACAAAAGTCTGCACGATCCCACTGCCTGTCGCCTCGAGAACTTTTGGTGGCATGTCTGGGGAAGCAACAGGAGAAATCTCAGCGGCAAGACCCTCGCACGTATATGGGAGCAGATCGCTTCCGGGCCAACCTTCGTTCCACTAAGAGGGCCACCAAACCGTTGGGAACCACCCCCCAAGCCTACACGGAGTATGCATGAGTCTGACTCGGCACAACCAGTCCAAGTCCATGCCGTAGGTAGCCAGACATCCGAGACACAGACGAGCATCGGAAAGGGGGCAATCTATGGATTGACACCGTCCTCGTCGAGACCCCCGCCAGCACACACAATTTTGAAGAAGCCTAGAGGGCCTTCAACTTCTGGCCCGAGACCGACTGCCCGATTCGTTGATGTCCCAGATTCAGAGGACGAAACGCCGCAGCAAGACGGAGGAGACAGTGCCGGCATTTCGACCAAGAAAAAAACCGACGTTCGTGCATCATCTAGCTCCATCTCACCGGCAAAGGTCGATAGGAAGACCGCGCCCAAAAAGTTTGTGGCGTCGTCTGCTGCGTCGAAGAGACGACCCGTCTTGCCAAGAAGACAGAGCTCGCAATCGTCGACCGGTTCTGCGACTGCTTCTGACCCTAGTCCACGGGATGCAGCTTCTGCGTCGAGAAACTTTTCTAGCCAACAGTCGTCCAACTTGAGTAGCAGAGACTCTAGCCCATCAAAACGACAGAACGGCTCGGGCCTGCCGTCACACACGGCAGGGTTGGCATCTCGCTCCAGAGCGTCTGGGAAGAATCCCCAGGTCCTTGGTTCTGGGAGAGAGTCTACATCAGCAAGCAGCCAGGACGCCAATTTTCAAGGCGGGTTGCGGAAATCAGCCCCAACAAGCACGCTGTCGCCAGCGTCCAAGGGCGTCAGCTGTCAGCCAAATCTGCCTCAATCCCAGGGCGCTCCAGGAGAAATTACGAATGCGAAAGTGCTTGGAAAGCGCCCAGAATTGGTTGCCTCGCCTTCCGGGAGAAAGGTTCCTACACGACAGGGCATCATATTGGGTGATTATGATGGGCGATTAGGGATGCAAAGGTCGCCGCCACGATCCGTACCGCAGTCCATGCAACCTACCGCGAGTGCTGGCAATCCAGCTGGCACGATCGAAACGAGCCGACGGAGGGGTGCGCAACAAGACAAACCGCGGGACTGCAATGGGCAGGGTGATGCGGCCAGCTCCAGTGCTGCACCCAAGATGGCCCGGTCGAGATCAAATAACGAATCAAAGCGGACGAGCTCCGGTGGTCTCAAATCCTCGAGCGTCGTGGGGCTGTCGAATATTGCCGTTGCTGGAGGTTTTGACTTTGAGACCCCCAAAGCACGCCCTTCGAAGGATGACTTGCCGCCCCTTGGAGCAGACCAACCTGACATTCGAGCATCATCTCTCCTCGACTCGCGATTAACACCGACGGAGCCTAGTCCAAACCCCCCACCACCACTGGGCCGATCCAAATCCCAGTTGACACTTGTGCTGGAGCGAGAAAAAGCGAAGAATAAAAGATAGGCCCGGAACTGGTCCTGGAATGTCGACGCGGCACATATAGTCACACGGCTACCGGCTGCAAGGGCCCTTGGAGACCGATCTCGACTGATCTCCAACCGAGACTGCATTGATACTGGCGTTTGTTCATACTCCTGAAGATCAGATTTTGATCAGTCATGGACGGGCGAGTCGCCCTGCCATTTATTTACACAAGGCGCATTGTACAATATGTATTCCAACAGGCAGACTTGGAATAAGTCTGGCATCATATCCCCCGGGGTTACTAGACTCGGTAAGCCTTCACAGGCAACATGCATTATAGGGGAATTCTGGCAATGTAATCAGAATGATGCCACCTCATCTCAGCTTGAACAGTGCAAACGCAAACAGGAGGGTGAAGGGCCGGGAGAAATCGACAGCATGTACCTCTCTCTGTACGAGCACATACCCGTCAAGCCATGGTCAGCCTTGTGTATGCCAGGGAGTTATCTCTCTTGTTCACCAGCTGCCCCTTCATCAGGTATGAGAGATGTGCTGGGACCCGAGAAGCGGTTGTTGGCTGCTAGCTACTGCTGCGTATGATGCTGTAACAAAGACCTCTCCGCGGACGGAGGAACGGTCATCTTACCCCTTACTAGGCGGTAGATAGATGCATTAACCCAGACGCGCCTCGGTCCATAATGGCGAGAGCTGGCCAAGCTAGGTGAGAGCATACTGTTGTACCCCTTGCTCCCGCCCAGGTGCCGCCTCTCTCCCCCGGCCACAGGTCCCGTTGGGGGCAGGGGGCAGGGGGCTTGAGAAGGGTTCCAGTGTTGGTGACCGGCTGGTCGTCTTTGCAACGCCTAGTGTATGTGAAGTACCTACACTGCAACTTACTAAGGATGCCTCCCCCCACACACACGCACACACAACGAAAACCCGTTGTGGATTTGTGTGTGTGTGTGTGTGTGTGTGTGTGTGTGTTGTTTAGATGTGCAGGGTATGTGCTTCAGCAGGGTGTCGTCGAAGGATTCACGCCACCCAGGGAAGCGAAACCTTAAAGGGCTTCCCTCACTGGGCCTGGGGCTCTTGGGAGGGTTGCAGTTGGCACTGGGGAGCTTGGTGAGCATGGGTGTTGTGGAGGTTGCACGTGGGATGGTGCAACTTGGTGGAGGGCAGGCCGGGGAGGGGACGGAACGGATGTTTGACCACCACCACCACCACCAACCCCCACTCCTTATTACCCAGGTACTTAAGTACTTAGACAGCAGCCCCGGCAGGGTGGCTGCTGCCAGCTGGGCTGGACACCCCCACGTCCTGGGGCGGACAAGTTTGTTGGAGGGGTTGGGACTTGGGGAGTTCCCCCACGCTTATGTTATGTCACCTACTTAAGTACACAGTGCACCGAAGTCCTCCGTCGGCCGATACTCCCTCTATACAAGTGCTCTCCACTGGTGTGGGATGTTTGGATTTGTTATCTTCTTTGTTGTCCTTTGGTTGAGATCAAGTAAGATCTCTGAGCCTCGAAACTCCCTACGAACACATGGTTTCTACATTGTCAATTTAACCGCTCTCTGGAACAGAGATACGGCTACAACTGCAAGTTGCTTTTGTGGCTTGTCAACCTTCGCGGGCATTGGCTGCCGCTGTTTACAGTCCCAAGCTTTCCGTGATTCTTTCCAGCTTTCATAAAAACAGTCTTTTGAATAGATTGATCAATGAGTTCTACGATCAAGACATTCAGAACTGTCTCTTTTCATTTGTCAGTAGTCATTTTCTGTTGTCTAGGACAATGGTCCTCCTTCACATGCCTATAATGTTGTGTATGTAACCAGACAGACATATTGCGGGCCATTTCATCACCTCCATATACCAGTAGTCTCTCATTGAGCCTAGTAATCAAGAAAAATCCTAATGTGTTTTTACTAGGTTGCCAAGGAATTTGCGGAGTTCGCTGTCTTACGGTCTTTTGTTTAGGTGCGAGCCCGATTTCCTACTGGGAGATACTCGGGTGCTTGTTCTGATGTCTAAGGAGAATTGGACTCAAGCCCTTGAGTGAAGTTACAGTGAAATATATGCCAAGACGTATAACTGACATGTAGATGTTTTCTTTTACCCTTTACCCAAGTCTCGTCAGCCTATATATCATATATACCCAACTAGGTTTACAGGAAGCATGACTTAATCTTCTCTGTTTCTATGATAAATACATTCTGATGGAACACAAAGATCGTTTTTTTCTGTGCATTTGGATTGGAGGTGCTGGACTCTGGTAAATAGTCCATGGTTTGCATTGCAGATTGACACTAGTTGACAGCCCTGGAGCTTCACAATTCAGCTCGAAACGGCCGTTTACTGTGCAGCATCTCTCCCCAGCAGAACGATCACATTCCTTGAAAGGACTTACAATTCCCAGATATAGATACTTCATCATCATGTAGGTGAAATTTTACTCGCTATGATGAAGTGTTGAGCAACCCTGGATAAAGAGAAAATGGTGCATGGCTAGATCTACAATTGGCAGTTGGCCAACACCATACTTGCTTTTTATGAGGCATTGAATGCCAGTCTCTCGAGGTACAGCACACCTGGTTCGAGTACAACAGCATCACTGTACTTGCCCTCTTCTTCTTCTCAGAATAACATGTTGTAATTAGTAGAGCAGGGACATCCAAGCGAGCTTCAAACTGAGACCACTGAATCTCTCTCATATCGGTGCAGGAATAACATCATCCTGGCCTGGCCCACGTTGTTCCTTCTGTGCGCTTGCTATGACTACCACACTTGATGAAGGCATGATGATCGATGCCCCAGGGTACTCATGTAGGAGAAGGCTCGTTCGGATTCTGGCTAGTCCTCACAAGTACAGGCTGCTCCTTCCCAGTGCGAGATTCCTCAGGCAGGAATCACCTCACGGAAGTCACTTCCAATCTTTTATCGTGTATGCTGATGACCCTGACCATGTTGCATCACCGCCTGACAACACATGGCTATTTTCGAATCACAAGTCACATTCCGAGCTTTGACGTTTTAGTTATCTATCACCGGATTTTCCTTGCCGTGAACAACGACCTTGGCATCAATCCTCGAAATTGCCATCGCTGCAAAACCTCAACTTGTCTAATCGAATATCTCTGCTGTTACTTGCCCCTGATCGCGTACCCTCATACATTTGACCCATGAAAGTCACCAAGGCCTTCTGATCAATGCTTCGCAGACATAATATCAACTCCAAGTCGGACCTTCATCGCCGCAAATCAATAGCCTCGGTTCGCGGCGTCCATCTCGAGCACATTGACTCTGTAGTAGCTCAGAGGGACGCACAGACTGCGGCAATGGAGGCTTTCTCCAGAGCCCTCACCCGCCAGTCTGCTGAAAGGGCCCTGTTCCCTCCCCAGCCGACGGGAAGCAACAAGGAGAATACGAGCCCCGCTGGACTGTCGCGGTGTGGCAGCACAGCAAGTCTTCGCAACGCACACGGCAGAACGGGTCTTGAGCGGAGACAGAGCGTTCGCTTCATTGGCCCCGAGACTCGTCTCCAGACACGCCCGTCTCATGCCAGCATGCGCGCAGCTGCCCCTGGCCCACCGGAGATACCGGCTCGTCGCCCTATTCACCGATCCCAGAGCACTCAAAGCATCAGCTACGTACAGCGTCCAGTACTTCGCGATGCCGGAAACATGCCACTGCCCGATCGCACCTCGTCCGTTGGCAAGACATTAATGACACCGGAGGCTGTAAAACTCGGGCTGAGCCAGGCTTGTCTTCAGGCGTTGACTCCAGACTATGAGAAGTACACACCGGAGGATGACATTGCATCCATGCCTTCGTCCTACCGGCGCATCCGCAAGACGCGTTCCACTCACACGATGAGAGCTACCATGAGAGGGAGTGTCGATGGGAGATCCGGGAAAACCCAGGGAGTATCACCCCAAAACACGAAGTCGACGGCACAACACAAGCAGATTGTGTCTGGAACACTGTTCCCTCGGCCCCAATTCCTGAGAAGGAGGGACAACATTTCCATACCAGCAACACCAAATTTGAGAGCAGCTAAGTCGATGAGTTTTTTGAAGCCCCGGCGAAGTCGCTCAGAGAAGAGATCAAGCATCAATAAACCCATCGGTGGCTCGTCGTCTCCACCCTTCGACGCACAAGACCCCTCATCTTCTCACATGATATCCAAGCCCTCAAGGGTGTTTGGATCCAGATGTGGAGAAAATCAACAGTCACTCCCAAAGACATTGAGAGGTAGTAGTGCAGACACTGAACTACCTTCTGGAGGGGCAAGTGCAAGCTTGGGCCGAAGCCGATCCGGAAGTTTGAGAAATAGAGCTCGCAAAGTCTCCACCTCACTCAAAACAAGGCTCAAGAATCTCTTCATCAACAAGAGCGAAGAGGGAGCTGGGCTACCAGCACAGCAGATCGAGGCCCAGAGGACACATGTGTCCGAGGTATGTGATGAGAATCCTTGGGTGGCTACCCTGCCCGAGCAGGAGCATTACCGTGAGCGGAGCTCTCTGTCGAAAGTCTCGACTCGAATCCCTTTCCTACATGCGGTTCCCTCTCACGAACGACTACATTCGCGGAGGGGAAGCATAGATAGTGGCAGAAGCACGACTGGACAGGACCCGGATGAAAAGTCGCGGGTGACAAGTTGGGCCAGTACGGACACAGATACTGTCATCGCACGCCGCACGGAAGAGGGCACAGAGGAGTGGGAGAAGCAGCGACTCTGGATGATCAACGAACATGGTATGCGGAATTTTTCGCCGCCATCAGGATGTCCAATGATTGGGCTTCAGACCATCACATCCCAAGAAGAGCTGGCTGCTCCTCCAGCTCTTCAGGGCCTGCCCCCTGGAGCGACAGTGGACAGTCAGCGCGTCTACTCAGCCCTGATAAAGAAAATGAACGAAACCAAGCAACTCGCCGGGATTGTGGAGCAACAGCGGAAGTCAAGCGACGGATCAGACCCTTTCCGCACACTATCACCTTCAAGCAGCGATCGTAGCAGCGACAACGGTGACACCGTCGCCTCAACCGAAGCATATGTCCCACGAAGAATAGTCCCCACCTCGGGAAGAGAAGCAGAGGACCATCCTAGGTGCGAAGGGGCCGATTCGGAAGGGTCGGCTTCGACGAATCACAGAATCACGCAAAGGATCTCGGATGATCGCTGGAGCCTGTCTCCTCCAATCCACCTCACCCCGCAAGGGCAACGGTCCGAAGTTGCAAGCACCATCATTGACCGAGGCTCTGCTTTTTTCGGAAGCCCAACATCTCATTTGTTTCGTACAACCAGCCCCTACAGACGATCGCTTCAGCAAGCCATGCGTGCCGAGAGGGAACAAGGTCGCTGTCAAGACACCGCCGAGGGGGATGTTGAGACGACTGCACTGGGGAAGAAACTTGATGCGACCGCCAAGGTAGCTTACTCCGAGAGCAATTACTCGTCGGATACCCTCATCCACAAGACGAATGTGAGTCAAGGGGGTCATGGTTCGCAGCATCCCAACATGTCGGACTCACGGGAAGAAGCAACTGTCTTACAGAGTACACCAACGTATCGGCCCACAGGAGAGCGCCAGGTTTCCACAGCAAGCTCATTGGGATGGAAGACATGGCTTTCTGCGGACATTGCCAAGCTGGAGTCTTCTCCCACCAGGGTAAGCGGACAATCACCAGAGGTCGAGTACAGGATCCCGACCATGCCGAGATCTCTTGGGCATGGGCATGTTCGAGAAGCTGCTCAGACGGACACTAATGAAGAGGATGAACAAAATTCAAAACCTATTGTCCGTATTCCAACCAGCTCGACAACACCTCTGAGTGCCATTGATTCGAATGTGGTCAAGCTTAGCCCTCAGCAGCGCTCAGTCATGCGTGCATCCACGCCGCCTGCAGCTGACCTACGCAAAAGCCAGTTTCATCTTGCCGTGGGGCACAGTATTCCGGCGTCGTCATCTCGTGATGGCGAAGTTTCAAATGTCTTTGGCGAAGCCGCGTCAAGGCCGCCAGAATCACCCGCGGAGGAGACGAGACCAAGCTGGAACAAGCCGGCCGCCGAGCCGCGAACACCTCTTCGGGGACAAGCTGTCAGACAAAGCCAATCTCTTGCTGGCCTCAAGAGTAACAGCAGAATCGGGGAACCGCAGACGGGATCGCCGCAGCCGCCAGCCTCTTCCACGATTCGGCTGATGCGGAAGCCAGAAAGTAAGCTGGCGCCAGATGCCATGTCGGCGGCATCCACTCCAGGGTTCACTGGTGTATTTGAGCGCCAATTTGGGTCCCTTGGCCACCACCAACTGGACGGCCAGCTTATGGAGAAAGAGAACCAAGTGCCTCATCACGATGATGGGCACAAGCATTCCCCGCACACGAAAGGCCATTTCAGGGGTAGCAAGGCGATGGTGGATCTCTTCCTCAGCAGCCGCAGGAGACAGGGAATTAGTGATGGCGATGGAGCCGCATTTATTTGAGGCCTGCTGAGATGATGGTCTCGACGTAGCCTGCCGAACGTTTAGAGTGAACAGATTATATTGGTGTGAGCCTACATGTATTAAGTGGAGGACCTGGCCGTGATATGGCTTTTGAGGAAGCACCTAGGGGCTGGAGGGCCAGGTTGGAAAGCAGTGTTAAGTCGCTTCAATGCCGGCCTACCCATATTCATGTGTTTATCGGTGGCTTAACCCTGGTAGCAGAAATAGCAAGACAAGTCGAGGGCATACGAACACGCTCCTTTATTCAAACATTACCCACTTGAAGAGTGTGTCGTCAAGGACGTAGTGCTACAGCACTTGCTAGTATCAGAGCCGGCGTCGAGTAACAATACGTGGTCAGCGGAGAATCTGGCATTTGAATCTGCGCTGGACAATGACTGCAACAAGCTTCAACAGCACCTCTGGTTTTTGAGGGCTCAGGGGATATTTGTCCGGCGTGGCACAAAAGCACGACCACATTAGCACAGCAGCTCTTTTGTCCCCGAGCCAGCTTCTCAACTCCTAGAAACGCCTGTCCTTTCCGTTATATGTACGAGCCCTACTTCGGGTGGTTCTCCCTGCCTCTGTCTCGTGTGTTTCTGTTTCTGTAACTGTACTTGATGGGTCGTTACGACACGGCCCTCTCTCTGTGATGAGTTTATGCGGGAACAAGAGTGAAAAAGAGGAAAAGAAAACGTGAAAAAAATATGACGTTCATGTATGTATGTGAAAACAACCAATGTCTCCAGCCCGTTCTGTCTTTGACGCCCTAGCCTCTGTGGCTGTGGATAAAGTGAGACATGCCGCGCCGTGGGGATCGGGGAAAAACAACAAAAAAAAAAAAAAACGAAGGGCCAACATGGTGACAAGATTTTTGGCTCGCAGACTTCTGGCAATGGCGACGTCCTGACGCCTGCCTGGTCTTCTCATGTTGGCCCGGAGTGTGAATGATGCGAGTGATGGGTAGCTTTGCTCTTGCCCTTGCGCTTTTGCTTCGCGTAGACCAGGCCGCAGGCGTTACACAGGATCTCACCGTCGGGCCCCTTGCGCCACTCCGGGGTGTCGGTGCGGCCGCACTTCCAACAGGACAAGGCGGCGTCGGCCTCGCTGTTGCTGCTCGGCGCGCGGTGCGGGTGGGTGCGGTGATGGTCGTGGTGATGGTGCGAGTGGTGGTGACGCAGGGACTTGGAGCCCGAGTGCAGGCGCTTGAAGGCGTCGTCGCGCTGGTTGGCGTCGGGGCGGGTCTTGCGCTTCCTCGCGGCGCGCAGGCCGTGATGCCTGATGGCGGAGATGCTGCCGACGCCGCGGGAGATGTCGCTGGACAGCTGGGTCATGAACAGGATGTCGCCGTCGCTCATTACTGGGATGGGACGCTGCCCCATGAAGGACTCATGATTGCCTATTATGGAGCTGGTGAAGTCCAGCAGGTGTTTTGTGCTCCGATGGATCTGGATCGATTGTCAGCAATGAGGACTGCAGCTGGCGCAGGGGGCACGTGATAGCCTTTTTCTTTTCTTTTTCTTCTTTTGTTCTTTTAAGTGACGTGGGGCACCAAGTCATAGTGCAACACAATACAATATATAGAGTACTCACGGTGAAGAGGTTCTCAGCTATATTTGAGTCACTGATCCAGAACTGGTGGTTCTCTGTGGGCCGTATGCCCGAGGTGGTATCGACCCATCTTGCGACTTGTGATATGACACTCTCGACGGCGGCGGGGCGGGGGGAGACCGGGGCAGGCCCCTCTTCGTCGATGGAGGGCAGCGGATCAGAGCCGACAGCTGCGGGCGGTGGGGGCTCGGGCTGTGGCTGTTGTTCCTGATCCTGCTGCTGCTGCTGCTGTGGCGGGGCGGCTGGGCGGATTGGTAGGGGGAATGAAGACATATATGTATGTGGCTCATGAAGGGGGCGTGCGGCTCCGGGGCTCACTCAACCACGGCCTCAAGTCAAACTGGCGCGGCACGAGCCGACCGACAGGCGTCGTGCGCGTATGCTGGGATTGTGGGGGCCCCTTGAAGGACCTGGCAAGCCTGGTTGGTGTACCTCACCTCGGCAGATCTGGTGGAGGAGCAGATGGGGGGACTCAAAGGTCACGATCAATTTGCTGGGGAAGGGAGGTAGAGATCGGGCAGAAGGTGAGAGATCGAGAAAAGAAGGGGGAGAGGAGGATTACGGAGTGGTCAGAGTAGTTAGAGTAATAGTAGTTAGATCAATCAGACTTTGGACGGACTTGAAGTACTCCGTACCACCAGGCTGACAGGCTGATCAGTCGGTTCAGTTGGGCCAAAATGCCTTTGGGGAAATGCCAGGACCAAGAGGCAAAGGCTTGATGGCAAATCCTCGATGGCAAATCGAAAGGGTCTAGAATCTCTAGACTGTCTGTCGACTTTTGCAAGCCCATCAGCGTCCCGCTAGCGTTGGGTGGCAAAAGGTCTACCACAGGTATGTGCAGTTGCAGTGTAGGCGGGCGGAGGTCTTACCCCGGACCGCAGACAGGCCTGACAGGAAGGACCCTTATTACATATTTACATCAAGGGTCCATCACGTTGCAGCTGGCCTAGCGCCAACCTGGTTAGGCTGGCGGGCTGTGGGGACGGACGCTGCTGCATCTGCCAGGTATGAGTGGCCAGCCGGCTGGGCCTGGGCGCGGGCTGATGAATGGCGTTTCGGTCCCTCATGGGAAAGATGGGAATTGCTGTCCAGACAGCCTGACTGCCAGGCCTTCCAGCCGCTGCTACCACATAGTACACCACTGTGTACCAGGGCACGGCACTTCCCCGTCCTGCCGTCAGGTCACAAGAGCACTCGTGCGAGGGGGTGGCCCTGGTGCCCCTTGCAAGCCCCTTGCCCTGGTGCCCTGGGCAGAGAGGTGCCTGCCCGCCTGCAGGGGTATCAACCGCCCACTGGCCCGACTGTTGACTGGCTGCGGGCACTACGCATGTTGGTGCAGGCAGGCCCAGGAACCGCATGCTGTGGTGCTCAGGTCACACGGCCGCCCTCCAAGAGCTCTTATCGGCCGACATGGGCCCCGCGTGCGTCATGCCAACCCCCCCCCCCAATGCCACCTCCTGCTGCCGTCCATGCTTCAACATCTCCCCTTTGACTGATTCAGGTCTGGCTGACCACTGCTGGGACCATGGATGACCAGACACGTGCTTGAACGCGGAAGCATAACAAACAGCTTCACCCGTCTTCCAACGCCTCCCACCGCACCCACACCCCACAGCGGCGTGCAGCTGCAGACGCCCAAACGCCCAACATGATATCCAGCACCCTCCTCGCTGGCGGCCTGCTCGCGGCTGCCGCCCACGCCATGCAGCCCAGCGCTGCGAAGCCCGTCGCCGCCCCCATGCGCGACCTCCAATGGGCACAGCTCAACTTCCTGCACACCACAGATACCCATGGCTGGCACGGCGGCCACCTGCAAGAGTCCCAATACTCGGCCGACTGGGGCGACTATGTCTCCTTCGCCCATCACATGCGGAACAAGGCCGACGAGCAGGGCGTCGACCTGCTTGTTGTCGATACCGGCGATCGCGTCGAGGGCAACGGCCTGTACGACGCCTCCCGGCCCAAGGGGCAGTACACATATGACATATTCAAAGAACAGGACGTCGATATCATCTGTACCGGCAATCACGAGCTCTACCTGCATGATACCGTCGCCCGTGAATGGAACCAGACCGTGCCCAACTTCAAGGACACCTATCTGGCCTCCAACCTGGACTACCTCGACCCAAATACCGGCCACGCCGTGCCCATGGCGCCGAGGTACAAGAAGTTCCAGACCAAGAACCAGAACCTAACCGTCGTGGCCTTTGGCTTCCTGTTCGACTTCACAGGCAACGCCAACAACTCCATCGTCCAGCCCGTTTCCAAGACCATCAAGGAGGAGTGGTTCCAGACCGCCATAAGGGAGAAGCCTGATGTCTTTGTCGTCATCGGGCACATCGGCCTGCGCATGGACGAGATCAAAAAGATATACAGCGAGATTAGGAAGCAAAACTGGTTCACACCAATCGCCTTCTTCGCTGGCCACGCCCATGTCCGCGACGCCATCACCTTGGACGCCAAGACTTTTGGAATCGCGAGTGGGAGGTACTTTGAGACCATCGGGTGGATGTCCATCGACGGTATTGCAAAGAAGTCAAAGGATGTGGAGACGACCGCCGTGTCTTTCAGCAGGAGGTACATCGACAACAACCTCCTGGGCCTCTACCACCACACGGGGCTGAACGAGTCCACATTCCCCACAGTCCATGGACGCAATGTTAGCAAGCAGATCGCCAAGGCCCGGACGGCTCTGGACCTGGACCAGAAGTTTGGCTGCGCGCCTCAGGACTACTGGATGGCTAGGACAAAATATCCCAGCAACGATAGCGTCTTCACGTTGCTTGACCAACAGGTACTGCCTGACATTATCGTGAAAGAGTCACGGAAAGACATCCCAAGGCTTGCTATCATCAACACGGGAGCAATCCGTTTCGACATTTTCAAGGGCCCTTTTACCCTTGACACCACCTACATCGTCTCTCCATTCCAAAGCAAGATGACATATATACCCGAAGTGCCTTACACTATCGCAAAGAAGGTGCTGCCCCTGTTGAACAACCAGGGTCAGATCCTCGACCAGCCCGCCTTCGACTCGAGGATGATGGGCCCCCCCGAGCAGTGGCACATCACCGAGGACATCGTCTACCCGAGCCCGGCCGCTGCGCAAAGTATGCTGTATGGCGATGGACAGAAGCCGTTGGGTGACGCCACAGACGAGCCGGACCTTGTGAGTGGGTACACGACAAAGGACGACGTTGGGACTGATGGCGACGATGCCGTGCACGCCCCAATCAACTTCTACACACAGCCAAACTGCATCCAAGCTGATATTGGTATGCCGCCAGAAGGCGCACCAGAGACAGTGGACCTGGTGTTTACTGACTTTATCACGCCCTGGGTCCTGATGGCTTTGAAGTTCAGTGGCGGCGATTACAACGAGACGCATGTCCAACTGTGGGACGAGGCTCCCTTCACGGACATGCTGGCCAAGTGGGTCAAGGAGAATTGGGACGATAAGTGCTAAGCGCCGGAGAGCCCGCCAAGTTTTTATTTACGGTCGCAATACTCGGAGAATTGTGTACACTGGGGGAGGACACGGCGTATGGGACATGGTCGTATATCTTGACACACAGAATGGAGTACGTACATTAGCATCGTGATTTTGGAAATGGTAATTTAGAAATTCATTGACCCTGAGAACCACCGACTCCGGAAAATGCAAATTGTAAGGTGAAAATGAGCACCGAATACCTAGAGGCCTCCTCCTAAAGGCCTTGTCAGAACTGATCGAGCAGTTTTCTCCTCCTGCGATCTATCAGTTCCTCCTGCACCTCGTCTACGGTCGGGAGCTCCCAGCCCCTCCCGTCGCCGGCGTCACCAGGTAGCGGCTCCCAGTCCGGCGGCACATCCTTCTTGCCCGTCTTGGCCAGGTTCTCAAAGGCCGCGGCCTCCTTGGCCTGCTCGTAGGCCAGCAGCTCGTCGTCCTCCTCGTCGGGGGCGTAGCCGTAGTAGGCGGCGTCGACGGCCTTGCGCAGGTCGTCCCTCGCCTCGAGCGGCCTGTCGCCGTCGCCCCGGGCGTCGGACCTCGCCTTCGCCGCGGCCTCGAACAGCTCCTTGACGCCGGGCAGCTCCCTCGCCCGGCCAAAGTACTTGTACCCCTTGTTCCCCACGCCCGGGATCTCCCTCCCCTGCTCGTCGTACATCTTGCCGCCGCCGCCGCCGCCCCTCATGTAGTTGGGCCCGCCCAGGTTCCGGATCTGCACCTCCCACATGTACTTCTCGCGCATGAGCTTGTTGATCTCGTCGTTGACGTCGCGGATCTGGTAGTCGCTCAGGGCGGGGTCCTGCACGCGCGAGACCTTGCGGCTGATCTCCTTGAGCACCTGGCCGCGCCACTTTTCGCAGTTCGGGATCGAGTCCTGCTCCGTGATGAGCTTTGGCCGCCGCGTCCGGCCGGCGTCGATGATTCCTAGGTCCGCGGCCTGGGCCTCGCGGAAGCGGAAGAGCATCGACTGCGCTTTTTCTGAGTTTCGCGCCTGTGTGGAGAGAGGGTTTGGTTAGCTGGGGAGCCTGTTCGCATTGCGTGGGGAGGGGGGGGAGGGTTCGTTTGTGTAGGGACATACCATCTTCAGAGTCTCTCCGGGTGTGGATGGTGAAGAGAGGAGATAATGGGCGGGGAGGTCGGTCGGCGGTCTATGTGTATGGGCTGTAGGAATGGGAGTGGTGGGCTGTGGGCTGTGGGCTTGCAGGAAGAAGGGCGGGCAGTCGCATGCATTCCATCTCAGCCTTGCAAAGCTGCTGTGGAGTAAATAATTGCTGGCCATTCGGAGAGCAGCCAGGTCAGTAGGTGGGGTGCCCGTTAGCGCCGTCCTTCAGCCTCGAGCGAGCCCACACGTCCTGTGCCGCGTTAGCAACGCGTCCCGGCCGGCGTCATTTAAGGCCACACCTTCATCCACTTCACTTCCCTTCCCTTCCCTTTACCTCGCCGAACATTCAACAGGGCTGCCATCTCTCCGATCTGGAAATCCTCGTTCGTCTTGGTCTTGCTGGATTATTGCAACAGTGTCCAGCGATGGCTCAGCCTACAAACATACATGGCTCCAGGTTCGGGTAGCGCTTTGCCTACTTACCCATCTGTACCATGTACTTCTGTCTTTTCTTGTCTTGTTCTTCAGTGCCCGCATTCCACTCGCCAGGCCAGGCACCGAATTGCAACAGAATAGAACTTGTGGATCACTCCAATCAGCCGAGGGGTTTGACCCCCTCTGAAGGCCTCGTGGAGGATCCCTCGCCCTGTCAGCGTCTCGGAATGGAATGGCCCTCAAACGAGCATATCATGTGCAAGGTATTCCCACGACGGCATCGAGTTGCTGGGGCGGTCTCTCCATACGGTCCCGCCTATCAGCCTGGAGGCAACCTACTCCAGCATTGCTTCTCATTCATCCTGTTCTCTTCATTCTTGTCTTCATAGCCTCCCTCGTTCTCGAGTGAGAATCACCCTGAAGCCTGCCATGAAGATATCAATCAGGGATGAGCTTTCCCACTTGTTGATCCTCGGTGTTTGCCCTCGTGCTTGCCGATGCGATGTGACAAAGACCACAAAGAACAGAGATCTGAGCAGACACAAAACACACCGTCTCCTTCCATCCACCCTGTCTTGCCAAGTCACCCCCAACTCCCCCTTCTACAACCCCCATTGGCATGGCAGCCTAGGCCGCGATGACGACAAATTAGCAGATCGACCAGAGGCATGTGCTCCATCTTCTTGGCGGCCGCCTGTGACGGTTAAACAAAAAAATAGTTTTCAATCGGATGCGGCAAGGCGTTTCCCCCCCAATTGGCGGGTACGTGTTGCGGAATGGCGATGCCTTCCAAGTCGGTTGGCTCTGGTGGGAGACAACTACGTTACAAACAACTTCAGCCCGGTGATGACTTCAAGGTCCAAAAAGCCAAATTTGCAGGCAGCAGAAGCCGCTGGCCCGCCTGCAAAGCGCGGGTCTTCTGGCGACGGTTGTCGTTGAGAACCCAAGAGAGCTAATCTGAGGGCACATGAAGTTGTTTTCTACCCCATCCATCCCTTTGTTTTCCCTTGTCATAAACCATCAATCACAGCCCTGCTATAAGACGCGACCATGTCTGGCGATTAGTCCCGAGACAACCACTTCTGTACCTGTTCAGGGCCCACTCCGAGTGGTAGGGCCGTCTTAACGAAGCCTCGGTTCTTCTCCAAATATACCGGCCCATGTCTCGGTTTGAACCTTGGGCTCGGATGACCGCTCTAACTTTCATGGTGCCCATGATATTGGGTTGACTATCTGCCTGCAGGAATCGCTCTTATTTGTGTTGGTTACCGTTCGCTGTTTGTGATTCCAGACTTCGCCAACACTCGACATGCGCTCAGACCCGTCACAGGAATGGCCCCGATAGGTAGTCAAATCATAACTGCTCATTTATTGAACCCCTCGACTTTTTGTAAATCCAGGCCCGCCCCGATTCGGGACCTTTATACCGAGGTATTGTACACACAGGATGCTAGCCGGACCCATTGTCTCCAGATCCACCCACCCTAAAAATTGCGAAGATGCCAAATACTTCTATGGCTGAAATAATTTCGCGGCCTCACGATGGTTTCTCGTTGCAGCAAACCCCATCTACTGCTTCTTCTTCGCGTCGGCGGCCTGCTGTGCAGGCTTGTTGAACATCCATATGGCGACAAAGGCTAGCCAGCCCACGCAGGTGACACCAATGCTGGCCAGGTAGGGCCAGGCGGCTGGGATCTCGTAGCTGTAGGGGTACTCGTCGTGTGCCATGTGGCGGACGGTCACGGAGTGCTTCTCCTCGATGTTGGACAGGAAGGGCCGCTTGTAGTTGGTGATGAAGTTGTAGACGCCGTGGTGGTCGGGGACCCTGAAGGTCACGCGGAAGATACCCGCAGTCTCGGACGAGGCACGCTTGATCTTCTTGATAGGGATACGGTGCAGGGCGGACAGCATGCTGAACTCGAGCTGTAGCTCATCACCCTCGGGGACCTTGAAGTCCCACCACCTGTCCCAGACCCACTCGGAGATGGAGATCTCGTAAGTCTAGATAACTAGCGTATTAGTTGCTGCAGATTCGTGCAAGGGTCGGAGGAAGATGACTACGTACGACATTGTTGTTGACACGGTAGATGGAAGGGTTGGAAACGTTGGCCAGGGGGCCCTCCTCAGCCAGATGATGCTCGACGTGGTTGACGCGCAGGTGGCCAATCTCGTGGAAAGTCCAGGCACTTGTGCGTCGGGAGAACTGCAGGTTCCAAGCCTCGACTGCCTCGCTGTCGCCGGGGCGCTTGACCTTGGCGTCGACCCACTTGTCCTGGAACATCTCGGCGGAGCCAACCACGGTGAAGCGGGCAGAGTTGCGGGCTTGGAAGGTAGAGACAAGCGACAGCTGCTCGCCGGCGGCAAAGACGTCGTCAACGACCTCGGACTGCTCCTTTTGGTTGTAGATGTAGGCTGTCCGGGGTGCCCTCAGGATGGGGGTCAGGAGGGGACCATTGCCCAGGGTGTGGCCGAGACCGCGGGGGAAAGCAATAAGGTCTTTCTTGCCACCGCTGCCGAAGTAGTTCTTGGTGTCGTCTCGGTAGTCGCCAGGAGTGGGCATGAGGACGACATCATGCAGGTCGGCGGCCGACTTGGCATCGTAGTTGAAGTGGTCAACAACCAGGCCGGTTCGCTCGGCGGGGATGTGGATGTCCAACTCGAGGAGGAGGGCATTCAGAGAGGTGGCGACGGGCTGGGTGGCGCTCAGGGCAAGCAGGACGTTGCCGCCGGCGTTGACGAAGTCGAGGATCTTCTGGGCGGTCAGGTTGGGGCCGAGGCCTAAGACATGGGCGTGTCAGTACAGCTGCAGTGGTATATAGTAGTATTTCTGGTGAGCCGAGCTTTGTTCTCACCCTTTGACTTGGTGGGGAAGATGACGAGGTGGTCAAAGGTCTTCTCGCCCAGGTGTTCCAGCCTCAGGTCCTCCTGTTTGGGAGTCGCATGTGTGATCTTGTAGCCTCGCCCTGCAGAGAAGCCGAGTCAGCCATTGCAAGCTTGCCGCCTATGATTATTGTGAGTAGTGTGAGCTTGTGCATACTCTCCAGGTCTCCTATGAACTTGGAGTAGAGCTTCTGGTCCTCAACATCCTCCCAGATGCTCAGAAGGCGGTCGCCCGTGGCGCTGGCAGCTTGCGTAATAGCTGCCAGGGCCAGCAGAAGGAAAGAAAGGACGAGCTTCATCTTGAACAACAACAAGCGCCTACGTGCGCGGGCAGAAGGGAACGGTAAAAGTGACAGCTATGCCTTGGTTGTCATGTGGCAGCCACCAATCCGACGCTTTTAAGTGCTGGTGAGGTGGGAGAAACAGAGTTGTCGCAACTGTTAGTAGCTGGCCTTCACAACACCCAGAAAGTGGATGGACAGCCTGGAACTACCCTACAGCAAGAGCTCTGGATACGTCGCCCATTTGCCAAGACTCGTGGGGCCTCTTCGACCCCTGCCATCCCAGGCGTGGCTTCTAACCACCCGCAAGCCAGCACTTACAGGGGTCCTGAGGCAGCTTAACAGGTACACATGTACCTGGGCACTACCTGGGTAGCTGTAGAGTACATACTGCCGCCAGAGCCCTTACATAATCCCGATTGGCCAATGGCACCGAGGCAATCCAGCCTGACCACTTCTGACTTCACCTGATGAGAGAGCAGCAGCATCCATAGAGGCAGACACCGAGGACTCTTGAAGGCAGCAAGCAAAGTCCAGCAGCCACAACCCCCACCCCAAGAGCACAAGTAAGCAAATTCTGTGGCCCTCGAACCCTCCTGCACAGCTGTCATGCCCGACATCCTCTAACACCGCAATCCGAAGCAGCCAACATGTCCGGCCGAGCGCCCCTCTTCTGGCAAACGCCCTTCCGGTACTGGCGCTGGGCATCGCGCGAGCGCCCCGCCCTCTTCTGGTCCTGCGTGATCGGTGCCATCGGCCCCGTCACCCTGGCCGTCGTGCCGCCCATCAGACACGCCCTCGGCGACTACGACGCGAAGCCTATACCTACCACATACCCCAGTACGCCCGCCCGTGTCGCGGCTCGCTCGCGGCTCCTCCCCCCCTCTTCCGTAAACCCCGGCCGCTGATGTTGTGAACAGTCCCTCCCGGCCCCAGGAAGACGCTGAGTGGCTACGACGACGGCTCCGAGTAGTGGGTTTCCTAGTTGCGGGCCGGTTCGGAGCGATGGTGCGAGGAATACACACCCAGACGACGCGGATGGGCCGAGTGAGGATGGGACGGCGTGGACGGCGTTGGGGATAACCGAATCGGAACCAGAATTTCAAACATCCCGATCCTTATCCGTCTCTCCGAATTGCTAGGCAACTGGCTCACAAAACGCTTCTGATCTCGTGCCATCTCAGACACAGCCTAGTTGGTGAAGACGAGTCCCTAGTCAGGAGGTTTGAAAGTGCCCAATTGGCTCGAGATGGAAAGGTTACAGAACCCCGGGCCGTTTTTCAAGCACCAGACCGGGAGTCTGAAATGCTTGGTTGTCCTGAAGTTCAAGCTGTTATGTCTTTTTTTGTCAACTCCTGCCTCGTGTTCCGGCTCAGCCGCACCGGCATACTGTGCTTGTGGGATTTGTTCAGAGTGATTGTTGTGGTGAGAGACTGTCTGATCACAAGGCACCTCTTGTCTGTCCTACCGTCGCAAGAGACCCTGAACTGTGTGGCAGAAGTGTTAGAGGCCAGCTTTATCTGCTTCCACAGCCATATACTCACATCAATTGTCTTGATGGAACCCATAGCTGAGAACTGATGGAGCTGTGTCCATGAAACTGTTAGTGCTATCATGGCTCTGCCACATATAATCCTCCCAGGCTTTCACACCCATCTCAAGAAATGGATCCTACAATAGGTAAATGGGCTGCGAGAGGGCTTAAGCACTGTGCACACAAGGTGGTGGCACGCTCATGAGGATCACCTTCATGAGGCAATCATCAGGTGTGCCTGACACCTTGTCTGATTGTTCTTTCTACCAATTCCATATGTACTTGACCAGCTTTATTGTCTATATCCCTAGCCTCAATCCCCTTCAGCACCCTGTTATCATCTAGCCCAAAAGACAATACCCTGTGAATGTGCATCAAACATCAATGGAAACTTTTATACCACCAACGATCACAGACACAGCACCTGAAATGCCGCCCAACGCTTCCCACCCATGCCAATGCTAAGCCACGCCAAAGTACCACGATATTCTATACTTTAACGATCGCAACTGAGCTTGATGAACCGGAGGAGTTGCGCAACTAACGCTCTCGCTGGACTAGATTCCACTCATACTAAACGGTGGCGCTCGCGTTAGCCAAGCTTGCTGCAGTCTCAGGATGGCGTTGGAATGGAGAAACTTACCACTCGCCCATCGTCATCTCCCGTGTACACCATCTGTGGCATCGGTGTGATACATGTGATTGGCGCGTCGATGTTCGCCGCCGCCTCGCTCTTGTTGTCGATGTGATCCAGCCTCCTAAGCAGCTCTAGCACCCACTTGCCGTCGCCCCTGCGCACCGTCTTCCTCCAGACGTTCACTCTGCCTCTCCTGTGGCCAGTGAAGACGAGGAAATTCTCAAGCCACTCGCTGCTGCTGCCCTCGTAGAACGCGCACGAGTACACATAGTCGTCCTGAGCCTCGCCCGCGCTGCCGCAGACATTTTGCTCGAGGATCAACTCTCCGTTGAGAGTGAAGAGGAGCACGTTGGGCCCGCAGCACAGCATGATGTCCCCAGTGACGTCGTTGATGCGGGCACATTCAACCGGGCGCGACACCGGAAGCTTGCGGATGAAGTCTAGGCGATTCAGGTCCCACAAGAAGGCTGTTCCGTCTTGAGATACCGTGAGGAATGTGCTGAATGACTTGGACACAGCAATCACATTGACAGGTGTTTTGTGGCCGAACAGAGACATTCTGGGAAGAAGCTCGACGTTCTTACCCGCCGAGGACTTGATGGCGAAGACGGATACGACGCTGTCATCTCCGGCAGTTATGAGTGTTTTGGAGTCAGCAAAGGCCACGCAAGATATCTGCCCCTGGTGAAGATTCTCAAGAAGGCCGACCGGTTTCCGGTTGTCGCTGAGGAAGAACCGGATGCTGTTATCCGCGAATCCCCACTCCAGGAATTTGTCAAAGTGAGGAGGCATGTTGAGCCTGAAGGGCGATGCACACAGCAGTCGATCAAGCTTTGGGGCATAGATGAGCGAGGCGACCCGTTCGTGGCTCTCAAGAAGCGGGTAGTTGACCCTCGTTAGCGACTGCACACCTGTGTCAAGTCTTCTTGTCTGCACGTGGGCGTATTCCCGGGCGGGATGGGGTTTGGTGAAGACCTGGTGCGGCGTTTGTCCAAAATTGTGGATGATGTTGGTAGTGATGGCCCTTTCATTCTTGTCGACCAAACTGTCCAAATCGATAGCACCGTGGTAGGAGAGATGGTGGAAGACGTTGAGATTTTCCACGGCCGCCTCACCTCTCTGCTTGTACCCAAAGATCAAATCGATCCAATGGTTCAAGTTTTCTGTCACGTAAGGACTCTCAAGAGCCTCTCGATTCTTGGCGATAAATATTTTGGGGTCCCCTTTGGCCCATGGGGGAAGAATGACATGATCAACCTTCCCAGCATTACCTTGGCGGTGACCAAAGTCGTAGCCGTTCGTGTTGGTGAGGAAGTCGGGCAGGTAGAAAAACTCAGGAATGAGTTCACGAACGTCAGTCCCATTGTCCCTAGAGGATGATTTCCATGCACCCTCGATGGAATAAAATAGACGGTCGGGATGGTCAAAGGTGCCGCCTTGTAGCAGGATGTACGATTGAACGAATGGAGGCAGCCGGATAAGGTACGAGGCCACGGCCATGGCGGAAGAGTAATGTGTCCCGTAATGGAACGGGATTTCGCCCACCTCCATCAAGTTGCTGTACCTCATCATGTAATCGGTCTGGCGAGCAATGGTCTGGGCGCCCATTGGCTTCGAAAGATCCCGGAAGCTGGCTGGGTTGGTGAGGTCGAGGTCCTCGCTGGTGTAATCTGCGAGGACCCAAGGGAAGACTGGGTATTGCGTCAGGTCATTGAAAGTCCGCCCCGCCATGGTGTTCACGAGCATCAGGTAGTGAAAATTGGATATCTCTCCCTTCTGCCACTTCCTCATGATGGGAGTCCATGGTGAAGCATTGAAGATACTGCCGAACTTGGAGCCAAAGGATTGAGGAGCCTCATCGAAGATCTTGATGCCTTCCAGCCTCCAGGCATCCTCCGGGTTGGGCAATGATTTCGGATCCGATGTGTGCGGAGTCTTGTTGGACAATCTTGCGAATACCTCGTCACGGATACTCGGGTTCAATGCGGTCATCAAGTAACTCCGACCGTCTGTGAAGAAAATCTCGATGGCAACATCCCTGAACAAGAAGCGACGTTTGGATATACTAATCACGTCGTGCCATCTCCAGCTGCGGGACTCCTGTTCGCTTCCTCTTTGAGCTTTGGGCTTCTCAGCAGCCTTACTGCCCGTGATAATTTGAGAGTACGGGTCACGCTCGTCCGGTGGGGCTTGCCAGACATTGATAATTTCCCCATCAGCGCTGCGGAAGACGTTGTCCATGATGTAGAGTGCTTCTTTTCCGATAATGAGAATGCCTTCGCATGCTTCGAGACCGATGATTCGTGAGATGTTGTACACGTTTTGGACAGTATCGCCGAGCTCGAGGCGCCGCATGACCTTTCTGTTTTTGTCTTCGAAAGAGTCGTCGCCTTCGGGTTCATTGAGGTCCTCGATGAGCTCGAATTCCTCTTCTGGTGTCACGCCTTGCTCTGGCTGCTGCTCAGTCGCGGCCGGCTCCTCCGTCAGGGCAATACTCTCACCGACCTCATTGATCGCACTGACCTGAGGCGTGTTCGTACCAGAAGTCCCTAGGCCGACTTTTGTGTCCAGCTTCAGACCAGCAACGGCAGGCAAGGGGTCTGAAGGTCTGGACTCCGAAGGTTTCTTCTTGGCTTGCTTAGACTGATATTCTTCCCCTACCTTTGAGTTGTCTGGCAGGAGACGTAGGCGCATCCGGTTCCTTCCCTCCGTCCGATCAAGCTTCCACTTGATTGTGCGGTCAGTTTCCGCGAAGACGCCTCCAGGACGCTTCAGGTCCCGGTCCATCTTGGCAAAGGAACTGATGAGGAAGGTAAAGTCGTCTTGTTGGTCTTGAGTGAGGCGCTGATGCTTAGAGTGCTCAGTGCAGAATATGCTCTTCATCCAAGCGCTATTTGCCATCTCGTGACGCAACAGAACATTCTCAATCTGCCGTGTCTCGTCACGCCACAGCTTCAACCTTTCTTTGCGTTTCGAAAGTCGCGATCTAGCAGTCTCCAAGGTACGCTGATTCTCGGAGGCGACGTATTCCTCCCACGTCTTTGACATGCCACCCAGGAGCAGCGCGTCGAGGGAAGGCCGGTGTTGGTCGACCCAGTCGACAAACGTTCCGTCATCAACTTCGGTAAGACGTGTGAACCCGCTGGTCAATTTGGACTCGTTCGGCTGCATTGGAATTTCCCGGAAGACACGCGCACACTCGTCAGGCTTTTGGACCATCATAATGCGCAGGATTCCAGCAGCGGCCAAACGAACCGGCTCGCGGGCATCGATTAGCTTGCCGTACAGCTGGTACCAGATGAGACTCATGGAATCATCGTTTGCCGAAAGACAGTCAAGCAAGACAATCTGCCAGTAGTAGAGGTTAGACAAAACTGCCAGATTGTCTTCTTCTGACACTTGGGCATCATCGGTGTCAGAGAGACGAAGCAGAACAAGCTTAATCATAGACCCTTTCAAAATCGATACGCTCTGGCTGCATAGTCGGACATTCTTCAAAGATGATATATCCGGTCGTGCAAGGTATTCCAGAATGCTTCCGAGGAAGTCGGTCACAGGCTCGGCACCATTCATGAACCATCCTTCGAATATTGTATCCAGTATGTGTGTAGCAAAACGGGACATGTTCTGAAGGACCTTGGTATGATGCAGTATAGTTTGATCAGATTGTATCAATGCACTCAAACGCGAGATCGCATGTCGCAAAACATAGGATTCGAAATACGCCTGATGTTCCTGGAATCCTGGGGGTATTTTCAGGAACAAGCTGAAGCCTGGGAATTCCTTGCGGGCAAGCAACTGGTCGATGAATACGTCAAGAACGAGATCCAGCAGGCCTTCTAGTACGACATTGCTGACTTTCTGTGACTGGACTTGTAGCTTTGGAGACATGACGTGGGCCAACCGAGCACTGCTCTTTGCGGCTTGGGGTGATTCTTGCGAAGTCAGGAGGACGAAAGAGGATGCGCGCCGGAGCTGAGTGCCTCTGGACTGATTGGATGACTCCCCTGATGAGGGTACCACAGACGCCCTCACGATCGGCGCCGGGCTTGACGAGCCTGCCAATGGTCGAATAATGACATCGCCGCCCTCGAAAGTGAGCGCGGAGTCTCTTGAGTTCAGCTCCGTCTCCGGGCTCACAGGGTCAGTGCTAAGGAGCACCGGATACAGAGCGGAAAGAAGTAGCCGCACGTAGTCAGAGGAGAGGGCAAAATCTCGGAAGTCTGCTGAACGCTTGTGGTGATTCGACAAGAACCGAACCACAGTTTGAAGAACAACAGCATGGCTGGTGACCCGCTCTTTGTCCACACCGCGGGTATCTGGTGTGGTGTTAGCCTGGAAGGATTCGTGCACATTGACATTGAAGCGGTACTCACGCCTGGCCCCAAGTTCTTCGACAAAGTTCATGGACCTCGCTCGCGGCCTGGCTGATGCAGGCTCAGAGCTGCTCAAATTTCTGGAATGCCCTCTCTCAACACCAACTGGTGAATCTGGGTCGTCCTGGTATTTCAGGATGTCCCTCAGACCATGCTGGAGCATTGTTGTGATGACCGGTAAAACATCAGGGTATATCACTCGGCAGTCGCCAAACAGATCATTCAAGTTCTGCAGGTCGAAGCACCGGTCGAAGTCGATACTGGCCACATCGACTCCAAAGAGTATGCTGAGACACATTGGCCACAGAGTTGGAATATCCCACCAATGCTTCAGACGGTGTGACATGATTGCGAATCCGCCCGTCTTCTTGGCAAATTTGGAAGCATAGCTAGAACCATGTGACACGAGCACTCTGGCGATAATTTTGCATCCATACACGATAACCTCGGGATTCTCCTCGGCAAGTAGGTACAATAGCCACTAATTTATCCATATTAGTATCGCAAGCAAAGGATAATGCGCGACGACTTACCTTGTTTGTTACCGTTCGGGCAAATTTGTGGATGTCCGTGTAGTTCCCTTTGTCGCAGAGTAGTCGTGTGTACAAAGCCAGGATCTTGACACCGACTTGCTTTCTCGTTAGGATAGTCACATTAGCACCGCTGGCTGAGTCGACAGTGGCGCGACGCCGACCATTAGTCGGAGTGATCGCAGACATTGGTCTGGGTGTTCGCGGCTGTGAATTTGCCGAGGAGTGGAAGGTATAAGTGATAAACAAAGCGATAGTACGATGAGCCTCAGCGTTGAAGTTGCATTTGATGAGACTCTCGAACGCGTCCAGGAAATGGGGCATGACATTTTCTGATATTGTCTCTGCCTTCAAAGCGTCCAACATCCTCTTCACAATCCCTATTTGTAAATTGTCAGCATGCTGCCAAGACTCGTCGGCCTGGGTCCTCCAATCCTTACGCATTCGCTGTAGTCGGCGACTGTTGAACTCGTGAAACTTGCTGTTAACAGCAAAAGTCACAAACTGCTTATAGTACAGCTCCTGAGTTATAGGCGCCGATTTTCGCCAGGTATCGAAGTCGATCAACAGGATGCGGTAAGCAAGTGGGTTGATGATGAAGGATTCCACGGGCGAAGCATGCTTGTAGCCGACGAAATCCAGCACCAAGCTAAGTAATTGGAAACTCAGCTTGTCCCTATCTTCTGGGGCCAACAGCAGCCTCCATCCGGGAATATCAGTCCCAAAGGTGGCGTAGCCGAGTTTAGCCCTCAGGAGCATGCCCAAGATGGCATAGCCATTGTCTCGCTCCATCGCTTCACTGTTCCTCCAGCTTTTCTTGATGGAAAAGAACATCAACTCCACGGATCTAATGAACTCCTCAGCCGTTTTAGCACGCTCAACCAGCTTCAAGGCAACAGGTGTAAACCCGCCAATCCGCCAAAGATTGTCATCGAAATTGTAAGGCGTTGACACAACAGGATCTCCTGCAAGCACAGCGACTCCATGGGCCCTCACGAGAGCATCGTTGACACACGGGAGAGCGGCGTTTATGGAAATAGCAGTCCCGCTCTTAGTCGCCAGCTGGAACAGGTTGCTAGCGGCATTCCTGGATAGAGACCGGAAGAGGAATGAATCGAGGAACTGCCCCTCGGGTTGGAAGATTGCGGTAGGCAACGTACTCATGAGGACTTTTTGTTCCGGCACGAGGCTACTAGCCTTGTCCCTGATGGCTTTGAGGATGTCAGATGAGCCCTCCTCCTTGCCCGGGTGCAGCATCTCGTTACGCAGGCCCAGGGCTGCCGAAGCCTCGTACGTCTGGAACCCTCCGAGACAATCTTGGAAGTTCCCCTGGTATCTTGGACCGAGGCGGTAGTGGACTGCAAGCAAGTCATCACTTAAGATTTCTTCAAAGAGGTGTGCCGACGCCAGGGACCACTTTGAAAAGACAAGCCCTGGACCAAGCTGCGTAGAAAGATCACGTGGGGTCCCCAAAAAGGCTTGCACAGGATGTGGCTTGTTGGTGACGGAGTTGAACGATGCGAAACTCTCTGTGCTTGCATTGCTCATCGGTGGAGGCACGGGATACTGCGACTTGATTTGCTCGGCAAATTCACCATTGACGTATAGCGAGGCCTTGCTTGCTGTCATCGTCCTGGGGCGTCGGTGAACGATCGCAATATGGTACCACCGACCTTCCTTGAACTTGACTGACTTGAAGCGGACGCTGGGCCTTTGAGAAGTGACGGAGGTCTGCAAGATGAAATTGTGGGTATCCTTCTCCAGGTAGGCCAGAAGAAAGCATGTTTGAGTGGCATCAAAAACGCCAAATATGGTCGTGTGTGAGCCCGGGTCGAACCGGTCTACTCGTATCCATGCGGTGAAACTGTAGCCGGCCGATGATGCGGGGGGGAACGAACGCCCGAGCGAAGGCAGCTCGATGGACGAGTGTCCATGTAGGGACAGGTCAAATTGTACGAATGGTGGCCCGTTGAATCTTGTTGCCATGTCTAGGCAGAATTGGGAAGCAACAGAGTCCTGTTTTGACAATAGCAGCTGTACGTCTGCCAGCCTGTCGACACCGAGGTGTATCAACGACTTGCAGAGACCGAGGATGATGCCTCGCTCGTATTCTGACAGTCTTGAACCCGCTCCGAGGTACAGGGCAAGAAACCTAGAGAGCGCTCCGGTGCCGTGCAAAGCACTCAAGTTGGAAAACGAAGCAGAGCTGGCTAGCCTTATGGTACCAAGAACGATGGCCGAAGCAAAACACTCGGCGGTTTCTGGGTCCCTGGGCATGGACTCCCAAAAGTCGATGACCGCACGCATGATCTCGGGATTCTGAAGCACCGTGGTAGACGAAATGATCTTCTCGAGCTCTCTCTCGATTATAGGCACTTCGAATCGGGTTATCCGGTTTCCTTCGGCGTCGTGGTACGCGACATCACCGCCAGCTTCTCTGGTTCCTTGTGGAGCAGAGGTGATGGCCACAGCCTGGCAAAGCTCGTCCAGCCTCTGGTCGTCGAGGGAAAACGATAGCAGCTTCCCAAACAGCTGGCAGTTGGTCCAAACGTCCGAGTCTGTGCCACCCAAGCCGACGCTGGCTATGATCTGTTCCAAAGCCTCCCAGCCGCCGCCTTCGACCCGCCGCTTAAAGTAGCGACGATTACCATGGTGTTCCCTGAAGTTGGAAGAGAATATGGCCAGGACGGTGTGCAGGAGCTCGAAGAAGCCCTGCTTCTCTTCCAGGCTGCGGCGCTGTGGGTTGTAGAAGCCGGAGTAGGCGCGGAGAACATTCAGCAGGTGGCGGAAGCCATCTAGGTGGCGGAAGTCGTCTTGGGCGGGGCATGGGGGACTGGTCGCAGCGACATGCTGGTGGACCTGACGGCCGAGCTCGATGAGAGGAGGGAAATCGGGATAGTCGCTGCCCTGGGGCGGTCGGAGCGCGGCAGAAAGCTTGTCGAGGAGCGTCTGCAGGACCTCGGCGGCCTTGGACACGACAGGAGGGTGCGAGGCAGAGGTCGAGGAACGGTATCGGCGCGAACGAGCAGCCAGTTTGGGCACAGAGAGGGACTCCATGGTCGTGGCCGCTCAGAGCTCCCTTCGCAGACTTGTCATCGCTTCCGTCGAGGGTCAAATGTCGTCCCAGCACCCGTCAAGGGTCCAGGCTGCAGCCACAGGATTGCTGCATGGAAAGCTCGCAGGAGGGGCAGCTTTGCCGGGCGCGCCTCGCTGGAAACGATCCGCAGGCTGATCTTTGCCGGGGCCCCTCTTTGGGTTTGAACCTTTGGAAACCCAAACTCTGGGATGCGCGAGGGAACCAGGGTCCGCCGTGAAGCTCTCAAGATGTATGGCCCGGCCTTGAGTGGGTGGTTGAAAGAGAGGCCAAGACCGTCTCAGAGTTGTCAGCCTTGGGGGTCGTGTGGCTCAGCCTGTGGTGGGGCTCTTTCATAGGGGCCCTTGCCGATCCCAGCCCAGCACAGCGTGTAATCCCGCAGGTGCGTCAGCTTCCCGTGCACCCTAATAAACGAGCAGACGAGGTCTACCACAGTGATCAGCGTGGGAGCACGGGAAAACGCTAGCCTCGACTCCCTCGAGGCTGCTTGCTGGCTTGCTGGCCGCAGGCCAATCCTTGCACGCCACCGAGCGGCATTGGCGACCGACTTCACTCGAGAGCACTAAAATATTCACCCGCCTTGCATTGAAAGCACAGCTGTCAAGCCGTAATAGAATGGAGTATGCGTAAGCGTCTCACACTAGGGCCATCGTTCGACAAGCCAGCCCGCCAGCCCGGCCACTGATTTCCAACGAGCACTTGAGCTAGCTAGCAACAAAGAACCAGAATGAACACAATGGGCCTGCAGGGCCCTGGCACTGACTGGCGTTAACGCTGGGGGCGTCCTGCTTTGAGACCAAAAACGTTGGCACTTATTAAAGCAGATGGAGCTGGCCGTGGGTGGTGTGACGCAAGCCGTCTTGGTCGCCCCGGCCTCGACCCCATCCGCAGGCTGATGTCGCCAGATATAACTACAACACATGCGGTGATACCACATGGCCTGATGGGTTCTGGGACGCTGCTCAGCTGTATGACTCGGGAATATGCTTCACATTACTTATTCACGCATGAGTATTCTCCATATCGTTAATTAGCGAAGCCTGTCCGAAAAGACTTTGCCAAGGCGATGCTACATATTTACCTGGGTATACATACATAGATACCTAGGTGCTCTATGTTACTTACCCCAGACTTGATCGGCTTGATAATCTGTGTCTGGAAAGGGCACTCGAGCCATCGTTCTCCATCTGCAAATTTTGTGCTCCCATGGATATTTACTAGTGCCCCTCATGAGATATCACACAGGCGTCTTCGGGGACCTGAACTCGACATCAGTGCTCCGTTGTGTCACGTAGAGTAGTAGAATACTGCTCAATTGTAGCAGATCTGCCTCTCTGTCACTTTATGGAATGGGATCGAGTCAAGACTAGGCCCCTTCGGGCTTTGGACTCACTCGCAGCTCTACTGTGTGTACGATGCTGGCAATATTCCTGGACAGCCTTCGCTGACGGCTTCAGCTCCCGTGGTCATCGCTGTTACCCAGCCCCCATGGGAGGTTGTCTTGCAATCGTGCTGGGATAGTTACAAAGCGAGGTTTGCTCGGTCGCCCGCTCGCCAAACTCCCCATCCGGACCCTCCATTTCATGGTGGCATCAAGGCTGAGGTTCCCGAGCAAACCTCGCACTCTGCCGAGTGAGTCTACTCCGAAGCACCAGGGTCATGATGACTTCATTGACTCGGGCTCACACGAGGTCCACACCAGAAGAATACAACCATCGCGTCAAGCAGTTATGACGAGGCTGCGAGTGAGAGTAACAAGCTTGGGGTTGACCGTCACCGACCGACTTCTCGGAAGCCCGGAGCACTGTAGCTTCTCCCATATCGCGTCGCGAATTTTGTGGCCCCGAGTCCGCCGCCAGCCCCGGGCCATTGCCGTGTCCAGCATGTCTGAGCTTGGAATGATTCAGGAACCTGTGTCGCAAAACATGCTGCTCACCACCCACTTAATTGATTGTCGGGTCAAGATCATGTCCCACAATGGAAGTCTCCTCTGCATTGAAAAGTCAACGCTGTCAGGCTTGAGATAGAAGCAGCAGCAAGACCTAAGCTCTCTCGAGACTTTTACATCATGACTCCGCTAGGAGCAGGGCCGAAATCGCTTCTAGCTCCCGCTCTTGAAACTTGGCGCAAGCGACGGTTTGCTTCCATGCGTGCTGGCGTGGTGACCGACTGGACAGTCTCGCCTGTCCAGACTGTTCTCACCGAGCTTCCCCTGAATGCCGAATTGGTTGCCCCGTGTCTGCAGGAACAAGGGACTTGTCCCCCATCAAAGCGTTAGGATGTTTGACCCCACCGTGCAGTAGAACAGTAGACTGGTGTCTGAACAATTTTCCCAAGACGTGGTAGAGGAGAAAAATCCTCGACGGCTGGGACGCTGAGACCCAGAAGAGGCCGTGTTGCACTGCAACGAGCGTTGTTATGCGGTTTAGTCAGCAGACAAGGATTGTGGTGCTCCTGGGACCGCCTGCCTCAGACTGGCCAATGGACTGGCTGTTTATGGTCGGGGAACGAGACCGGAATCTACCAGGAATGCCGTGTCTCCAGACTTTGGGATATTCTTGGACTCTCACCGCCCCAAGAGGTCAACAACGAAAAGCGGTGGAACAATCCAGAGCCCAGGCGTGAGCGTATATACTGTACGGAGTACGGAGTACGGGGTACGAATACCTAGGTACTTATTTAAGTACTTACACACGCCGCTACTGTGTAATCACGACTGGCCAAGCCCGACGCCCAGGCTGAGCATCAGGACCCCGGCAAACCGGCAACCGGTCCACGGGTCGGTCCATTGCCAGTGTTTGTCACGGCTCAGATGTGCCATCTCGTCGCCGGTCTCCCAGGTCGAAAGCACGGCGATGATTTCATTCCTGGAGGCGGGCCTGGTCTCCTGCCAGGTTTCCAGCGGCAGCAGGAAGTCACCGTCCTGCCGATCTTCTTTGGAAGCAGCCGTCAACGGGTCCAGTACCTGGGGGTTGACCCAAACGGTGGAGCACTATCGGATCATACAGACGTTATGGTTCCAGCCCCAGCACCAACCCCATTATCCCACGCCCTCGCGCTCAAAGGGGACTTATCTCGTGGATGACTGCATGGAGGGGCCCCCCTCACTCGCCCTACCGGGAATAGTCGCCGCGGAGGAAGCCCACGGGCAGCAACGATATCTTGGCTCGTCTCCAGAGTGCATGCTGGGGCACCGAGGAGCCGCCTGCCTAGTTCAGGGTCGAGACGCAATGCACGCGTCGACAGGCACGCCAATGGCCGTCCCGGGCAAGCGGGGACCGCCTGGGTGTCTTGGGCGCGCGATATTACTGCCTGCACGTCTCCTGCAGTCACTGCGCCCTGACCCCACACCCGTGCAGCAGCGAGGACCTACCACAGTACGGCCTCCGACTTGTCAACAAGCCTTGCAAGCCCCCCGAGCTCTCGTAGCTCCCGGCTCGGTGGCTCGGTGGTTGTTCAGGTCGAGGGTACGTCCCCACTGCCCCTCACCTCCGCATCCCTGCTCGATGAGGAGCACATGTCCACCCAGTACAAAGACACCAACCGGACACATACATTCTAGTTCTACTAGCGTCAGTGGCAGGTCTTGGACAGCCGGCTTGTCTCTTGGTATATAGCCTTGTGGGTTGGATTTCTGCCGTTGGCCGAGGGCAGCCCGTCCTGCTCGAGGTCCATCTCCATCACGATCCTGAAGTCCTCCCTCCGGCCTATAATAGCAACGAGATACCTCGACCTGCCTCATAGGCCAGAGTTGTGACACATTCCCTCCCCCCGCCCATCTTCTTATCTATTGCGACAGCTTCTAAGCCACTCGCCTGGGCAGCATATTAGGCGTGACCGCTGTGTCTCACCCTGCCGAACTGGTCGCGTGCCTGCGCGTTCCAACGCTTGATAGACCCCAAGGCAAGGCTTCCCTACAAGCCCGGGTTGAGCTATTTTGTTGCCAGAAGCCCCGGTCTCACTCTGTTCCTCTCGTTTCAGTCTGGACGGGCTCTTTCCCATGCCAAGTTCCTGCATGCTCCAAGTCGGGACGCTCTTATATCTCCAAATCCAGCCTCGCCCCCCGCCCCCTCGCCCGTGTCCACCTGCCCACACGCATATCAAAGCCGGACCGCAATAATGGCTGCCGTTGACTTTGATACCCGGCATATTAACGCCTTCAGCGCGGATGATTTCGACACGGCGTCCATTCGATCAGCTGCTCCATCTTACAGTAAGTCGCCCATGTGGACCTGGACCGCCCTGCCCTTCCCTACGCGAGTATAGCTGCACGACACCATATATCATGTATGTACTGACGGCAATCAACAAACACCAGTCTCCGAAGCGCCCTCCTACCACACCACCGTCTCTACCACCGAGACCATCCCGCCCTACTCGCCGCCGCAGAACGGTAACGCCAACGCCAACGCCAACAGCACACCGGCGTCCAGATCCTTGCTGCCGTCCCACACCGCACACATCCCCTCCCCGGGCCTGCCCCCGATCCCGCCCGCCCGGAGCTCCGCCTCCGACCTCCCGTCCCTCGGCGCCTTCCGCATCCCCTCATGGAGCGTCAACACGAACCCCATGTACCAGCGCGTGGCCACGCGGCGCGCGCAGGCCGCCATGTCCAGCGGCGAGGGCCTGGTGCGCAACGCTGCGAGGGTGCTAGAGCGGGTCAACGAGGAGAGTGGCGGCTCCGGCTCCGGCTCCGGCTCCGGTGGCGGCAGCGGCAGCGGTAGCGTCACCCCCGCCGACAGCAGCCGGGTGCGGCCACTCGAGGACCCGTACCTGGTCGGCGAGGTGGCGGCCGCCCGGGCGAGGCGGGAGAGGCTCGCCCGGGAAAACACCGAGGATATCCTGCACCGCGAGGACAGGAGGTGGGACTGGTTTCTGGGTGAGTTGCGCTGTGTTGTTGTGACCCTCAACCCCTGTTCCCTGTTTGTTTCGGGGGCCCTCTGCCTCGGGTCCAAGTTCCGAGGGGGGGAGGGGGATTCTGGGTTTCGGTTTCCTTTTGGGGTGGTGGGGGGGTCTGGGAGAGATCGGACGGAACAAGGCTCTGGGCTGACACTTTTTATGATTCACAGGCCAGGTGAACGAGCGGGAGGAACGACCGGCCAGCTGGAGACCGTTCCGCCGGAACAACATGCACAGTGGATCGCGGGTGAAGCTGGCCCGCCGCGTTGGTACGGGCCGCTAGGCGTTTCGATTCTGTCTTTTGTCCTCTCACTCGGGATTTCATGCGGCGTTGGCTTGTGTGCCGTGCTGGTCTGCGAATCTCTTCTGCAGATGCGCCCTTGTTCACTTCTGGTATCATACTTCTTACCATTCTTGTCCCTCATTGCAGGAGCTGGGGTTCCCATTCTGTGCTGCAGTTTTTCTTAACAGCATTGGCGTTGTTTCTTTTTTGCTTAACTTTGTCTTTTTTCCCCATGGAGATTCACGGCGTTCTGGAAGATCATATTCTTCACTCCAGCATTTTTCGGTGCCTCAGTTTGACAAGGAAGGGCAATACGGTACATAACGATCATGTTGATGAGGCCGAGGATAGAATGAAGTCTGTGCTGAAGATGATGAATGAAATCTAAGATTGGCCATGTTCCAAATTTCTCAGCCGGTACTTTTTCTCAAAGTGCCAACGTAATTCCGAGCTGTCTCTATGCACATTTGATCGGGCGATGAACCCCTCCTTGTCAAGGAACGCTCCAACGACCACTGACATTTGTTGACTGGGGAACGCCATCGGGATTCTTCATAAAACATTCAACTTGAGTCCTGCCTGTCAGTCTGTTAACGAGGGCCCACTTTCTGTTGTTGAACGGGCGTTTTGTACTTGAAGAGCAGGCAAGCCTATCCGATGTTCGAAAGAGCAGGATGTGAACCCACCACAAGGCTAACTAAGCGACAGGTACTCGCATCATTTGGTACGAGATTGCAAACTGTGCACGGATTAAAACACTAGACAGGTTGAGGGCTTATCCGCAGATGTGCTCACCTCACCCGTACCCGAAACTTTCAAAATCGGGGTCACACAATATTTTGCCAGTGCATCTAGGCCAGACATAACCCGACTGACTTCGGTAGGCGGGTTCTTGTACTATGTTGAGAATAAAGGGAGACAGGACCAAGCCCGAAAAGCCGGGCAGCGAGGACCACACGATGCCCAATAACTTGGAGCAAACACGAGGGGTTAGCTACCTAGGTAGGTAGTGGGTGACTGTTGTGATACGGATCGTCAAGTATTTGCTGAGAAACGCTGATCAAGTCATTTTGAACTCGGCACTCGAGCCCGATCCGAGGCCTTTCAATCTATCAAGCAGCTACCCCAAGTGCCGACAGAATGATCGAGGGGGACATTCAAGGGGCCGAGTATAGTTGTCTTTACAGTCATGCGTGGTAACCATCAGCTTCATTCTCGTACATTCCAGCTCTACCTACGAACAGATCCTTTTAACGCCCGGCCAATGCAATGTTGTAGTCCGTGCTCTGGGTAGGGCACATCCTCTTTGTGTTTTGGTACAGCCAATTCCTTCTGCTAACCTGTTCTTGCTCGAAGCAAATCCAACATTCCCGGACCGCCACTCGAAGCTTAACCCTTGCTCTTGGTGTTCAGGATCAATGCGACAATAAGTCTGTTTCCTTGTTGTTAGTGACCGCTTGCGAACCGTTCAAGGACGTGATGTCAAATGACTGACCCGTAGAGACCCAGGACCTCTCCAAAGATGAGGATCAGGACCATGCCGACAAAGATACGGCTTTGGGACATGTAGGCACGCACGCCCTTGTCACCCACGACGCCGATGCAGTAACCGGCCGCGAGACCTGTCATGCCAACAGATATACCGCAAGCGAGATGCATAAAGCCACTGAACAAGCTGTAGTTCGATTTTGGGTCGAGGTCCTGGGCGATCAGGACGGAGATGACGAGGGAGTAGACGGCGATGATACCGGACATGACGACGGGGATGAGGCACTAGGCACGAGAGCGACGGTCAGCTGGCCGGAGAGGAAGAACCAGGATCTCGGCGACGGGTTCCAGCTCACCTTCATGATCAGGTCTGGCCTGAATGTCCCCACGCCCGCAATTCCGATGCCAGATTTGGCTGTGCCGTACGCGGCTCCCGCGCACCCGAATATCATGGCCGCCGCGATACCGCCCTGCACGTAAGCACGATCATCAGCCGGTTGAGCACAAGACAGACATGGACGCGAGGTACTGAGGGGGACGTGGGAAGGCAGTTATGGGGAGGGCGGGCGTACCATGCCGATGAACGGCGCGAACTTGGGTGACAGCTCGGAATCAGCCATGATAGCAGCGTCTCTTTTGCTCCGGTGCTAACTAAGTCGGAGTGGTGGCGGGAGGTTCGTAATCTGTGAGAAAGGTGACTCTGCAGGGTGGGTCTTGAGACCGTGTCGTGGGCAGCTGTAGCAGCTTGTTTGCTCCAGCGTCGGTCGGTCGGTGGTGGTCCTGCGGCTGCTGCTGATGATGATGATGAAGCTCGGAGGAGAGCTCTACGCAGCCAGACTATGCCTGGGATGGGCTGGCCGCCAAGAGCGACCCCAAATCACGTGTGTCTGGAGGCCGTGGCTAGTACGGAGTACCAGGTACATGTTCTACTGCTATCAGGCCGTGCGGTGAGAGCAGTGCACCTATCTACCCCTACAGGCATCCTGCCAGCCTGCTAGGTACCTAGACACGTACTTAAGTAGGCAGTCCACTTGCGCGTTAGAAGGCCAATAGCGCTGCAACTTGCCAGCGCGCGTGAATACCGTCCCAGATGCTCGGGTCAACACATTCATTTGGTCCATCACCGACTCCGTACCGCACAGGAGTCATTCTCACGCTAGCTGTTCGCTTACATCAGTGAATGAGCTCCAAGGACACTGCAATTCTGAAGCTTGCGTGGTGGCCATTTGCAGAACCGGGCGCCCCCGAGCCCAGACTGCCTAGTGCCTCCTCCCATACTAATTGTTAAGCGACATTCTGAGGTCGCGCCTAGGTCTTGCTGGAAAGGGGTGCCGTGGCGCTAACAGCCCTGATGAGCCGCGAAATTTGAGTCGTCCCATCCAAGCCTTCTGGGCTAAGACCTGGAGGCCTGCGTCCCGCGGCGATGTCCAAGCTGCAGCGTGTAGGTGCAGCTGCAGCTGCCAGAGTCTGAGACCGGCAGACTTGTACGGAGTACAGTACCTCGCTCTACTACTCAGTACTTAGCCTAGGTACCTAGGTAGCTGGTAGCACGTTGACAGCTACAGTTAGTTGTTCGGTCTGATTCACAACCCCTTGGAAACAAGACGGTGGTCTACTGCATGGCATAGCTATAAATTTGGCTTGGCGTGTCGAGAATGCCTTGCTCGCATTGTTTCGGCTGCCACAGGGCCACGCCACCATGCGTCCACCTGGTCAACAGAGGTCATAGGCTCGTGTCTTTCTCTGTCCAGCAACACGCCAGAGCAGGCAGGGAGGAGTAAACACCAAGGTCTAATAAATGAAAAACCGAAAACAGAAGAAGAACCCGTACCTGGTATCCGGCGGAGGCCATCCGATGAGACAACCCAATGGGTTGAATGCCGACTTTGGGCCGTCGCCAGCTCAAGCACATCAGCAGCAGAACACACATACACGCATACGCGAGGGCATTGCTTGATCGCGTCGTCTGAACTTGGCTCTTCCTGATCCCCTGGCTATATCAAGAAAAAAACCGAATACCAAGCAAGCATGGCTGATGATTATTCTGATTGACCGATGCCGCGCATGTTCCGATCCGCAAATAGTTGTACCGTTTCTTCCCATAACGTCACAGCCGTCGATTTTGGGCCACTGGTGTCCCAGTCGAAAGGGGGGTGCCCAGAAGCCCTCCCGAACATTGAACCTTACCCACCGTAACCCACGTCGCGACCCGATCCAATCCAAGCCAATCTGCCCAGTCCAGTCCCAGTCCACTCCAATCCAAATCCAATCCACAAACGATCCTCGACTACCACCACGAGCCCACCTGCACCTTGGCCGACCAAGGTGGCTGCACCGCGAGCGAACACAGGCACCGAGGCCCTTGACACATCTGCTATCTCAGCCCAGAGCTGGCGGCCGTCGAGGCCAACTCAACTGCCCCCCCGGGCAGAGCACGAGTAAGAGTACGGCCACCCACGCAGCCACGCAGCCACGCTGCAGCGCTCCACACTCGGCCATTTTACCATTCTCCCCTGCTCTTCCCGCCCGTCGTCCTGCCCAGTCACTCAACACCTCCTTCGTGCGTACGTAAGGTGCTGTCCCCGGCTGTTGCGACCTGCGGCTGCACCTCAACTAAAGGGGGACAAACGCCTCGTCGTCGCCTTCGGCTCCCAGCCCACTGCACTGCGACTTCTGATGGACGTCCCGGCGAGTGCTGATAACAGCTCTTCTCAGTTCTAGCAACCCACCCACCCCCCACGGCCCCTGACGTGCGCCATCCGCACCACGAGCCCGAGCCCGAAGCCGACCAGCACGCAGAGTCATGGCCGACTACCATCAAGACAGGATGCCTCCGCCGAGGAGGCCACAGGACTACGGCCAGCATCCCCCTCAGCGAGATGCCGCCTACGCCAACATCTTCGGCGCCTCCCCAGGCCCCGGCCGCTCGCACACCATGACCTCCTCGTCGCAGCCCCCTCCCATGATGCACTCAGACCGCACCCAGACTATGTCCTCCATGTCCTCGATGCAACGGCAGCCGCCTCCGAGGGCACCCCCCGGCGGTGGGTACGACCGCACCCGGACCATGGACTCGAGCACGGCGAACGGGTACTACCCAGGTCAAAGAATAATGGCCCCTGGTCCGCAGGTGCCGTCTCAACAATACTTGCAGCAGCAGCGGCAGCCTCAGGGACCGCCCGGCCGCTATCCCCCCGGTCCCATCCCCCCAAGATTCGATCAGAGGGGACCTCCGGCAGGCGCATACGGTGCCCGGACACCCGCACAGAGATTCTATCAGAACGGTGCAGGCCCGGCCCCAGCATTGAACTCCGACTCGTATCGATCCCAATCACTCGCCGGCCCTCCGAGGCAGCCGATGTATCAGCCCCAGCAGAGCTCGGTGCAAGGTGGCCCATCGCAGCAGGCCCCCGCCAATGCCTTTCGACACGCACCCTACAGTGCAAGCTCTTCTCGAACAACCGCGCAGGGGCGTGTGGTGCCAGAGCGTCACGACGAGAGGGCCATGTCGATGACTGGTGGTTATCCTGGACACGAACGTGATGCGCATCAGACCATGAGTGGGAGGGTGATACCGAACAGGAGGGCGCCTTCGGTGGAAGTCTCACAGGATGGGCAGAACGGGTACAACGGGTACACGCCTGCTCCCGGGGCGCAGACGAGGTCTAGTGTGCAATCGTCCAACAGCGGTGACAGTGGTAGGACCATGTCCATGGCTTCTACGATTGCGCCCTCTATATCCGAGAGGTCAGACACCACATTGGCACACCGCCCGTCAATGAGCTACTCTACGACGGACGGCGTGGAACGGCCGCCCACGGCGAAGATACGGCCGCCGCTCGTCTACCCTGCGCTCCTGTCTCGCGTTGGGGAGTGTTTCCGGGAAAAGATTATAACTGGCGACCGCACCAAGAACGAACTGACCTACAAGAACGCATTCAGCGGCTCGGAGGCAGTTGACGTCCTTTCGTACATCATCAGGACCACGGACCGAAACCTCGCGCTGTTGCTGGGCAGAGCATTGGACGCACAGAAGTTCTTTCACGATGTTACGTACGAGCACAGGCTCAGAGACTCGGCCTCTGAGATGTACCAATTCCGGGACATAATGATGGAAGAAGGGAGCGACAAGCCTCCAGTGAACGGTGTCTTCGTTCTCTTGTCTGAGTGCTACTCCCCGACTTGCACGCGAGACCAGCTGTGTTACTCGATTGCTTGTCCCCGGCGTCTCGAGCAGGTCTCACGTCTGAACCTGAAAATTGGTGCTGGGCTCAAGAAAGAGGAAGCCCCTCCAAACGATGACGACGACGTGGACCAGACGGATGAACAGAAGCTTTGGATCAACACGGTACCGAAGGAGGTGGCTGACGGCGTCAGCGATAGGGAAAAGAAGAGACAAGAGGTCATATCTGAGATTTGCTACACGGAACGAGACTTCTGCAAAGATTTGGAGTACCTGCGGGACTTTTGGATCAACCCCCTCCGATCGAAGGCCTCGCCCATTCCTCCCCAGCGCAGAGAAAAGGTGGTGCGGAACATTTTCAGCAACATTATCGACCATCCCAGCATCCATGCGGTAAGCTCCAAGCTTGCCAAGGGCCTCACAGATCGGCAGTCGAACGGCCATGTCGTACGGAATATCGGAGATATATTTATCGAATGTGTTCCGCTTTTCGAACCGTTCATATTATACGGCTCCAAGCAATTGGAGGCCAAATATGAGTTCGAGAATGAGCGGTCTATCAACCCGCAATTCAGCCGATTTGTGGATGAGATCGAGAGACGGAAGGAGTCGAGGAAGCTCGAGTTGAATGGCTACTTGACTAAGCCAACGACAAGATTGGCGCGTTATCCCCTTCTGCTGGAGAACATCCTCAAATACACAGAAGATGGGAATCCGGACAAGGAGGATATACCCAAGGTGCTCGTTATGGTGCGTGACCTGCTCACACGGGTCAACGCCGAGTCCGGAAAGGCAGAGAACCGTTTCAACCTGCGGCGTTTGCACGATCAGCTCAAGTTCCGGCCGAACGAGAAGGTAGACCTGAAGCTGACGGATGAGGGCCGCGAACTTGTGTTTAAGAGCAATTTCAAGAAGTCGCCAACAGAAAACACGGATATCACAGCGTTCCTCTTCGATCACGCTGTTCTGCTGGTCAGGATAAAGCAAGTTGGCAAGACAGAAGAGATCAAGGCCTACCGCCGGGTGAGACACGATCCCTTATTTGCCATGCCAAGAAAAACACTAATAATGTTGTCTAGCCGATCCCTCTGGAATTGCTGTCAATTAAGGAGATGGAGGAAGTCATACCTTCAGCAGGTGCCCCCCGAAGATCCACCTCCGGCTTGCTGCCAAATATAAGAAACGAAGTCGGCAAGAAGGGGGAGGGCTGGCCCATCACGTTCAAGCACATGGGCAAAATGGGGTACGAACTGCCCCTCTACGCATCCACGCAGACGGGTCGACAGAAGTGGCTCGAGTTCATCGATGCTGCGCAGCAAAAGTTGAGGGCCCGTGTTGACTTCCTCAACACCACGGTGATTTCACAAGGGTTCTTCACAGGCGTAAATAAGGTCAACTGTGTTGCACCCTTTGGTAGGTCTAACCCTTCGTTTGCATCCGTATCTTTCTGCTAACTCTCAAAACAGACGGCGGTAGGAAGTTGATATATGGCACCGATGCTGGTATCTATGTGTCGGATCGCAAGTCAGGTGGCCAGCCGCGCAAGATTCTGGAGGCGACCAACGTCACCCAGATCGATGCGTTGGAGGAATACCAGCTTCTCCTGGTGCTCTCAAACAAGTCGCTCATCTCGTACAACTTGGCAGCGCTCGACCCTAACGAGTCCGCGCTTTCCAAGAAGCCTAAGAAGATCCAGAGCCACTGCAGTTACTTCAAGGCAGGCATCTCCATGGGCAGGCATCTGGTCTGCTGTGTTAAGCCCACCACACTTTCCACCACCATCAAAGTGTACGAGCCCAATGATGCCATGTCCAAGAGCAAGAAGCAGAAGGGTTTCAGCAAGATGTTCAACGCTGGCCAAGACGAGCTCAAGCCGTTCAAGGAGTTCTACATCCCAACCGAATCCACGTCTGTGCACTTCTTGAAGTCGAAGCTGTGCGTGGCTTGTGCCCGCGGTTTTGAAGTCGTGTCTCTGGAAACGCTCGAGACACAGTCTTTGCTCGACCAGGCCGACACGTCGCTGGACTTTGTCGCTCGAAAGGAAGCCGTGAAGCCGATCCACATCGAGCGTCTCAATGGCGAATTCTTGTTGAACTATTCCGAATTCTCGTTCTTCGTCAACAGAAACGGTTGGCGCGCCAGACCGGAGTGGAGAATCGACTGGGAAGGAACGCCACATAGCTTCGCGCTCTCTTACCCCTGGATCTTGGCCTTCGAGCCGAACTTCATCGAGCTCAGGAATATTGAGTCTGGTGCGGTACATATCGTCCCGCATAAGAACATTCGCATGCTACACAGCAGCACGCATGAGGTAGGCACAATGCATAATGCACTTCTTGGCAAATGACTTCGGCTGACACCTTGCACAGATATTGTTTGCATATGAAGATGAGAAAGGCGAGGACGTCGTCGAGGCCATGGATTTCTGGAAAAGCCAGCGAAAGAGTACCATGCCCCCTGACGGCGGGATGAACTCGCCGATCGGACAGTACGCCAGAATCACGCAATAGTGGCTGGCTTGTCTCACTGAAGCTACGAGTTCCATGCGGAGTGCCTCGCAAATTCCCTTTATTTGAGAAGGCCCAATGCTTCCGCCTGGCCGAGGACAGTCTGGCGGTCACGCTGGTCAAGGCTGCGGACTGAGCTGTGTGCCAGCGATGCTACGTGTTGGATGTGTGGGATGACTCGGCGATCGACCTTCGCTCGGCCGGTCTGTTGAGCCGCAATACGTGTGCATACGAACCACGTCCAATCTTCGAACGCGAGTCACGTCTGTCAAGCGCCCACTGTGTCACTCTTCCGCGCAAGCATTGTGATATCATTGGTGGGGGACACCCTGGATCAGCCGGAGTTTTCTTTTCAGCTAGCAATACACGCCATATCTTTGATTCAACAAGACGACATATCTAATCTCAAGACCGGCCGGGCCACGGGTGGCTGGGGCTTAGACGGGTGCGCAGGCTATGGTCAACTGGGCTGGGGGGTTGAACAGGAGGCAGTTAACCACCAAACTTCGTCAACTCAAGGCCCCGGGATCCGAAGCGAGGATCCGTGCCCAGGAGCCGCGGATGGTGGTAGTCGGGGAGGATGGCATCCAAGAGCAACCATGAAGCTCGTGGTGCCGTTGTATTTTTTTTTCTGGCTACAGTAGTGGGAGATCTACCACTCGAGTGTCTTGTTTAGAGTGTGGGGATTACTTTCGGCGACACCTGTTTCTTCTCGTTTTTCCTCCCCGAACTTCTTGTCTCATTTGCAGCGGCAGCATCACAAGGACACACTTTAATAAGCATTGTATGCGAGATGGATTATTTCTTTCAAATTGAAATGATACCACCTGTAGCCACAGACCACCCTCAACCACTCTTGTCACAACCGAAACACCATGATGTCGAATGCTGACATGGTTCGGAAACCCCGACCAAGTCACACACATAGCACCGAATACACGGCCAGAGGTTGTGGGTGCATCCATTTTCCTCTAGCTCACTCATAGGCTGGTATGTCCCGCCGGAGAAGTGACCTGTCAACCAGATCATCTCGCTGGATCGAGCGACACGAGTTTAAAGGGTGGCGTACCCAGAGGGGTGGCGCACATCTTTGCGGCGGAGGCCTTGCTGCGAGCGGCCCAATGCGACGTCGTTGTGTTTGGACACTTGTCGTTCAGTGTGCAACATCTATGCCGGTCTTGGAGCGTTGCGTCTTGACTATCTACCGACCTTGTCTGTCTTCAGCCAAAGCGTATATGCACGCTGACATGTTCTGACTCTAGCATTCTGGGCTTCTGAAGACGCCAATCCTACACCCGGTGGGGCGAAGAGGGAAAGGAGGGTCCATTCGGCAATTCCCCTTTTCGTTTGGCACGCCCTCCCCCTCTGCCCAATTCTACATCATGAAGGAACGATAGCCGGGGAGGTACAATCGAGGATGGCAATAGGGGCGTGGGACAAGTATGGACAGACGGTGGCTTGAGCAGTTGCTTCAGCGCTTGTTGAAGGTTTAACTTCGGACGCACCCGACATAGTCTTGCTACACTTAGGGGTCCTTCGATCTACCTTGCCTGCATCAGACAGGCGAATCTCCGGCTCGGGAGTGACTTCTGGGACGGCATCGAGGCTTGCTCCTTTGCTGTACTATTTTTTCCCTGCCATTTACGCATTCTACATAGAGCCTCTTGTACATGCCCCCCCCCCCTCTTTGTGACTCGTGTTTCTGCTGCGATTTATTAAAAAAGGCCACCCCCCCGGGTGGGACGGACACTTCGGCAAGGACGGACAGCAATTCGCAAGCCGTTCGTGTTTCCTCGTGTGTCAGGGTTCTGCTTCCTGGGGAGACTCGGACAAGCTGCCTTACGGCCCTGCGCTGCGACGCTGGATCTCGCTGTTGCGTGGCAGCAACGGCGAGCCCACCATGCTACGGTAAACATTTGTGGCTTGTTTCCGTGCACATGTACTTTCATGTAGCTTCCCAACGAGGAATGCAATTTCCTGGGCAGCTGGTTCGCCGAGCAACCGGTTCACCCTGACGCGTTGTCTTGCGCACAGTACTTGCTCCACTGGATGCAAGCATCAGACATCGGATACCATGAACTTGGGACGGGAGACGTCCCTTGGCTCTCTCCTCGCCTACGTGCGCCCGGACCACAATAGCCCAGCCGAGCCACACGCTCTCACATGCAGTGAACCTCAAAAAGAGGACCCGAAGCTCTGGGATCGAAGGGGTCCCTCCCTCGTCTCTTGGGAGATCACCAAGAAGGGTCGCACCAACAAGGGATCAGACGACGACCCGGGTCGGTTCGCTTCTGGATTCACATTGGAACGGGACGGGATGTGTGGCCCCCCTCTCGCGTGGATCATACCTGCGATGGTGTGCGTTCTGTCCACAAGGCATGAACGGTCGCACATCATGTATTGGAAGTGTGGTAGGAACCGGCTGATGTCTTTTGTCAAACGTGAGAACATAGTGCTCATCCCTGCGCCAATCCAACTGTCAGAGAGCCTCGGAGTATTTCTGTGACGTCTGCAGTGTGGGGATCGGAAAGTCGGGTTGGCCTCATGGTGAAAGGGCTTGTGCCTTTTAGTGCAGACAAGATACTGACATGTGAGGCTAGACGACGCCTCGTGTGGATTTTTCTTTCCTTGAAACGGTGGGGAGGGGGGCAAAGCGGACTGTCAGGACGGATCATCGCTTGATGACGGCCTTTGTCGTTGTTGTGCTTCAAAGGGTTGCTCGACCATCGTTGGAGTCAAGACTGATATTGCATTAGTAGGACATGCAGTCAGACTGCACCATCGCCAAGGAAGCCTCGACCACCCCCGTAGATCTCACAACCTTAATCGCTCTGCATGGTCGTGCTCTTCCTTGCTCTGCTGTGGTTGCCTCCGCCTCTTGCCTCTGGTCCCAGTAAGCGAGCCCAGCAGGGCATGATGATGGTCCAGATTCCGCGACACCACCCGAACTTTCCCAGCGTAAATATGGGGCGAGCAACCGGGTGCGTGTTTCGTTTCACGGGCAGGGCTCGACTGAGCACGTAACAAAAATGCATGCTGGCATTGATTCTTGGCCGGGTGGGACTTAGTCGTACTGCACGTGCGGTGGGACAGCCGTGCGATGAAGGAGGGAAGATCCTCGACACTGAGGCCGCTATATGGACGGAAGTAGTCCTCTTGTGGGCACAATTCCGTGGCAGGGAGAGGAGCTGTAGTCGTCGGTCCGCCGAATGGGAAACCGAATCTGCTCAGCCCAGCTGTCTGCAGCCAAGTTCCTTGGGGTTGCCACGCCGCATGAAGAGAACGAGCATTTCGCCCGCCATGCACCGATGGCTCCACATTTCACACCGTCCACACCTCAGCGATGCGGCTCTGATACGTCTCCCGTCGTCGACATGACTGATGACGGGTAACCTTATTGAGATTGCCCGTGTGCCGCGAGGGCACGTCGGGGCGGGGTGGGAGGAGACTGCAGCATACAGCCATCCAATCTGGTCAGTGTGTCTGTCTGTCCGGATCTCTCGTCAGGCCCTTGGATGGAGGAAAGCAGCAGTGGACCGGCCAGGGCGGGAAAGTATATGCCAGAGTCATGCTTAGGCGTGCGGAGTCGCCTGGCGCAAAACTTGAACATCCTGATTCCGCGGCGAATAGCGAGCAAGTGTTATGGACGTGGCGAGCGGTGTAGGTCTAGGTACTGCATTGTTGATCCGGCACTTTACGCTGTCGTATCCCGGAATAGGAAAACAGACACTCTTTGCGATCAGAATGCGGTGCGACCAGGCCCAAGTAAGCTCGACGGGATGCGAATTGCCTTTGCCCTCCGATGCCAATGCCATGCACGCACTTACGCGTACGTGCGTGACTGAGTGCTGATGCAAGCCACAGTGACGAATGTTGGGGAAGTTGACGTCGGCCAACTCAATCCGTTGGGTTGCTAGTCCCTGGGAGCCGGCCAGGGAAGCCCAGGCCAGCGACACCAAGAAGAGGCGTTGTACCTGACACCCTGACAGTTCCGGCGGCAGCCTGCCGTGGCCTCCTGTTAGTCTCGCAGTTGAGATGCCTGAAGTGCTGGAGCTGCTGGAGCTGTTGGAGCTGCTACACAGTCGGACGGTCAGGACAGTGCTCCGTAGAGACACCACGACTGCTAGACCACCTGGGTGTCAGGCTAGTCTTTCCGTGCTAGGTACTTAGGTAGGGTTTGGCCAGTCTCCCGGCTAGGAGGCGGGACGGGTATTTTTGCCTCAGAGACGGATCCTAGCGGTGCCAGACAGTCGCTGTCACAGCCCTGGGGTTGAACCGCCGTGGTCCAGACGCAATCGGGCGGAGCAGGAGTAGACCGACGTCTCGGCATCCTTGACCCCAATATGCGAGTGGGCGATATGATATTGTAGTTTGCCGCTGGTATGGGATCGACCATGGTGCTGTGTGGTGAGCCAGCCAGACAGGCCAGACAGGCCAGACAAACCCCCAAGTCCAGACTCGCCAACTCCCCGGATATCGGGGTGTGAGGACTATTATCGACCATCTCGGCTCCCATTCGCCGGCGTGCAACTACCGGCGTGTGCCGTCTTTATTAGTGAGGCCCAGGTCGTCATGAATGCGAAGCCGCCAGGCGATGTCGGGCTGCTACGCATTCATGCAACCGGTTGTCGCCTGCCGCGAGCCGGTTGCGACTGAGGCTAATGTAGTGAGCAAGATGTGTCGTGGTAATGTCCCAGATGTCACCATGAGGATGCTCAGGGCGAACGTGCGGAGTAGAGCGATCGACCAGCTGCGGCCAGCGCAGTCAAGGGACGTCGACTCGTGCCAGCGCCGACCTGCGGCTTATCTGCATGGCTAGCTCGTGCTCCTGGGCAGTGCAGTCAGGAGTGTCGATGTTACAGTCTGGCAGTCAGGGCAGCACAACCGCACAACCGCACAACCGCATGCGCTCCGCACCAGCCATCACCCGTGGGCTGTAGTGGGCGCCATTCCTGACGTCGGACCAGGGAGCTCTCCGTGCGTCTGACTGGCTCGGAACGTCATCCCGGCCTGCTGGGTTCAGCCCAGTCGCAGGGTGTGATGCAGGCCCAGGAGGCTCCATGCAGCGGCGAGGTCTAGGCTTCTGGAGGTTCCAGCCTGTCCAGCCTGTCCAGCCAGAGTTTTCCGACGAACCCAGTCTCGGCTGCGTGCCTCGAGTGAAGCCACAGGGCCGTCCTCAAGCGTGCTGTGTCTGCCCTGATCTTCTCGGCTCGCTAGCCGACGAAACTCGAGGCGAAACCGAGCAGGTAGCTGATGGGCCAGGCTTCAGACGAGACGGCCGTGGCGGGATGCCGGTTGATGTCGGGGCAAATGTCCCAAAGGGAATCCAGGCCGGTGGGCGGCTTCATGCCCATTGACAGGCCTTGAATGAAGGCGCTCAATACGACGATCTGATTGATGGCCGGGCAGCACACCCACGACAGCCGGCAACAAGAGGCTGCTGTGTCATTTCCAAGAATATCTTTTGTTACGCAGCCCGTCCCTAGTCCGCAGTGCTGCCGAGTCTCGGTCCGTGAGAGGTGCCCCGACGCCCATGCAATCCGAGGATTGCCAGCCGCCATGGTGCCGTAGCCGTCACAAGTGGTGGTTGGCACTGGGTTGGCACTGGCATTGGCACCTTGGTCCCGGGGCGAGGACAGAGAGCTGGACCGCCGCGAGCCGGCGTGGTGACTGGTGGCTGCACCGCACCAGCAGGCACGCACCAGGAGGACGAGATGAGGGTCCGAGGGCGGGCTTCTCTGGCTGTCTGGCTCTGCCGCGCGCACCGTTGCAGCTTGTCACCGCCCGGCGGAGATGGTATGGGGAAGATACGAAGCTGCTGAAAAGTCAAATGTCGAGATAAACCTCCTGCCTGCGTCTTGCCAAAGACGGGTTACCCCAGGCTCGCCAGGGGGCCGGCAGGGGACGAAGCTTAAGCTCGGGGTTTCGAACATGATTTGCGAGTTGTTTGCTTTGTCGACCTGTCTTGGACTACCCGGTCACTAAGCTCCAGGGCTCTGACTGGCCATGGCCATGCCCGCTACCACCTGGGCACCATATCTCTATAGCTCGACTCGAGAGGAATATAAAGCTTTGCTCGTTGATCTTTTCCACTTCCCCTCGCCTCTTTGTCTCTGTCTCCAGATAATATCAACCGGCTCATTCACAAGTCCCCAACCTCCCGGCCTCTCAACGCTTTCGTCAACTCGGACAGTCGTCCTCGCATTGTACGAAGTACCTCGCCTTTGTCCTCTTGGTTCTGCCTATCTCGCCAACCCCACTCTGCATTCAGTTGATCTGAATTCGCTCCCAAGGTCTTTTACGTACCATTTTAATCAATACAAAATGTCTTCATACTGTGCCAATTACTATGTAAGTTACCATGATACGCTGCGGATCCAGGATTTGTGTGGGTTTGTGACTGACGTCTTCCTTCCAGGGCTCTGTCAACTGCCACAATGTTGTCAACCGCTTCGGTGACCGGTGCAAGCTCTGTCTGGCTCTGAAGAGCGGCGCGTCCCTCTCAGATGGGATCCTTCCCGAGGACAAGTACCGAAAGAGCAGCTCAGCCGTTGAGGCGCCGAGGAAACATCACCACCGAAGCCACGATGGATCGTCAAGGTCTATCCGGGTGGACTCTTCTTCACGACACAGATAACCGAGCCACCGCATATTATACGTTTTTCGAAAGCATGGCGTCAACAAGCAAACGTAGTTGGCCGCCAACGATCTAAATCATAGAAACCAACGGCGTTCGGGAGCTCATTTTGGTCAAAGGGCTCAGGAAAAGTACCGGGGGCCGTCACGGCGCCCCAGACCACTGCAAGTCAAGATCGACATTGATGGATTGGGGCCGTGATGAACAGCGGCTGGACTGGTGTTTGGATTGCATGGTAATTTTATATGGCACTGTGGGGGATACCCGGCGTGCATTCAGCGACGGTATGGTGGTTCGTGGTTGGTCGATTTGAGCATGCGACGGTCAATATGTAGTTGTCCTCAGGAGACCAGGCCGCGACAGCGCTCACAATGAGAATGTCAGGCAAACTGAAGCCAAAAAAAGTTGGTCCGCAAATTATTTGATCGCGTGTTGGTCGTCGAGTGATTTGTTTTGGCTATTGTAAATGAACGCTGTGTGTCAGCACTTGAGTTCAGCTATCCCAGACGCTGAGCATTGAATAACACTTGCACCATTCTATTCCACCCAGGTATAATCATGCTCCAAACCATTGTCTCTAGTCTCGCGGCTGGAATAACACCGTGGCCACCAGCCGATCAGATCAATACAGCCGGCGCTGGTAATAGACAGGTTCATCACCCTGTGCCAGCCTCATAATCTCCTCCTTTATCAGCCGCCTCCTCTCCGCCCTGCTGACAGGCTTTAGTGCCTCGTCCTCGGAAAGTTCGGTGTCTTCTCTGGGGGTCTGCTCTCCCTCAGCCCTCGTCTCCCATGGAGCCGGCTGTGGTTTTGTCTGCACAGACGCCTTCTCTGCTTCTTGTTTCGGCTCTTTTGCCTCTGCGTCCTCCGTCTCCTGCCGTAGCGTTTCAATCGCCAGTACTCTTTGTTGCTGCTGCTCGTCGGGTGACTCTATCGGAGTCTCGTGGACTTCAACAGCGACCTCACCGACCTCGCCATCACCTACGACATGTTTCCGGCCATCTGGCTTCCCGGGAACAGTAATCCGCTGTCTTACCGGCCGGTTATACTCGTCCAAGACCACTATTGTCCCGTCCGCGAGCTCTGTGGTGTCCTCCCTAAAGCGGTCTGGAATGTAAATCTGTGGCGACGGATTCGGCCTTATTGCGGCACGGAGGTGTCCCACTGTGCGCTGCTGGATCACATAGCCGCTGAGGAAAAGAGCCGTAGTACATGAGATGACTGCTGTTGTGTTAGTCGCCGACGACTGACCGTGACGTGACCATCGAATTGGGGTGGCTGGGAGAAGCATACCGATGGCCGAGGAGAGCGCAATAGACACTTGTGAGGATGTGAGGAGCACCATGTTCACTACAGATAAAAAAAAAGTAATTTGACCCGATGCTCAGAGCTGGTTATGGCGATGGGGAGAGACAGAGGCCAACCCGGAAACGGACTCGGGGCGCGAGAGCACCAGCTGCATGTGCTTTGTATTCATCTCCAGCCTCCGCGTTTGAGCGTCCTGCTAGCCGGCCTGTTGCTCCACCTTCCCGATCGGGTAGTAGAAAAACAAACCAAACGGGGCAACGCAATCGATAAGTGTCATCCTGCAGCACATCCTTGCACTACACGCCCGCGCACGGGCCGCGTAATCCTTGCTTCCACCACCCGCCCTGCCGTCCTGCCGCCCTGCCCGCTGTGGGGCTCTCGCATCTGCAACAGCTCCAACAATTTGCATCTGAAAGTCTGGGGAAGCAAATTTCCCGCCATCTTATCGACCTTGACATTCGACCAGGGCCTCAGAACTAGTTGTCTGTGACCGACGCGAGACGAATACTATCTCTGCGGCTGAGCACGTCTCCAGTCCTGCCTGAAAACCCCTCCAAGAGAAACATCCATCATTTCCACCAGACCAGAGCCTCGAGCCCGTAACTCCGAGCACCACCCACCCTGCCCCCGGGCACCGACAGGTCATACCTCCCGTGTCCCCGAGCGAAATGGCCGAACGAACCCACCGCGCCGATGAGCGGCGTTTTCTCGATGAGCGGGGCGGTGACGTACACCTGACCCCCAATGGCCTGAACCCGGCCAATGTTATGGAGAAGGCAGTGCGGGAGCGGATCGTCGACAGCTACTTCTTCAAGGAGCAGTGCTTCGGTGTCAATGAGGCCGACATTGTCAACCGGGTCGTGGACCACGTCTACTTCATTGGAGGAACGTACGGCTCCACACAAAAGCCGACGCCATTCCTCTGCCTCGCCTTTAAGCTGCTGCAACTGGCCCCAGGGGACGATATCCTCAAGGAGTATCTGGAGTATGGCGGAGAGAAGTTCAAGTACCTCAGGGCCCTGGCTGCTTTCTATATTCGTCTGACAAGGCGGGCAAAAGACGTCTATCTGATGCTGGAACCATACCTTGAAGACAAGAGGAAGCTGAGGCGCAAGGGCAGGGCCGGTACCAGCCTGACGTATGTCGACGAGTTCGTGGACGACCTTTTGGTGAAAGAACGTGTGTGCGGCACCAGTCTGCTGAAGATGCCCAGCCGAGATCTTCTCGAGGACCTGGACGAGCTTGAGCCAAGGGTCAGTCCTTTGGGAGACCTGGAGGATCTGCTCGAGGAAGATGATGAAGACATGGCGAACGGTCGCGAGGACGACGACAGGAGGAGCGGGTCGGACTCGGATGATAGAGACGATGAGGACCGAGCGAGGGACCAGATGGAAATAGATCGCGAAGAAACACCTCGGAGCCCGGATCGAAGCCCTTGAACACGCAACACAAGGAAGACCCGCTAAAATCAACTGGTGATCAAATGACCGGCTGAGGTACATTCTGGTTCAAAAGAGGAGCTCGCAAATGCGCTCTATGCCCGCAGCAGCGTCAACTTGTGAAATTACTAGTATGCAAGGTCGCCAGTGGTTGGACTACAGGCTGCACCCGTGCTCTACAGCGCGGATTTGGCCCTCATATGAACAATTCCTGACTGGATCCAACTCCAGTGCAACATGGTTTCGGTGCTGCTCAGGCCTCGCCTTGAAATTGCGACGTACAAGACGATGGTGTGACGGCTCGGTGAAGTGACCCCTGAGGGACGATACGTCCCATGGGTCGATTCTGCGGCTCTCATCATTTCAACAAGATCATCTCTTGAACACGCCACCGTGTACAAGCAAGTCTGACGTCGCGCCGATACCTGAGCACTTCTGCTGCCATCACGCAGATACAATGCTTATCTCAACCAGTTGCCAACAAGCGCCAGATCCCTGGGCGCCGCGAAAGAAGCTCTCCTGGTTGTCATACTTATAACCTCGAGTCGCAAAGTTCTATTACTGTGTGGTGAGCCAGTGATGCGCGCATAGTCGATCTTACGAAGCTGCGTAGCATCGAGCCCAGCGCATGGCCGAAAAGCGCCAGAGACCTCATAGATGTTGAACGACAAAAGAAACCGGATAGATCCGCCAATCACACGATGCAGGTATGGCTCTTATACTGGCTTCTTGTTTCGAACAATCGGTGAATTGCACACACACCACCAGAACAAATAACAATATGAAATCACCACAACCAACTACCTACATGTGTAGGTAGAGATCTAGAATAATGATCATCTCACATCATCAGTCCCAATGTATTATGCACTCAGATGTACTTCAAAAAAGTCATCTCTAATAAGTATGCAGGCAAGTCATCAGAGAGGGATGCTGATTGGGGGGGGGTACGTCATTTGTCTAACTCAGGCGGCAGTACGCCACAGACCCTGTTTTTCGCCACACCATCACCTAGATACTCCAGAAGGCAGCTGCTAGATTCTGTGTGATTGACAAAAGACATTGATCTCGTTAGATTCATCCCTTTTGGCAACCCATTTTACTTTCCCCACGTCGGGCACGTTCAGAATATACAGACTCCACACTCGTCCCCAAATAAACCACTATTGCTCTCCCCAAATGCCTGACGAGGGCCTCATCCCGTCTATCCAGCGTCAGATCCGCAATGGGATCGGGACAGCTGGCGACACGGTGGGCAACTACATCAACAGCAACGGCAAGGCCATCCAGGACGCGGCCTACGCAGCCGGCCGCCGGGTCGACGGCGTCAGCCGGAGCGTCAGCACCTCGGGCAAGTCCGCGGGCAAGTCCGCCAACGACGGGTCCAGGGCCGCTGGCACGTACGTGCAGAGCGTAGGCAGAAGCGTCAGCCGGCAGATCGACAGCTACGCCAGCTACGCGGGGAGGCAGGTCGGGGCCGCGGGAAGATATGTCGACGGTAGTGGCCGGGCGGTCGGCGGTCGAGTGGGTGATTTTGGCAACCAGATCAAGGACAAAAGCGGCGCGAGGGGCGCGAAGATGAGCACGCCTAAGAATCCTCTGGGGATCAGCGGAAACCGTGCGGTGTGAGGAAATGAGTATGGATAATTTTCAGAATGATTCTGCGATTTGGAATCGGCTCGTGCCCAAGTGGTTCTAAAGTTGGTAATCTCCGCGTGTTCCACCATTGCGAAGCTTTGGAAGTTACGATAATGGTTTGCCGCGTTGTGCGTTCGCCGCCGTACTCTGGTTTAATGCGTCTGTCATGGAGCTTTAATAGAATGATACCCTTTTCAGGCATTATCGCTCGATGAAAAACCTTTCAAATGTTTGTTCTCCTTTCCCAAACCTTGCTAACTGCTGATTGATTTGTGGATACTTCCCACTACAGGCAATTCATGATACTTCACTACCATGGAATGCCCTATCTCAAGGTGCTATTTGAGAGCCGGCTGATATGTCCTCACAGTTTTCTACCCCTTGTAAAAGCACTGAGTTCTGCTCGTTTACGTTATCAACACAAATAAAACGATAGTTCAGCTCATGCACAAGCCGCGCAACAACATCAGTGGTATGATCGGAGGATTTCAATAACAAGGATTTGTCCCAATCACATTACAACTTGCGAGAAAGACCGTGCCATCAAGTCACAGAATGACTTCAGGATACAGTAAAGAAAACCACTTTGATCTTCATAAGGAACTGTGATAAATCAAATACATCATAGCAGTGGTCCATACTTGGTCGAAATACTTTGAGGGTGATGTGTGATTATAGTCATGACTACTAGTAGGACTTGTCCTCCAGTATGTAACATAGCCAATCCCCTATATAAACCTAAACACGCCTAGGGATTGCTTATAAGACCAATCCACCAAGCACTTGAGCGTGTGACCTCAAATTGATACCTATACTGGCATCTGCGAGGTCATCAAATATGCCCAAACCTCCACAGACAGTGTGCTGCAATGCATTACAGCATGCATTTGTAACTAGTAATCAAATATGTAATGGCTCAAGAGGCAAACACTCCAAGGCGGGTACCCTAGGGTAGGCACAGAGTCCCCCCAACCTAATGAGATGTGTGGGTAGCGTAGATGGCAAAGTCATCACAGGGAGTAAAGCTTCATAGAAAGCACTGCTCGTGATGAAACAGACTGATGATAGCACCCTGGAAGATGTTATAAAATATGTGAGGGGTCAGAGCTCTTCATGTAGATCCAAGGCTTTTTCTCCCACCTTGGTTCCTCTACGAGATTCTGGCTGGCCTTATTGAGGCTGCGTAGTACCTGGAGTTGTGCCACGCGGTACCAATATAACACATCTATTGCCATGTTTGGAATGATTGGTTAGACGACATTTTCCTTTTTGGCCGTCAGTTAGGATACTAGATTTTAACAGGGACCAGCCTGGTAGGCAAAAGATGTCCATCTCCTGGCGCTTGGTATCTTTGCTCGAAGCCTGCTCCAGCTCCGAAGCATCTTGCATGCCGTTAGAGCCCGTTGATATTCTCTGGACGCTTTCCGCGCTCATATCTAGGTAGCTGGTCTGAACCCCCTGGAAGTTGTGCAAGCTGAAGCTTTGACTAGAAGCCATGACGGGTACTTCTGTGCACAGTTACCGGTAACTCCTGAAGTTGTCAAACATTTGCATCCAAAGCAGCTGATACTTTAAATTACCAATATTAAATAGTGTGCCTTTATACACAGGATTATAAATGATTCACAGGTAAAATTATTTCTACTAGTATTTACATAGGATATTAATATAATATATATAGTTTTACTTCTATTCTATATACATCCGAAAACATATATAGTGCCTTTATACAGTAGTAAGTGTGACGGTACGAAGCTTATAAGTGTTGAATTCCAAGTTTGGGCCACTTGGAATTGTGGCCTTTTGGCCGGGGCGACTATTGCGCAACACTCGATAGATCCGTCTCAGTAAGCACTCAAGACCCAGCGCTTAGAAAGAATACAGTACCAATAACAATAGTTATAATACAATAGGTGCTTATAGCCTCAGCCTTACAACACACAGACAAGGCTAAGGGGCACCGCATACAACCTATGTTGGTTGGTAATTGTTGGGCTGTAGTCTCTGCAAACCAGTGAGTTGCATGCTACGGCTCTTTGTAACAGTGCTATCGGACCATGACAGAAGTTGAGAGTCCAAATGTACTTACAATGATTTTCTGTCTTCTACTTGAATTGCAAGGCAAGGCACGGGAAGCATCAAAAGATTCTATGTTATAGTGACATAATATAACAATAACAAATGTTTCTCTGAGTTGGAATGCCTCCATGAGATGATGTAGAAATGGTAAGGCCATAAAGAATTATCCATGTCTTGTGTGTCAATCACTTACTTAAGTATGAGTATAAGTACTCACTTTAGGCTGTCTTGGTCTTCAAAGGTTGCGTTAATTTGGTACCTATGTAGCACTTGAGCAGAAGCTTCTCATTGGATTCATTTGTATCAATTGGTTATATTTCCAAGTGTGCATTACATGTTCCACATGCAGTGGAGTCTCTGAAACTCAAGTACCAGTACTAAAACACAGAGTCGTTCTCAATTTGTAAGGCCGGCCGCAACCATTGCATCCGTATGACCGAGGCAATCAGGGCACGCACGGGTTACACGCATGGCTCGACTCCACCTGCAGTCAGAAGCACAAATATCAATCACAGACCCAACTTCAATGTTAGTGGCACCTTGTCATTTATAATCCAAGATACTCCACAGTGTGATTCCACAATGTGGTCCACTTCTCGAAGCACTTGTGCAGCGATTACATATGTATCGTATGATACTGCACATGTGCACAAGGGTTTCCATTCCATTCTCGTCACCACAGCCCTACATGGTTCAAGCTGGAAGCTGCACGTATCCGGGCCGCCCGGGCTGCCTCCAGTCAGTGAGATCGCATATTGAGTGTCTCACATGGACTCAATGCATGTTGTCTGCCCTCAAGGCGTGTAGAGGCTGTCATTGCTACGATACTCTGTTGTCGATGGCATGGGTGCGGTGGACTGTTCTAGTGGTCCGTGCACCGGGACTATTCTGGGCTGCCGGTACCTACACAGGTACCTAGGAGGCCACTTTATTAACCAACGAGCAGCCCAAGTCCACTCCTTCTGAGTCAGCCTCGAATGATAATTGCGCATTAGTCTACACAATTCATGCGAACATTCCGCAGGATCAAATCTCACAATCTGCGGCCTCACTTGCACCTGTCGCAGAGCCTTACTAACGCTGCCCGGTGTGTCACCATGTCTGCAAACACAGCCAAGCAGCCGGCCACGGCCAAGAACGCGAAAGATAGTCACAAGCCTGCCGTGGAAAAGAAGGAGTTAAAGATACTCATGCTGCACGGTTAGTCTGCCATCAATTATCCATGTTCAGCCGTGGCAAAACACAATGTGCTGATCTTTTGCCCAAAGGCTATGCGCAGACCGGCCCTCTCTTCAGGTCCAAGACGGGCGCAATGTCGAAGCTGATGGCCAAGGCGCTGCCGGACGTGAACGCCTCTCGCATCTACCCAACAGGGCCGCAAAAGCTGCAGCCCTCTGACATCCCGGGCTTCCAGCCCCGCGACGGCGCCGAGGGCGAGGAGGCCCCCGAGACGTTTGGGTGGTTCTACCACGACGAGGAGGCGGGGCCCTACCGTGGCTTCGACGTGGGCATGCGCGCCGTCGCCGACGCCATCGAGGACGCCGGGGGAGTCGACGGCGTCCTCGCTTTCAGCCAGGGGGCCGCCGTCGCCGCGCTTGTTGCCGCCGCGATGGAGCCCGACCGCGCCTTGCCCGAGGACCCGGCACAGCGGGCGTGGGTGCTTCGGCTGCGCGAGGCCAACGGCGGGCGCCCGCTGAGGTTCTGCATCCTGTACTCGGGCTTCGTCGCCCGGCCTGGTGCTGGGCTCGGGTGGCTGTATGAGGGGCGCATCAAGACGCCTTCGTGCCACTTCTTTGGGAGCCTGGACACTGTGGTGGCGGAGGAGAGGTGCAGGGCACTCGCAGACCACTTTGTTGACCCGGAGGCCTTTGTGCATCCTGGAGGCCATCATGTGCCCGTCAGGAAAGAGTGGGTGGCCCCTCTGACTGGCTTCCTGAAGCACGTCCTCGAGAAGGAAGCGGCAGCAACTGCGACATCCTGATGAGGGCTACGTGCATGTCGATACCGCTTGGGAGGCCTCGACGCATGCCTTTCATGGTCCAATTCGATCCAGCGCATGGCAAGCGGTTTCGGCCCCCCCCCCCGGGTTCGTAATATTCGCGAATTTGTTCCTTTTACTTGTTCATAGTGTATGCTGTCACCCAACAGCACAAACGCAAAGGCCGTCCTCATATACCGGTAGACGAGGAATCTTGAAGGATCAATAGACTGCCGATAGATTTTTGAAGGATAGACGAATAGACGGATCTCTTTTGACATAACCCCTTATAAGCTCGCCTAGTAAAAACTGTGTTGGCGCTGTGTGGATCGGTACATGGACCAACAAAACCGGCATTCTTTCCGTGCGTGTAGTTAAGTGAGCATAGAATCTGGTCATCTCGACACTGACGCGCAGGAAACTCGGTAGCAAGCTGATGAAAAGGAACATCAGAAAGCAGTTTGCGGGGCAGAGCCTCTGTCCCACAGTTTCACCACGAGGGCCAGTTTCTCAATATCGTTCTCAATTCCTGAGATCCGAGTTTCAGGCAAGCCGAGGGATTTCCCTCCTTGCAGCTTACCAGACACCATGGATCAAATCTAAACACACGCTGTCCAAGGAATGCATATCAAGCGCGGTCACTCCAAGAATAGTTTGTACAGGGTCCGAGTCAGTCAGCCGCGCTTTCGGTCAACCAAATGGCTCAACTTGGCGAGCCCAGGCGTTTTCCCCCCACAACAAGTGCGTGGTTCTGGCCTTGTTGGTCTTGGAAATTGTTGGAATGTATGGGAATCTGGAGGACCGCCCGCTCGAGCCGCACCGGAGATGAAATAGAAAGTCCGAAAATTTGGCCCAATGAGGCTAAGTACAGAAGGCAGGAAGATGGTTTGCACTACGCGAATCCTATGAGCAGTTGGACGGGTGACCCAAAGAGGCTGCCCGCGCGCTTGCTTCGTGGTCCCGGGCCTTTGGACCTATACAGGTAGGTACACAGACAAACCCTGGCACGCCCCATTAGAAAATCCGAACGTGTATTGGCAGATAATTAGCTCCAACCTTTATTCAGCGAGGGTAAGATTCTCTTTCAAATCCAGACAAATGGGCTCGGGGACACGTGTGTCTATCCTTGCGTACTCAGGCATTGTACTCGGGCATCGACTGATGGACCATTTGCAAACCACCGTAGATAATCTCGACGACCGAATCAAAATCGGGTAATATACAAATGGCACCAGTCGGCTTTCACAGTAAGCCAAGAGGAAACCGGATGCACCCACACCTCCTCAAGGCGTGGATTTGATACTTATATGACTGATTGAGGACTTGGGTGTTTACCACTGTATGAAGGCGCCACATACATTTTATATGTATGGGGATTAAAAACGAAACCACCCATGGCTGATTGACTGACTGACCGACCGAGCTAGGGTTTGTAACTATTACGGGCCTTGGAAATACAGATGGTGGACGGAGGAGAAACGTGCAGTGTTGCAGAGGACAGACATTGCTCGTGCCGTGCCCAGTCTGCCCAGCTTCCCCCGAAGCTGAACCGAAGCACCCAGCAGTGCTCCCCGGGCGAGTCTAATCAATACGAACAAGTGCTCCTGCATAATATGGCAACTGGTCTGACTACCGTTTTTGCGTGCGTGCAGCAAAGAACAGCGCGGGTAATTCCTCATCCGTCCTGATGTATCATCAGGGCCACCGCACACTGCCAGTGGCCTGGACGGCCGTTCACAAGGCTACTGAGTAGAGCACGGGGGCAGCCGATGATTTCTCAGGTCAAGATTCCTCGACACTGTCCGCAAAGCGGGCTGAAAGGTGGGCCGATCAAGAAGCAGGACACGGTGTCAAAGCGCAAGTGGTGCTGGAAACCTGGTTCGGAGTTTAATAAAGGGTGACAGTAGACATGATTGGACGCAGTGAAGAGAGGCGAGAGAAGAGCAGCGGCGGTCGTTGGACCATACCAGAACTCTCGGCGTCGACTCAAGGCCAAGGACGGCGATGAGGGAGGGAGAGGGTTCGGCAGCCGGCTGGATTGGGCCGGGACTCGCTCGGGAGTGCCCCGGAACCCAGCCATTTTTGGCTGGGGAGTAAAAGAGGAAATAAGAAGTGCTCAGAGGCAGCATGGGCAGACATTGTTTCTTGGCGACGCAGTGGTTGGCCAGGTCGATGATTAGCTGGCCCTCGACCCGGGCAAGCTGTCGTTGGATGGGCTGGGCTGCAGGCGTCGCAGCAGGCGTCGCATGAGGCGCACAGTAGCAGCGTCACCGCCACGGCCCGGGTGCGAACCTTAGGGAGTGTTCGTCTGGCATCAAAGGTCGGGGTGAAATGAAACCAAAAGCCAAAATAGGTGGCGCTGGGGCCAATGGAGGATGAGAGCACGATTGTTGTGGTTCGCGATGCGGAACGAGGCCCTTGTGCGGGCTGGGCTGGTCGCACGGGACTCCGTATCTGGCGTGGCAGCGTGGGTGTGGGTGTGCAAGTACCCAAGTACCCAAGTACCCAGGTAGGCATTAGCCGGGGTTGCAATCTGGTGCGGCGGTTGGGACCTTTTCCCGCGGGGCTTTCGGAAGGCCGTCCCAGAGGGGTGGAACATTCCGGGGCCACTACGGTCGAAAGAAGGCTAGGGTGGGTACTGTGGTATCACGCCCATGTGGGGCTAAAGATCTGTGAGATGGCCACACTAAGTACCGGGATTGCCGCAATGTCAGCTGGGTACTGTGTACGGAGTACTTGTACTAGACAGTAATTTGTGGTACACAGACGCAGTCCATAACAGTACAACACGAGCCTGCGTGGGCCTCTGGTTGAGACATCAGGTCCTGCATATTGTATGTGCTACTGTGTATGTGCAGTCAGTCTCACTGGGGTCACTGTCATCAGAGGGCGAGCCGGGGGAGGCACACGTCAGGTAGTACGGAGGGTGTCTGTCTGTCTGTCTGTCGTAGCTGACGTTGGCAGGTGGTGGCATAATGCATGCACGGGGGCGGGAGGGCCAGGCGGGAGGGCCAGCCAGATGGTCGATTGTGGTAGCCCGTGTGGGTGTCAGCATTTGTGCCTTGCCAGCTTGCCCACCCGTGGCACCCGGTGGGGGCAAGGTTTGGCAATCCGAGGTTCGAAGCGGCGGCATGTTCTGCCAGGCCGAAGGTTGGGGTTTCCAATTCCCGCGCCAGGGTTGAGTCCAGGGCCAGATCCCCAGTCGGGACTTTGCATCTCACAAGGACAAGGTCCGGCTGTTGCTGTTGGACCACGTTCAGGAGGGCAGGGAGAGGGAGACGCAAGCCGCCTTTTGGTGGTCTCAGACCTGGCGAATCAGAGGGGGCTACCCGAGGACATACTGCTGGATTATTACCAGACAACAAGTGCTTGCGCTCTGGGTTGGGGGTCTTGGGGGTCTTGGGGGTCTGGCTTCTTGGACGACCTCGACTCATGAGACCGGGTCAATACTCGGCATTCCCAGGCCACGGCTGCCGCGCTGCAACATTGAACTCGCACCCGCCGTGACCCACCTGACAGGTGCTGACTGCTGGGCTGGGCCCAAACTGCGTCAGTCGCCCAGAAGCCGGGCCCTGGAAACACCCCCAAACCCCATCTGGTGCACTGGAACTTTTGCAGTCACCCGGTTCGCCCAGCTCGCCCAGTTCGCCTAGTTCGCCATCCGCCCTGCCCACCCACCACGCCAAAGGTCCAAACAGGCCAACCAGCGCTGTTCTGTGCCAAGCTTACCCAATTTACCCCCATGTAACCTTGGGCCGGCGACGACCTGCCAACCTCAGACGACCGAACCACCGACTGTCTACTCCGTATCTTGTCTTGACTGACTGCTCCCGTCTGCCATCTCGAGCCTCACCCTCCCTCCGTCCCCTCGCCACACCCGGCCCTCCCATTCTCGGGCCGCTGCCTGCATCCCAGACCCCATCACCTCTCGGTCCTGCCGCCCTGTGCACGCTCGTCTTGAGGCCCGCATATCCAACCCGTCCTGGCCCGTCCTCGCCCGTCCTCGCCGACCGGATCTCACCTCGATGGCGCACCTACGCCTCGCTTAGCGATGTCCTCACGACCCCCGATGGGCGTGCCACAGCGACAGCCCCCCTCGAGATCCCTCAGCGGTTCGAGCTCCCTGTCGCAGCGGCCTGCCCATCAGCGTACCCTGTCGTCCCAATACATACCATCCTCCCCCATACGCAACAGCAATGCCAACAGCACCTCCTCCAACAACAACATCACCGCAGACTTCACCGCAGAGCCGAGCAGTCAGAACAGCAATGCCGCCCAGGCTCAGTACGGCACCCCGCGCAGGGGCGGCTCCCGGCTCCGGCTGGAGCTGTCCAACCAGGGCATCACACACTCTGGCTTCATCGAGTCCCCCACCAGCGCCGGCCCCCTCGACCCCTTCAAGTCCTTCGCCTCCTCGCGCCCGGCCGCGCCCAGCATGTCCGGCGACCTGTCCGACCTGGGCGATATGAGCAGCCCCCAGACCTCCAGGGGCGCTCCCACCGCAGATATTGACAATATCCCTCTGCCCATGCCGAGACGCCGCACGCGTTTCGTCGTCCCCGATGCGAGGAAGGACGTCGCCGCCCCAGCCCCCGCACCCGTCAAGAAGGATGTCCGCCCCAAGCCGTACACGGTCGAGGTCCCACCGGCCGCGCCCCGCTACCTCGTCCTCAACGCCTCGGGCAAGGGCGATTCCGCCTCGAGAACCGGGTCCACCAACGCCCCTCCGACCGCATACGCGGATTTCAACCCTTGGACCGGCGACGGTCCTGAAGACCATTTCACCCAGACCTTTATCCAGACCGGCTTCTTCGACAAGGCCCCCGTGGCACAGGTCGAGACTTCGTCGGCCAAGGGCGCAATATTCCCCAGTCTGAAGCACAAGACTGGCCTATATGCGCTCTCCACCGTATTTACCGGCATTCTCGGGTCAAGGCGGCACAACGGCCAGATCAGCTCTGCTTCGACATTCAAGCCGCCTCCGCGGGTGACCGTTACGGATACAAAGAGGGAGGGCTGGCTAAGGGATCTCGCCAACCCCACCACCTCGCTCCGTCGGTTGAGCAGGACAATCCCACACGGAATCCGGGGCAAAGGCCTGCTGGAGCAGTGCCTCAACAAGAACATCCCAACCGACCGGGCTGTCTGGCTGGCCAAGTGCGTTGGAGCCAATGAGGTCAGGGCTTTCAAGCGTAAAGGCGTCAACGGCGCTGTTGTCATGGGTGGTGAGGCCAAATGGGTCCGCGATTGGACCATGTTTGTCGAACAGTTTGTCGATGGCGTTGTGTCTTCATTTGAGGACGCCGAGTGGAAGATCAAAGTCAACTATGCGTAAGAAACCCTTGCCCTGTCCAGGAACATGTCCTTGTTCACATGCTTCCGCAAGTACTGACGTCCCCTAGATTGCGCCTTGCCACACATTTATACGCCGAACACCTACTAGACCGCGACCATTACATGGAATGGCTGGTCTCCGGGCTGGAGAATTGCACCCAGGCGAGGTTGCCCATGTGGCTCTTAGTGACGCAGATCTACTGGAAAGACCTTTTGAGATTAAGGAAATACGGTCGGCGCTTGGTCGTTGCCCTGCTCAACCAGAACACCACTGTGAGATCGAACCACACATAGTCCCTGAGATCCCGCGACGCTTGCTGACCACCGAGACAGATTCAAAACCACCCCGACAACGATATTCTAGCTCCGCTGTCGTCGAGAATAGCGGTGTTGCTCAAGTCGTTGATGGTTTCGAGCGCGACCAATTTCATCTCTCCCTCAGCATGGGCCAAACACCGCGATGCTCTGTCTTCGATCTTACCTGCAGACGACGAGCTGGTCCAGGCTGCGTACAGAGGAATACATGCCCGCAATGAGCAGCTCGTTTCCAGCGTGCGAGCGCCACCTGCGACACGGCATGTGATTGTGAAGATGCTCGACGGGACTCTTCAGGCTCCGATGCCGGATGACCTACCGACAAAATGCTGGCAGATGTCCAGAGATCAAGCCACACTGGTCAGAACAACACTGGAGTGGTCCATCTCGATGTACCGTCCCGGACTGGCTAGGATCTACGTTGCGTGTCGCCTTCTGTCTACGTGGACGGCATTCGGCTTGGACGCCACCGCTGCAGTCCTGGACTTTTTAAACACCGACCCACTGGAGGAGTTGGAAAGGAAGAACTCCTTGTATCACCTGGTCGCCGAGCTTGTTCACTCTGGCTCCTTTGACCCTCTCATTTACGTGCAGTGGCTCATAGCCCGAGGCGGGCTACACGACTCGGACAGCGTCATGCGAGACGGGCCGGCCAGCAGTCGACTGCTGGTGGAGCTACCGCTCCACGCCCTCTCCCCGTCTTTGATTAGCATGCGTACCAATATGCTAGGGAGAGCATCCTACAGCGTCGAGGACGAGGCGAAGGATCAGGAGATGGCCATCAATTGCATCAGAGGCAGCCTGGGTCTCCACTGGAGTCCTGCACAGAAGAGCAGCGCCATCCCTCTTGGCAAACTCTGCAGAAGGGTCAATCTGAGCAGCCGCTCGTTGAAGGTCGAGATTGGTCAGTTCATTCGACGGACCTTTGTGCAAGGCGTGCCCCAGGGCCAGCTACCTGGCAAAGAAGGGCTCCAGCTGCCTTGCTCAACGTTCAATGGCGTCAGGTCCATCCTGGAAGCTGCAGAAGACTTCCAAACTCTCGCCGACCTTCTCAAGACAACAACGGGCTTTCATGATGCCGACATACTGTCCTCGTCCGCTGATACACTGAACCTGCATCTCCCAGTCTTTGGCGCGCTCAATGCCGCCAAGAGTCTGTTTGAAACTCTTCTGGCGAGGCTTGATAACATGAAACAGATCCAGGGTCTTGCTGGCACGCGTCCCCTGCTGACCTCGATGGCCATGCTAGCGCCTCGGATACCCGGACAGGATGCCCTCGTCAACCATCTCAACGAGACCATCCGCAATGATCGAAGCAGCGCTGTCGATGCGTCGTCCCCAGTAAGCGACAACATGGCGGCCAGGATCCAGGACGAGGAAGGCGAGCTCCTGGATGAGATCGAGAAGAGGCTTGCCAACAAGACCAGCATGGACCGGACCACGATGAACAGCTTCTTGAACAAAATCATCCCAAAAGTTCAAGCTTGTTGGGGCGTGGCGGATGAGAGACTCCGGGCGTACAGCTCCCTCCTCACGCGCTTACGCCATTTTGACATGCAGCATTTCGACTCCTTCATGACCAAGTGGGTCCTGGGCATCCGCAATCCCCAAACTCGACCACCTCTTGCCCGCATATTCCCTCTCATGATAAGCGTGGGATGTCTCAACCTTTCAATAATCCTGACTACGACCGGAGACGCTGCATCGGCCACTGGGAGTTCTCACCCGGCTGGCAAACTCGCTGGAACGCCGTCGACATATGTCCAAGAGGTGCTAGAAATGTTGACTATGTCGCCGACCTCGAAAGACTTGTTGACACCGGAGGAGACATATCGGTTCAGGATCCTGCAGAACCAGGCACCCAAGTCGCATCTAAAGGAACTAGTCGCTCTTGTGCGCAATGCCTTGTCGGAATTCTGTGCTTCACAGGCTCGAGGAGTGGCCGGATCAGCTCCATTGGCCGATTCCCGGGCTCAGAATCGTCTTATATGCTTTCTCAGGACGCTTGTACTCTCTGACCAAGCTGCTGTGCCCAAGATGTTGCCCATGAAAACATCGGATCCGGCGGTAGTTCAGATGATGGACGATATTGTGACGCGGCTGCTACTCCCGCACACTGCCCAAGGAACCAACATCACATTCGACCAGGTCCTTGGACTTGCGAACGAGCTGACTTTGCCCTTCTGTCAGTTAAAGCTGTCTCAGGGGTTCGGACCCAACGACAATACCTCTGGGGCCACTGCCCAAGACCGGCAAGCCTCCCAGCTCGAGATTTTTGCCAAAGCCATGGACAACGCCATTGATGCACGCAACATCACTTGGACTGGGATGCTTCCAACTCTGAGTCCTGAAATCACGCAGCATTTGCTCATCCGCGCTCAGACCCGCTTTTTCGAGCTTCTCCCCTCCAAGGACCGGCCTCTACCGCCAGACGACAGCATTTCTGTGGCGGAGAGTCTGCTATCTGTCATCGATACAATCGGTCGCGGTAGTCTGATGGGTTCTCGGTCTCCGCTGCAGCTTGCTTCTGCCACAGTCGACAGATTGGCTGAGATGTGGGAATTATTGGCATTGCCTTCAGAGTCGGACGTCAAAGTCACAGTCCTCGTCAACTGGCTCCCCCTCATGCTGTCATACCTAACCCTTCAGACACATGTCCATGATGCCGCGAACAAGGCATCCAATGAAATTCGCGGGCGCGCGTTGCTCGTCTTGTCCGGCATCATGCAAGAACTCGATGGCCTGGCATCCCTTGCTACCTGCGACGCGCGTGTCCCCTCGAACCAGACCGTCTACCTCATTCACCGCGTCTTTGATGTCGCCGTGATTCTGGTTGACACACTGTCCGACGAGATACGCCAGCAATGTGTTCGCATTCTACGTGAAGCGCTCTCAGACTCGCGGCTCCGGTATATATTCAGCTCCGCACCGGCGCCACTCGACAATCTCATGTTATCGCACAAGGATAAGCCGGCCACTGCCCAACAGGCGCAGAGCCAGGGCAGCCAGCAAGGACAGCAAGGACAGCAGCAACGGCCGCGCGGTGCCGGGTTCCTCGGCGTTGGCGCAGCCGGCGGCAATATCTGGGGGAATGCTGTCGGCCCAGGCGGGCAGGGTCAGGAAAAGCTAAGCGCATTCACCTTCAAAAGATGGGAGATCTTGAACGAGCCCACATCCAACGTGGGAGAGAACAATACAAGCTTGAGCTTGACGCTTTTCGAAGCCATCAAGCTGCACTAAGAACCTCTCAAGGGCAAGGAGAGGACAGCGTTGGCTACACACCAGATGAGCCGTACATTGGAACGTTTGAATTTTGGACGTGCGCGTGCATATATACTGTCGTTCATGAACTCACGGCGTCATGATGGATCTTCGATGCTTTTTACCCCATTTGTTTTTCAGGGAGGGAAAGAAGGCAAGTCGGGTGCGACGGGTGCATAGCAGCATTAACGCGGATGGGATCATCGATAACGCCTACATATACCTTGGGTGTGTTTTCCTTTGTACATAAGGCCACGCAGCTGGACACGCTACTTAAGTGTCAGCCTCCAAGCTGGTGGGCCTCGGCGCTTTTGGTTTGAGGGCATCAATTGATTATCTGTCATTTTTCATATTTTGACTCGCTTCTGGGTTCTAGTCAACTGGTATCTCATAATTCGATGGAACGTACATTACTGTACTGGCTTTCTCTCCAGGATTTGTGTGCTCGTGGAGCAAGGCCGGTCACTTTGCTCAACACATTCTCATGGTGGGAGGTAGAGAGTGAGGCTAGTCTCAGCCAAGTCATCTGTGAAAAGCGATGCGATAAGCGTTCGCCACAGATGGCTGAGTAGTCTTCAAATGGGAGTCTCTTGCGTCAGATGACGCAGAGAAACATTCCTCTACGATGACCACGTGTAGGTTTCCTTATGATTCCACTCATGTGCATGTTAGCGACGCTGCGGCAGTCCCCTGATCAATGGATGCCGTGGGATTACGGAGTACGCCTTGAGAACTTGGGCGCTCAACCAACGTCCCGCCTATCTAAAGGAATACCAAAGCAATGAGATCACATTTTTACAGACTTGATAGGCGCTAGGATCATAGTGCAGCCGCTCAGCTATAGCCTCTCCCTGTGCCACAGTGAGAACTTCCATCACTACATGCAGAACTCGTACCGGTCCCTACGTCTGGGCTCGAGTAATATTGTGCTATCCACCAAGCAGTCTAATATTTTCGGGTCCTCTGGGATTCCTTATCGAAATCCATCTGGCAGCAGTAGGTACTTTCTGTATTACGAGCACACATGATCGACCCTTATCCTCGCTGCTGGAGACTTTCGCACAGCTCATTGTAGAGGACTTTCCTCACCTGGGATCCCCCCTCCAAAAGACTTGTACTGTGAATGTGTCAACTCAGTTTGGCAGTCCTGATCTAGACCCTGCATGGAGTGATAGGCACCGGGGACGGTCTTCACGGCGCACAGGTACAAGCCAGCCGCAACGATCCGAGCACATGGAAACAGAGAAAGGGAGTCCCTTCGAGGGCAGGGGGTTGGTGTAATGGCCGTAGGACGCAAATACAAGGTTTTCTCAGTTTCTTATATCATACACATGATTCAAATCAACAGGTCATTCTTCAGGCTGTAAATTTATTAGGAATGCAACGTTAATATGTGAGAACTTATTACATTAATTGCCACGCGTCTCATCCATCGCGGCTCTAAACATTGTATGCAATAATGATCCTGCTAATCATAGACAAGAGAGATTCTAGGTTGGCCGCCGAGTTTTGGCAACGCCAGGAACGATATCGGATTCCTTTCAGGGAAACCATCGACGACTGAATGCGCAAGTCGATGCTGCCGTCTATTTCTTTTCAGCATGCTCTAATCCCCTTACTGGCAAGTCATCAGCAGGTTGGAGGCGAGGTAGCCACAAGCACCGTTATTGGTATCAACGGCAATCTATAAGCTGCGTGAGCATTGTGTCATAAGATGCCCAAATCTGGGTTCCAAGATTCTTGAAGAGTCACATACGTTGATGAATCCACCATCTCCATTGCCTTTGAATTCGCCACCACTCTTCAAGTAAAAGCAATCGTAGCTAGATGAGAGATCCGAAGTCAGCGTCGCCCGTACAGTTATGAAGATGGCCCTGTTCGTGCCAATCTGGCACAAAGAAAGGAGGCGAACTTACTCCGCCTTGAGCTTTCCAGACGTAACTTCGAGGCTGACAATGTCACTCCTCTTGGCGGGGTCGTTGACCATGTAGCCCTTGTTGTAGCAAACCGCGCCCTTGAAAGATGGGTCGGCCTTGTAGTTGGTGGCCATGCGGGCCACGGCGTCCTGAGTAAACTGCTCGCGCACCTGTTCTCTACTGTCAGAAGGCACTTCACCACCGAGATCTGAGTATGTGTGCACCGAATGGGGGCCGAGAACTCACCTTGTCCCAGGAAGATCTATCCTTGATCAGGGCCTTGATCGTTTCCAAACCCTGCTCAGTGGCCCAGGTAGCGGCTGCTGTGGTAACAGTGGCGATGATCGAGATAGTGACAGGGTCTAGTTGGCGCTTCTCGACCTGGCTAGACGCAGAAGTCTCGCTCTGGTCGACGGGTGCGGCGGAGGCAGCGAGGAAGAAGGTGGCGGCGGTGAAGAAACGCATCTTGAAGTTTAAGTGGGTTGGGCTGGTGCAAGGGTTGCTTGATTAGAAATGAAAGCAGCAAGAGATGAATTTGTGCTTGGTAGAAGGCTGAATATGATGGTGCTGCTGATGAGTTCCCGAAAACGAGAGGACAGAAGCTGGTCCTCGACGACCTTTTTATGTCCTTCTAGATATGGCCGGTCAAGAGATCTCTTTGAGACCGACATTTGTCTTGGACGATCAAGTCTACAATATCCTGCCGTCGAACTGCCTCTAGGACCTTGTTCAACCATAGTCAAACACGGGCGCCTGCTCGTAATTCGGCTTACAGAATCTCAATGACCAATCGCAGACCATGAAATAGATGGACCTCTGAAATACAGATGAGAACTTCCCCCGGCAGTTGGGTTCCACGATCCGGCTTGATTGTAGCGATGGATTTCAACTAGGTGCAAACAAATCGAACTGTTCAACGTGGGTTCTATCGGCCGAAAGCATGCATGCCCCAGGGTGTCTGTCAGTCAAGTCTCACTCGATATGTTTCTGTCAGGGCTGCGGTCGAGGCGGCCCACTTGACCGAACCTTAATTCGCGCGCCCCCCCCCCCTTTGGACAGGCCCCCCTGGAAGATCTGGAAGATGGACATGTATGTCCTCACAGACGCAATGGTTCACGGGAGCCTTTAGCTGCCGTTGCCGTCCCCTCGGAGGGCCAATCGCTGTCACGCTTCATCCCCATACGCCGAATAGTGTACACGTACAGACGCTGACTCCATGTTCTAGCCCCTGCATATTAACCTTAATTCCCCAGCCCGCTTCCCCATGCTGCCGTTGAGTGCCCGGGTCAGTAGACAGTTGTCGCATCAATTGATGTTAGCTCGGGACCGTACCAAACCACAGCATGATGACCGAGTCAGTTTGAGTGCACATCGCTACCGTAACTTTCTCTGCCTCACGCCAAGTTTACCCCGGCAAGGTGTAGATACATACACAGTTGTCCATTACTCTGGTCACCATAACAATTGGTGGGCAAAATAAAATAAGCATACATGTATCACTCCTCACAGCATAGCAATATAGGGCTCTGGAGTAGTCCTGTTGGAAAAGCAACTTACAATTCCAAGCACAGGACCTATGTGTCTCAAAACAAACTAAATCCATGCTGCTTACTTCTTTTGGGCGCTGAGGCACGGAGCCAGGTGGACATCGGCTTAAGCAGCCGCTAGACGGCTGATCAAACAATACAGCCGCAGTAGCGCAAGTGTCAATCAAAGCACAAACAAGTGGAGACAGACAGCCTTGTTTAAATACTATCTCGTTGTAAAGAACTGGAAGCCTCCATGTCAAATGTCTGTGCTCACGCTCAAGTAGCTCACCATCGTTTTGATGCGATGAGTTGTGTGTGTTGTTTCTGGGTCGGCCTTGCCGGCGCCCGAACAGAAACGAGGCCGAGTTAGACACTCTGAGATCATCAGACGAATTGTTTATGCGCGGGAGGCCGAACGCGAAACCGAAAGCAAAACCCACATCACTTCAACGATTGAGCAAACAATCAATTCATGCTTTGTGCCTTGGGTGGTTATATGATGTTAGTGAAGGAAGCGAGTGAGGAAAGGGGAAGTGGGCAGTTGTGTTCAGAGGGCTGAGTAGAACCCTGGTGCAGTTGAGAGAGGCTGGACTTATTTGACTGTAGCTTCAATGGCACAGGATCAGAAAGCTGAGATCAACAGAGCTGTTTGGACAAATTCTGATTCGCTTCATATATGTGAAAGTTTTTTCGGGCTATATTTAAGATTTTTCTAAAATACTCGAGGTCAGCCAGGTAAGTGACCTTTGGTACTTGCGGAAGCCCCTGTCAACCCTTGAGATATTGCGACTGGGTAAACCCACCCTCAATGAGCACTCTTTTATGAAAGCTGACATCAATCAAGCTTAAACACGTGATAAAGGGGCGAAAAGTATGGTGATAGACTTTAACGGCGGTCGGGGTAGCAATGCCGGACTCTGCGTATGCGATTGCCCCGTACAAAATCCCTCTCTTATCCTACCTTAGGGTATGAATAGAACAAGAGCAGAGATACGATCCTCGAGATTGATATTGTAGACCTTCATCCTAGCCTCTCCCATGATTCTGAGAATTGCGTACTACAAATGTGAGATCACCTGCTTATTGATTCTGGAACAGTCTGGCAACTCTATTCGCGAAGGGCTCACATGCGCGTCTCCTCATCTGTTCCTTTGTGGCCCTTACATGTACTGTTTTCGGTCTGTCCAGTTGGAATAGGGCCACTCATGCTATAAGAACTTTTCTTATTACACTCTTTGTAGCACTGCATGGATCTTCTGACGACTTGCACCGTCTTTGGCTTTCCAAAAGGGCTGCTAAAGACGATTGAAATCGATGACATAACATATCAAGACTTCAAATACTTCACCCGCAGCAGGTTATAGTCATTTGAATTGACTGAATTTCCCAATTTATAGTCCAGACCTTCCTTCCAGGTGAATACAGTTGAGCGTTTAAGTAGATTCTACCTCCTGGCGGCTATCGATTTGCCGTGGACTCTGCACACGTGGGCAACTATGTGCTTGAGGTGGGCAGCCGCCACGTATTCAGCCGTCTCGATTCATATATCTAGGCTGAATATAAGATTCTTGAAGAAGTTGTATCTAAAGGCCATGGTTATTAAACGAATATACAGTGCCAAGCTTTGTATATGCCTATTCGACTCAAAAGGCGCCCTGGGGCTATCAGCGAAACAAGTGTGCAAAGCAGACATGCCAGTGAACATTGACAACGCCAAACCGCTGGAGTAGCAGTGTTTATTTCATATGTACGGGTCTTTGAGCATGTATGGAATGTATTTTATACGAGTTGAGAACAAATTCGAGAACGTCTTGTATCGGGCATGTTTCGGCCAGCCTTGTTCTGGAATCTGGTTGAGCGGCGGGTGAACATGTCTTGGATAAGCTGCTGTCACATGATAATTGGTAAGGAGAATGACTAGATTCTCATATTTGAAATTTTGTATTCCCTTTTACATAAAACAAGTCACACATCGGTTGCAGGGCACCTCGAGATGTCTTTTATTTGCGATATAATCAAGCAGGCAAATCTCACTTGTCCGGCTGCCACCTATTAACGCATGAATCAACATTGAGATTTTGGACATCAGTGATAGAAACTGGTGGGTCCAACCCAGTTTCAAATAATTCTACGGGTAGCGGAGACCAACATTCGATACGGTCATAACCCCCTCAACTTGAGTCTCATAGACATCAGTTGCTTAAGGGAGAACCAGTTCGTAGTAACGGTATGTGTACTGGCTCTTATCTACTGCTAGGAAATAGCTACCTACTGAGGTAGTCTCTTAGATTAATTCTTAATGTCTTTTGGCCGGGCGGTCTACGCCAGGTGGCGAGGGACCTAGCAGTCTCGTCTATCGTTGCATTTGCCAACCGCTTGGGACCATCACAATGCCCTGCCATCCCGCCTAACTCTAAGATATTCCAATTTCATAATCCATCTAACGTGAGATTTCCCCTGCTGATATACGGGGATCGGCCGAGGAATGCTAAAAGCTCCGAGACACCTGTCTATGAGAATTTATCCAAAGTCACCCCTCTAGAGTCATTGAGTCACAAAATCCAACTCAGAAATAATCCATCGTAAGTCCTGGAGCTATGAGGGCTTCTTAACGAGCAGAGGACAAGTTGCGTTGTGGTACACGTTGTACTTAAACTGGCTATGCAGTCGGACAAGTGGCTTCCGAAGACGAACACAGACCAGCCATGCCATTTGTACCAGCTTGATTTCAATCAATTTGCCGTGCGAAACAAAGCAACACAGGAACTCAGAACTTGGGATATGATCTCAAAAATTAAAAAAGGTCAAAAAGAAAAAGCCAAAACTTTTGCTCACACCGTCCTCATTCGTACTTACATAACTAAATATTCGCAGCTCTATATCCACTGCAGACTTACACGGAGTCACACCCTAAAACAAGGGGGTGGCTGGTGGGAGGGTTAGGGGAGGGAGAAGCAGTCACAGGGGGAGGGGGCGGTAGTTTGGTTGGCGAGATTTGTCCGGCTTCTGCGACAAGCCAAGCCCGGCGACCCTCTCTCACGCAGGCCTTGCAGTGGACCGCGCGTAGAGGGCGTCATTGAACGCGAACGACCAGTCTGCCAGTCCGCCAGTCCGCCAGTCTGCCGGTCAAAACAGGAGCAGAGCTGGGCGCTCTCTACAGAAGCTCAATTGAGAAAGACGCGGGCCAATTCAGGTAGCGATGACGGCGACGTCTCCTATTCATCTCAATTATGATTCCAACCTTTGAAGCTTTGGTGCAGGGCCTCCGGTGCCGAGCGGTCTCATAGGCTGGTGGTTTGGTTTCCCCCAAAGTCTGAAACCACCTCTAACCGACCACCCCCTGGGCGATTCCGCGACCAGTCCTGTCACAGCATGGCGTCGTCGTCGAGCCATCTTGCACTTCCCCTCCGACCTACCTCTTTCTTTGCTTTTTACCTCTGTACACTGCATTCTTTACTTTCTTGGCAGCCATTCCATTCCCTCTTTTCAGTTAATCACGTTGCTGTGCAATCGGTCTTTCTCTTCTTGCTGCGCTTCTTCTCGACGAGGACGACGACAACGACGACAACAATTCTATCGATCCAGCTGGTCTGCTTATTCAATCTCACGCACTATCTGCCGGTCACCGATACCAACGAAATATGAAGGTTGCATTGTTCTTCGTCGCGCTGTGCGCCTCGCTCGCCAGCGCCGCTGTCGTCAAAACCCCCGTATTCGACGACCAGATTGTTCCAAACCAGGGCGATGACTGTGCCTTGGGTGTGACAACGCCCCAGGGCTGCGCGTAAGGATATTCTTTCATTTAAATTGTGGCACTGGGCCTGTGGATGGATGATTCGGATCGTGTTCATCGAACAGTGGGATGAGCGCGCATGCAACCAACGGTTATGGACTGTGGCTTCAGAGACGCAAGCACATGTGGGCAGGTCATGCTAACGTTTTCCCGCAATAGACCCCGTCGCGGAGGTGCGCGTCGGAATACTGCACCTTTGTGATGACGAGTCTTGTCACTCGCGACGTCCAAAGCCGGCAGACCAAGCTGATGCCAATGAGGGAAACGGGTCTCCTGAACTCCTCCAGGCCCGACATGGATCCCAAGGTTGGAGCAGATGAAAACGCTCGAGGGTGCGGTCTGTCCCATAATAAATAATATGCACGGCTGATTGGCGTCCGGCCAACCCAAGTCTCCAGAGTCCGGCCCCAGTTCCCGAGAATCTGCACAGTGTCGGCCTCCATCGCGATGCCACCTCGATTCATTCGATTGGCTTTCATTTTCCTTGGACATAGATTCAATTGAGAGAGTCTCCTCTAGGCCGTTTGAAAGACATCAGACAGCATTGGAAGTGGGCTACTCGCACGATTAATAGACGGAGCGTTCAATTGACTGGGCACTTGTATGACTTGAACGGTTCAAGGCTGTTTTATGAATAGAGGTCAACCTCTATGAGACCGATTAGTGCAAGTGACGAGTCTATTGATGTGTGTATGATTATGTCGTTACTGCTATGGTCTTTCCGCAAATTCATATTGTAGGCGTGCCACATTGGCCATTGTGCGGAATATATATGGACATCTAAGTCAGAATATCCACTCACGCACCACCCCCTTCACACACATAAAATCCCACTAAAAAAGCTGATTTTTACCTTTTCTATTTTATTCTATAAAAATACTAAATATAAAATATAATTTCTATTAAATTTATAATTATATGTATATATAATAAAAATATATAAAATAATTTTAAATTATTATTAATAGAGTTAAATTAATAGTTTTAACTTTTTATATATTAAATTAATATTAAATTTATAAAGTTAATAAATAATATATATAATTCCTTTAATTTAAAAAATTATTTATTAAGTATTAATTAATATAAATAAAAGAATTATTTATTTTTAAAACTTTTTTAATTCTTTATTAAAGATTAAAGATAAGTAAGAAAGATAAAATAAAGAATATTTACTTTATTTATTATTAAATCTTTAAAAATAAATAATTCTTTTATTTATATTAATTAATATTTAATAAATAGTTTTTTAATTAAAAGAAATTATATTTATTATTTATTAACTTTATAAATTTAATTATAGTTTAATATATAAAAACTTTAAAAAAGTTATTTCTATTAATTTAACTTTATTAGAAATAGTTTAAATTTACTTTATATTTATTTTTCTTATTAATAAAAATAAAAGATTTAATAAATATTTTGTTATATATATAGTATTTATATAGAATTAATTATAAGAGGGTTAAATTTAGGCTTTTTGGTGGGAAATGTGAGTGTGTGAAGGAGGTTGTGTGTGAGTGGATATTCTGACTTACCAGCAATCACTTGCTTGTAGGGCACCAGGGCAAGCAATGTGTCTGAGGCATACAATCCGATTTGAAATAGAGATCGCGTTCTGAGCAAAGCCCGAGGTTCACTTTTGACACACATTTAAATCCTGACACGACCAGCGTTGAACAAGAGAGTCGAGCGGACCACATAACTTTTGCCCGCTAAGTATTCAACGGCTGAATGCGAGCCGAACCCGGCATACCCACTTCAAACGCAAGCATGACTACGAGGCAACCTCTCGTGCAATGACTTCAGATGAGATCCGTGATTTCTCTTCAAGATAACCCATGCCATCAATTTATTTGCTGCTTCTTTGCAATTGCGTGCTAAGAAGCATTTGTCCCCAATCGTTACGACTCCAATCTGGAGGCACCAAGAATTGAAGCTCAGCTTTGAGTCCTCCAAACCCTTACCACATTACCCTCCTCTGCCTTCAAATGTTTACAAGGGAGGCTGTCGACAGCTTGTTCATGTGTACCTTGGCTCTGCCATACGGAAAGAGGGTATAATTCCCGACGGTGCCCTCGATGTACTCCCCGCCGCAGGGAACCAGATCACCGCATGACAGCCCCTCTCCGTGACGACGCCACCGCCCTCTGAGCCGCCAAACCTTACTGCGGCCGCGTCGGCCGGTGGGGTGTATACTAGCATGCTGGTGATGATGGTGTCGTTGTAGGGGCGCTCTTTGCTAATATAGTACCTAAGTAATCCCTTGCCTGAGGGAAGGGGATCCAGTCTACGCCGTGCCCACCGGGCGTGGTGTAGGCGTGGAGCGGGGAGCTGCTATCGACGTAGTCGAGACCGAGCGAGTACAGGAGGTTGCCCACGTAGACGGACACGGCGGCCCCGTCGTCGGTTTTGATGGTGATCTCGGACTCCTTTGTGTCTGCCCAGGTCGGCACGCGCCAAGTATTGCACCAACGGCCCCGAGGCGTCCTCTCACGGTAAGCACTTGAGCTGAGCACGCTATCGGCGACGTTGTGGACTTGACCGACCAGGTGCTCATCCTCAAGCGCGTAGGCCAGCCACCACGACGCCGTTCAAACCAGCAGGGTAAGGCCTCATTCAGATTGCTGTAATCACTTCCTTGACGTCGGGGTCGAGCCACGACGACTCATTGACGAACACGTAGCAGTCATGTTCATAACCAGCCAGGCCACTGGCCAGCGTCTTGGACTCTTCGAGAAGCCACCCGTTGCGCTTCCAGGGTTGATGGACCCCAACGCCAACGGTTTAAGGGCCCATGGTATGAGTTCTTCAGGTTAGGTAGTTTCGTTTCTAACTCCCATATATATAAAACTTACATGGTCTCGAGCGTTTACCACCGTATGAATGCGCCATGTATATTCTTAAATATATATAGAATAGAAGTAAACCTGGTTTGTAGTAAATCCTAACCGGCCTACTTCCCATTCAGATTTCAAACTATCGCGCAGCTTTTTATTCTCATTGAAAGCACACGATCCATGCTGCTAAGGGGGGGGGCCTGGGATTGGAAAATCCCGGTCAGCTGAGCCATGATGCACTTATGGGCCGCGAGCTGCGAGCTGACCAATTAGATTTGGGCTCAAAGCGAAAGGATTCACGTAGGATTCATGGCAATAAACCCCTGGCTGCTCTTGGTAAATGTTTGACTGCTGGGAGGAAATTGAAGTTCTTCCGGGCAAAACATACACGCGAGGAGAGAAAGCTGGCCCTCTCTAGATCGTCACTAGCACGCACCCTTTCGGCCCAGAACACCGCGACTAACCAGACAAGCCAGAGTCAGGCTTCCAAGGATTTACCTGGTCTCCCGCTCCCTCCCACGCGACACCGCATAGAAAGACACAATGCTGGCCCTAGCTATTCCCACCATTGCGACGGCCCTTCTCACACTTTCGGCGCGTGTCCAGGCAGCATGTTACAACGTTGACGGGTCGGAACAAAACGACCAGTCCTTCACAGCATGCGACCCTGGCGCCGGAGTGAGCGCCTGCTGCGCAAACAATAAAGGATCCAGGTCGGACCTGTGCCTGTCCTCAGGTCTCTGCTACGCGCAGGACGGCAACTTCCGAGGGCTGCTTTATATGAACGGCTGCACAGACGAGTCCGGCTCGGCCTCGGAGTGCCCGCACTTTTGTCCAGACCGTCCGTCTCCCCTACTCAGCAAGCGCCTCTGCCGGGCTGCATTGTGTGACCGCGTGGGCTGACCCTTGAGCCTCGCAGAAACTACCAACTTCAACGGCGGGTCGCCAGTAAAATCGTGGAATGTGCTGCAGTGTAACAAGGGTGTCTTCTGTTGCCGAATGACGTCGGATACGGAGAACTGCTGTTCTAACAGCTCCGCCCTGGTCACGTCCGACATAGGGACTCTCCTGGTGGCCGCCACGGCGACAACGACTATCAGCGCTGCCACAGGGGCGGCGACGACCACGAGCGCTGCGGGGACCGCCCAGGCATCGGACGGCGATGGCGCCACGTCGACGCTGACGCTGCCATCGTCCTCGTCAGCGCCATCATCGGAATCGGAAGCTTGCCCAAGGGACAACACGGCTGTCGTCGGCGGCGCTGTTGGAGGTGTACTGGGCGCTGCGCTGCTGGCATCACTCGGGGCTCTCATGTTCGTTGTAAAGCGCAGGAAGGACGACAGCCCGGCCTCCCCACAGTACCCGGCCTACCCGCAGAGCTCAGCCTACCCGCCCGTCCATGGATATCATGTGAAGCCCGACCAGCAAAACTATCCTCCAGCTCAAGAGCTCCCTGGCAGGGAGAGGCAGATGTATGAGATGTAGCCATGACCTTGTCTGAATGCAGGGAAGCCTTGTAGGTTGCTGTTCTCAAGGCAGTGGGCGCGTCTGGGGTCTGGGATCCTTCGTGCCCGGGGGATTGGATTGCTCAAGCTTCTGAGACAATTATTATTATTCCAAAACACCTGTCAACTACTAGAATAGATAGAATAGAGCACCAGAGTCGGGTGGGTCCGTCGAGAGCAACGCCTCAAGTGCTCCCAGCCTTGTCTGTACGGCACGAGGCTAAGGCCATGTACCCACAGACGCACTGTATTTTCTCTAACTAGGCATATTATTATTCGCATTGTATTTTCTTTTAAAAAAATGCTAGGTCTTGAGCGTTTACCACTATATAAAGGCGCTATATACGATTTATTTGTGTGGGGTTTAGAAAAAGAAACCACCACTAGTACGGTGCCTTTGACAAATACCTCCACGACACATTTAATCACCACAAGATCATATTTTAGACTTCCAGGCATGAGCCCCTTTATCGAAAGGCTCTTTTGTGACTATACACTTTGTACTGCAAGTTGCAAACAGCCTAACGAGCGCTCGAGATGTTCGAAGGACTCGATCGACCCCGTGTATCGCATGGACTATTCCTGTAACACAGCCATATTAAGACTTCAGAAAACAGTGCGAAACCTTCATTGTGGAGCCCCTGTGGCTCATTTACCTTCTTATCGGGTTATCCCATACGAGGTTTTCCCATACGAGGCAGTTTCGTAGGAAATTTACAAACAGCAAAGTAAGGGGGAGAGTTTCTTCAAAGGAGATTGGCTTGTAGCAGGCTATCCCATACAAGGTTATTCCATCGGAGGGCTCCCTATAGCCTATGGGACAGTCCCCAACAGGAGGTCATTCCATAGGAGCTTACTCTGAAGGAGGCTATCCTAGAGGCGGCTGCTACATAGAAAGTCGTTGAATAGAATGTTGTTGCATAAGAGTTTATCTTGGAGGAATTTTGAAAGTGAGGACTGCCTTGGTGGTCTACCATAGATCGGACCTCCGAGCAATGCTAAGTACCTAGGTACCTAGGTTGGTACTAGTTGTGCTCTAGATTGTAGCGTCCACTGGCATCGCGAGAAGGAACTAGTCGGCCTCCCGAAGCGTACTGTGGTAAGCCATAGTCGCATGTTGGCCGCATAGCCGTACCATGCTTCCAACATTGTCATGCACCAGACCAATTGAGTGTCGAGTCGGACGGCTGCGTCGACAACGGTCGTAGACAAACAGATACTTGAGTGTGATCTACCAGACAACATGTCTCCTGATCTAAATACAAGATGCGATTAGACATGGCTCAGTCATGGCTCAGTCAAGATATCAGTCCTGCAGCGTGGTAAGGAAGCACATGTCTGCCAAGACGTTGCGTTGCGTACGCGCCAAGGCCCAGCCCGCATACAGGGATGCGGGAGGAGCGAATCTCGGCCAAGCATTGTGCAGGTGGAGTGACGTATGGACCAAGTGCGACCCTCGGCCGCCCTGGCTCGCAAGTAGCGATTCGCCTACAGGCTGCCAGGGCTGCCTCCAGAGGGGCGACCGGGGCCATCAGTCGGCTGCGCCTCCATCGCCGATTTGTTGACTTGCAGACTACAAATACAACCACCAGCTAGCTGCCTGTCTTGCGCAATTTGTGACTGTGCCACGGTCAACTCTGAATCATAGTCACCCACCAAATCCAAACCCAATCTCGAGATCCAGATCTGAACCCAGATCTGAACCCAGATCGGCCGCCACACCACACCACTTACACCAGCCGACAGGCCCATCGCAAGCATGGCCAGCACTGCCAGCGCCGTTCTCCTCATCATCATCACCCTCTTCTGTAAGATTCCTTTCCGTATGGCCCCGACAAGGCACCAGGAAACGCGCTGCTAACTCGGATGCCAGTCCCCCCAGTGGGCGTCCTCATCGTCGCTGGCTGCGGAGCTGATGTCCTGATCAACATCTGCCTCACTTTGCTCGGGTACGTCCAAACCGACCTCTTCCCCCTCCATGTGCCGCGGCTAACACGATGCCCCCCACCTGAACAGCTACATCCCCGGCCACATCCACGCCTTTTACATCCTCTACGTCTACTACAGCCGCGCCGACCGCCCCAGCCCCGAGCGCGCCCCAGGCATCTACTCCGACCGGGTGCAGACGGGCGGGCACGGCTACCCGGCGGGCGCGGGCGCGGGCGGGGGCGGATACGGCACCATCAACAACCCGCCACCCCCGCAGGGCGCCTAGAAGGTGTCCGCCAGCATCTGCTCTGGCTGCCTGCGCGGCCGGATCTACCTGCAGCCGCCGGGCGTCGACGATGCGAGCCGCTGGGCCTGGCGCCTCGTCTGTTGGAGCATGCAACACGAGGTCAACGGCGGTGTTGTGGTGTGTCCCTACCCACCGCGCCCGGGGGTGATCACCGACTGGTGCTGTAGCGCTTGTCGGAGGCGGCAGGAAGGCGGGATTGTCGTCGCGGCTCAGCAGAATGGGCATGCCTGATAGGGAGGGGGCTGTTGGGTTCGGCTGGCAGGCTTACGTGGGGGTTTGTATAACGGATGACCAAGTCTTAGTGAATGATACCTTATTTCGAGAGAACTCGCCCTGGTTGGACTCTTTGAATGCTGGTCCTGATACGTGCTACATCGTGCCATGTCGTACTGAGGCTGGCGTTGTCGAGGTGGACTGTATATGAGAGAATGTCGTGACAGGTCAATTTGGTTATTGTGCGATCTCCGTTCACTCACCACTTGGCAGACGCTTAACACGCTCACAAAACGCCAGGAATCAGCGGGATATCACTTAGTTCTATGCTGTGTACCAGTAGAGCCCGTTTCTCAGTATGCAAAATATTAATCTCGACAGTGCGCCAGCTCGTATTCTTATGAGAAATGCCCAAAATGATAGCCCAGAACAACCAAGCAACACAAGAGGTATTAGTGGCCATGGAAACGCTCAAAATCTAGAAAAGAGACACCAGTGCGGCCACACCGGCCACAAACCCAACAACAGAAGTGGCGGCCGCTGGCCTGTTGGGCTCGCCGGCGCTCTTGGACGAGCTCGACGTTGACCCGCTGCACTCGCCCTTGAAGCCGGATGCGCCATCGCTGCCGGAGGGAATGGCCTGCTCGTTGGTGCCGCACTCGACATACTGCGCCATGGAGATCTTCATGTTGGCTTGGTCAAAGACAACGTACGCAGAGCGGAGAAAGGTGTCACCCAGGAGCGCAGTGATTCCCTGGTCGGACTCGACTGCCTGCACGCCGAGGATGCACTGGTTGGCACCGGCGCTCACGATGAATTGGCTAAAGGGCACGCTGACAGTGACGCCGTCGAACTCAAAGTCCAGCGACCCGTCCGTGTCTTGGAGGCCGCAGTCCACGATGAGCAGGCCCGACGACGTGTCCTGCTGGGCGTTGAAGTCTTGCGCCATGCTGCGCACGACCTCGGTCGGGAGCAGGCACAGGCTGGAGCCCGTGTCGAGCACGACGCTCAGGTCGCTCTTGGAGTACTTGTTGGATGTACTCCCGCTCTTGAAGGTCAGGCTGTTCATCTGGGTCGAGTACCGCTGGATGTCACCGTTGGCCGGGCTCTGGATGGTGCTTGTGGCGAGCGACCCCGAGAACTTCTTGGTGTCCACGCCCCCAAAGACGATGTTCCCGCCCGCGGTGTCGCTCGTGCCCAGCGCCACGGAAAACGCCTTTGTGTTTGTCACGCCCTGTGCGGCCAGCTGGTCGACAAAGTTGGGGTAGTTCAGGTTGACGCCGTTGCCAAAGCCCAGGCCCAGGATTCCCTCACTGAGCCCTTGGGACTCGGTGGCGACGCCAAACTGCACATCCGTCATCTTCGTACCCGCGCCGGGTATTCCAATGCTGTCGACGACATACTGGATGTCGACGGCGCCGGAGCCGTAGGTGATCTGGGAGGTCTCCTGGGTGACATTGGATGTTGTGGATGTCCTGGGGTTGTACATGCCATTCTCGGTGCAGTCTTGCTGTTGGGATTGGGCGAAGGAGCGGTCGTTGCAGTTGGGGTCCACAAACAACTCGTCGGACCCCGTGTCGATGGCAACGTTGACTGACTGGGCATTGGAACCAAAGGTGAGCTCGATCAGGTAGCTGGTATCCTGCTCGTTGATGAGGGAAGCCGTGGCGTCGCGGGCTGCAAGTGTCCTTGATCCCCGTCTGATGGGGAAGGAGACGAAGCCGGGGTTTGTGGTGGTGGTGGTGGTGGTAGTGACGTCGCGAGTCGGAATTCGAGTGGCCACGACCACTGGGAGGGCCAAAGCCAGCAGAGTTTGTAATCGAGTTGCCATTGCCGTTGTGTCTGTGGGCTGGGGTTCCCAAGGTTCAGCGGGAAAGAGGAGCCAGTGTCCGGGGTAGATAAAGGACGGAGCAAGATTGAGAGTAAAGGGGAGCCAGCCGGTAGCAAAGTGGTGCTGGCAAGATGGTGAGTTGACGAGGTCTAGAAGACGGCGGGCAGCGGTTGTAAAGTGTCTGCCGAGAGCCTGAGTCTGGACAACAAGCAAAGCCACAGAGACACAGCAGGCAGTCAAGCAGTGAAGGAGGTGGGCGGGCGGGCGAGCGGTTTTGTCCGAGTGAGGCTGAGCAATGGACGAGGGATCTGGACCAGTTCAGACGTTGCAGGTCTGGACTTGTTGGAGACGGCGAGACTGACAGGCTCGGAGGCAGCTGGGGGCGCCGGCCGATGATGCGTTGCCTGCAGCAGGAAGGTGGCTGGCAGGGAACTGGGCACCTGGGACACCTGGGGCACTGACACACGGTGACGCCATGCCTGCTTGCCTCGACTTTTGCAGCCTGCCCGGCGGGCAGACGGGCAGACGGGGTGTGCTTCGGGGCGTGTTCAAGATTGCTAGTGGAGTGGCGGGTGGAGAGGCAGCCCAGGCCTGAGGGCGTACCCCGTATTGAAGCCAATCCACCCCGGCTAGCCGCGTGTCCCAGGCAGCCGGTATCCCACGCTGCTTGTCATGCAGACCTGCAAAGACCAGTCCTGCCACTCTCGACTCTGCCCAGTCTCGACTCTGATGGCTGCCTGCCAGCCATGGGACCGGACCGTTCAGCTGTGAGCTCCCAGCAGTACCCAATAAGTTGTTGCGCAGTGGATGGCATCATCCAGAATGCGATTTAAGCTTTTACAAGCAATGCCAAGCTTCTCTCGGCTCGCCTTGGGTGGCGCATGTGTCCCACGGCCCTTGACCTTCTTTGGCCTGGTGGTTTCCGCACTGGACACCGACTGCCCTGAACCGAGAGAAATACCTGCGCACTCGGAGACGTCCTTGCAGCCCATTTGAGACGGGCACTTGCGCGTCGGCCTTGCTGGAACCCACAAGCGGGCAATGCTGCAATGCTGCAATGCCATCCTGTTTCCTACCGACAGAGTTTCAGGGCGCCGCGCCCACAGCCACCATTACCCGCCTGAAGGACCGGCTGATTCGGCGCGGAGACAGGGCGAGCATTCTCCTGGGCGGCAGTGCTGATCCTCCCACGTTTCCCAACGGCCTGTCGCGCCACGCCGTTCAATGTCTTACACTGTACACTGTTTGACTGTACAACCTTTCATGTGTTGGTTGCCGCCCGCCGCCCGCATCTTTGTCTCACTCGCGGCCAATGACATGATGCGGATCGACTGAGGACGGTCTCATGGGCACGTTGCTAGGTCCGTCTCACGCCCAAACACACCAGACAAGCGCCAGTGCAGTCGAGGCTCATGCCCGACGTAGCCGCTTCGGGAACAGATGAACTGCCCAAGTATTTTGGACGGACCCAACAACCAGACAACATACTGTGTCCGTCCCGTAAGGGGTTGTATCGTCCCGTCGACCTGACCTCGATTGTGCCGAGTGCTACAGACCTGCTATAACCCTCAGCTCGCCTGGGCAGAGGCGAGACACGACCGTCATGTGACGGACCAATTTTCTGTCTCGAACCAACATTCCACTGCCTTTTGACCTCTGTTCGCCGCACTTTTCCACCATCCAGGTCGGCAGACGCAACCACAGGCAGTGCGTAGGGTCACGGTAGTACCGTTCAATTCGCTCAATTCATAACTGTTAGGTATACTGAACAAAAAATGCGGCCCAGACCACAAAAGGAAAAAGCCCTAATTGAATGCAAACCCCTCAATGAGCGCCGTGGGGCGAATGAGACCGACCGAGTCGCACAAGGCGTGGACGCCGTAAGCACTGTACCGTTCCCAACTCCAGACAATGCGAATGTAACCACACGTTAACGTCCCACCTGACCATGCATCGCATCATGTTATTCATTACAGCACCCCCTCAAGCCTTCTAGGCTTGGTATGATGCCGCGTTTCCGTTCTCCTCGACTGCGTCCTCCTTGGCCTGGCCCGTTTTGGAGTACAACTTGAACTGCAAAAAGATGACCGCGTCCTCGGCGATCGTTCCGAGCGAGCCCAACAGCCAGGGCAGGGCCTTGAGAAGGTAGCCGCCGTCCTGGGAGAACGCCACGAGGCTGGCGCCGTACGTGAGGTTTCCGGTGAGGGACAGGAGGAAGAACAGCAGTGCGAGGCCTATCGACACGCAGGTTAGCTCTTGGACCCGTGACACGGGTCTTCTTTTACCCAACACATACCCTCGGTGGATTTCTCCCGCCAGTTCTTGATGATCTGTGGGATGCGCGCGCACAGATAACACAGCGCGCTGACGTAGCCCAGAGCCATCCCCACCACCATCATCACTGAGTCTTTGCCCGTCTCCCTCGGCTCAGATCCAGCAGGGTCCTGGGCGCCTCCGTCGTCTGAAGACAGCACCTCCCGGCTGACGAACCAGGCCGCGACGCCGAGCGCATACACCGCCACGAGGCTCAGTGTGTTGGTCAACCACGGGCTCCGCAGCGGTGTCTCGTCCTCGCCCGTGACGATCCTAGTCAGCGGGTCCAGGTTCGAGGAGCCCCGCCGAACAGAGTGGCGCCTGTGGCTTCCCGGCAGGCCCCCGGCACCGGAACTCGACCGCCTACGGGCGAGGAGGGGCTCGTCTTCGGTGGCCTGCGCCTGCAACGATGCCAGTTGCTCCCGGTGCCTCCGTCGGGCGTTGACGGCATTATAGTATAGGGACTGGGTGATGAGGATCACGTCGGCGACACAGAAGTAGATGCCTATCGCGATCGCGGAAGGGGCGAGGTTTGTGACCAGGGCGCCTGTCGCACAGAGCCGGTCAGCTTGGCGGTGAAACAGCAGGCGCGCATGCGCACGTGCAGCAAAGGTGGTGCGATAAGGGCGTCCTGTGGCTGAGATTGCCCGGTGAGGTGAAGATATGCCGGGGCGTACATACCAGCGAGGTTTGTGATGTCGCCGAGGAGCCAGATAAAGAGGAAGCCCATCGAGAGGCCGTCTGCGCTCTGAGCTTTGTAATTGGTGACAAGCTGCGGAAGCTGTCCCGGAAGTTAGGACTTGCAGCCAGGGGCCACTGGCATTGGGGGGAGCAGGCTCACGAGCAAACATATCCATGCGACCAGACTGATGCAGCCGAATATGCCAGACAAAGATTCACCGACGTCTGGTGAAGCTGTCACGGCCGCGACCATCTTGACGGCGATGTTGGCCATGGCGGTGGGAATGTGTGCGTGTGAGCGTATCTGAGGATCGTCCTACAGCTTCGAACCAATTGAACAGTTCTTGGGGGAAATGTTGATGGGAAAGGAGATGGGTCGGCAATGCCAGGCATGTGTTGTCAGGAGAGGAGTTGAAGGATTTGCTCTCCAAAAGAGTCAGGTGGTGAAGATCTGGATGGATCAGGGTCAAGGTCAAGTGAGTGGCTTGGGCTGCTTGGATGGTCCCGCGACTCGAATGAGTGAAAGGGCCTTATCGCGCTCAAAGTTACTCAGTTGGCGCAAAAGATAAGCCCCCATGCCGGGGCCGGGCCACTACCTAGGCAGCCTAGGTAGGGCTCGCTGCCAGATTAAGTTTAACGCGGCCCAAAAGCCTGCAGCTGTCCCGCGATTTGTGGCTGCACGGATCGCCAGCTGCTACTGCCCCCAGGGTGCAGCTGGGTGCTTCGCAGCGGCAGATGGACCTGTGACTTGGGGCTTTGAAAAGCGCCTCTGCTCATTGGGCGCCTGCCGGTTTGGGCCGCTTGGGCGAAGGGTTCTCAGCGGGCAGGGCGGGAAGGGCGGCTAAGACCGGGGCCGGGACGATTGATTACCTGAGAGTCAAGGCCCTGACGTAGGGTGCTGTGGTGCCCCTAACCCGGTGTTCATCCAACAAAACGCGGGACATTTGCAACGAACGGATCGGAGCAGGCAACTTTCACGTTCATGACGCCGTTGAAACAGCGATGGGAGCGTTTTGTTTCCCGGGTCATCCTCGAGTCAGCGGAATGCGAAGATCAACGTCTCAGTACCCAGGTAAGATTCATGGTAGGTCGCTCGCGATATGCGCGTGGGGGGTCAGTGAGTCGCAGATCCATTCGCTGTCGTTGGCCGTCGGCAACGCGCCTGTGCCCAGGTTGCCGGATCAACTGACACTCCTTGCGCGGGCGATCAGCACTCGCTCCCACGCGTACCCCTTTCAACCAGCCGGGGACGATCGTCTCTGTGGCTTCTGATTGTTTTCATACGTCTTTCTTGCGACGAGATCATCTCCAGTCATTCATCCCAAATTGTTGGCATTTCTCAAATAGACATGAAGCTCCTAGGCGTTGCCGTCTTGGGCCTGTTGGCCGCCCCGGAAGTGCTCGCATGGGGAGGTGAGCAGGCGTCCTGGCGCCCCGATCTGTACAGCCCTGGCGCATCCGGACCACGTGCTAATGTCTCTAGGCTTTGGGCATATCACGATTGCCTATGTCGCCAGCAACTTTGTTCAGCCGCAGACGACAAGTTACTTCCAAACCCTCCTGCGAAACGACACCGCCGACTACCTCGCGAACGTGGCCACGTGGGCCGACTCGATCCGCTATACGAAATGGGGCCATTACACAGGCGTCTTCCACTTCATCGATGCAAAAGATGACCCGCCCAACAACTGTTCCGTCGACCTCGACCGCGACTGCAAGGACGAGGGCTGCGTTGTGACGGCGATCCAGAACTACACCTCGCAGGTTCTTGATCCCTCCGTGCCGCTGTGGCTGCGAGCACAGGCCGCCAAGTTTGTGATACATTTTGTCGGAGATATTCACCAGCCCCTGCACGACGAAGATGTGTCCAGAGGTGGGAACGGGATCCACGTGCTGTTCGAAGGGCGCGAGCTGAATCTCCACCACGTCTGGGACAGCTCGATCGCGGAGAAGTGGGTGGGCGGCATTAGGAGGAAACCATATCATGAGGCGCAGTTGTGGGCGGATGAGCTTACCGGCAAGATTAAGGATGGCGACCTGAAGGCCCAGAGCAAGACCTGGCTGGATGGCATGGATTTTGCTAATCCCATTGAGACCGCCCTAGGCTGGGCTAGGGAAGGAAACGCATACGTCTGTTCGCATGGTAAGCATCTCGTTCTTCTCCTTTTCCATCTCGTGGCTGGGTCTGGAGGCTTGATGATGAAGCACGGGCCCTCGTTGATCTACGCCAAAGCTCCGTTTGGTGGCGTTTTGTCAACCCTTTCGAGGAATTTGCTAACAAATATCTAGTCCTCCCAGAGGGACCAGCGGCCATCGTGGGACAGGAGCTAGGTGGGGAGTATTACGAGAAGGCTGCGCCGGTGATTGAATTGCAGGTTGCCCGTGCAGGATTCCGGCTTGCGGCATGGTTGGATTTGATGGTGGCGGCGCTCAAGGTCGAAGCCGAGCCCGAGTTATGATTGGGGCATGTATGCGCAGGCTCATTTCAGTTCACGTTATAACAAATCACCCTCCTCCACGAGGGACCGCGCCCCTTGTGAACAACCAGGAGCGTATTCGCAGCATCTGCGTCTGGAACTTTCTGGAGTCAAGCACGATGGTGTATGATCTGACGATGCAAAACGGCTTGTGTTCCCCTCAGTCCGGTTGCAGATGTGCAATAACCCCAACTTGGCACCCGGACTGGTAGCTGCCACATCCTCAAGTTCAAACGATCTCTTGTGCCGCGTGTCGTGCCTTTTCCTGTCAAGGCCTGTCATCCTAGCACGGGTATAGCCCGTCTGGTGGCTCAGGCCTGGTTCCCCGAGTCGTGACGCCACCTAGGCACAGGTCGGCAGCTGGTAATGGTGGATCGTGAACAGACCAGCACAGAAGACAAGCAAAACTGACAAATTGTGCCAAAGTCAGTTTGGTGAGGGAGACCGCGCGCGCCCACAGACCTTCGACGTAGTCGGTTGATGATTGTCATGGCGGCGACTGCCAAGCCGACTCAGGCTGGCGAGCACATGTGTGGAAGCCGTTTAGGCATTGCGGAAGAGCAGGAGGATTCCTTGACTGAAGCTTGACGCCGGGGTTTTTGACGTCGAGTCGACAGACGAAAGCCTATCGGGTAGGCTTGGCGGGCCGTGTCGATGCAGGTACGGCCTCGAACTTTGGGCTTGGGCGGGATGCGACCGACGGCCTGGGTCCCGACCCGCACGCAGCGGGCTCGGAATGAGGTCATGGTAATATCTGGGGCCGGGCTATAGCCCACCTGGGTGAGAGCAGAGGGCAAGCCAGGGATGTCCGGACTATAACCGAAGTCAGTCTCGCCGACTGGCCGACCAATCCTACTCTGCGTCCTCGCAGGGGCAGTCAAACAGCCAAGGTGTTTTGGGTGGTCCAAGAGGGCGACTCTTCGCGACTTGACGCCTTGGGTGCCCTCGTAGAAGACTGTCGCTCGTCTCGTCTATAGGGCTCATTCGCCGTACATACGGCCCATCAACGTGGTGTCGACGACTAAAGAAACATTTGGCGAGATGCGCGTGTTGGGTTTTACAACGAGTCGAATCCCCGGCTCCACCCCGTTGAGACTTGGCCTCAAGAGGGCGGACAGGGTGGGCTTCCACTTGTTTTCTTCCCGGAATGTGGAGTGGCCCGTGGCTTGTCCCACTGCCCAGAGCGAGGCCAAGGCCAAGGTGCGCTAGCCGATCCCATTGTTGTATGAGCTCGAGGTTTGGTGCCGAGATGCAACAAGGTCGGCCGAACGCTTGGAGGGAGGGGGGCCGAGACAGAGACAAGATGACAGATTGTCCGATGGTATTTGGCGCTGGCCGACGCATTTCAGACCATTAGCTGGAGGCTTACTCTGTACTCCATTCCATGCGCAGCAGATAGCAGGCCGCCATTGCCGACATGCCCATTGCGAACCGAGTTCAGCCACGACCCTGTAATTTACGGCATCCCGATTGCCGACAAACGAACATGATCTCCTCTGTCAGGCGCTGCACCCTTGGGGGAATCATCTCTGGACCAAACGGCGAACGCTCTCATAGCGCTGGTGCGAGAGTCAGCAAACTTCGATCGTCGCAGGGGCAGAGGGGCAGCGAGGTAGCAAACAAGTACCTCGTGCGAACCAGGCTGCTGGCGACGCCAGGGAGAGGAGCCAGGGAGCGTGTGGTGTTTGGACCCCAAGCCACAGTCCCAAACACTCTGACACTACATAGGTCTGTACAGAGAGTATGGTGGTACATGTAGCGCCGCACTCAAGTGCTGGGGAGGGGTGGTATACCGTACCTGTACCGCCCATGCGCAGAGCCCCTGCGGCTGCGCGGCTGCGGTGCCAAGCCTGGGAGGAGCCAACTACCTAGGGTAAGTAGGGACATAGGTACCTATGGGCACGCAGGCAAGACTGGCGCAGGCTGGCTGGCTGGCTGGCTGGCAGGCAGGCAGGCAGGGCGCTTGGTCGACGGGAACATCTGAGGCGTGGTTTCGCCTCATCGGCCCCTGGGATGAAGGACATCCGAAACCCAGGGTGCCTGATCGCCCGGTGTGGGCCAATCAGCACCACGGCTGGCGCCGTGGCCCCGCTGCCACAGCCCGCTAGGCAGGGGCCCAGTTAATAACCTCTGACAATTTGAGCCGCATCAACGTCAAGGACACCAGGGCACCTCCTCGTGAACTCCACCCCAACCTGCGCCGTCGTCCGTCGTCCGTCGTCCTGGGCCCGAACCAGCCTCTCGGCCTCTGCCTGGCACCCAGTCCTCAATTATCAGACACGTCCCGGCCAGGCTTAACGCCGTGGGCAGCAGCCTATCAGGCTGCACCATCCTGATCGTCCGGACTGGCCGTGCCTGAGATGCCCTGGGGCCAATCCCGGCTGCTCGCTACCCTCTCCGAACCAGTCCTCGCCCAGCAAAACAGACGAGATGGCTGCCATCCGTATCAGCTCCCTCATGCCCGGGTCCTGCCTGCCTGGCTGGGTGGCTGGGCTGGTACTTGAGACGGTACAACGGCCCGTGCCAAGATCGACTTAAGATGGGCGCAATGATGCTCATCATTGCTGCTCTGCCCCTTCAGCCCTGCCCATCATCTCCACCCCGTCTCGCATCCTCGGCCTGTCCCCTGTCGTCGCATCTGCTCCCGTCATGGGCACAGGGGCCCCATTGGCCATTGGCCATTTGCCATCATGCCCTTGCCTCTGCGCTGCGGCGCTCCCTGATCCCCTTGATGCACTCCTATCTACCCCCCAAAAAAGAAAAATGGCTCTCGCGGGCCAGCATCAAGTACCCACGGTGGGGGGGGGGCTGTGACTGTGTGTACAAGCGGGAGTGCAGGAGCCTGGTTTAACCTTAAAAGGCCGTCGCAGGGATGCAGCCCTGTTGGGACAAGATACTCCAGTACTCGACTAGTCCACAAACCCCTGCGTCTCGCTCCCTGGCTGTGGGGCACTCTCCCGTGCAGAGGCGGCTCGCCTCCTTCCCATGTGCCATGTGCGCCCTCCCACGGCCGTAATCGTGAGCGAGCAGACACAGACAGAGGCCCGCGACGGTGTCCACCCTGCCCACTTAAACACATCCCGGCAGCGCGCCTTCTTGGCGATGGGGACAAGCGAAACCAGTCAAGCATCTGAATATAAAGCGGCCGGTCTTGGCTTGCCCACAGCTATATCTAAATTCCCCCCTCGCTCCTCGCCCACATTCTTTTACGCTCTTTAACTGTTCGACCTGTCGTCTCATCTACTTTCTATCGTCGCGCGCTGGTTGTGTATTTCTTTTACATTCGTTCGCTCTCTTCGTCGGATGTAACGGGGTTTTCTGTCGTAAACCTCGTCGTCATTCCTTTCCACACGCGCACGTGTCAACCTCCATATATTACTTTTTGGTCTGGTACCAACCATCGTCCAGGACGGCGGCTTCATTTCTCCAACCGACTAACAAGCCAACTTTAATTCTCGACACACATCTACCTCCAAGATGCAACTAAACACCCTCGTCTTCGCCCTTATGGGCTTCTCTGCTGCTATCGAGGCCTCTGCCATCCACCGACACCAGGACGGTCTCCTGGTCTCGAGGCAATTCGGTGGTGGGTTTGGCGGCGGACGTGGCGGCGGACGCGGCGGTGGTGGACAGGGTCAAGGTCAGGGAGGCCAGGGAGGCCAGGGCCAAGGCCAGGGGGGTCAGGGTCAACAAGGGGGGCAGGGTCAGAATGGTCAGAATGGTCAGAATGGTCAGAATGGTCAGAATGGTCAGAATGGTCAGAATGGTCAAAATGGCCAGAACGGTCAGAACGGCCAGAACGGCCAGAACGGCCAGAACGGCCAGAACGGCGGCGGCAACAACAACAACAATGGTGGTAACAGTATGTGGTGGCGATGACCCTGTTTCTCTCGCGAACGCAGTTCTAATTGTTCACAGACGGTGCTCAGTGTCTGCAGGCCGATGCTGTCCAGGACGGCTCGGCATCAGACGGACAAGAGGCTGGTGCCGAAGAGGGCCAGGCCCCCTCCATTACTGATGCGAACAACTTCATCAACTTCTGCGCCGGCAAGACCTTGACCAATGGCCAGCAGAACAAGCAGGGTTCTTGCAACGGTATCCCCATGGGTGAGATTCCAGCGCAGGGCAACATGGCCTCGACCATCATCACAAGTCCTGTACCCGGCAACGAGCCCCAACCGAACGAGGACTTCGATGTCAACGTCCAGATCGCCAACATGGACCTGGGAACCTTTACTAACCCCGACAACACCTACTACTCTGCTCCCCAGCAGCTCGGAAACGGAGGCGCCGTTAGAGGTCACACTCACGTCACGATCCAGGACTTGGGTAACTCCCTCACTCCTAACCAGCCTCTGGATGCCTCTCAGTTCGCCTTCTTCAAGGGTATCAACGACGCGGGTAACGGCAACGGAGGTCTTAGCACCACCGTCACCGGTGGTCTTCCTGCCGGTAACTACCGTATTTGCACTATGGCCGGTGCTTCCAACCACCAGCCTATTCTCATGCCCGTCGCTCAGCGGTACGCAAGCCTTGTCTCGCTCCTTTTGGTATGACTCCAAAAACAAGAGAACCTCCACTGACATTACTCTTTCCTAGTGGTGCCCAAGATGACTGCGTGAGAGTAAGTTCAAACCCTGCATACGAAGTGTCGTATCGCTCCAAGACTAATTGTTTCAGATTACCATCGGAGGGGGCGGTAACAACAACGGAGGCGGCAACAACAACAACAATGGTGGCGGCAACAACAACCAGGGCCAGAACGGCCAGGGCCAGAACGGACAACAGGGCCAAAATGGCCAACAAGGCCAAAACGGACAACAGGGTCAAAATGGCCAACAGGGACAACAAGGACAACAGGGACAACAAGGACAACAGGGACAACAAGGCCAAGGTGGCCAAGGTGGCCAAGGTGGCCAAGGTGGCCGTGGTCAAGGCGGCCAAGGACAAGGTAATTCCCAATCTTCTCAGGACTCTTCCAACACCGACTCCAATGCCTCCGAACAAGATGGTGCGACTCCTTCTTCATCTGCCACTACACCTTCCAAGACATCAGGCTCCTCTTCCTCCGCTGGTAAAGCAAGTAAAGGTGAAAAAGGACAGAATGGTAACGCCCAACAGGCCGGTTCGGCGGAAGGCAATAACTCGACCGCAACCGCGAACGAGTCCGAAGGCAACGCTAAGAGCGGGTCCTCCTCCTCCTCCTCCTCCTCCGGAGATGCCATCGGTGGCATCTCAGCCCCAGCCGTGACGGATTCCGGCAACCCGGACAGGCCCTTCTCAGTCAATGGCAACACTTTCGTTAATGAAGGAGCCGCCATCCAGCGTGCCTGCGCTATTCAGAACAATGCCTGCGCGGACGCCGTCAATTCAGGAAAAGTCTCCGGCAAGACTGTCGGTGACTGCAATGCACAGGAGCAAGCATGCAATTCCCAGGGCGCGGCATAGAGAGTTTACGGCAGATCTTGAGTCTTTTCTTCCTCCAGACACCCAATGGTGGTCCACTGTCTGTGATACCCCTTATTTGACTGGTTGGCCACCGACCGATCGCTACTGTCTAACTCAAATCGCCACTCTCTATGCCCTTTCTTGCCGTCGGATATTGCATGCTAGGTGGCCTGCCATTTTGATGATGATGATGGATATGATGGGTCTACGAAAGTCTTTTCTTATCCTGCTCCTGCTGCTCCGAATGTCACAATATCTCTCTTTTTGCCCCACGTTTGGCTTACATTTTTCTCTGGAGGAAAAAGCACAACACAGATACGCTTGTAATTTAGAATGGGACGAGAACGCGTTGACGCTACAGTCGTCCGGCGTCAGAAGGTTGAATGAGATGAGATGATACTACAATTTGAGATGAACTTGCTCACGCACGCTTGACTTGCTGCCCCATTGGAACGTAATCAGGGGCTTACATCCCTCCCGCACACTCATGTTTCTGAACAATTCACAGCCCAGTTGTCCTGAAGCATATTTGCAGAGTCGGCGCTGACAGGCCCCAGAATTCAGAGACATGGCTCTGTGGCCTAGCGCGGCCTGCGCATTGTATGAGGATGGGGAAAATGAGATGTCGTCAAACTCGCCAAAACCTGCCGAGAATTTGCCAAGGAGAACCTGGCCAGAAACGAGGACCAAGAAGATCTTGATCGACGGCGCGTTGTCTCAGGTTCCGCGAGATAACCCCTGCCGACCAGAAAGCTGGCATACCCGAGTAGCCATGCATTTACCCGTCTCCACGCGAACTCCTGCGACTTCTCAGCCACGCCTGGGGCCCCTGCACTTCCAGCACCACACCATGTGACAGTGTGAGCACACTCTCGGGGCCGTCCAGCGTATGTTAGAGTTTTTAAGTAATGCTCCGACGAGGGTTCGCCATAATTTTCTGTGCTTTTACCGGGCCCTCCCCGGGTGCATACTTGCAGGTCAACGACAGCACCACTGGCTTCCAAGGGTTGCCCACACCTGACAGGGGCTCGGGAGAACAGGCTCTCAGCTGAGAACTGGGCAACGACTGCATCTTGGCTTCTACCTTCGATAATATTCCAAATCGATTTTCCCAACAGGTCTTTAAAGTTGCTGGGATCCTTTTATTGTATTATTTAGGCCAGCAGAGCCATGTGTAGTCGGTTGTTTTGTGAGTCAACTTCGACCCTGCAGCATGCTGGCAACAACTGGATCGCCAAGATCGCCGAAACAGATCCGCGGTATGTTCTTAGAAGCACACAGGGAGTAAGGGCTCACAGTGATCGCTCGCTGGCATGACAACACATGGCCAGCGTTTTGCAGTCTCAATTGAGTCAGGCATTTGTTTGTGATGTGTTAAAATGACCCCGCTCCTCTGAGCACGACACAGCTAGAGCCTTAGGCAGGGGTGGGTTTGCTCCCCGGGCAATGAGCTCGGTGTCTTCTTATGGTGCGAGGATGGCTTATTAAGAAGCAACTTGCTGTGTGGCTATTGCTGAGCCAGGAAAACCCGAGAGATGGCTTAGCATTCCATCTGATGACTGCGGTGAAGAAGGTGCCATGCGTCTCATTCAATGGACACACTCGATATGTTTATCTCACTGTAAGACAACAGCATATAAGATTATACCTAGGTACTGGAAGCTAGAAATGGTGGTTTTAAGGGGCCCTCTAGCATGATCGTTCCTTTGCGCGCCCATCATCTTTCATGCAGTCCCAGTCCGCCCTAACGTGTGCAACTTCTTAGACGCCGCAATACTATAGTACAGTATGTAAACACCTGGGCAGGCAGGGACACCAGTGCGGGGAACAGAAACGGGACCTTCGTTCTATTGCAGCCCACATTTTGATAAGTGAGCGGGAACATGGAGTGACTCCGATCGACACACGCTAGCTTCCAAGACTGAATTGCCCGAAACGGCTTTGTTTGGGAACTGTACATTAGGTACCTGACTGCACATCCTGGCAGCCTAGGTAAGTACCTAGGTAGGTTGTCCCCAGAGCTCCGCGCGCCCCCGCCGCATGGTGATCGCACTGAAAGCCCCACCGTGTCATCCTCGCAGCTCCTCTTGCTATCCTGGTACCATTCCGCCCAGTCGAAGCTGGCCTGGTGTTGACCGTTTTCTTTCACGCTGACGACGAGTCTCTCCGAGTCAAGGCCAATATCAGACGCCATGACAGTCTTGCCTCTGCGTGATCCACATTGGCGCAGCACTTGTTCTGCGTTGAATGACGAGGACTAATGACGATCATACGCCGAGCGCCGTGTCGACATTGCAATAGACCGCTTTGGAAGTTGTCCGAATGACTTGGTCAGTCATTGTTCCTATTCTCCGAACTTTCAAAGGTTGATGTCGGCAGCTTCTCCTTAGCATGGGGTCAACTGGTCGATGTCACTCATTTAACAGCCATGACAGAAGCATGTTAGGTCCCACGAGTGAGCCCACGAGTGGTTTCATTTCAAATCCACATACCCATGAAATGTATGTGACACCTTCATGCAGTGGTGGACGCTCCAGACCCACTGTTGAAAAATATATCGATGTTGTATTTTTTTCAAACGCTGGGTATGGGAGCTTTTTAATACTGTATGAAAGAGCCATGTATGTCTTCGGACATATACGGAATAGAAGCGAAACCACACATACGGAATAGAAGCGAAACCACATACGTCAAGAGCTTGGAAGACGTGGAACCCGGTTTCATACGGTAGATTCGAAATGGATAGCAGAGGAATAACATGACTTTGCATTACAAGACACCACCACTCTGCTGCGATCCTAGCGCCCAAGCTTGAAAGCTACCCTAGGGTATTTCAGATGTTGCAAAGGAGTACGAAGAGACGCCTGTTCGAGTCATGATCCGCTATCAGAGACAATTGGAGGTCATGTTGCGAGTGCATCAACGCGGGCCCAGTCTGGATCAAGTCGAAATGACCACATGTGAGCAGCGGCTCAAATCTCGCAGACAGGTTGGCCGCAAAAGAAAAAGTACTCGTATATCAATCCTCACAATTAAGACTAGTAATGAGTTTCCTGATGATGTAGAGCCTCAGATCAAATAGCGCGGTTCGCCTTAATATCCTGAATGATCGCAGCAGTACCTAAGTACGTGGGCAAACTCCAAACAAGCTGCTGGTCAAGCTGCAAAACAAGCCCTAAGTCCCGTGGACAAAACACACTTCCAAAAAAGGCTGACTAATGTTTGGTAATATCCGGTATTATCTTAGAAGAGTCTCTTTACTGTCTCTGCTAAGCTGCTGTAAGTCGGTTGGGTTTGAGGTGGAGCGTGAGTGAGACGAATTATGAGGATTGAAAAGCCTCACAGAGTTGACCCGCTTGTTACCTTTGCTGTAACTGCGGTGCATATCTTGAAGCGCAATGTCACCCGAGGTTCTCATAGAGAAGTCGTTATTCGTTTGGCTCTCCCATGGTAGAATAGTAGTAGCATCACAGCCATGTCCGGCATTGGACCCGCTCTGCTTTCTGTCGTGGATAGTCTCCTCTTCGATCTGAGTAAAAGCCCGCGGCTCATGTGTGACTTTGACTTCCACTTCGCGAGTAATCAAAATTTTGTCGATGTTGCGTCGCAGGTGCGGCCAGAAGACCGGGAGGGACGCCACGACTGTTGCGAGGTCGACCTCTAGAATTGATAGAATGCAAGTGGACGCGCCGTACCAGCTCGGATCGAAAGTCGGGGAGGTGGTTGCGCGGGTGTGGACAATAAGTATGAATCGAATCACGGAGCAGATGACAGAGCTAAACAAGTCACCAGCAATCAGAACGTTGTACACATAGGTTAGGTAGGGGTAAGACTTGCAGGCCACCGAGTATGTACAAAAAGACCATTGCTAGTCGTGACCTCAACTCCGCGTCGGCGGTTACCCACATCGATCTCGAGAATACCGGGATCGCAAGCACCGCGATGTCAATGGCCATATTGCAAGCACCGTGGGCAATGTCTGCACGTGTAAGCCATTTGTCCCTCGTCAGAAGTAGGAATAGCGAGGAGGATAGAAAAAGATGCAGTTACACATACAGGTGGCAACGAAAGGTCCGATCTCATCTGAACCATATCCATAACGCGTGGCAGATTCGCCAAAGTTCCAATAACCTGCTACGGGAATGCAAGGAATCCAGGCCAGGATTGAGTAGACCAGGCCCCATATCGACGTGGCGATAATAAGGACGACAATCGCGATTCTCGTTTTCGGCTGCTTCGTATTTGGGTTTTCGTCAAGGATGCGCAGATACTGGAAAAGCAGTGAGAGCTTGACCAAAGCCAGGGCCATATTGTAGCACCCATTGCACCACCAGAAAGTCTGTAAATCAAGCAAAACAAGATTGAACTGTCAGCCTATTCCATTCCACATGTCCCCATCATGACCTGCTATGGGCAAGACGCAAACAGCAAAGGTAAACCTAGTTATTCAGAGATTTGTTTTTTACCTTGACAAAAGCTGCCATCCCATCAGGACCGAGCAGAATGAAGTGTTTTCCCAGCCCCCTGCAAGGAGTTAGCCACCAAAAAACCAGAGAATTAGCTTTATTCAACATAGCAAAGCATGGGCCATAAGGTGGTCATCGTATGTCTCGAAGACTACTAATATGGCCCCTGAAGTCTTTGTTAAACGGACTAGGAGTAGGGTGTATTTGTACTCGAAGGATCAAAATTGTATCTTAAACCTGCTTACTTGTTTGTCACTTGAAACTCATTAGCGATCGGGGGTCTCGAGGACTTATAGATCGTGGGCAGCTCAGGCCACTCACAAATGCATGACCCCACATTGGTTATCCACGTTGTGATCTGTTGGCGGTTCAGCAATGAGTCATAGGACCGCAATTACCCCATGGTATGTACTATTAGTAGTATTACGAGCAAGTCGTCCCAGCCCGGACATCGCGTCACGAAAAACCTGACATGGAGTCGCGAAAAGACGCAAAGTGAGGTGACAATCTGAATAAAGCGTCAGTACCGCTTTTAGTGATGGCAATGGGTCCAAGATCATTACTAGAAATGGGATTACTAAACCAAAAATATTGGTTCGACGATTGATCAAAGGCGTTGGCTCGTCCAGATTATCAACTGCGCCGATCAGCGCGAAAAGAGACATGGCATCCTGTTTCGGAACGGCTGCCACGTAAGAAGAGAGCAATGAAATGTCCGCTGGCCAGCCCTATGCGGTTAATATGTTCTTAGCAAGTGTATGTAAACACTGAGAGTAACATGCATATGCGAGAGCGGAGGAGAAGGAAAAGTCTCCCAGTCCGAAGAAAGCAGCGGCCCAACACGCTTTTGCTTTGGTGGTTTGAACTCTCTGACCGGCGCAGATCAGTGCCTGTCGGGATCATTAAGCTCGGGTATCTTGCTTAGGAAAAATGAAACTCCACTGAATGCAACCCCATCTGAAGGGCGGGAATAGGTCCTGCTGCCACCCGGATGGCAAGGTCGTTTTCCGGGAAGTTGGCATGGGTTTGTGCCTATGACCATCCCAGCCAGATACGCAGTCCAATCTCTCCCCCCGCTCGTTCCCCGATGGCGCGAGTCAGAGAGGTGCCTCCGTGTATAGAGGACCAGGTTTTGTGCCCGTGCGGCCCGGGCTCTGTGCTTAGGAATGATACGTGATTCGGTTTATAAGTACTTACAGATGCAACTGACAGGACAGGGGTTTGAAGCGTGTAGATTGCAATGTGATAAATCGGCTTTCAACCTGAGTATATGTCTCTTTGAATCACCCCAGAAGTGTGTCTGACCAACTCAGTTTCATCGTCCAAGTATTGGTTGTATTGGAAAGCCTCATGGTGATGGCGCTCGAGCTTTTCTGGAGTGTTGCTCTGTACTGCCATGTACCCCACCGAACAGCACATCGAGACTTCCTTCATCAGGTGCTGTCTCAGAAGCAGCGGCATTTTGATCCTCGGAAGCAGGGGGCCACCATCCCTCTCGCATGTGTTGCTCAGTGCCTAGCTTGCCATATGTTCAGAGGGCCTGAAAGTTGGTGTGCATTTTGTGGATTAATGAAAGGTATGAGCGTTTACCACTGTATGAAGGCGCCGCATGCGTTTTATACGTATGGGGATTAGAAACGAAACCACAACCACACTACCTAAGCAGTGAAAAGTAAAATTACCCAAGAAGCTGTCCAATAGCTCTTTTGCGCTGGCCACCACCCTATGAAAGCTGTCAGAATAGGTTTACTCCTCGAAGGAAAGGAGGGTCAGCGTCAACGTATATTAGCATATCGAGAGGATGCAATTCAGCGTCGACGCACTGGACGGGGCCAGGAACCGTTTCTGAACAAGACCACATGTCCCACTACAGGCCGGAACCCAGATCTGGTGGCTAACATGGAACAGCTTGGAATTCCAGGCGAGCACTTGCACCTGGCGCCAGAGCATCAATGCTGTACCTTGTCACCTCAGAGAAGGCCATTGCGATCTGGACTTCGGCTCAAAGAAAACACAGCCATGCATAGCGAGTGAAGAAATACGAAGAAGATATCTGGAACACTGAACGAGCTGTGAAAGTTTATAATTGCCCATAAGAGAGAATATTAGCATATCCTGCAAGACTGGACTGTACCGCTGATGGGGAACATGACCAACTGATGTGGTAGCCAGGAATGTGAATCCAGATATACGTAGACCTCGTGAATCGGTTGGTGAATGACAGCTTAATGGTTGTAGATTCAGATGTATCTTGTCAAATCTTGTCGTCAAATCTTTGTCTTCATAACCTCTACCCCTGGTATCACCGGTTCTGTATTTAGGTTTATTCTAGTGTCTATGGTTGTAGACTTTCACGTCTCAGGTTAAAACCCTGAGACTCGTGTAACTTTGGTCCAGTAACTTGTCTTTGACTTAGGTAACAGCCCAAGAGTGGCGAAAAAGTTCATGACCACTTTATGCCTGCAGAACAGACTCCACCTTGGCCTCTTTCTCTATGATCGCGGGCGGCTTCGCAATCTTTTGGCGGAAAATGTGTCGCTTGATAAAGTACGGAAGCCAAACTTTGAGCTCATACGAGATGAAGCTCTTTGTTGGAACGGAAAAGACCTCTGCAAAAAGTCAGTACCAAAGTCTAAAGCGCATTTGATTTGCTTACGGTCTATCTCCTCCAGAGTGAGCTGCTTCGTTTCGCGAACGAAGCAGAAAATCATGAACCAAGCGATTAGGTTGAGACCGGCATAGAACCCAACTGAGTGCGATGTTAGAAACTGACTTGGTAAGTGTCGGTAGCTTAGAAGACTCACAGGCACCGGTTGGCGTCATCACTGTTTGCATCCGAGGAAACGTGAGACTCAGAATTCCAGCTACAAACGTTAGACACAATAGCTGTCAAGATTCTCAAGAGGTCATACCAAATGTGTTGTTTATGCAAACGGCCCATGCCATACCCTGCTCACGCTGGATGGTAGGGAAAACCTCGGCGGAGTACTGGAACGCTACGGGGCCCTCCCCGAGCGAGTAGCATATGGTAAAGAGATAAACAAATCTGGGAAAATCCGGTCAGCTGAGTCCTATCGGGCTAGAGTCATGGTGCACCCACAGAACAACAGGTCCCAGGCGTTCCGCTGGGCTACCCGTAGTCTTCAATAGGGATAGGCCTGCGGCCAATAAGAAAATGCACATGAGAGGAAATGTCTGTCGTCTATTAGTTACGCCTCGGAGGACTTGGGCGGAGCAAAAACATACGGCCAAGGTCAAGGTCCGGCGTCCTTTCGTATCAATCATGAAGAGGGTGGGAATCGTGAAAACAACTTGGATGGCGCCGTAGCCCAGAGACGCATACAATGCTTGAGTCTTGGAATAGCCGACATTCTCAAAGATTGTTGAGCTGTAGAAGGAGATGACTGCGCAGGATTAGCGAGGCAGGCCAGGGCCGGGAGCAGGATGTGTGAGACCAACTGTTTATGCCACACATTTGTTGCGCCAACATGACAGTTGATGCACCGTAGTTGGCTCGTCTAATCCTAGGCACTGCAAAACAGTCCCAGAGCCGGGTAAAGTAGGTTGAGCCCGCAGCCTCCCTGAGCTCTTCCTCATAAATAACATATGAGTAGTAAAAGTCCCTAGCAGCGATGATAGGGTGGGCTCTGAGCCGCAGCATTGATGTGAATGCCTCGGCGTGCCTATTGTTTTTCATGAGCCACCGAGGAGATTCGGGGCAGAAAAAAATGCCGATCATGAGTATCAAAGACGGAATAAAGGCGGATCCAAGTTGGAGGCGCCAGGCGATAGCACCGGTATCTTTGACGATTACATTGGCAGCAAACCCGAGGAAAATACCTAATTTTCTCGGATTAGTGCCACATCGATAACACGACTGACTGTATGAGACGGTAAATTTCAAATCTCAAAATGCTCACCTGCCACGACCCAGAGCTGCCAGAACATAACAAGAGCTCCGCGGACGCGAGCCGGCGCCATCTCGGCCGAATAAATTGGGACGGTGGCATTCTTGGCGCCAATACCGATGCCCATAACAAATCGAGCGGCGAAGAGTGATTGCCAGGACTTTGCGAATGCGGATCCAATGGGTGTGGCGGTCAGACATGCAGCTGTGATAAATATTTCGCCTCGACGGCCGAAGTATTTGTTGAGCGGGTCGACAATAAAAGCACCGCTATTGGAAATGTGAGCAGCTGGCGGCCTGTGTCCGTAACTTTGAACTCACATGAGACCTGCTGTCAAAAAGATGATAGCATTGATGACTCCAACGATCCACTCGTCCCGGCCTTTGCCGGAAATGCCAAACTCCTCGGGGAAAGACAGGTTCGCACCGTTGGAGCCAGTCTGGTCCCATCCCTGAGTGGCAGCTCCCACCGCGCAGAGGCCGATCGAGTACCAGAGCATCTTGGGACCGTGCCATTTGTGGTCCCTCTCATAGACGAGTGCCGCAAGCTCTGCCTCCTCGAGCTCCGAGACCATTTCGAAGCGGTCCGGGTCGCGGGCCACCAGGCCGGCGCGGCCGAAGAGCGCGGCGTGCTCACTCATCCCATTAGACTCGGCAAAGACGCGGGCATTCTCGATTGTCTGTTCTGGAGAATGCCGCTTCAGTGGGTTTTCAACAATGTTGACGGCGACAGTCTTGTGCCGGCCGCTGGTGTCCCCGATGTGGTCGACTTCTGGCGGGGATGTCGACCCAATGTGGTCGACCTCCTGGGGCGACTTTTCCGACATTTTGACTTGTAGCTGGATGACGGAACAGGTCAGCTATTCAGGAATGCTTGGGCCTGGGATTTCTCTGGGTTAAGCGAAGCCCCTCCCCCTCTGGAAAAAAGCCGGGCGAGGGCAGCCTGCCTTAAATGTAATCTCTGCCCGGTTGCGTCCAGAGCAGACTGCAGATCATGTGCGCCATGCGGCCTAGGTTCAAAATATTGTGGGCTGCAGGGTACTCCGTACAGTCAGAGTTCCCTGGTTCCCCATGGGGTCACGCAGGCATTTTGCTCGCACCCGCACGCACCCCGGAAACATGACTTGTGCGCTCGCTGTTCTCGGATATGTCGGGCTAAGATCGCCCCGGCATCGCTGTGGGACTCACCCCAAGATAACAGCTCTGAGGAGGGGCATCTCACGTCAGGGCCGAGTCAAGGTCGTCAGTCTGGTCTAGTATGAGTCTATTGTACCTGGGTACCCAGGTACCTAGGTAAGGACTAAGTAAGCTTCACCCTTGGCTCACCCTGTCGTGCTTGATCGCTAATAAGCATCGACCTGTGTCCACATCAGAGACTCGGCACACCCTCTTCGTGGCTGGGCACCAACTTGGAAGACAGACGTACTACATAGTACTCCCAAAAGGACCGAGCTCATCCCATCCTGCGCCAAGATTCCAACACCTGCATTATCATTCCCAAACGATGCGGAGAGATAAGCTTCCGGCTAGCGCGAACTGCAACCGCGGGGCTGGTGTCGAATCAAGTGCGCCAGCGGGCCGAAGACGCCACAAGCTCGTGTCCTACTCATGACACTGGTGCTGGGGAGCCAGCATCGCAATTGGTCGCGAGACGCGGGCCTCGTTAGCAGGCTGGCAGATTCAATGTTACTCTCACATACTACAATGAATGTCTATGGGGAGGGCTATCGGCGCGCTCAGTCGGGACGGCTCGGGCACAAACGAGGCTGTTGGGTGCGTTCCGGATAAGGCTAGTAGTATGAGAGAGGAATCCTTCACGGGCTCACAGCAAAGCGTACTACGTACCTAGGTAGTCAACTCCGGCAGGCCAAGAGACTAATGTGGCGCGATTTCGGAATTAACCAGAAACGGGCTTGTCTATAGACTTCTTGCCGCGTCAGACCCGACCACTGGCACATATTGATCTTATCACAGGGCAGACGCCACAGACATTTCAAATGTTGATGCGCCAAACGTGGACTCAAGCTCGTTCTTATCTCCATCAAAATCCTTCAATCGAGGCTATTTGCAACCGTGACTACTGAATCATCCAGCAAATTGGAGAGCCTATACGGAGAACATATGTACTGACAAGGCCATGCGTGGTTGCTTCTCGTGTCGCACAGATGGTGCTCACTCTGCACGTGGGAACTGGTTGAAACAACGCACTCCAAAGGTCCTCGCATAAGCATTAGCGCTGTGCAACCGGCGTGGCCGAGCCTCCCTAAGCGCCAGAGGTATGTTGTTCGGGCATGGTGACAAGTCATGGTGGTCGAATGAAGACGTTTGCGGCTTTTTAAACCCCATTACTTTTTCTCGGCAACTTCAATTGAACTGCAGCCTCGAGCCGTCGTTTCCTAGTCAGGCTCAACGAATGGTCTAAGATGCACGCCCAGAGTGGCGGCTTGGTCGGTGAACAACCTGTTCAACCGGTCATCTACGGCGCAGGAGGGATCCGTTCAAAGGTCATACATACTACATAGCTGGCCGCTCGTCGGCAGCAAAAGGCCGGCAGGATGACCAACAGACGTAGGACAAATTCGTGAGCGGGGTCCATTTATTAAATATGTAAAATGACGTCTTCACCTCATCCAACAAATTTGCCCGGCGTCCTTGATCTTGCCCGTGCCAGATCGACTGATCGAAGACTCCTCTGCGGGGCCGAACCCCTGCACATTGTTCCTGAAAGCTTCGAAATCACATGTGCGCTCATCCCAACCATGCTCGGCTTCCTTGGCGGCTTCTCAGGATTCACACAATCCTGATCAAATCGTTCTGCGGCATGGGATTAGAGTGGGAAACGTGACCAATGCTACAGCCGTATCCCCTGTACAGTTCGGGATGGGTCGGAACAACTTTAGGAGGCTGTTCCATGTTGATCCACCACTGGCTGCAGGAGGTGACAGGGCGGTGAACATGCAGTCAGCAGACATCTGGTTGGTGTACGGGTTGGCTGGTGTTTGCTCGAGGCTCACTTACTTGGAGGATCACTCAGTCACACTGGCAGTTCCTGTTTTCCCGTGTACTACCTGGCCAGAAACTGTGATCTGGTCGCTCCCACATCATCTGTGCGTGTGTAGTGAATGACAAAAGTGCCCGCTGCCCAACTTCATGGGAATTGACTCCAATAAGACAAAATCCCAGGCTCTGACCTTCTGGCCTTCCGGCTGTTCGCAGCGGACTTCCCACAACCCTTCCTCTCGTGCAATAAGTTCCCAAGAAGACTACTTCTTATAACCTAGCCTCTTCTAAGCCAACTTGCAGTAGCCATGTAGGATAAAGGTGTTCTGTGATGACAACTTCTAGCTCTAACTTTCTAGCCGAAAATGAAAAAGGCTATAGCTGTTTGAGAACAGAATCTCGCACTGGAAAATGCCGTGGCAATAGGTTATAGCCATACTGCATGCTGTCATCTGTTGTTTCATTTCGACTCGTTACTAGCTTCTTCAAAAGCAAGAACGGTTATAGGAAGTCAGTGCCGAGTTCATCGAATAAACAATGGGACAGGTCCTATGTTGGCAGCTGTACCTAGGTAATCAAGTGAGACATGCTCGCCTATTTGTGCCCGGTATGCCACTGCATATAAATCTCGATAGCCTTGTGACCGACATTTGGTATGCGAGTCCATGACAGATCTAGGCCCGAATTTGTCATCCACGTAATATTAATGATCTTAACCATCAACGCAGCGCCCAAACAGGAAACAATGAAACTCAAGTTCTCAATTCCCAAGATTTTCTAATAGAGAACGAATATTCGCGCACCCATTTTTAGCTGGCACGCACCCATTTTCTTACTACAGTAAGCAGTCTTTCAACCAATCAGAGTTTGGGATTCTCAAGTCACGAAGACTTCACAAAGACTTCAAGAAATAAGCCTTCTTCACAATTTTAGGGGATATAAACAGAGCAGGTTGGTCCTCTAGGAACTCGGGTCGTGCCTACCGGCCCTACTCACGGCCCTCCACTATGCTTCACACTCCAGGGCTCGCCCCCTTCGCCCCAGCCAACCCTTTCGTAGAAGAAGTCTTGTATAGGATACTTAGAGGGTACGCGCCAGCCAAAAATGGGTGCGCGAATATTCGCTCTCTTCTAATATGTCTCCTTCCTTTGGAAATTTCGCACGGAAACCCTCCCCACTCACCAAATCGTGATGGGCTTGATTGTATCCGCTCCTCCATCCTCGAGATCACATTGCAGGTCCATGAGCTTGTCGAAGAAGCGCTTGTTAAATGATCCATTTGGAGGGACCACTTCCATTGCCGAGTCCCCCGAGTCCTTGGTCCTCCCATTGATCTTGTCGCATCAGTAGCCGTGTTTAGAGAAGTCAGGCTCTTCTGAGGCACGTCCACAGCAGGATCGTGGGTCGTGCTAGACTCATCGGGAGCCATATCTGTGAGATGCAGACGCTTCTCGAATGTTTGAGTTGTTGTTTGGGAGTATATGTAGAGGGAGAGGCAGAGTGAGGTTGAGGGCCAAAGCAGACCAGAGCAAGTTATGAACAAGTAAGTACCTTCCAAGGTTGGTATCCCAGTCAGGTGCTAGCTACACCGTTCGCAAAAGCAGATTTCCATATTTTACTGACCTCAGGTCGGGTCGTCTACCAAAGGGGGAGGTACAGGTCACGGCAGCCTCACCATCAGAACCTGGATGCAAGCGGGCACCCCTTTTGCTCCTGAAGTCCCTTCCAAGTTTCCGGGGGTACATATGTTTTCAAACAAGATGCCACACTTTCACATAACCCTGTCTCAAAAGCAGAGCTTAGGCAACTGCCATATGACCAAATGGTCAATGTACTGGTAGGTTCCATAAGGCTGTATGCGCGCAAGGGGTCACATTGACTGATCGAAATGCTGGCTCCATCCATTGCCGTTCCCTTGACACCTTCCAATGGGCCGGAGGCATCGTCGACTCGATCTCAATCGATCTAGCACGGTCAGCTGCCTCATCTCAGTCTAATCTCGGGATATCTGCACCATCTGGGCAGTACTCGCTGCTCAACCCCCCAAAGCATCGATCTCCGCAAGATCTCTTCCTGCAGGATACTAGTAGCCCACATACCTCTTATGGAATATTTGACCTGTTATCTCCGGTGGGATTACCCGTTGCACAGCTTCCATGCTGATCATTGTATATCGCTCCTCAGAGCCTACCGTGCCATCACACCGCATATGCTCAGACAAACGATTGAATTGTGAATAGGAATTGTACTATGCCAATCTAGAAGGAGCGTGGGTATTTCGCAATGATAGTAATCCAGACCCAAACAGAAGAAAAAGGAGTGACCAAGCTATGTTCCTCCAGTCAATGCCAGTGTGTTTTCTGGTTCCATTCCACAACGCCAGATCCTTGCCTTGCCTTTGCTCATTGTGATGACGTTGAATGTGCCCTTTTTGAAGTTGGAAACAGTCCCATTTTCCGGCCCTGTTCACAGATTTCCAGAGTCTGATCACTATGACTATGGCCCTGTATGGGAGCCTAGGCCCGCTCAACATGGTGCACCTCGGCCTGGTCATAGGCAGGTGGATCGATTTCCTGGTTCTCCATCAACCCTGACTTTTCCTCATCGACGGCGACTTCCTTTTGTGCGGCCTTGTGGTGGCGTCCGCCTGGGTGGAGGCGGCAGCGGTGGTGCGGGAAGAAGGACTGCCCGCGGACGAACTTGCGGAACAAGCCGACGAGGACTGTTCCGACGAGCATGCTGACGACGGCGACGGTGACGCCAGCAACGATGCCCACCAGGACGGGGAGGATGATGTGCGAGGTCACCTTGCGGAAGAACAGCGACCAACCATTAGGACGGTTGAACATGCCAAAGTGTTCGTCGTGGTGGCTGGTAGGCTGGGGGTGGCCTTGGTGGTGGCCTGCCTTGCCGCCCATCATACCAGCGCAGCCGTGCATCTTCATCTTGTTGATCTTATCGGCGATGATGGCCTTCAACCTGCACAAGGTGGTTGAGCATTCGGCTCCGTCACCCTTTGGTGATGGAAGGTTCTCGGATGGGGTCTGTTCGATCTTGGCGATAATGAGGTCGTCTTGTGGTGACTTGATCATGTTGACACGAATGTTGGGGAGTCCCTCGACGAAGACCGAGCCAACCTCGATGATTTGGAGGTCGAGCTGGACGAGGTCCAAGTTGTCGTCGGCCGTCTTCTGGACGGGATGGATCTGAAGACTGAAGCCGAGTGGTTGCTCAACGACCTTTGGCTTTCCATGGTGTCCTGGTCGAAACTTGTGGTGGCTAGGCAGGACCCTCGAGTTATCGGCTTGGTGTGCCTCGTCGCCCTTGGTATGTTTGCCATGGTTGTTGTGCTTCCGCTTGTCGGCAACTTGTGGGGCGACGAGGAGGTTGGTGAAGGGGTCGGAGTTTGGGTATAGTTCGAAGCCGTTCAGCACCAGCCTGTCGGAGCCTTCGGATCTGTCGATGGAGAAGTCGAGCTCGAGGTGGCTGCTGTGCTGCTTGTGGTGTTTGGGGTTTCCGTGGTGGTTCTTGAATACGGGAGGGCATCCGGGGCAGTCGATGCTTAGCGACTGGGTGTGTGCGAGGGCTGCGCTCTCGAACGGGAGGGCCTCGACGACCTCAGCGTCGTGAGAGCTGATGCCGGGCGGAAGAAGGATGGCGTTGGTGGCGGCAGAGAGGCCAGCCACGGCAAGGAGGGGCCGCAGCAGCATTGTCTCGGGGATCTGGTGTGTTGCCTGTGGGGGCGTGACGTTTGTGGTAGACGGAGAGTCGGGCTGGACAAGATTCAGTTGCTGTTGCAGGTGGATGGATGAGAGTGGTGGTTGAATGCTGTCGTGATGAGAAAGGACGAAAGGGGGGAGAGGTCCCTGAGGCTGAGAGGGTGAAGCGTAATGTGGTTGTTTCGAATTAGAATAGACGCAGATGGGTCAAAGAGAGGGAAGCGACAGGGATGCTTTGACCAAGTGATGAAAGTGACCTGTTCCAGCCCGCTGCTCAGGCGACCTCACGCAGCCATGAGGGTACGCAGTGTTTCGGCACGCGAGACATCCCTGTCTGGTCTCGTCATTGCTGCCTCAGGCATGAGTTGCCTGCCAGCCTGCACCTGTTCAATGCCCAAGACTGCTCACCCAGCACCCGGCTGACCCGCTGCATCCGAGGCTGCCGAGGACGGCCCCAGCTCACGTTCCCGGGCTGCCGCTCGCGACAGATCAAGGCATTGATTAAGTAACCTGCTTGCCAGCTCAGACAATCTCTAGTGACGTTGGTGCGACCAAGGGCTGGCCCGTGTTCAATGTTGCATAACACCCATGACGCCAATGACATTGAAGGCTGAAACGGCTCCTTGACACCAGTTGTATCTTGTCCACTTACACGCGTCTGTCGGATAGAGTCGAGCTCAGTAGATGGACCGCGAACCGACTCGCACATTTTCAACCAATTTGGCACAGAGTCATGCCCTGCTCAAGTGCTACACAAACCCGACCACAAGAAAGCGAGCACACAACACATGCAGTTCGGTTGACCGTATAATACACAGCCCCACGGCTGGTTCATAGACACATGCCTTTATTGCTCAATGATCACGAAATCGAGCATCCGGCATAGCGGAGTCAAAGTTGATGGAGGGCATACTATATACTATTCATCTAGAATAGGCTAAGGATAGGAATTATAAACGTACTATAGTTCTAAAACTCTATACTCTAATTAGTTATCCACTATAAGTATATATAGACCTAGCTAAACATACTATAGTTCTAAAACTCTATAAACTAATTAATTATCTATTATTAATATATATAAACTTAATTAAATATATTATAGTTTTAAAACTTTATAAGTTAATTAATTATCTATTATAAATATATATAAAGTATATTAGAATTATTAATAGTATTATAATCTAAAAGATTATACTTTAATTAATTATTTATAATAAAATTATTTATTATAAGTAGACTATTATAATATAAATATATTATTTTAAGTTTTATAATATTATAATTAATTTAACTTTATATATTTAAAGTAAAGTTAAAAGTAATTATATTTAAAAGATTAATTAAAATAAATACCTTATAGGAAACTTTTTTATATTTAAGCTTATTTATACTTTATAATAGACTTTCTTCTTAATAGAAAATACTATAAAAGTTAAAAGAGAGAAAGAGAGATTTATTAAAAGGCTATTAAAAGAGGGAAAATTATTATTTATTACTTAATATACCTATTATAAAAGTTTCTTAATAATAAACTTTAATAATATAGTATAATAATATAGTTTAAAATATTATAATAATAAATATTATAATTTTAACTATTAAATATAAAAAAGGAACCTTTAAGTATTTATTCTTTTATAAATAAAGGCTTTTAATATATCTTCTATTTAAGTTATCTTTTTTAATTTTTTCTTTTATAAAATAATTTATTTAAAATAAAAGTATATTCTTTATAAAGTAAATAACTAATTAAAAATATTTAAATAAATTAAAAGATAATTAAAAAATATTTTTAAAATAAATTAAAATATTTAAAAGATAAATTAAAAGACTATTAAAGAGATAGTTAGAAAAATAACTTATTAATTAGACTTTAAGTAGTTTTTTATAAAAGTATATTATTTATAATATAAATTAAAATATTTAAATAGATAAATAAAGAAATAATTAAAAAATAACTTATAAGCTAGCCTTTAAGGAGTAAAAATTAAGAAATAATTAGAGAAATAACTAACTAATTAAAGAGATAACTTATAAGTTAACTTTTAAGTAATCTACTCTTATATTACTATAAGTATAAATATAAATAATATTTTTATATTTTAGTTTATAAACTTTAAAAATAATATTTAAACTTATTATTATTTATTTATATTTTATAAGTTATAAGTTTAATTAATATTTATAACTTATAAAGTATAAATAAGATTAATATATATAGATTAAATATTTTAATTTTAAATAAAATAATTATTTTATAAATTATTTTAAATTTTATTATAAAATTAATTATTTTTAAATTAATTTAATTTTTTAATTTTTATTATTTAATAGATTTAATTTTTAATATCCCTTTCTTATAGTCCTTATAATTCTTATAGTTTTATAATCCTTATAGTTTTATAATTCTTATAATTCTTTTAGTTTTTATAATTTTATTATATATTATTATAAGGTTATTTTTATTTTTATATAATCTTTAATCTTTATAGCTCTTATAGTTTATAACTCTTATTATATATTATTATAAGATTATTTTTATTTTTATAAGATTTTAAAGGTTAATAGTTAACTTATATATTAAATAAGACTTATTATAAAAGTTTAAGTTTTAAAAATAATTTTCTTTAAAATTAACTTAAACTTAAACCCTTATCTTTCTTTATTTTTAAAATAATATAACTATTATCTTTATTATAATATTATTAAATAAAGGTATATATTAAAAGTTATAAATATTATTAAAGATATTTAATCTATATACTTTAAGTTAACTTACTAATTTAATAAATTAGAATAAATATATTATTTTCTTTATATAAATATTTTAATTTTAATAAATTTTAAACTTATAATTATTAATTTAAATATTTAAGCTTTTATTTTTAAATATATATATAGGTTTATACTTTTATTATTTATTAATATATAAATAAATAAAAATACTTTAAACTTTAAACTATAAATTTAAATTTAAACTTAAATTTAAACTTAAATATAATTATAGTTTTAAATACTATATATAATATAAATATAATATATATTAATATATAGGTATAGTATAGGTTATTAGATAGAGTTTTAAATAAATATACTTTATTAAATAAAAGTATTAACTTATTATATATTAAATATTTAAATATATTTAAATAGTATTATAATTAATTATTTCTCTCTTTAATAATATAAGTATTATAACTATAAAATCTAATTAAGGATATTTAAGAAATATAAGTTAATAACTTAAATATTTATATAATAATAAATAATATATATACTTTCTAACCCTATTAGTATAAGCTACTAATCTAAATATTAACTATAAGGTTTACCTTTAAAAGAAATTTAAAATTAATTATAGACCTATTATATAGTTTATAAATTATTAAATATAGGTTATTTATAAAATATAGATTTAAACTTTTACTAATTTATTTTATTATAACTTTATATTATTTTATTTTATTAATCTTTTTAATTATTATTTATAAACCTTTAATTAATAGATATAACTATCTTACTTATAGATTTTAACTATTATAATAGTATAAGTTATTTTAAATTTTATTATAAAATAGGTTTATCTTTAATAACTTTAAGTAAATATATATATAAAGGTTAGTAATAATAATAAAGTTACTTTAAACTTTATTATAAAATAAACTTAACTTTAATAACTTTAAGTAAATATATATATAAAGATTAATAATAATAATAAAGTTATTTTAAATTTTATTATAAAATAAATTTAACTTTAATAACTTTAAATAAATATATATATATAAATTAATAGCTATAATAAAGTTACTTTAAACTTTATTATAAAAATAACTTTATATTAATTTAATTCTTTAAGTTAATTATATATTAAAGCTTTTAGAATCCTTAATTTATTATAATCTTTATAAATATATAAATTAACTATTTAATTATTAAAAGAAAAATAAAAGTTTATTATTTACTTTAAAAATATAATGAATAAACTTTAAAATATAAATAACTTTAAAATATAAGTAGCTTTAAAATATAAATAGTTTTAAAGTATAAGTAGCTTTAATAAGTTATTTAAATAATTAATTAAAGTTTATACTTAGGATATATAAAGTTAATTAAAGTATATAACTTTTTAAATATAAGTTTAAACTACTTTAAACTTAAATAAAGTTTTAATTTATAGTTTATTTATTTTAAATTTTACTTATAAGATTAATACTATATTATACTATATTATAACTTTTATAAATATTAAAACTTTTTTAAGTATTTTATTTTTATTTTTACCTTATTAAGATAAAGAATTAAATATAATTATTATTCCTTATTTATTTATATATTCTAATATATTATTATTATTTAAAATATAGTTATTATAGTTTTTAATAGTATATATAAATCTTACCTTTATATATATTATAAATTATTACTAATATATTTATAAAGTTTTAAATAGTTTAAAATATTATTTAAACTATTATACCTAAAGTATAATAAGCCTACTTTAATAGTATACTATTTAATAATATAAGTATTAAATATATTTAAAACCTACTATTATTCACTCTCTAATAATTAGCTTATCCTATTAAATAGATATATATAAGTTTTTTATATTTAAAAAATCTTATTATAACTATAATTTAAATTATTAATTATATTAAAATATTTTTATATTAAAAGTATATTAATAACTTTAATTTATAATTAAATTATATAATTAATTATATTTTAATAAATTCTTTATATAAACTTACTATATACTATTATATTAATTATATATATAATTATAAATTTATTAATTATTAATAATTTATTAATTTAATTCTTATTTTAATAGATTCTATTATTTAAATAATATATCTTTTTAACCTTTTAATTAACAACCCTTTAATAGTTCCTTTACCTTCTCCCTTTCCCCCTTCCCTTTCTTCTACCCTTACCCCTCCCTCTCTCCCTCTCCTATATTAATATTTACTTAATTATAAGGAAGTACTTTTAAAAGGCTTTAAGTATATTAATATTAATAAGATTTATTTAATTGAAACATTTTTAAACTATATTTTTATAACTTATAATAAAGTTAAAACTTATAAAAACTATAATTTTATAAAGAAGGATCCTTTTAATAATATTAAAATAAATAATATAAAAATTAATAAATCTAAATCTTTTAAGCTTATTAAATAAACTTCTTTATTTAAAAAGATTACTTTACTAATAACTTCTATTAATATAAATATAATACTATTACTCTCCCTTTAATAAATATAAACTTAAATT